ATTTTAGTATTATTTTTTATTAAATTATAAATTAATTCTTTTTTTATAGCTACTATATTATACTCTTATTAAATTTAATTTATCTTAACTAACTATCTTTCCTTCTTAAAATATAGAATTAAAATTAATAATTTTAAAAATAAATATACTATAGTATTTATACCTTAATATTTAATAATAAGTATTTTTTTAATCTTAATAATAAAATAAATATTAATTATTATTATAAAAAACTTTATATAAATTATAAATACTTTATAAAATTATATTAAGCTAAAGCATAAAGATATTATATTATTAAATATAAAAAAGTATGGCTTAAATTTAAAAGTTAAAGAATTTTAAATACATTATATATATAATTTATTAATTATATTTTACTTTTATTAACTTTTATTTTAATATAAACTTAGCAATTTAAAAGCTATTTTAGCTTAAAAAGGCTGAGATTTATATCCTTAATATTAATTATTTTAAAAAGCTTAATCTTCTTATTCTTAATAAATATATAAATCTTATTTATAAGGCAGGACTTATATTAACTAATAATGATAATTCTTTAAGTACTAAGTTTAAAGGGTTTATTTATAACCTTAATTAAAATATTATTATTAAAACTTTACTATTTAAATTTTTTAATTTTAATAATAATAAAGTAAGCCTTATAAAATCTTTTATTATAAAACTTTAGCAAGAACTTAAAGAAATCTCTTTACTAAATTAAGAAGAGTTTTAAAAATAAGTAAGGTTAAAAGAGATTTAAAGTTAATAAGAAAGTAATTTAAATTTAAGATATATTAATATTTTTCTTTATTATATAAATTAAATATATTATATTTAATTATTTATATAACCTTACTCTTAAAATATTTCTTTTATTTAATAAAGAAAGTATTATTCTTAATAATACTTTTATTAATAAAGAAAAGAATAAGTTGGATTTTCTATTTAAAATATATATATTATTTTTATATTATATAAAGTATAAAAATTAATATTTTATAAGTATTTTAACTTAAAAATTAATAAAGACTTTATTAATAAAGAAAATAATAAATAAGTATTTTTATATATATTTTTATATATATATATATACTTATAAGCTAATATTATTATAATAGCCTTAATAAGGCTTCCCTTTTAGCCTTAACCTATTAATCCTTAAGATAATTAATAGCTAGTTTTAATACTTAAATTTAAAAAATAAGAAAGGCTATAGAAAAGCAATCTTTTAAGTATACTTTAAATAAAAGTAATATCTTTAATAAAATATTTTTATTATACAAACTTTAATAAAAGCGCTTTAATAAAAAGCAATAAATAAAATATATATTAATATAAAGGTATAATTATTAATATTAATATTTAATAATAAGCTTAAAAAGGAAAAAGTTATAAATTATATTAATATATTTAATAATATATAAGTTTATATATTTAAATATTATATTTAAATATATTAATATTTAAATATAAGTTTAAATTAAATAAAAAGAAAGATAATGTAAAGAAAGAGTTAGCTGCTTAAGATAAGTAAGTTTATATATTTAAATACTATATTTAAATATATTAATATTTAAATATAAGTTTAAATTAAATAAAAAGAAAGATAATGTAAAGAAAGAGTTAGCTGCTTAAGATAAGTAAGTTTATATATTTAAATATTATATTTAAATATATTAATATTTAAATATAAGTTTAAATTAAATAAGGAGGAGGATAATATAAAGGAAAAGCTAGCTACTTAAGATAAGTAAGTTTATATATTTAAATATTATATTTAAATATATTAATATTTAAATATAAGTTTAAATTAAATAAGGAGGATAATAATATAAAGGAAGAGCTAGCTGCTTAAGATAAATAAGTTTATATATTTAAATATTATATTTAAATATATTAATATTTAAATATAAATTTAAATTAAATAAGGAGGATAATAATGCAAAGGAAGAGCTAGCTACTTAAGATAAGTAAGTTTATATATTTAAATACTATATTTAAATATATTAATATTTAAATATAGGTTTATTAAATAAAGTAACTAAAGGGCTAAGAAACTATCTTTATAATAAGTATTCTTTTAAAAATAAAAGCTTAAATATTAATAATTATATATTTAAGTTAAGAAATAAAATTAAGGATAAGATTATTATTTTTATAATTAATTCTTATAAAAAGAAAAGGAAAAATTCTTATCTTACTTTTTCATAAAATTATTTATTTTAATTATATTATATAAATAAATAAAGGATTTTATAATTAGCAAAGGTATATTATAAACTTTTATATTTAATATATTAAATTAATTATTATATAAAATATAAGGTATGGTAATTAAAAAGCAATGTAAACTTTATATATTAAGCTTTTTATATATAAAGCTTATTTTGGTTGTATTTAAATGCTTAGCTTAAAAGCTACCTTTTATTATAAGTATTTATATCTTAAAGTATTTATATTATATATATTAATATTTAAATATAAATAATATGCTTATTAAAATAAAAGGTTAATTATTATAATATTTAGCTTAGCTTTAAAAATTATTAAGATATTATAAGTATAAGGTAATTTATTTAAATTAAATTATTATCTTATAAAATATTTTTTATATATTACTTAGAATTATAATTATATTTTTATATTTTATTATAATAACTTAGGGCTTAGCGGCTAGTAGCTAAAGGCTTAAGGTATAAAAGGAAAGAACTTAACCCTTAAAGAACTATTAAGAGGGCTAAGAATTAATCTTAATAATAACTAATACTTATAAATAGCATTACTTTTATTTACCCCTTAGTGCTCATTATGCCTAATAACTATATATATTACACTTATATTTATATTTTTAAAAATATAAAATATTATATTTATATTTATATTTATATTTATATATATATATAAATATAAATATAAAACAATATATATATAAAGAAAGATAAACCCTTTTAAATCTTTATTTTCCTTTTTACATAAAACTTAATAAAAAATATAAGTATATATAATAAAAAATAAGTAATTTATTATTATTTATAAATTTAAAATAATTATAAAATACCTAATAAAATACTTAATAAAATAATTAATAAAATATTATATTAAATATTATATATAATATTATTATATATTTTATTTATTTATTTATTTATTTATTTATTTTTATATTTTTTTTAATTATTTTATTATAAAAATATAAATTACTTATATTTAAATTTAAATATAAATATAAATAAAGATATAAAATATTATATTTATATTTATATTTATTTTTATATTCTTCTTATATTTATATTTATATTTATATTTATATTTATATTTTTATATTAATATTTATATTAATTATTAATAATAAATAAAGATAATAAATCCTTAATAATAAAATAATATTTATATTAATAATTAAACTTTTTACATTTAATTATATATATATATATTATATATATATATGCATTAAAAAGGATAAAAAAAAAAGTAAAAAAATTAAAAAATAAAAAAGATTTTACTCCTTAAGCTATATTTAAAAAAAAAACTTTAATATATTTATTTAAAACTAACTTAATGGATAATTTAAAAAAAATAAAGTTAAAAAGGCTAAAAGGAGCATAAAATAAAAAAATTTTTACTATCCTTAAGCTATTATTTATAAAGCTTTAAAGCTAACTTTAATATTTATTTAAAACTAACTTAATGGATAATTTAACGCAAATAGTAATTAATAGCACTTATATTTCTAAGGCTTTAAGTTTACCTTATTAATAAATAAATTTAAAAAAAATTTTTTTTTAAAATATCGCTTAAACCCAAGGTTATATACCTTATTAATCTTAATTTAATTAAAGATAACTTAATTATTTAAAAATATAAAATAAAGATAAGTAATGCAATTATTATTTAAAATCTTATAATTAATATAATTAATATAATTAATAAAAAGCATATAAGTATAATTTTAATTTATTAATAATATAATTTTAATAAAAAATAAAAGGCTATCCTTAAAAAGCTTGTCAAAATAAATAGCAATAATATTTATATTTATCTTCATAATAAGTTTATAAGCAAGGTTAATTTAATAAAGATTATTTAAGAAAATTTAATAATGCTATATAAAGTTTTAATTGCCTTATATAAAATAAAGGTTAATAAGAAATGCTATTATTATAAAAATCATAAATATAAGAAAGATTTAATCTATAAATGTATTAAGGTTTTTAGCATAAAGGAAATAAGTTATGCTTAATATTAATATAAATACTAGGATTTTTATATAGCTTAAAGTAACTGCATAAAAATATTAAAATAAATTTATTAATATAAATTAAAAATCAATCGCAATAATTTAATAACAATTCTTTTTTTAATATTTAAATATAAAACAAGGTTAGTTAACATCCAAATATTATATTTAAATATCAAGTAAGGTACAGGGATTAAGGTCACTTGACCGCATACCTCTTTCTAGGTCCGTCCCTGCTCACGCAGACTGTGTCAAGAGCTCCGATCAGCAAATCTCGTTGCATACCCAGGAACACATTCACTCGGCGCAGATAGAGGCTGGTCAACCTCTGGTATCAGAGAACAGCGGGACGACAGCGTTGTTGAAATCATGTAATACTTGTACAACCTTCAAGACTGGCTGAGGTACATTAGGCCTCCCACCTCTCTCCTATATGACGGTTGTGGGACTGGTGATCACCAGGCAAGCTCGATTTTCTAAGCACCCATTCCTTCAACGAACCGAAAGCTTCCAAAGGCGGTACATGCACATAAGGTAACTGGGATGATACATCAGGCGGAAAATGCATCTCAATTGATTCCTCATGACAATGTGACCCTAGACGTGTAGCCCGATATTGTGTCCCATGTGACCCTGTTCTTCGGAGCAGCCTTCACCTCGGTCTGCATGGGTCATCGCCTCAGCGAATCTGTTTCCGCCGGTGATTAACAGATACATGTTGAGAATGCATCAGTACTTAAAATTCAGGCTCATGCCAGACCTAATGACTTTTGATGCCTAAGTCTGCGATGAAAATGTCGGCCGCCTTTTCCCCAATCGTCAGTGCCGTGTTGTTCGGATGGGCTGCTATGTTACGAGGCACGATGCTCAAGTCGGCCACTTTGAGTCCTTCAACGCCGTGCACATTCAGCCTCTCGTCCACAACGCCCATGCGATCAAGCGGCGCGAGTTTACACGTTCCCAGCGAATGCCACGTCGTGGTAACATTCTCTCGCAGCCACTTGTCGATCACAGCGTCGTCTTCGGGCGTGTACTCGATATTCTGGATGTCACCTCCAAGAGGCTCTGCGATCTCGACGGCCACTGCCTTGGACCCATCCGCGAACTTGGGGTGGCCACTGGCCACTTCACCCCGGTATATCGACCGGCGGCGCGCTATCTCGCGCTGGGTTTTGTATGCCCACCTGCACTTTTTGACATCAATGCCATCCTCGTCGTCAAGAAAGCCAGTGTTGAAGTCGGCCTTGTTGCTGAGCTTTGGCCCTGTGATGTGGATATGTCCGCGAGAATAGGGGTACACCGTGAAGATGGAGTGAGAGAAGTATTGCCCAGCAGGCAGTCCGACAGGGACCCCAGGAAATCTAAGACGAGTTAGCGGGACTGGCTATAACTAGCGACCACAAAAGGTTTACCCGTTGAAGGCCGCCATCATTGCCAGCGGCTTGTCTGGGTTGGACTTGAAGTCCCTCTCCCAGACCCTTTCGAAGTCGGGTCCCAGGGAGGCAACATCGCGATCTGAAGGTCGGATCTTGCATGTGATGTCCACGCCGTTCCATCCCAAGACCTTGCTCCCCTCAGGACTCTCAATGTCAAGGCGTCCAGTGTTGAATGCGTCCATTGTCTCCTCCACATATAAGCTCGAACGGTATGGGTATCCGACCAATTGATGGTCTTGATATCCTTGGCCAACCCCAGGTATCTCCACAAGGAGGTCGACGCCCGCCCGCTTCAGAATATCGGGATGACCAATGCCAGAGCGCTCTAGGACCAGTGGCGTCCCAAAGGTGCCACATGTTACGATGACCCCTCTCCTAGCTTTGATAATTCGATGACGGGCGTTGGCAGATGCAGCGTTTGATCTGTACACGATCCCTGTCGCGCGTTTGTTGTCGAGGACAATCCGTACCACTTCAGACTCAACGACAACATGCAAGTTGGGATGCGCACCGTCATCAAGCCTGGGATGCAGATATGCATGCGCAACATCGGATCTCTTTCCTTCGGGCGATACATAACGCATTGCACGCTGCGCGCCGTTGCAACTGTCCAGGTCGCCCAAGTCCATGATCTCATCCCAATCGCCGGCTGCCCTGAGAGCAGCGAGGAAGTCGTCCTCGACCCTGGGAACTCGATATGGCCCACTGGACACGGAAATCGGGCCATCATGCCCGTGCAGTTCCCTGTCGCCAGCACCATCGTGGTATGTTTCAAACTGGGATGTTTAGCATTGGGTTATCGTCAGGAAGGCAACGACAGTACCTTTCTCATGTAAGGCAGCAGGTCATCTGCAGACCACCCGGGCATATTCCACGAGTCGTAATCCGATCGTTGAGCTCGACTGTATATGACCATGTTCACAGAGGAGCCGCCACCGAGAATGCTGGCTGTGGGAATAGCGACCTCACGGCCTGCCAGGTTTTCAGATTTGTTGCCGACATAGTAGGTGACTGACCCTCCATCAGGAGCTAGATTGTGGAAGAAGTAGGCCGGGTGCCGGATCACGCGCTCGTTGTTGTTGTTGCGGCCTTTTTCTACTACCAGCACGCTCAGATTTGGGTCTGCGTCTGCTATTCTGGATGCAATTATACACCCGGCAGTGCCACCTGAATGTAGTAATGAGCACACATGAAGTTCCCGGTGACAGGCTCTGATGGTCGTACTTACCCCCCGCGATGATTACGTCAACCTCCTGGACATGGTCAGGAAGCTCGGTGTACAGACCCATCGTGGACAATGGGAATGAGGAATTCTTGCTCGTGGGAAGACCGAGGTGCGAGATGGCGGAAGACAGGAACTTCCCAAGCAAACGACCACACCTTGATGGCAAAACGTACGGAAGGCGCGATTGGCGAGAATCGCTTGTGTTTCGTTAAAGGGTGGGCAGAGGAAAGAACGTAAGCTGTGGCTGCAGGGTGTTGCCAGTGTTTTGACTACATGCATATCCGAAATCTCCCAGAGGCATATCACATGCTCGAGCATAGTATCGAGTTAAGCCAATTATCGTCTAATGCGAGCGTTGGGTGAACCCCATTTGCACTTCGCCGCCCCCTCAATTGTATCGCTTCCTCTGTGCTTCTTCCAACGGGAACTCGCAGAGCCTCATTATTGCGATCAGCGACGAACCAGTTTCAGAAGAGCGAACCACGAATGAGAACCAGCGAGGTCATATCATTGCTTGCTTGGGAGAGGCATTTAATTCAACCAACAGGCCGGCCCGCTCCACAAATCACCATCTATCAGTATATCTGAATGACGACGAATGTGCAGGAATAGCCCCCAAGTCACCCTCGGATTAGCCTTCGCATTCCTCTAGGTGGGTTGGGTAGTATCCAGGACTGCAGGCTGCTCGCTGCAATACCGCCGTCACACTACATTCGGTCAGCCCGCCAATGTCTTGGAACTTGTCCATATGTGGAAGTCGAAACTGACAAATGATAGACCATGATCTACAACAATTGGATCAAATCTGTCAGGAATCAGTGCGTAGTCACCAACGAGTGGTCGGACTGTTGGTTGTCGTACAAGAACTTTGCATTAGTTAGTCACCCAACATGCTGACCTGATCCAATCTTGGCACGCTGAAATTAATGCAATATCGTGTTACATCACAGTTTCACTCTTGATAAAAAAGTAAGAAAGGACATGATCTACAACGAGCGCTTGCCGCGCGTCAGTAAGAACGCATGCTACGCAAAGTTCCCGATCAGTGGTTGTCGTGCCGTTTGCTGCCTAAAGGAAGGCTATGTTGGTAGTACAGCATGTTGACCAACATTGCGGACCTCCGAATGCTCGTTTACGCCCTTGCTGTTGTGCACTCATTGCGCAGTACCAAAGGACTTCAAATAGGCAGAATCATAAGGGGAAAACCTAATTAAATTCAAGAGGCTAGATCCTGTGACTGCCGATCTGCCTCTGGCACAAGGTCCTCTCGCAGACGAAACTGTACGACGGGACCATCCTGCCAGCTCACGAAGCAGCAATAAGTCTGAAACTCATCCTTCATCCCACGACCTTCGGCAGATAGCCCGGTTCCTTCCCCAAGCGTGTCATCCGGGTCAAGCCGCAGGTCGAGCTCCCAGAGTAGACGGGCCAGTATGTACGACATTTCTTGATATGCCAATGGCTTTCCAACGCAGCTGCTCCTCCCCGCTCCAAATGGAGTGAAAGAGAATGACTGGCCAACCCCCGCTTTGAGTGGGCCATGTCCACTGTCAGTCTTCTCTCCAAGCTCAGCAGCCATCCACCGCTCTGGCTTGTATGAGAACGGCTCTGGGAATACTTCCTCGTTGCGATGTAGGCAATAGTGAGGGATGCCCAGACAAGTCCCGGCCGCGAAGTACTGGCCATCGACGGCAATGCCGCCCGGACCAACCCTGCGCGGGAGGATACTGGGCACGGGCGAGCTCAGGCGCATAGACTCATCCAGACAGGCCAAAAGGTACGTAAAGTTCTGCAACCCCGGGCATCCGAACGAAATGGGGCACGTCCTCGCCCCGTCGGAAGGAACGGGAAACCTCGCCCGCAGCTCTGTTGTCAGACGCGAAAGTGTCTGCGGGTTGTGCAGCAGGTAGAAAAGGGTGGATGTCAGGGTAGTGATCATTCCGTCCGTGCCACCCGTGATCATCAAGCTCGCCTCTGACGCGAGCTCCTCTCGCGTGAAGGTGCGACCAGTTGCGGGATCTTCAGACACCAGGAGCTTCTCCCAGATATCGTTGCCTTTGATCCCGTCCTCGTGATACTGCCTGAATCGCTCGTCCGCAAATGAGCGGCTGAGATCCATGAACTGTTTCACTCCGACTGTGAGTTCACGGAAGAGAACCTTGTGCATATTGAAGAGAAGCATGCATTGCACTGTGATATCGAGTCAGCCATCGAGATGTGCTCGAAGGAAATAGCTGGGATGAACAACTCACTGTGTCCGACCAGATGCATACCCCCGACTCCTTTGGGGATGCTGCTGACAAAGTGTCGGTTCTTTGCCTCACGCTGGACATTGAGCGTCTGAGTGAACGTCAGGTCACTCATAATGTCCATGATGCAATACGACAAGAAGTCAGTCATATTCTTGCCGGAGCTCCAGCCCTGAATTTTGCCATCAGGACTGGGCGCTGTGCCCCGCTGAAGGGTTTGAATCAGGTAGTCGACATGCGACGGCAAACGAGCCCCTAGGGATTTGATGACCGCCGGCTTCAGCGCCGCCACGTTGACCCGTCGCCTGAATGCATGGGCGGCGTGGTCGACGGTGGTGAGAGACATCTCCGCGCCGAAGAAATGCTTGAATACTCCATACACCTCTGCTTTAAAAGTATTGGAGTTTACATCGTGTAGCTCGAGAGAGGCGGATGCTGAGTTGAGTGATACGCGGTTCGGCCCATATCGAACATATTTGCCTGGTTCCTGTGTTAGAATCATGAATGAAACTTTTGTCATTATCTTGGACTGCCGCACCGTGTTTCTTGTGTTGCCGATATAGCTCGAGATGACGGTCACCTTTTGCAATCCAGAACACAGTATACCAGTCCGTGCAGGCCGCGAATAGAGGCCCGGGATATTTAGCGAGAGGATGAAACTCGAGCCTGTATACAAGACCGGCGAACACCTATTACTATTCGGTTAGCCCGATCCTACTGAACCGAACAAGGGACTTCGCTTACGTATTCCAGGCAAGATGTCACTGCCAAGGTGAGATACCATATCAAAGTGCGGGGCTGGTTGAGTTGTGTAGCAGCCAGGCATACCATTAAGACCGACAAACATCCAAAGACGACCGCTGCTAGGCGATGATGGGTCTTCATTGCAGCTCTGCTTAATTTGACCGAGTAAAAGGTGTCGGAGGTGACTTGTTCATGGAAGAAAATGATCGGGTGAGCTAGAGATCTTGGAAATCGGCTCTTATGCAAATGCCAGTAATCGCGTGGGTATCACTCGAGAAGGAGATGCGTGACTAAAGGACATTCTGTGTCACCACTATATGCATATTTACTGCTGCCGGAAAACGGTTTGAAGAACTCAACGAGGACCCTCCAGAAAGGCCTTTTCCAATCGATGATTGCGTCAGAGAGTCATAGAAATCACACTTGGTTGCCTGACAGACCTGGTCCCAAGCCTTTGGTCACTATGTTCCACCCGAAGCAGTTGGGGGCTAGTTTCCAGCTCTGCGAAGATCGTAATGCATGAATGCATGCAGCCTGGCATTCCGTGGTCCAGAGGCCTCGGCGTCCGTCTGACACCCGAAGTTGGGGGCAGTTTCTGAGCAGTGCGAGAAGGATTGGGCCGTAGCAAGGCTGAACGCGGGGTGTCATTCGTTGGTGATGAGATGTATCTGCAGTGCATCCGCCACAGGCAACCGACTTGGAAGTGTGTCTTGCCGAACAACATTGGTTGGACCACGCTGTGGTGCTCAACGTGCTGATAACCGTGTCACAGAATTTTCAAGGGACATGTCATTAGTAGAGGTCTCAGGATTATGCTGATGATTCTGTATTCCTTTGCTGACCGACTTTTACAAATCCTGGCCGATGGTTCGTTGGTTTGAGAGCATGTACAAGCGGCTTGATGAGAATCCGGTAACATTTTGCAACGGTCTGAAAGGAAGGATTGGGTGACTTGGGATTGTTGGGTATTTATATCCCATCCAACGTGGCATTGTTTGCCCTGTATCTTTTTCTGGGAAAACATGCTCTCCAGAGAAGTTAAGAAACAGTCACGTTCATCCAGGTGTTCGAACCCGCCAACCCAAGTGTCCTGATTCGCAAGAGGACATGAAATCCGCTTCGAGGCCGGTTGACTCCGCTGCCAACATGGCGGCCGGCTGTCAGAAAGCTGTGAAGGTCTGTCTGCTACCCTTCAAGGCATTGAATGCTACACGGACTGATGTAATTACTAGAGTAATCACCGAAGTATATGGTACAATCTCGGGACCCTGTACCTCTTCACTAAAGGCGACCTCAAATCCATCGTCGTGCCACAGTCCGTTTTCGCAATTTCTGTGGTTTTCTCCAGCGCAGGCCTCGTTGATACAGCATATGATTTCAACCTATGGTGCACTCTGAGTCGAATACCGTTGATGGTGTTCTGGCTGTGGATAAACCTACTTGTTGAAGATATCTCCAACCAGAGACTCCCAGATTCGATAGCCGAAGACATTGTCAACAAGCCTTGGCGGCCTATACCTTCTGGACGACTATCTGGGGAAGAAGCGCAGCAGGTCCTCAGGACTGTCATACCTGTGTCCCTTGTTATCAGCGCGCTGCTACAGAGCTTCGAGCCCAGCGTCACCTTTATGACGCTGGTCTGGCTATACAACGATCTGGATGGCGCCGGCGCAGGCCCGCTACAACGCAACATGTTGAACGCCGCTGCCCTTGCTTGCTTTGGCTGGGGGGCTCTCACGAGTTTATCAGGGTCAAGCAAGGACGTGGGATGCAATGCCGTGCTGATTTCTTGGATCGCTATAACAGCTGCGATTGTCATGACGACGATACATGCACAGGACTTTCCTGATGTGGCTGGTGACAAGGTTCGAGGACGAAAGACTATCCCACTCGTATTCAATGAGGCTTGGGCGCGAGGAACTCTTGCTGGGCTCGTTCTTTTCTGGTCGATAGTGTGTCTGCGCTTCTGGAACGTGAGCTCCACGCTGGCTTGGATGGCAGTGCTCGGGATTGGAGTGACCATGTCACTCAAGACTACGTTAAACCGGACGCAATCATCTGACAAGATTGTATGGAAGCTGTGGTGTTTCTGGATCACTTCTGTATATCTCCTGCCGCTTTTCAGCACAGGTCCTTCTTTTTAGCAGCACACCGTGCAATGAACTTGGCTAGATAGCACAATTAATGATACTACACAAATCGACGACGGTTCAATACTGTACTTCTCTCGACCCAAATCGTACTAGTAACGTATGCCGCGCAGGTGCCAGTGAGGGGTGATCAGTTGCGCGGCTTGCACTCATGGATCTACACTCTTCTTGAATCAGTGATTGGCCCGCTGCGTGTGAAATTGCTCGCTCTCCCTCGGAACCACGCAAAGTCTGTTCAGCCCTCAAAATAGTACGGAGGATGATTGCTGGTGGTTACACATGCATCGGACTTTTCATCGCATTGTCGTGATCAAACGGAACTTGCAACCTTGCGTGCAATCGTGATTGCCTATCACCTGCCGCTGTTGACTAGGGCTGGAAATGCCGCACTGATGACTGCATTTGTGTTCCCCCGATGGTTGGGGAAGGCGTTTTACTGGGCAGCCTGGCTGCTATCCTTGTGACTGGATTTAATGAGTGGGAGCCTCCAGAGTTGCTTACTGCATGCATAGGTTATGCTGTGCCACCTCGGCGTCTGGGCTTTTATGCTGGCGGATAGCATTGGCGCACACCTCCTGACCCGGGGGCCTTGGTGGTCTACGGCGGAGTGAGACAACTGCTTTGGGCCTTGGTAAATGCATATTCCTTCGCTTCGCACAGCTGCCTTGGCTGGTGGGCATCCCGTCGACGCCTCCCAGTTTGTTCGCACCCGGACTGCCAGCTGGCTGTCTCCATGCTCCAGTCTTTTCCCCTAACAAATGCGGCTTTCTTCTCTTCTATGCTAGCGTAGCCGTTTTCCTGCTTATTGGCATTTAAATTCAAGGCTGCTGAAGAGGCTTATCCGTCAACATGCCGGCCAGAGCCCCCACCGAAGAAGAGATTGCTTGGATGATGGAACACAAGGAGGACACTCTTGTTCCGAACATTCTCGCCTGCAACATCATCTGTGGTGTCGCCTCCATAATTGTCCTTGTACTGCGGTTCTGGTCTCGCAGAGTCAGCTACGGCCGTATAAGAGTCGAGACAAGTGACTTCTTATTTATAATTGCATGGGTAAACGTGTCACACCCTCGGAATGATTCAAGGGATTCAGGAAGCTGACATCATATTCTGCCGTCTAGTTCTGGTACATCGGCTACCTTGTCTGTTTCTCCGTGACCACGCGTTATGGAGAGGGGCTGCATATCATCTTTGTGACAGACGGGCGACTGCTTCAGATAGTAAGTCACTGGCGCAGAAAAGAATGACTTTGTACTTGCTAACCGCAACTAGTGGAGTATCGCCACGGAAGTATGCTACTACTTGTCTATGGGGTTCCTCAAGTTCAGTATCCTCAAATTATATGGCTCGATTTTCATCTCACGCCGCTTCCATTACTGTCTTTGGGCTGTCCATGCCTTTGTTGCCGGCTTGACGATCTCGGCTGCCGGTGTTTCTATCGGACAGTGCACGCCGATTGCATACGGGTGGGACCAGACAATTCCAGGTGGTTCATGTGTCAACTACGGACTGCTCGTACTTATTGCCGGAGTGCTGAACGTCGTGACCGATCTGGTCATCCTGATCTTGCCTATTCCCTCGGTATTGCGACTTCAGATCTCGAAGCAGAAGAAGCACCTCATCATCTTCACTTTTGCGATGGGTAGCAGTGCCTGTATCGTCAGCATTATTAGATTGGCGTTCAGTCTCATGGTAGGCTCCACGCCCGACGTCAGTTGTGAGTTCACCGCCCGCAATCGAAAGTATACATTCTCTAATTTACTTCAATCTAGGGACCAATGTGCCGTCAGCCTTTGTGACTGCTGCTGAGCTCCTAGTTGGGATTCTGGCCACTTCGATTCCGACGTACCGACCTTTGTATCGGAGGTTCATTCAACGCTTCACATCGCAGAAGTCATCAAACCAGAACTACCAGCCGGGAAGCCACGAGAATGCCGGGTCGCATTCAGTCAAGGTCTCGGCCGGGGCGACCACCCCCGTCGACAGCGACGGCATTCACTTTACCAGTCAGATCGAGCTTACCAGGCATACGCATAGGAATGGTGTCTGGGTGCGAGTAGACGACGAAGATGCCACGGGCCCACATAACGTTTCAGGAAGACCAGAGGGTGGTTAAAATTTTGGAAACGGTGAACATGGTCAAACTCGTACCCAAAATCCAGTCCGTGCACTCCAAAAGTTCATGCGTCCCAGATGACATCGACCGAGGCGATGTCCGGGATGACATCGTATTTCAAAACAGAAGGGAACCAAGAAGTCACTTGTGTGTATGACACCGACGATTCGTCTCTGCCGGAGGAGGCGGGGCACATCACGAAGTCTTCACGTGCTGCCGCCTGCAAATCGACGGTCTCTGCGTGAAGAGTGCTATCGACCACACTTTTGGTCTTGGACAGAACCTCTGATGTTCTTCTCATAGAGGTCTGGGATCACTAAGTCAGGGTAATATTGCCAGTTTACGAGGACCAAAGCGACGAGGTCACGGGCCGACACTTTTAGGTACGTTCGAGGGTCGTTTCGCTTTTACATTTTTGTCGAGAGAGCGTATCTCCGCAGGAATGGGAGGGTTGTCGCAGAGGAGGCTGTTGAAGAAGAGGTTGTCCCAGAGGATACTATCCCAGAGGAGGTTATCCCAGAGAAGGGGAGAGGTCATCACACAGGAAGCGATCCCACAGGAGGGAATCCCACCAGCACCAAACTTTGTCCTTGGGCAACTCAACCGACAACCACTAAAATGTTGACTGGACACGAAATCCTTGCCAAGATTAACGATCTGATAGGGGCAGGATGTCCTCCATGTGTCGGATGTCTCGAGCGATGGACTGGCTCCTTTTGAAACACATGCAGAAGTAGACTGAATAGTCACTGTCCAAAGCCATGCATAGCGAAATTGACTATCATTGCCTACTAAGTACACTGTCTCTTATCCCATCAGGACAATCATTGTTGTTCCAGCTTAGGGGAGGAACTCAAAGAATACAAATAGTCTCCACTCTCTATCTATATGTATACACTGAGGTATTCACAGACCTGCAGCATCTTCTGGTCCAGTTTCTAGATGTCGTTACGGCAGCTCAAAAATTCTTGGGGCCTTCCCTGGTTGTGTCACTCCTCACTTCAGTATCCGGCCATGTTTCAGAAACTTGGAGGGATCTCGGGGATGAAGACGACATCTGTCTGCGCGAGGTGACGTGTTTGATGCGACAAGCCAGGCCCTTGAGAACGGTCTCGGTTTACTTTAGTTGGGGCTTGAGTGAAGCTTTGGTTGTTTACAGAGCGCAGGGCCATTGAGCCTGGAGCACCAAGCGGAAGGTCAGGCGGCTGCTTTAGGTACGGGACAGCTGCCACTAAGTTCGACCTTGAAGATTTTAGTTCAGCTGGCCAGGGGTGATATTGGAAGGTTCCTGATAATGGCACCCTGCCTCCCAGACTTTCAAGGTTGTTCCATGTCCCGATTTTGGAGACTTTCTAGCCGACAAACGAGCTAAATGCTTGGAAGCTATCAATGCGAGGCCCGGTTCTTGCTTGCCCGAGGATGTCCATCCACATTCCGCAGTTGTACCTATGGATCTGCAACCCCAATAGCTGGTCAGGTGGGCGATACTGAATCCATACTAGGTGCGACGGTCAGTTGCAGTCTCGCCATGCTCAGAAGACCTGACCAAACCTGTTTAGCCAAGTCAGATGCCCCGCGCCCAGCAGACCCCCTGCCGTGTGAATGATGCTTTGCATCGTCAGTGAAATTACCTGTGACCCCGCAACGAGCCAAATATCCGAGAGTGTAACGTTGGAGTGCAGGATGGCTCGAAGTCACTATCTGCAGTGATTCACGCGCCCGAAATGGGATGAACCGCTGCGTGTTAAGGCTTGGCTCGGGTTCGATAAATAGGTACCTCCCTCTTTTTGTTCGACAATCTGAGGGGCATCCAAAATCCTGAAGCCAGTCCATGACAAGATGGCAGGACGTTATTCTTGGTTCCTGCTGCTCACCCAGCTCCTTGTCGACGGCACTGTTCCGGTGCTCGGCCAGAACACGAGCACAGATTTCCTTCAGTATGTCGACCCCCTCATCGGGACCACCAATGGCGGTCATGTCTTCCCGGGAGCTACCTTGCCCTTCGGCATGGCAAAGGCAGTGGCCGACGTGGGTAGTGATGAACGGCAAGGCGGCTACGCGTCTGATGATGGCGAGAGTAAGAATCCAACATGCTGTCCCGTTTTAGACACAAGGACTAACAAGCCAATTCTTACGCAGTCACTGGGTTTTCACACATGCACGACAGCGGCACAGGGGGTGTAAGCACCCCCGGCGACCCAATGAGGGTTCAGGAATTACTGATGGCCCTCGACTAATCACACCAGCTGTATCATTTAGGGACAAGGAAAAGGCAACTTCCCAATTTTCCCCCAGACGGGCTGCCCTGAGGACGATATATACCAATGCGAGTTTCCAAAGGCACTGCGAGCATCGAAACGTGTCAATGAGACGGTACAGGCCAGCCCAGGCTACTTTGCTCTGTCGCTGAACACGTCTATTCACACGGAGATGACCGTGACAAACCACACTGCCCTCTACCGCATCACTTTCCCAGGGCCATTGTCCAACACCTCAGCCGCCGCCCTACCATACAGCCCTCTGATTCTGGTCGACCTGACAGACCTGTCTAACAGCCGCAGCAACGGCAGTATAAGCGTCGATCCTGGCACGGGCCGTATAGTAGGCAACGGGACTTTCGGCCCATCCTTCGGCGACGGGAGCTACGACCTGCACTTTTGCGCCGACTTCCAGGGCGCATCGATCCGCGACACCGGCATCTTCCAAAACAACCGGCCTGGCCGCGAGCCAAAATCCCTGCGCACGTACGGCACAGGCTCCACGAGCCCGATCCCGGGCGGTGCGTGGGTGCAGTTCCATCCACCGGACGAGGCCGACCAGATCCGAGTGAGGGTCGGGCTGAGCTACCTCAGCGTGGACCGGGCGTGCCAGAACGCCGAGGCGGAGGTACCTGGGGACTTCGACTTCGATGGCACGAAAGATGCTGCGGAGGCTGCGTGGAGGACGAAGCTGGGCGTTGTTTCCGTGGACCCGACTGGTGTCAACAGTACCTTCTTGACGACGTTCTGGTCCGGCTTGTACCGGACCTTTATCTCGCCGCAGGACGTGACCGGCGAAAATCCACTATGGGAGAGTTCTGAACCATGTAAGTACCTAAACCCTTCAGTCCTTTCGAGGAAGCACGGGCTGAACGTGACACCGTAGATTACGACTCCTTTTATTGTATCTGGGACTCATACCGCAGCATTCACCCTCTTATCACCCTGCTTGATCCCCTCAGCCAGACTCTCATGATACGGAGCTTGATCGATATATACCGCTTTGAAGGATATCTGCCTGACTGCCGGATGGACTTGTGCAAGGGATTCACACAGGGCGGTTCCAATGCGGATGTTGTGCTTGCAGACACGTTTGTGAAAGGTCTCACAGAAGGGATCGACTGGGAAACAGGATACGAAGCTGTCGTAAAAGACGCCGAAGGTGAGTCTTCACTATAATAAGTCCAAGCATGTCTAACGTAAAAGTGCAGTCGAACCGCCGATATGGTCAGTTGAAGGCCGGGGAGGTCTTGCTAGCTGGAAGAGCCTGAACTATATACCCGCCGATGACTTCGACCCATATGGCATCGGGCCATTTACGAGGTCGGTTTCTCGGACAGTAGAGTACGCTTACAACGACTTTGTCATTGCTCTCATGGCCAAGAGACTCAACAAAACCGCCGATGTCGAGAAGTACATCGAAAGCTCGGGGTACTGGGCGAACCTCTACAAGGCGGACCAGACATCTTTCCTCAACATTTCACAGGATCAGAGCCCCCTCGTTGAGAGCGGATACACTGGATTTCTGATGCCCAAGTATCTGAATGGTACCTTTGGGTTCCAGGATCCGTCTCTCTGCTCTCTGTTGTACAACTTCACCTCGTGCTACCTGAAGTAAGTTCCATTCTCCGATGTGAAATCAAGCGCTGAGTGACAGCAAACTGACACTGATATCTTTTGCTAGCGCCAACGGACACGAGACATATGAGGGCAGCTCATGGCTGTACACATTTTACGTACCTCAGGACATGGCTACATTAGTTACCACCCTGGGCGGTCCCGAAACCTTCGTTTCGCGGCTGCAGTACTTCCTCGATACGCCAGGTCTGAACTACATCGGCGACGAGCAATCATTCCTGCCCACGTACCAGTTCCACTATGGAGGTCGCCCCGGGCTGTCCTCGTACTATCGGCATTTCTACATCCCCAGCCAGTTCAACGATTCGGTCAACGGCATCCCCGGAAATGACGACAGCGGTGCCATGGGAAGTTTCATCGGCCTGACCATGATGGGCTTGTGGCCCGTCAGCGGACAGGACGTGTATCTCATCACGCCGCCGTTCTTCAGGGAGGTCAACGTTACAAACCCGCTGACAGGCAACACCGCGACGATCCGAAATATCAACTTTGATGGGGACAGCTACAAGAACATCTATGTGCAGAGCGCCACATTGGATGGGCAGCCCTACACCAAGAATTGGATCACGCACTCTTTCTACAGGGATGGTGGCGTGTTGGAGCTGACACTGGGTGCGAACGAGAGTAGCTGGGGAGTACGGGATGAAGACCTGCCTCCAAGCATCTCGACCGGGTATTTCACTTGATGCAGCATCCGTTTGGATCAACGGTTGAGAATTTAAACTCTATACATGGAAGTTGTTCCCAAATAGAAGCTGTCCTCTGGCGCCACGGATATGAAACGACTCTCTAAAATTTACAGCTCATCCTTGCTGTCGGGCTTGACCGCATCCTGACCCTCTTTGTCCGGTGACACACCCGCCTTCGCGCTCAAAACTTGCGCCTTGATGGTGAATTCCATCTTCCTTTCCTTCGTGCTCCTATCAGGGGTCGTGTAGTCTGTGGGCCACGCAACAACACCGCCGTCGACCAACTTGGGGCCGTACTTGGTCAGGTCCGTCAATGTGGCTAACGAGAACAAGAGTCACTAAGTGTAGAGAGCCGTAGAAATCGAATTGTGGTCTTACCTTCACATTTGCTGCCCTCGGCAACCCACAGCGGCAAAGTCTCATAGACCGCGCCGGGGGCAAAGATGACAGTTCTCTTCTCGTCCAACGGCCTCAACTTGTCCGCCTTGTCCGCGTCTGGTAGCTTGGCCGTCTTCTTGACCGTCTCTCCCTCGGCAGGCTTCTGGTAGACCGCGAATAGGCCCTTCCCGGGGCCCTCGCTCCGCTCCTCCTCCTCGATCCACTCTCACCTTGACGGGGACATCCGCGTACTCCATCTTCAGAAGATTCCGCTCATACCGGTGTGCATCAACCCCGTCCCACCCGCCCGGGTACGGGCGCCCGCCAAAGAACGTCTTCAGCGCTTCGCCGTATGGCTGCAGGCCCTTGGGCTCGGGCAGTTGGAGGTCATGGAGCTGGTACTCGAAGGCTTTGAAGGTGCGCTGGCTCTCGCAGCTGGCGTCGAAGTTGGCGAGCTTGGGGGAGGAGAAGGGGTCTGTCCAGGTGAAGTTCTCAAGCTTGGACGGCTCGATCTTGGGCGGAACGTTCTCGTCTGGTTTTGGCATGCCCCCTCCCAAGACGGGAGACAGCAGCAGTGCGACAGAGAGGAGGGACGGAGTCTGCATTGTGAGGTTGTTTTCCTAAGACAGGGAGACGAAGGCTCCTGGATTGGACTTGTAAATGAACAACAATATACAGATCTAATGATCCACAAGTTTTTCTGTCAGGCACAGGCCGTTGTTATATGGGCTGAGGAGTGGGAAACTGGTTCGCTGTCCTCATCGGAAGCGCCTTCCGCATTACCCTTTTCGTCCGCCGAGCCTAGCAGAGCACTCGAAGTGATGCGTGACAAGAAAGCGCCACATTCGAACGAAATAATCATTTCTGTTGCATCCAACATGTGATGTCAAGCAATCATGCGGTCTTCAATCCTTCCCCTACGTATCTCGCAACCAGGAACACGTACCCACACGTGTCCAGCCAGCGTCCTCCACTCTGGCAGAGGTTCTGAGTCCAAGACAGCCCCATACCTAGGTAGTAGCTGGCACCGAACCCCACTTTGAACTACCTCCAACCTCCGTGCCTCCTACTTAAGATTATTGGAGACCGTCTTCATGCTTCCCCCAATTTACCCCAAAGCCATCGACTACCGTCTCCAAGCCTCCAATGACGCTAGTCTTGCTCGCAACTTCAGCCTGCATCAAGTAAAGCCCGGCCTTCTCGTGGCAGAATGCGTCAAATCCCTTCAATGTCAAGCCGTCTGTCAGGTGATGGGTTGGGACTGTGCCGCTCATCAGCTGGTCCATAGCCGGCTGCACTTGAGGTAACAAAAAATGTTGAGACACGGAATATTAGGAAGGGTTCGAGTAAGTTGTGTTGGGCACATTGTTATGGGCGTAGGTGAGAAAGAGGTTTGCCTGTTTCCTAGCAGAGTAATATCAGTATGCAATCCGGCGAGTCTAAAGCATTTCCATATACTAGTAAGTTCCGGGTGAAGCTATGATGAATCTCCCCACACGAATATGACTAAATGTCAAATTGCTCCGGGGCCATTGACGTTGAAATACGCCTGCCGTCTGTAATTACGGTAGAATGAACGGACTGCAGATTAGAGGTAAAAGTTTTAATACTTATGATGACAGCTAGGGACGATGTTTTCGGAAGCGGCCACCTGCTCAGTGGGCTTTTGACCTCACTGCCTTTGATCTGGCCTCTGGGACGATGGCGAGCATACCGCTCTAGGTAACTCCGTTCCCTTTGTCATACCTTTAGAAAGCTGAGTCCGTTGTCCAAGCATGCCTCGGTGTGCACTTATTGATTAATATTTACTTTCCGCTGCTTAATGGACAATCCTTGGTAGCTCATCTCAGAAGTTCCTTCTCGAAATATGACAAATGTCTTGTCTAGATGCAGTGCCTATCGTGTATTTATCTTGTCAGCGTGAGGGAATATTGGACCCCCGAAAGCAAAGTTCGAAGGTCCATTGGTGTTCGAGAAAACATAATTGTCAGAGCTATGATTACCCCAGCTTTGGATGTCTCCTGGACTCATATCAGCTCGCAGCTTAACTTTCCGAATATTTGGAGACAGTTATTCGAATGTATTTCCAGATTTGCCCAATGTAAATTTGCTTTGTGTCCAGAAAATTAAGTCTGACCCCACCTCGACCTGATTTCTGCATCAATTTCCAATTGAGACTATCTCAAACTTATGCTCCAGGTGCCGTTTTCCTGCAAAATCATCGAAGCACAGTGATCTCCACGGCCTGCCTAGCCTATGTCAACCAGCCCTCCAGGGATCAACAAAACAAGTGTTGCACCTCCAGTGATCCTTTGCCTTGATCCCAGTGACGATGTTGTCAGCGTCCTTTTCCATCAGCAGCCTAGCCCACTCGCGCATGCAGAAAGCATGCTGGTGCGGCACGTAGGCACATTCCTGGTAGCGCATGGGGCTGTGGATCATCTGGCCACGCTCCTGGTAAACACCGTAGTCGAAGACGGTAGGAGTTGGTGGCTCCTGTTCCTGCTGAGAGAACATCAGGCCACACACGGTACACGTCGCCGGGGGGTCGCGCTCGAGCTCCTCGATCGGGACGTGTTTGGTGACTGGGAGCAGGTCCCTCGCGATGACGTGGAAGGCCACGCGCTCCCCGGCGAGGAGGTCGTAGAACGTGTTGCGGACGTCCTCCATCCGACTGTCGAGTGCGACCGCTATCGCGTTCAGGTCTCTTTTGTGCTCGTCATTACGGCGGACCAGCGCTTCGAAATTTTCGATCATGTTATGGTAGGAGTCCCAGAATTCCTCGTCAGTGAACTTCGGCTTGATGTGTGCTCTTGGCGACCCGTCAGCCGAATCAATGCCGACGCGAAATCTATACTGTAAGTCATAACGTGCATCTGATGGGTAAAGCATGGGCACAAGGGCTTGTCCAATAAAATCAGCAAGCTCCACCGGGACTCCCTGAATTGCCCATGTTAGTCTATGCCGCCATGTGGAAAAGGATGACATTGTCGAGGCCCAAAACACCACCAGAACCAAGCATCCTCGAAGTAAGGCTCTGATCTTGCAGTTCCAGTAGCTTTTGAATCCTTAGGTGCATGGGTCTACCTACATTATCAAACGTCAAAAATGAGCCAATAATTTGCAGTGCACTCCACTGTACGCGTCCGAGCGCATCTGGATGGTTGTTAAAAAGCGTCTTTCGACGTCTCATAGTTTCCATAATCGCCTCGCATTGCGTCCTCGACTTTACGACGGCCGACTCGTGTGTGGGCGGGTCAACATCATAAAGCAAGCTCGGCTGTGCCTCTTGCCAGTTCTGGGCGGCTGCGTAGCTGGCACAGTTCTGAGCAGCTTGCCGCACTGTCGATTCGCCGAACCGGTGCCTCAGAAGCGTAAGCACCCTTTGGGCCTCGGCAGTCCGGAATGCGCGTGATATGTTGTACATCGCTCGGTTCTGCCCTGGTTGACAGGGGCAGGTCGTAATATCGTCGGTGCATCTTGGGCATCTCAGTTCTCCTATTGCCCCGTGTGTCAGATTCTCGGATCACGGTCGTAGAGTACAAGCCGACTTTGGTCATTTATTCCTATGCCAATTTTCTTCCTCCGAGAATACTCGTGGGCGGAGCGCAGAGGAGGGTAGGGTGCTTACTAGCGATTGTCTCAACAGCACTCTGAAGACTGACATATTCGGTCGCATGCAATGTTTTGGGGAGTGCCTCATTCATGAGGACGGCCAGAAGATCCAGAAGATTATTTATGTAACGAGTGATATTGGTAGCGAGATCTTGCGCATTGGTCAAATCAAACGTGGATTGTCCATGGACGACGGAATGATTGAATGTCGCCCAGGCATTTGTTGATGTGTGTTGCTCGCAAGGGCCTGAGAACCTGACATCCCGGATCCCAAATCCATCACCGACGCAGGGAATCGGGTTGGAGCATGGCACTGTGGACTCTAGTACGTGTTCCGTATTTGGCCGTCCGTTGCCCTGGGGGCACTGTTTTCTCAAGATTTAGTCACATGTTCTCAGGTTGTTTGCGCATCCAGTGCTATAGCAAGCCAGTATTTTCTTAAGATTTAAGTTCTTGGGTTTGCATTGAGCATACTCACATTGTAACGCCTAATGTATGTTATACACATTTTGCAGTCCGGCTCGTCTCTCGTGTCTGTGTGGCAGCACGGCAGGCCTAGGTGAGACACGACTCAAATTAGCCATTGACGGTCAGAGCTGGGACTTATACCTATCCCTGAAAGGACTTTAGCACCCAATGAATGATTGCGCAGCTGGCGACAATGCCAAAGGTCCACCCCCGATCGCAATAAATGTCCGGAAGCATCGAAGGTCGATGAGGACAACAAAGACCGCCTACGTTGCTTTCAGCATACTTATCAACAATTGCCAGAGCAAATGGACAGTCCTCACACAAAAGTTGGGCTTTATGATAAAGACAAAGATGCGTTTTGCAGCTGACCATTACGGGATCGTGTGTTGATAAATACAGTATTAGAAAAGCTGTGTATGACTTTAATTGAACGGGCGAAGCAGGTGTGACAGGCACGGGCTACTAATGCCACCGTTGAAATTGTGTCAACCCAAAGATCAGCAGAAAATAAGGCAAGAGCATTTTCCAATCTCGTCCCATTACAATTGCTCTTCGGTCGGAAGCCTTTCTTGATGTGCACTAGTGATGCCTCCGATACTGGAGAGGCGGGAACACCTCCCGTGATGGAAGTGAGACTGGGAAACGCGCTCGTCAAGTCTTGATTTCACTATAGTACGCTTATTATTGTGGTGTGCTTCCAGAGTATGAACTGCCAACCTTCCGCTCCATCCTCATAACTCCTCGCGTCGCCTTCGTGTCGTTTGGTCTTGTAGTTGTGTCTTCGCTGTTTCCTGTACACAGGGATTGTCGTGTCGAGCGCAATCCCGATGCTCCTGGTAGCACCACATTCCTTAAAGTTGCTTCTAACACCTCGTGCGCGAAGCTCGTCGGCCAGTCTGCCGGCCACATTCTTCACGCGGCAGTCCTGGTCCTGGTCGTGGATCGCTCGGAGGCTCTGAAAGCGACTCTCCACTTCCAATAAGACGACGAAAAAGATCATTCGGTGTCATTGCCCGGAAGAGGTTGACATCAAATGCACTTTTAGCCTCGCTGTCAGGCGGCTTGGCCTCGGTAGAAGTGGTTGACACCATCGGAGGCTGAAGCAACTGAAATGTACTTGTGGCCAGCAATGGGGGAGACTTTGATGACTTCCTCCTCGGTACCCAGACCAAGGACACCCGGCCGCTGATTTCGTTCGCTTCCGAGATCCAGTACGCCCCATCTCAGCCTTCCGATGTCCCTGCGCGACCTCATGAGATTATCAAGTTGGATGCCTGGATTCTGTCGACACTCAAAGTCTTCGTCCTGCCTGTCCGATGGTGTGTTAGACGGAGAGTAACTCGCAATGACCGCCGAGTCGGTGCCAACGATGACGGACTTCAAAGGCAGGGGGCGAAAGCTGAGGATGACCGGAATCCCAGCAGCGACTGCGGCAATAACAAGACCGGGGATCATGGCTTGAACGGAAGACCCCATATACACGTCAACGTCATTGAATTCGAACTCGGAATGCCAAAAAGAGACGCCTAAATCAAGCCAAGGTTAATCCTTCCAAGCCACACAAGGGTGTCTTAGGCGGATACGGACAACGACTAGTACCGCTTACACTCTGTAGAAACACACTTACTTGCAATGGCATTACGTATATCGTCTGACTGAGGATCCAACCCAGTAAGGCTTGGAGGTAGATGAAGCTGGTTCCCCACAGAAGAGGAAACTGGAAGGCATGGGTGGTCACTTGGTGCGCGCCATGCTTGGAGCTTACCCGGAGCTGCTGAGCTTTCACAGCGAAGTCCGCCCAGTATTTGCCTTGGAAAATAGTCGAATATAGAGAACTGAAGGTGAAGCAAGAGGTCGAAATAGCGAGTTGAGGCAAGTTCGTCGTGAGACAATAAGCGAGCAATGTCGCCGTACTTGTGTTGAAGCAATCGAATCCATAGTCGGAGTTAGACATTTGGATGATTCGGTTGCCTATGCTGTCCCCAAAGTCGTGATCAAATCTTCAAAGCCGTCAGTGTCACCCCTGCGAATGAATTTGACAGACATAGGTACCTACTGTAGAGATGAGGAGCCAAACACGGAAAAGAAAACGGGCCCACCCACGAGAAATAGCCCAATGGGTGTGTACGTCCAGAGCCACATGCGCCTGCTGACGACCTGTCCACACCGCTTCTTGGCATCTTTCCACACAATGGGATCTGTATCAGACATTCTGGTGATGTCCAGGCCATGTACCATGAAGACTGTCAAAGCATCTCCGAGACATTGGCATGACTCCTTCCGCCAGTGGAACGAAGACACCAGAACACTCAGGATGGATCCCAAGAGAACACAGACCAGGCTAATGAGTAGAAAAGGGCCCGACACGAAAATTTTACAGGGTGCTGAATAGGGCTCCGGCAGGCAGTACTTGACGGCCAGGGCCCGGTATTCGGAGGAAATATTACCACTCCCAAATCTCCCATCTGATGGAGGGTAAAATTCATCATACGCAAACCATGATACATGCCACGCCTTAAGATCCTCTAAACCAGTGCTGGATTTAGGGAGATCGAATCCAGCACTAACGAAATCGCCTTTGCAGTAGGTCCGAATGGCGTTCTCGCTTGAGCCAGATCGTGTAGTAGTGCATATGGGGGAGAATGATCACAATGCATTGACAGCCTCGGGTTGGTATTCATGGATAGTGTCGTTGGTATAGGCGTGCGGGGTGCTGTTCCAGACTTGAGTCCCCTTCCAGCCTTTCGCATCGGCATCGGGCCCGGTCTGAAAGATAAGCAAAAGGTTGCGATGACTTTGCAGGCCCATCGGGTCTAGGAAACATGTGTGCAGGCAGTTTGGGATGTCCAGCCTGGCTGGCCCAATTCATCGATGCGGATCGAAACCCCGGCAGAATGTCGTAGAAGTGGGATTGAACTTCGGTTGTTGAATTATATGCAGTCGGATCCAGGAAGGCCACACCCGGATACACAAAGTCTGTGCCTGTAGTGAAAGCCTCACTGGCAATGAGTACAGAATATGTAGTTGATGTGTATACAATGAATGAGACGAATGGAAGAATAATTGGAGAGGGATGCTAATGGCGACAAGTGAAACCCACCAGAGCTTCCGCCAATGTGAAAGCTGCCGTAGGTTGCGGAAGGAGTGGACCCTAATGTCCAGGGAACGGCTGTGTGAATGAGCCTCGCGGAGATCATCAACCGTGGGCGAGGACACCAGCCGTATAAAGAAGTCGAATGATACACTCATTCCAATTGCTGTAATGGCACAAATAAGCTGCATGCACTGGTTCACGACCTTGGCCCGGCTGCACTGTCCGGCGTAGAGCTGGGCGATCTGAAACACACCTCCGTTGGCAGAGGAGAGACTGACACAGATGATTAAAGCTACCAGGATGCATGCTGACAATGCGTGGAATTTTAAAGCATCCCTATGCCAGCTAACGGAGTGATTGGAGTTTTGGACGTATTTTACTGCCAATGGTGCATATTTTGGGTTGATTCCTAGCATTGTTGCTTGTTGGTTGGGTACCGACTTGTTGGAATCGTTGCAAAGGCGCCTTAAGACTCCTAGATATCTCTCCTATGTCAGATCCCAAGGTTCTGTGCGAAGAAATTCTTATCTATTAGTAGCGCTTACCTTAGATCTGTTGAATTCACTTCACTAGAACAATGGAATGCGGCGCTGTTCCATGAAATGGAGGAAGATATGACAGAGGTATAGGGCGAGATGAGATTGTAAATAATTCTTGAGACTATGAGATACAACAGCCCAGCTAAGGTATATTTTAGGTTCAGCGGGTACTAGTAGGTGCTGGTAAATACAAAAATCTATTTGGGTAAGGCCCATCACGAGATAACTAGCCACAGCCACTGCTAGCCTGATGCAGGAGGTTTCTGTGTAACAATACACAATTCGGTTGGGCGCAGCGCTCAACCAGCTGTAGCAGTGTCGCTGTGATGGTAGTTCATTTGTCAAACCGAAACATCAGCCAGCCATCTTATGTCATTTGATATCCCTTGTCTCATAATCTGGAGGGCTTGGTGGGTTCATTTTACTCACTGTTACACTGCATGAGTCTGGGCAAGGGTTTGCAAGAAGGACAACATAATTCTGGAGGTGGCTGATGTTCGGAATGCTGGTGTGCCTTGTTCTGTTCCGGGTGCCAGACGGTGTGCCCAAAATAGGACCATGCCGAATGATTGGTGCACACCTACCCAGGTGCCTACTACCAAGTGTGTACTTCTGCCAGTGCCTCTCGATCAAGTATATTAACTAACATTTCTTGCAGTAAGGTATTCGAGGAAAAGGCTGGCAATGATCCCAATGCTCAGTTCAGCATTCATTATGCCACCTCCAACCATAATGGACCGACCTACCCCACTCGTGGTGAGCTCTACCAGCCACCCGCCGGGCGAGGTGCTGCGTTCCCTCAGATCGCCAATGTCGGCGGCATTCTTGTGAGTCTCCCGAGCGTGCAACTTGATACATTGTAAGGCAAAGGATCGCTGACTGAGTCTTGGAAGGTTGCCTCCTACATGTCTGATGTAAATGGGCCTAATCTGAATTTAGAGGACGGCGCAGACTTCTTGGTAGGGACCAGTACCGACGATAGCTTCACCTGGAGTGACCCAACTTTGATAGGTAGTGGTACCCACCGGCCAGGTCTTCTCGCCCTTGACAGCACGACCTTCTTGGCTCTGTGGACATCAGATGACCTTGCGGGATTGCTGGTAACTCAGCGGTGGAAGATAACCTAGTTTGATAGCTATGCATGGAATTAATAACATGCGGCTTTGTTTCTGTGTAATTAGTTCAGGTCTTTGCAAGGAGTGGCTACAGTCACCTTGAGTTTTGACGTGTAATCAAGTGTCCCTTGAGGGCACCACCCACGCGAGGCCAGGTTAATAACTAAGAGAAGGCCGCTAGAACAGAGCGTGATCCCAGGTCAGAGGAAAAGTACACAAAATGTGGATTAATCTGTGAGCATGGCAAATTTGGCCTTGCGCAGCAGTCCCTAATGATGGACTGTAGGGAATCCCCCTACTCGAGCACACCGTCCAGATAACGAATACGAAATATGGCGAGATCATCGAATTGTTGTTCCCTCTCGATTCCACATCATCGAGGTAATCGGTAGCCCACTTGGAAAATTATCCTCATGATTTTTCTAGGTCACCAGGATCCTGGGCATTGTCGTGGGTATTGCAACTTGTATCCGCCCCAAGGAGTTAGTACATCTGTAGGTCGGTAATCGACAACATGAGATCGACTAATTGTGATACCAAGAACGCAGGAATTCGCAGCCGATATGGATCACAGCAGTGAGTGGCTTGCATCCCCGAAGGCTACTCAGTGGCAAGCCCCATGGGTTTTATATTGAAGTTTTCTATTGCCTAGAAATGCCGTGTCCGCGAACGATATAAGAAGGGAACTATAGAGAAATGTGCCGTTCGCATGCCAAGCTCTTAGACTCTGCTGCACACACCTAGTCACGTGCTAGTCTCTAGTCTGTACTGGAACGTGCTGACAGGCCGACAAGGTAGCACTGCGTGGTCGATCTGCTCCACAGGCATTATCAACGACAGGGTCTCGATTCGCTGTTAAAAAGAAGCCTAGCCTTGGGCCGATGGGGCACACTCGAGGTTACTGCAACAATATGGGTACCGTAAGAGTTTAGCCTCCGGAGTGGAGCATTCTCCCACATGTATACCATTGGACCTTCTCCGTGGAGGGGTTGCTTCCTCGTTCCGACCGGGCGAGATCTGAACGTCAGAAATTTGAACCCTACATTATCGTCAATTGCCTTTTGCTTGCCTGGCCTGTACCCGCGATGGATGCGACATCCTCTTCTTTCGGGTGGCACAACGCCACGCCCCTGGCAACTAATCCAGCCGTATTAGTCGTGCTTGTACCATTTCTGACCCTAGTCCTCTCCTACCTGGTGTCATGGATCACATCGCCACTGCGCGGATTCCCAGGACCAGCTCTAGCATGTCAGTACAAACCTCCCGCCCCCGACCGAGCCAGGCCTAAGCTAAAGGCATGCAACAGCTTGGACAAACCTGTGGCGTATGCGGTACGCTTACGATGGATCCATCCATACCACTACTCACAGGATGCACCAGAAGTATGGGCCGGTCGTCCGCATGGCCCCAAACTATCTTGACCTCGATTACGACACGTGTGCTTCTCTGATCAGGACCTGTTTTGATACCAAAGGGGTCTGGAGGAAGACCGAATGGCACGCCGTCAGCGGCTTCAAGGTCGGGAAGGAGACCAGATACAATATCTTCAGCGAAGTCCGCCCCGTAGAGCACAGCCTCATGAAGAAGCCGGTGGCCAAATACTGGACTACCAGCGCGGTCTCGCGGATGGAACCACATATCGACAACGTCGTCGCATTCTTCGCGAAGCAGCTCCAGGACCGTTTTGCAGACGGGGGCGATGGGGCAATGGGGAAAGCGTTCGACTTTGGAAATTGGGCCATGTTTTGTGAGCAATAATACCACTTCGATATCTTTGTACGGTGATATTCTGACTGGCCTCTGTAAACAGTTGCCTGGGACGCGGTAGCCAAGACAACGATGAACAAGCGCATCGGTTTCCTGGATCACGGATCTGACTTTGACGGGACGCTTGCCACGGCTGTAAAAGCCTCGAAGTACTTAGTCACGATTGGCATGTATCCTGTGCTTGACAAATTCCTCGATAAAAACCCGGTGTATCGCATTGGACCACCGACCTACTCGAACATCGCCGCGCTGGCAGTCAAGCTATTGACCGATAGGCTGACCGGCCAAGATGGACATGATGTGGAGCAAGATCTTGATTTCATGGATCATTACATCGAAGCTAAGAAGCAGTACCCTGATATTGTGGATGACACTATGCTCATATCATGCAAGTCCAATCTCCCAACCCTCACAGTCACGGTCATCCCACGAATCACAGGCTAATGAATCTCACTATCTACAATAGATGTCCTCGTCAATCTAGCCGCCGGAGCCGACACCAGCGCCGCAGCTCTTCGGACGATCTTCTACCTCAGCCTCAAGAACCCTGGTGTGTGGGAAAAGCTATCAGAAGCAATTCTTGCAGCCCCGTTCGCTCAGCCCGGAAGCGTCCAGTTACCAGCACCCTACTCCCAAACCCGGGCAATCCCCTACCTCGAGGCCGTCATCCGCGAGGCCCTCCGTCTGTACCCGGGCAACCTGTTTCCCCAGGAGCGCGTCGTGCCGGCCGGGGGCCTCAAGCTCCCGGACGGGCGCTTCGTCCCCGAGGGCACGGCCCTTGGGTTCAACGCCTACGTGATGCACCGGAACGAGGCGATCTGGGGCCCCGATGCCGAAGAGTTCCGCCCGGGGCGGTTTTTCCGGTCCGAGGACGAGCCCGAGGCCGCGTTCAACGACAGGATGAGGCTGTACAACGACAGCGACCTGTCCTTTGGCGCGGGCAGTAGGAAATGCATCGGGATGAATCTCGCCATGATGGAGGTGTACAAGGCTGTGGCGACTCTGGTCGCTCTGTTCGACTTCGAACTCGCCACCCAGGACGAGTGGACCGTCAAGGCCGAGCTCTTTCCCAGGGCGAGGGGGATTGTGTGTAGGATTCGTCAAAGGGAAGGGATGTTTTTGAGGTCAGATATCGATTACAGCAATTAGTGCTCGTCTTGATCAGAGCGATGTGATCGGAAGCCACCAGGCTTGGTCTTGGTGCTTTATCAACATTCATAGCTTAGGATGACTAAGAGCAAGTTGGGCCTTGAACGACACTTCGAGATAAACATGGGTCAACGAAGAATATATAAAGGCATCCAGTTACACGCTTATTTACTTAGGATAAAGCCACACTCGCCACGCTGGGTGATGCTATTAAGCAACAGGCCCCTCGGAATGCTCCAAGTTGGCCTCCTTCTCGCCCCCAAGAACGCCACCTTGGTGAGCGACGGAGCCCCGCTGCTGGAAGGTGGTAGTGGGCACCCAGTTCTTGCTCTTCCTCGCAGCACTCAACCCCTTCATCTCCGAGTACAGCTCGTCGACTTCCTCCAAGGACAGACCCTTGGTCTCGTAGATGAAGAAGTAGACGAAAGAGATGCAGATGAAGCAGCAGCCAAACCAGATGAAGAACACCTTCGACTGCAGGTTGGCATAGCCTTCGCCGTAGTTGACAAGGTAGGGCGTCATGAATGCGATCGCCCAGTTAAGGAGCCACTGTGGATAAGTGTCAGCGGTTGAAGCTGAGTAATGGGATGTCTCAAATATTTGGCAACTTACGTTGGTAGCAGTGGTGATGGACAGAGACCTAGCTCGGTGCTTCAGGGGGAAGATCTCGCCCGTAACGACCCATGCAAGAGGACCCCACGTCGAGGCGAAGAAGAAGATGTAGATGCAGACAAAGGCGATGCCCGCCTTCTGCGCAGCGACGTTGTGCACGATGATAGCACCGGCAGAGTCCTGGCTCGTTGTCAAGGTTCCAAGCATGGCGACGAGGAACTGAGAGGTGGCCATGCCGACCGCACCCCAGAACAGCAGGGGTCGACGGCCGAATTTATCGACAGCGTACAGGCCGGGGAGTGTCGAGAAGACGTTGATCACAGAAGTAATGATCTGGATAACGAAGGCGTCTTTCAACCCGGAGTTCTTGAAGTATTGCGTTCCTGGGATTGGACGTTAGTTAATCATTCTTGTTGATGACAGTGGCTGCCAAAGGCAGAGAGAATGGGCTCACCGTAGTAGAAGATAAAGTTGATGCCAGTCAGCTGCTGAAGTCCCTGGAGGGCCATGCCGGTAAACTGGCGCTTGATCATGTCTCCACGGAAGCAGTCGATGTAGCTCGCCTTTCCGAGGCTCATCTCGTAATCGTGGTTTGCCCGGACCTCAGCCAACTCGGCGGCGATAGATGGGTGGTCCGCAGGGAGACGTCGAAGGTACCCCAGAGCTTGGGCGGCCTTCTCCCCCTTGCCCTTCTTGATCAAATAACGCGGAGACTCGGGCAGGATGAGCATGCCACCGATCAGGATGATCGCCCAGGCGAATTGCACAGCGACCGGGATACGATACGATCCGGTATCGTTGCGGTTGGCCGTAGCATTATCCACGACAGCTGCCAGGAGAAGACCGATGGTGATTGCCCACTGATATGCGCCTACTATAGCTCCTCTGATCCACTTTGGAGCCGTCTCTGATTGGTATAGAGGGATGAGAGCCGAGATGAGGCCTACACCGAATCCAGCAAAGAATCGGCCGGCGAGGAAGAGGGGTAAAGCCATGGCGGCAGTCTGGAAGATGACACCCAGGACAAAAACAAGAGTGGAGGCAATGAGGGCCAGTCGACGCCCAATGTTGTCAGCCAGGAAAGGCGACGTTAGGGCACCGAAGAAGGTGCCTGCTGACAGGATACTGACGATGGCGGACTGTTGGGAGGGGGAGATGTCGAGCTCGTTGGTGGTCGGGTTGCGGTAGCCGGTAGAGAAGAGGTGTTGGAAGTACGGCATGGCGAGGATGCCAGAGATTGTGCCTGTGTCATATCCGAACAGAACACCGCCAAACGCAACAAAGGCGCCGACGCAGATGGCGGGCCATGCCTTGCCGGCCTCATCCCTGGGCTTGGCGATAGATAGTTTCGCCATGGTGGGTGTTGGTATATCGAGAGCGAGGCAGATATACAATGGCGACTGGAAGATGAGAAGGAATACCAGTCGTGGTGTTTGAAGTCAAAAAACCAGTGATGCTGCAGCATGGAGAAGCGAAAGTCGGACTTGAACGGGAGGTGGGAGAGACCCCGGGCTTATTATAAGCAGAGGGGGTAGATCGACGATGGTTAACTAGTGACTGTCCCGTCAAGGTGAGTTGGAGTAGAGTACCATTCACCCCGTTCAACCAATCTGATGGGTTCCCACTCTGGGGGAACCCCAAGCAAAGCCGGGGTCGCCAATGGGTAGGGCCGAAAGGCTTATGGCACTTCCCTGGCACATGGGCACTCTGATGGGGCTCCACGTTTCGAACCTGGGGATGCTTGGCCCTCGTTGGAGGAGGTACCCAGTCACGAGCCCGGGACAAAACTTGCCACCGCCCAGTGGTACGGGTCCTATGCTGTCGATGGTCCCCCACGGGGACGGGGCACCCGAGTCAAGGCTAGTAGTAGCAAATGCAACTTGGCCTGGGCCCGTCCCTGGATCGCCCACGGCCGGTCCGACTGCGCCCAGCCCCAGCTCGACACAATGTGATTGACTGCGTAGTCTGATGCTTTTTGCGACAGTCAAGCCCGGCTTCACTTGTCCAACGTTCTGGACCAGCTACTCTACGCACCAACCAAGGAGGTCTAAATTGGTCGTGGTGTGGCGTCTGAGGCTCGTCGGGACGTGGGACACTACTGTCAAAGGTCTCCGCACGTCGATGACGGAGTGGCGTCGGGGCAGTCATTTGCAAGGTGAAGATCTGCCGGTATTTCAGTGACAGGCCTTGCCTGCCAGGTGGAGCGTAGCAATGCGCAGGGTCCTGTGGGCTTCACAATTTCACAGTCTGGCTGTGCCTGTGTCTCGAAAAAGCCTCGAGTGAACCGCTCTTCACAGGGTCTCATGGTAAGCATCCATCTTTTCAGCTCTGTGACAGTAGCGTGGTTGAAGGTCGAAGTGAATGCTGAAGCACCCCATGAGCTTCCCCAATTTCCCCGGACTTTTCTCCTCATGGTTGCAGAGCTTGTGGGAGGTTGCAGCCACAGCCGGACTGGCCTGGCCTTGGCTCCATCTTGCCGGGGCCGTTAAGCTCTGCCGAGACGCTCCTACCGATAGCTTGTTTCGACGCGCCAATACTTTCGCAACAAATCTCGGCCGCTCGCCGGGCCACACTCACGGGGTCTGGCCCTGGGTTGTCCTGGGGTCGCGAAGAGGATCTGACAACGCTGAGGTTATGTGGATGTTCGTCTAGGGTCGTGGATATATTACGACGGATGCTTTGCCGTAGGAATGAGCTGCTAGGTACACGACCTGACAGCGGCAGAGAGTTCAACCAGAACCAGGAATGACGTATGAACTTCCCCACTCGAGCTGCCAAGTTGCTTCAACACAGACCGTTACCATGCATCTACCTGACAGGTGCTCCTGGCTGCCTGGAAGGAGCGATGGGCATCCAACATCTTTGACCGGAACAGATCCGAACTCATACGAATCACATGGAAATCAGCAGGCTGGATGGGATGGTCATCCAGCTGCTGGAATCCCATACGAGAGGTCATGAAGACTGGTGGCCAACTCTTATAATCCCACTAGTGTTCGTCTGCCCAGGGATCCTGCCACGCGGGACTTCCCTGGGGCAATCTCGGCGTAAATGCTTAGCATACGAAAGATCAGCTCACATTGGTGTTATCCACCTGCATTGCCCCCCCCCCTGGCCCCCCAAAGCAGACGGCCAATACGCGGCGAGTCGAACAGCGCTCGCAATCGGTCCGTTCGACAAGCTCCAAGTTTCGAGTCCCCGCTTAAGGCCCGATCAGAAAGGTTGGGCCCACACGTATCCCCATCCCCATGAGAGCTTAAAATCTGGATTCGGGGCCTAGGCCCAGATTCTTGTTGAGGCTCAGCTCGAAAACGTTCCAGATCTGTTCACCTCATTCCCCGTGTATATCGCGGGGTGTCTTGAACAGCACCGCATCATCTAGTCTTTAAGCTGAGTCATCCTGACGACCGACCATACGACACATGCACAGACTGGTCTTGGAACTCTGGACATCATGCTTCTTCATCTGGTCTCGCACGGGATCGTATCTAGGTAGTGTGCATGTGAGCTGACCTGGTCGTAAGCCACCAAGTGGGATATAATGTTTCGAGTTAGAAATGGGAATCTGCGCGCTAGACTCGGCACCCTACTATCGAGTTCGTTCATCCACATGGCAGACTGGCTCTCCGTCACGGAAGGAAAATCCCGCAGATAGAGGTCATCATGGACTGACGGCATGTGCAAGGTGTGCCCCAGTAGTACAGCCTAATACTCACACAAACAGCGAATGACGACAAAGATGCAATTGCTTTAGAATCAAAAAAAAGATTCAGGAGGTGTCGGCCCTGTCAGGTCTTTTCGGTCAGGGGCACTCATCAGCGCGAGCCCGAGATCATGCGTGGTTGCTATCGGGTGCGGCCTTAATACCTACTGTGGCTCTCATGTCCCTTGTGCGAAGAACAGTGCAGACCGAAGGGTTAAGAGCAGTTTTGGCTACTATTACATTGCATCATGGTGAGTAAGAATGCGCACAAAGACGAGACTCGGCCAGAGATTCAGGGATGAGCAGGTGTTTTTGGGAATGTGCTGGGAGCCTTCAACACCGGACACCATCCGCCAGTAACGTTCTGTGAGTCGCAGAGCAAGGTAGGCGGACTGAGGGAGCTGGGCAGGCGGATTATGGCTGGCCAATATGCCTATCAATCACCTCGAGCTGTGACCTGGCCCCGAGAATCATGTGTTGCGCTTCAGTAACGCCATCTTAAGTTGCAACACCATGAAACTTCGGCGTCTTCTCGCTCAATCTGACGGCACAAAAGATTGTTGCGAAGCTAAACATGGATACTGAAACAGTTCCAAATCTGCTGCTGAGTACCAAGCACCTGCCACTGGATCATGGTCATTGGACACTATCCCAGCATCTCGGCCCTGTCGCTGCCACTAACTAGCAAGACTGGAGTAGATACAAAGGCAATGTCTGCCGTCCTTTGCAGTGACATGCTGCCCAGCTCAAGCCTTTGCCACCACCGCCATGGCGTGATGCATTCGACGACGTATGCTATGCGGATTGGACGTTCGGCTTGCCGGCGATGAAATCTCACTGGGAGCATTTATACCCCTCTGACGTCCATGTAACCTCCTTCGCGCGGCCCCCGTGCAGCTTTGGGAACGGTACAGACTGGCTTGCCGCTGCGTTGCAGCGGGCTGGTGGTGCATGAACTGACCATCTTACATCTTGGCTGGTGTCGGACTCTGATAATGGCGAAATTTTACGCTTAAAATGATGGCCGCATTGCAGCCGGCTCTAGGGCTGGCTTGAAACAAGAGTGTGGACAACATGCATGGTAAGAAAATGCTTCGTTTGCATGGCATCCTGCTCGCATCGAAATGGTCTCGATATATTATGTGGCAGCATTTTATATTGATAATGAGGCTAAGCTTCTATGTGCAGAGGTAGAGTGCGACGAATGCTCTATAGTTGGACTTTCATACTGAAGTTTCGCCAGATAATTAGGCACTTAAGAACTTAGCGACTTCTGGGGCTAAGATTTCATGTACACGACTTGTCCTATGACGATCTGTCAGCCTCACTATGCCCCCATAGCCTCGTTCGCAGAGAGACTTGTTTAAACTTACATGTGTCCGCTGTTGAACCAAAAGTAGGTATCTAACGGGCCAGAGCAGCCATATTTCTCCCAATTTGTCAAGACGTCTGCGTACAGATACCCGGCACAGTAGTCGGTTGTGTTCGTGATCCCGTAGTCGCTCGCATTATCTAGAACATCGTTCAAGAAGGTGTTCGCGTCAAATACCAAGGTCGTGACCCCATCGTTCTGGCTGGAAAAGTCATCGCTGTACTGTTGAAGGGTCTCGCCCCACCACCCTATCATCGTGCTGTTAGGTGATGGATTGGGCTTCTTTACGTTTCCGGGCGTTCGATCCAGCGGAGGCAGGTTGACAAAGAAGAAGTTGTGATAGCCCGCCTCAACCAGAGGCGTCACGGACAGGGAAAAGATGCTGGAGATAATGGAGTCAAAGACACTGGGGAAGTCGTAGGGCCCGGTGGCCTTTGCCAGGTCATTAATATCGTTGATTCCGATCCAGATTGCGACGAGAGTTTCAGAAGGCGAGACTTCTAGCTCATCTTCAAACACTGGCTGCCCGTAAGTCAGGAATTGCTGAGTCTGATTGACCAGCGGGATGGTGAAGTTATGATGAAGCGGCGTGCTGCGTTTGTCAGTTGCTTGATGTGATACGAAAGACAGTCGGTTTCAATCTCACAATTCTGTCGAGACATCTGCGCCCGCGAACGCAAAATCCCACAATTGCAGGTCACAAGACAGTGGTGATGTCAGTCCAGGCTCCAAGCCGCAACCCGTCAGGTACTGGACCCAGTTCGGTCCACCTTCCGCCGTTCCAGTGAAGTTTTGCACGATCTGGTTCGCCAAAAGAGTTTCTGAATCGTAAGCAAAATTTCCTGGCAGGTAATCACCAATGAAGCTATAGTTCTGACGCCCGTAGACTCCTTGGACGTAAGTATATGAGTCGCCGAAGGCAATCCTAAGATCCCAGGTCAGCTTCCGGATACATTGCCTTGACAATTTCTTTTTGGAGAGACGACAGCCAAACGACTCACAGATGATTTATGTTTTGCCATTCGAATGGGGCAGCAGGCGGAATCACCGAGGCCGTGGTCATAGACGCGACGGACATCAAGCCGATAGAACCAAGGTGGAGCGGTGAATGGTATTGTGACGGGAGCATCTCGGATCTGAGCCCAAAGCTATGCTTGGTAGGGAGTATCAATGCATAGAATGAGACGCAAGTCCTTGCGTTCGCCTTTTCCAGTAAGCAGTATACACTTATACCCACGTGTTTCCACTGCGCCGAATTTAAGCATCGTATTTAAGGGGCAAACATGCGGAGCCAAGTGTTGCAATTGGTGGAATTTATTCGCGAATTTGGAGTCGTGACTGGACCTAGTCAAGCTGGGCATCAAAAATCCCCACCGCGCGCCAGGCGAGAATGCACGAAGACTCTTAACATCGTGGCAATTCTTGCCGACCAGGCCCAAGTGACTGGCCACAAAACGTGTTGCACGCGCGTTGCGAGGTTTTAATGGCTTGGTCGGTAGTGATGTCCACTGTCTATAATCAACACTTCGAATCTCTTGATTAAAAATGACTTCACTTTTCAGGTGTGACTGTATTTAACCGGAGTCACCGGACTAGTCAAATTGTTAGAGAGATAATCGCAACTTAACACTCGTACTCTTCTAACCCGGTCGCGAAGCTGCAATCTCCTATCCCAATTTTACTCCATAATCTTCTTGCTCGGCCAGCCCTGGCTCTACCAAACGCAGTGGTTGACATATTTCATGTGTGAAGTAAACATACTGAGGTTAGTGCAACTTAAACGGATGACAACGAGCTCCCATGAGAGGAGCTCATAACCTCCCACAGCACAACCTCTAACCTCTTGCGGGATGGCCTCGTGAAGTCCCACGGGATAGCCTCCCATGGAATAATCTCTTGTAGGATAATCTCATATAGAATAACCTTGTATAGATAACTTCCTATGGTATATGCTAACCAGGCTGTATTCGAAGTCTTGCATTATTGAGCTCAGGACCCCGTCTCCTTCCTGCGGTTCACAGAAAACCTTGAGTGGCCTTGCTGACATAGAACTACTGCCTCGGACTACTGTCTCGCATTAACTCTGTTTAGGTACGGTCAGAAAAGCTATAAACTCAGGGGTGGCCTGCGCTCACGAGGCAAATGAAAGCTGACCTTAGCCGCTGACATGCAGCAGCATTCCTTGGCACAGCCAGGCTGTCTGGGATCCATTGGGCTGTGGGAAGGGCTCGCAATATCAGGCCTCCTTCGTTATTTGAGGCCGCACGGGATCGAAATCCCTGCTCAGCCTCAGACAGCTGAAAACTAAGGACGGCCAATTCGGAATTTCATCTTTGGTCTCCAATTTCTCTTCGTCTTACACCGTACCGTCATCCTGTTCGGCTCATCATCGCCAAAAGCTAACCTACGCCATGTCTCTCAATCTTGACGAAAACGCGTGGTACCAAGTCAACGTGACAAAATTCACAGGTTTATCTCTCCTGGGCACCTCATTATTCAAGGACGGCAATACCGGCGCAGTTTTCTATCAAAACACCAACGCGAGTTCTAGAGGGCAGAGCTGGCAGTTCTACCCCTATAACTCTTCCGTGTACTTGCTACGATGCAAAGACGGAGGACCGAATGCCTACCTGGCCGCTGCTGCAGGGAAGGCGAACGCTGATTCATCGGCTGTAAGCGGAAATACGGTTCCCATAATGGCAAACTACAACGTGACAGATGATTCTATGTTCTGGCAGGTGGAACCGTGGGGGGATGGGACATATTACTTTCACAATCTGGCCAACGGGTCGGATTGGCGGCTGAACGTGCGGGACAACGCCTTGATGGCCATGGACTCAAACATTACTTCGGCGCAGTCGGGCGAGCATTTCACATTCACCAGCTTGAGCACCATAGGAGACAGCCGATACTCGACAGTGAATGTGAGATTATTTCAGGATATCAGATCATAGCAGATTTTTTTGACTGACCCGTCACACAGACATACCCGACTACAAGTCGAACAGCAAATGCAGTCGCACCGACAACTACTACCACCGGCACGGCCACCGCGACAGGAGATCCTGCCCCATCCTCGACAGGGACATCCCCTTCAGAACCGTCAGGCGGGCTGTCGACGGGTGCAGCCGCAGGGATAGGGGTCGGGGTGGGGCTCGCTGTTGTCATTCTAGTGGCCCTGTCTGCGATATTCTTCATCCGCAGGAGGAAAAACACGACAGCAGCGTCCCGGCCGGCGCAGATGAATCCCACGGAAGAGGTGAAGTACCAACCCGCCGACAGCGGGCGTTTTCACGAGATGGGCACACCACACACGTACGCGGAAATGCCGACCTCGGCGACGTCGCGGCCGCATGAGTTATGGGCGCAACCTATGGAGCTTCAAGGAGACAGCAGACGATAGCATCGGATGCTGGGCTCTCGGGTTGCTATGAAGAAACGTTTTGATATATTGATGTTTCACTGCTGATGTTTATATGCAACCACTCGAGCTCCATGGTTGGACGGGGTTCGATAAAAGAGAACAAAATCTGGTTATTACAAGAGTATAATAATTAATTACCACCGTCACCGGACCGTCCAAGCACTTCACATGTTCGCCAGAACAGCCACCCCTCCGAACAAGGCCCCCATGGCCACACCCGCCGTCTGCAGCGGAGCAGCGGCCCCCGTCCGGAAGATCGAGGTGCGCGCCTCACTGCTGATAGAGCTAGCCCTCGATGCGGCCGAGCTGGTCAGCCGCCCGATCTCTGACGTGATGCCCGAGCGGTCGGCGCCCGTCGCCGTCACGAGCTCCGAAGTGAGTCTGCTGAGCTCTGAGCTGGCCTGCGAATATACAGATGAGATCTGTGAGCTGGCCTGGGACTCGATGGAGGAGAAGCTCGAGGACGCGGAGGACACCACGGACGATAGCAGGCTGCTAGTCTGGGTCGGGAGCCCGGGCTGTCCGAATGGTGTTGTTGTTGTCGGGTTGCCAAACGTCTGTGTCGGGTTGCTGAAGGTCTGTGTCGGCTGCGTAAACCCGGGTTGTGTCTGGGTGGGAAAGGGTTGGCTTGGCTGCTCTGTCGTTGTGGAAGGGATGCCTGGAGTGCCTCCGTTGCCCACTGTCTGCGTGACGGTCACGGTGCAGTGGCCATTCTGGTCGCATCCGGGGGTGGTGGGCTGCGGGATCCCGGGAGTGGTCTCGCCGCCGCCTACCGGTACGGTCTGCGTGACAACCACGGTGCAGGTTTTCTTCCCGAACCAGTCCCACCATGGCTTGCCATCACGGGTGCAATCGCAGTCATCGCCTAAGTTGAGATTGTCTTTGTCTGGACAACGATGCCAAAAAGTAGCCTCCTGAAATGAGGCAGCGGCATTCACGTCATCTTGCGCGCGGGTAGACACCTATGAGATTGACAGCGGTTAGTTGTGATGCAGTACGATGGCGCATCTCACAAGAATTAGAACGTACTGAGAGCAGGAGAGTCGATAATGAGGCAATCGCCGTGAACCTCATCCTCGCGTCAGATTTGCCGAAGAGTCACGCTCAGAGTAGCGCCTCACGCGGGTGTCAGCGTAGCAATGCCGAATGCGTTTCAGTCCACTCTTGGTACAGTTGCAGGTCTCTGGTTGTCGTACCCAGGCATTCGTATATATAGGTTGAAAGGAGTATCGTGACTGATTTATAGCTGAGCTTGATATGACTTCACTTGTCGGGAACAACGTAGGTCGTCAAAAATCCGATTCTAAGTTGATCGCCATGATATGCTGTCAAGGACCCCACGTGAGGGCTAAAAGGAAGACGGCTAGTCCCGGTAGTGGCCCAGCCGAGATCGAATTCCTTGGGAGCATTGTGGCTAATAGGGCGCATTGTGTGTTGGCGACCCTAGTCTGAGAGGGGGGCACCTTGCAGGACTCGTCAAGAATTATGCTGGTAACGAGGAAGGTTTTGCGAGACTGGCTAACCATTGGCCTTCGGCTGCCGTAATAAGACAACCACGTAATGACAGCGGGCGAGCGGCAAAAACGTTTAAAAGGGAATAGAGAAGAGCGATGTCGCCTTGGCATGTCATAACACGCCAGACCGTTGGCGGGAATGACGACAAGCTTGACTGCCAGCAGGTCGGTATGCTGCCTTTTCATCCCACGATGAGGCTACGAAGCTACCTCGATTGGCGCGTCTTGGCATCTGAAGTCTCAATAGGGGCGCCTTAGTTCCCGGCCAATCCTCCGGTGTGAACGAAGCCCTCAAAATATGCTGCGGGTGGTCCGAAACAGCACTTGAGAGGCCTTTCCCGTCTTGAGGGCTCATACATTGCGGTCTGATACTTGAACTGGAAGCTTGAGACTTGGCTGCTCTGTCTTGGGTTAATGTTGTCTGCCCCTCGGGGGCTGCCGCGGGATTTCGAAACCCTCACTTGGTTCGATCTTCTTTCGTCCCATGGCAGCTTTTTATGCGTCCCAACAAGGCTAACCTTGGCATCCGGCATAATTTGAGGCCTGGATGCCGCCTCGTCGTAGCAGTGATCAAGAATTAGCTGAGTGGCATCCTTTATAGTCCGCTTGTTGATGTGGCTGGAAAAGGCTTCATCGTTGCTTCTTGTAAGCTTAATTTCGGTTTTGGCCGAGTCGAAGGCTACTCGGTGGCCAACCAAGTGCTATCAGTTGTTGGTCGTCTTGCGTGAGGCACATGCAGCAGTCGCCAACGAGAACTGTGATTAAGGGCGCGATGTGACTGTGATCATGTGCCCTTCTCTTTTCTGTCCTGTCTGGAAAATTAGTGACTGGTGGAATCATCCCAACTGTTCCCTCGGTTCTGTTGCACTGCTTCTGGTCGAATGCTATTCAGAGGTCGGCAAATGTCTACTGCACGATGACCATGTTGCCAAAAGAGGCTCACCGAATAACTCAGGGCAGCACTAGCAGGGACAACAGTCGCTGTGTGATCGGGGGATGACACTCGCTCTGTGTGCTGCTTCGTCTCCTGACAGCTCGGTCCGAATACCGTCCCAACAGTGCCTCCAGTACCAGGCCTAGGCCGTCGGGAGGGTTAGGGTCTGGCATACGACGTGCCTCCTGCTCATGCGCCACACTTGCGCTCCTATCCCAATCTGTCCTCTCGTTGGCTGACAGACGACCGCGAGAGATCGCTGCACTTCCACTGCTACTTCCTTGCAGCAACGGTGAAGCAGTAAGGCAAGGATCAACCTTTCAGTATTCAAAGAAAGGTTGACCATCATGGCAGGGGATGACGGCGAGGCAAAGGTGGTACGGGGCGCCTCGCTTCTGATCCTGCTGCAGGTCTTCTCGCGCGCCGTCACCTTCATCGCCAACCAGCTCCTCCTGCGCTTCATGACGGCGTCCCTCCTCGGCGTCTCCACCCAGCTCGAGGTGTACTACCTGTCCGTCCTCTTCTTCGCGCGCGAGAGCCTGCGTGTGGCCATCCAGCGCCAGGGACCCTTGACATCTGATTCGGCACCGGTCACCAAGGACGCAAAGCCCAAGCAAGGCGATGGCAAGCAGGACGCTCGGGCTCAGGAGACCCAGGCCGTGGTGAACCTGGGCTACGTCGCCATCATACTGGGCCTCGCCGTCGCGGCGCTGCTGGGGTGGATGTACCTCGGATCCATCCCCGCCGCCACTCTCCTCAGCACCCCCTACCTGGTCCCCTCGGTCTACATCTACGCGCTCGCCTCGGTCCTGGAGCTGCTGTCCGAGCCGGCCTTTGTGGTGATGCAGGTTCGTCTGCAGTTCGGGGCGCGTGCCTCAGCCGAGGGCGTCGCCACCTTTGGGAAGTGCGCGGTCACCCTCGCCGCGGCGGTCTGGGCATCCCGGAACGGCGTCGAGCTGGGCGTGCTGCCCTTTGCGCTGGGCCAGGTCGCCTACGGATCCGGCTTGCTCGTGACATACACCTGGTACGGCACAGGGCTTGCACACAGGGAGGGCTTCTCTCTTCTCCCGAAGCAGTTGGGCCAGGGGAGGGAATACATACTGTCCTACTTCTATCAGCCGACTGTCAAGCTCGCGTCGTCCATGATGGTGCAGAGCTTTGTCAAGCACATCCTGACACAGGGCGACACATTCCTCGTCAGCGCCCTGTCCACTCCCACCGCACAGGGAGTCTACGCGCTGGCGAACAACTACGGCGGCCTCGCGGCGCGGTTGGTCTTCCAGCCCGTAGAGGAGAGCAGCCGGAACTACTACAGCCGCCTGCTGTCCAGCGACGGCGAGCCCTCGCCATCGGCACCAACCGCGGAGAAGCAAACAGCAGAAAAGGATGATGTCACCAGCGGGCCGCGCCCATCCAAGACAGCACTGGCCCAGGCCTCCGAGAACCTCACCAGCCTGCTGCGGTTCTACACCTTCGCCTCGGTGCCCTTGCTGGCCCTCGGCCCCACGGCGGCGCCCCTCGTCCTGTCGCTGATAGCCGGCCCCCGGTGGACGGCCTCGGGCGCGGGGGAGGCCCTCGCCGCGTACGTCTACTACATCCCTCTGCTGGCCATCAACGGGCTCGCCGAGGGCTTTGTGGCGTCCGTCGCCACCGAGGCCCAGGTGCACCTGCAGTCGGCGTGGATGACGGCATTCTCGGTCCTGTTCGGGGTTAGCGGTTACGTGTTCCTCAGCGTGCTCGACTGGGGCGCCGTGGGGCTCGTCTGGGCCAACGGGATCAACATGGCCGGGCGCATCGTCTGGGCCCTGTGGTTCATCAAGCGCTACTTCGCGCAGAGGGGCGCGCGGTGGGAGGTCACGGCCCTCTTGCCCAATCCGCTGGCGGTGCTGGCGGCTGCGGTTGCGAGCCAGGTCGTGAGGAGGGTTGTGAAGTCAGAAATCGCTGGTACGGGTGTGAAGGCTGTTCTAGGGGAGCTGGTCAAGGTCGCGGGCACCGCGGTGCCTTTCATTGGTGTCTTGTGAGTTTTGCCTCTGATTCGTCTTGTCTTGATTACCTGCTGTCTAAATCACTTGTTTCTTCTACGTTGCTGACATTCGTTATGCAGGGCATTCGCCGAGCGCCGGTTCCTCATCCAGTGTTACCAAGCTGTCCGGGGCAGCAGACCCCAAGCTTCAAAATAGAGCAATACAGGATATCCGTCCGTCTTGTTTTATAGCTTGCAATGTCCACGCAAGCATGACCTTCTCTAAAGTCTAGGGGCCGGCATCTAAAACCACCTGGCTCTCGCTGCTCTAGTCGAAAGTGATCTTGGTCGCCTTCTTGCTCATGTCAACGTTCTTGAAGAAGGCGCCGTATGCGTCGTGCTGCTTCTTCTTGACGGTCGTGCCAAACTTCATAAGCTCCTCGGGAACAGGCTGGCCGGCGGCCTTTAGCACATTGATCAAGGAACCAGAGTGTGACTTGTCGTGCTCTGTGAAAAGCGTAATGGCCTTGCCCTCCTTACCGGCACGTCCAGTTCGGCCGATACGGTGCACGTAGTCTTCAATGGTCAAAGGGAACTGTGAAAAGACATTAGCCACTCGCAGTTTCATGTCGGATGCGACATGGGACTTACCGTTAGGTTTACCACGAGTTTCACCTCGGGGATATCAAGACCTCTTGCAGCAACATCAGTAGCCAACATGATCGTCGTTGTTCCCGCCTTGAACGCCTCAAGACTCCTCGTGCGCTGCTCCTGCCTCAGGTCGCCGTGGATAGCGCAGACGTTGAGGCCGCGACTCGTTAGAAACTGCTCCACGCGGGTTGTTTCCTTCTTGTAGAGGCAGAACACCAGGATGCGATCGTTGTGCGCCTTGCCCCTCTGGGCGTCCTTGAGGATCTCCAGCAACCGCCTCTCCTTGCCCCTTGGGTCCACGACTTCTACTGTCTGGGCAATCCGACTGTTCGCTTGCAGCTCAATGGTCCCGTTGCCGTTGCCGTCGCCTGTCTCGCCGCCGGGCTTGTTCTTGTTGATGATCACCTTGACGGGATCGACCATGAAAGTCTCGGCCAGTCCTCTGACTTCAGAAGGCCACGTCGCGGTGAACATGAGTGTTTGCCTCTTTTCCTTTCGCCGGACACGACCCAATAATGAGCTTGATGTCATCCTCGAAACCCTTGTCCAGCATACGATCCGCCTCGTCAAGAACCACGAACGCCGCCTCGGAAAGTGATATGGTGCCATCAGACAGGAAATCCTTCAACCGGCCCGGCGTGGCAACGATGATGTCTGCGCCCTTGCGGAGGAGATTGCGCTGGTCGTCTTTACTTGCGCCACCATAGATGCACACTGCCTTCAGACCCACAAGCGAGGCCAGCGTGCTGGTAGACTCGTGCGTCTGCATCGCCAGTTCGCGTGTCGGGGATACTATCACGGCACGAGTAGGGGCAACCCTGCCGTTGGCGGGCTTGGGCAGGGACAAGAGGGCTTCCACACAGGAGCGAGAAGGCGTACGTCTTGCCTGAGCCGGTCTCGGCAATGCCGACCACATCGCGGCCCGAGAGGGAGAAGGGCCAGGAAGCGGCTTGGATGGGCGTCGGAGTGGTGAAGGTTCCGAAGGGGTTCTTTGACAGGAGGCGCGAGGTGGGGAGATGGGAGAATTTGAGGACTGGGCGGAGGGTGGTGGATGGATTCGTTTGGTCGTGGATGGTAATGTGGTTGTCCTCGAGGAAGGTCTTGACCTCGGATTCGGGGACAGCCGTGAGGGCGGCGGTTTGTTGGTACTTCGAGGATGCGCCATTGGTGACAGGCGATTCTGCGGTGGTCTCATCGTCTGGTTTCCTGTCCTTTTTCTTATCCTTCTTGTCCTTGGACTTCTTGTCCTTCTTCTCCTTCTTAGCAGCGGGCTGGTCGTCGACGGGGGCATCTGCCGGGACATCGACGTCCATGGCATCGGCTGCCGCAGTCTCGTCACCATTCTGCTCCTCTGACTGCTCCTTGTCCTTGTGTTTCTTGTCCTTCTTCTCTTTCTTATCCTTCTTTTCCCTTTTGTCCTTCTTATCCTTCTTCTTCTCAGACTTGTCCTTCTTCTCTTTTTTCTCCTTCTTTTCCTTCTTCTCTTTCACAGGCGCATCCTCGGCGGCAGTGGGATCGTCGGTCTTGACCTTCTTGACCTTTTGGATAGCATCGACCTCGCCTTCGAGGCGATGCTTCTTGCCGCTTGACATGGTCGGGATGTATCGCGTGTAATAGTATTACACGTGTAGAGGGCGGGGGTGTTGTCGAATGTTTGGGTTGCCTCCTCGCGGTCGCAAGTATACTGTCAGGGATGTTCAAGGGATCTCGAAATTTTCCTGGTCCCTCAACTTTTCTGCCGGGTGCTGCTATCGCTCCGTTCCGGCTAGCATCTGCGAATAGAGAAGGCGGTGAGGAACAACGCCCCAGCGCCCTGCATGCTGGAGACCCTTGATTTTCGCTGTGGGGTCATGGAGCAGACACCTTCCCTTGTACGCCATAGCGAGCAGCTACCATTGCGAATCCTGGATTCCAACTCTGTTTCTACGCTGTAACGTTTTCCTTCGATTCCTTAGTTCCTATGGAACATTCTGCAGGATAGCTGCGGCTTAATGCAGTAGCCGGATCGCAACTCGTAGGGCATTTGGTGTGATCTGATGACGTGCACATGGTTGCTCACGGCAAGTCGCAACGAGACCAGTTTCACGGTTCCAGACCACCTAAACGTACGAGGCATTGTCTGCAGTCATCTCCACGATGCAAGTGTGTAATCCAGATGACCATGCTATTGAATCATTGACGCCACATGCACCAGTACGTCGTTCGCCTCAGCCAGATGGGAGTCTCTCACCTGTCAAGGTTGACTGACGAACAATGTTCTCATAGCAGGCTCGTCGGCGGGACGGGGGGGTCTATGGATGTTGCGTGCTTATTGGGATGCATCACTCAACACCATTAGCACACCATGAACGGACTAATTCATTTCTTAGGGCTGACGACAATTGAAGCAACCAATCGCGAGACAATTCAACTGTTTTTCAAAAGAGCCTCAGAAGAAGCTTTGCCATGGGGACGGCGAGAGGCTTAACTGGATGTACCGGCACTGACTCGGGAGCCTTGGCCTTATGTGGAAAGGCGAATATGGCGTCAGTCAGAGTTTGCGGTCCATTACGAAATCCTCAGCGCACCCCTGAGTCTGGATCGCAGGTTTTGCAGCAAATCCCCCGGGACCATCGCAATGGTGAAAGGCATTCGGCCTGGGGTGGCGGGGAATGGGCCCTCATGTCCATATAAATGATATACTGCCGTAGTGTTGGCTCATGCGAAATCGGGGGTACTCAGCCTGTCTTTAACGGGCCAATGCGCAGCAGCACCTTGCACTGACCAAACCCATCGACACTCTTTTGCAGCCGCTTCATATTAGGCACAAATGGCTATCAACTCCACAGTCGTGTCAAGCTCCTCCGGGAATGACATCGAGAAAGATGCCGTCCACACGGATCCCGGCTTCATGTCCGACACGAAACCTGAAATAACCGAGCCCCAGCTCAACGTCGGTGGCCATGCGAACGTCCAGAGACAGCTCAAGAGCGTCCACATCACCATGATTGGTTTCTGCTCAGGGATCGGAACGGGGCTCTTCGTCGGCACGGGCGCCGCCTACGCTAAAGCCGGACCCGCTGGGCTCCTCATCGCCTACTGCATCGTTGGACTTGTTCTCTACTGCGTGATGCAGAGCATCGCCGAGCTCGCGACCTTGATACCCACAGCCGGCAGCTTCCCGCACTGGGCCACCCGCTTTGTGGACCCGAGTGTTGGCTTCAGCCTGGCAATCAGTTACGGATATTGTTATACAATCGCCATCGCGAGTGAGGTCTCTGCTGCGGCGGTCATCGTGAGCTATTGGACAGACATTACTCCGGCAGTGGTTATCACGGTCGGTCTAGTGTTGATTCTAGTCATCAACCTGCTCAGTGTGAAGTTCTATGGCCATTCCGAAATCTTCAGTGGCATTATCAAGGTAACCTCAGTGACTTGGAGAGAAATATATGCAGAAAGACTGAAATCCTCACAGGTGTCCTGTTTTCTTGGGTTGGTACTTGTCGGCATTGTCATCACTGCAGGAGGCGGTCCCGACGGTAAGCCCATTGGGTTCAAATATTGGCATGACCCAGGTGCTTTCACAGAGTACAATGGCATCGCTGGGTCGACAGGAAACTTCCTCGGCGTGCTGTCCGCACTCGTCAACGCCTCGTTTAGTTTCATCGGTGTAGAGACCGTCGTCATTGCCGCAGCCGAGTCCCAGCACCCTCACAGGGACATTCCCAAGGCAGCCAAAAGAGTCACTTTCCGTATCGGGCTGTTCTACATTTTGGGCGCGCTGCTGATCGGAATCATCGTCGACCCGCGAAACCCAGGCTTGACCAGCGGTGAGGGCAACGCCAAGTCGAGCCCATGGGTGATCGCAATCGAGCAGGCAGGCATCAAGGCCTTGCCGAGCATCGTCAACGCGTGCATCTTAGTGTCAGCCTGGTCGGCTGGAAACTCTTATTGCTGGGTCGGCAGCCGCATTGTTCTGGCCATGACGACGGACTACCAGCTCCCACAGGTGTTCGGCAAGACGTGGAAGAATGGAGTCCCTTGGCTTGCGGTCATAACAGCTTGGCTCTTTGGGCCTCTGGCATACCTTAGTCTGGGCAGCGGCGGCCCAGCCCAGGCGTTCACCTGGCTGCTTAACCTTTCAACTGTTGCTGGACTTATTGCATGGTCCACACTTTCTTTCTGCTACATTCGCTTCCATGCTGCCATGAAAGCTCAGGGCGTCTCAAGAGATTCACTGCCATGGGCCGCCCCGTTCCAACCCTATGCGGCTTGGGTTGGTTTCCTGGGGTCTGCAATCATCACACTTATTTCTGGGTTCCCGGTCTTTCTGAAGGGGAATTGGTCAACATCTGATTTTATAGCGAGTTATGTTGGGATTCCGATTTTCATTTTGCCAATTATCGGTTGGAAGTTGTGGCACAAGACAAAGGTATGTGGTTCTTGGCTGAGGATATCCGCGCTTCTTGTTTCTAACTATGATTCCCACAGTTTGTCCGTGCTAGCGAGATTGATCTCTGGTCTGGTCGGCTTTACGATGAGAAGCACGCCGGAGTTGAGCAGGAGAAGCCACGGAACATTGGGAGGCGTTTCTGGAACTGGCTCGTGTGATCATGCCGCACTGCTGACGACTTCGCGTTGGCTTTTGAGATTCAACATCTATGATACCCACCAAATCGAATACAAGGTTTTCAAAAGCGTAATGATTCAAGACCAGACCACCACACTTACCCTTTTCCTTGCTCAATCATTGATTTCGATATACCATGCCGATGATCCCTAATCACTAAATGGCGTCTAATATTTGGCCGAATGGCTTGTACTGTACACAATGGTCAGTCCGTGTTCTGTGAGTCTTGAAGGAAGCTCTACAACATTCAAAGATCTTAGCGTAACTTGCATTGATTGTCTGCATGGGGACAGATACTGTAGCAGAACCGAATGGCGCTTAACTCAGGTGGGCCTACATCCTGTGCTGACTACCACGTGTATGCATCGACTTCTAGATCAAAGACTGTAGTGGCCTGCTTCCTCCCAGCAGCAACGACAGCCGCTCTGACATCGTCGCAAATACCGCCGGGTCCAGAGACGACAACGCCAACCTTCCGCCACCCGCACTGGATCTCGTGTGCCAACAAGCTGGTAACATCCAGTCTGCCGCCGATTACTTGTCACTTGCTTATCGGCAACCGCGTCGAGAACCCCATCCAATTCGTCGACTAAGCACCTAGCCGAATCTTTCACACTCCAGCCAAGTTTGACGTTGGTATGACTGGCTGTCCACGGGATGAGGCTAGTGATGCCGATGCCTCCCCCCCATCAGCAGGCGATCACATTTTAGTACGCTCGAGGCTGCTTTGATGGAATAGGGCCCGTCGAAGAGCGTGAGCAAGCCATCACATGCCCGCAGGTACTTGGTCATGCCGGTAGACTTCTTGATGTATAGCGTGGCCCCCGTCGTCAGACCATCTGCTACTCGAGCTTCAGGAAGCACCCGCGCCGCGGCTCCCTGTCCCTTCTCCGCGTCACCGTGCTCTAGCTCCGAGCCCATCTTCGAGCCATCCCCCGACCCGGGGCTGCGCGCGGGCGACGACTGCTGCAGTAGCGCAGCGGGCACCACCGAGAACGGGTGGTTCTCCCAGGGGCGCAGCGGCTGAAGCGTCGGGAAGAACGTGTAGGCGTGCATGCCCGGGTGCGCGCCCCAGCGGATGCCAGCCACGTCCACGCGGACGTAGCCGCCGCCCAGCTCGGTCACCCTGGCGCGGCGCATTCCGTTCTTGAGGACGCGCGCGACGCGGGCCAGCCGGTCGAACGCCAAGATCGCGAATGCGCCGTACAGCCATGTCTCGTACCCCCAGGCGAGATCGGGCGTCCAGAGTTTGATGTGGTACCAGCAGCCCGCAAGCACGGATACGGACAAGATGATGTGCCAAATGAGGAAGAACTCGTCTGCTCGGTGTTCAGAATTAGTGACTGACAGATCGGCCATGGAGCAAAGGGAACATCTCGTTCTTGTAAGACAGCAAACAAATATGAACAAAAGCATCACCTACAGTAGGACCGGCGTACGTACAAGCCACTACCAACCGCCAAAGTCATGAGCACCATAGTCGCGACCGCGCCCCAGATCCAGTACTCTTGCGTCGCCTCCGCAGGGTAATAAAGCGGCAGGGCCATGAGGCTGTGTAGCAGCGCAAGCAGTGCAAACAGGCGGGCGACCCAGCGGTGGAGCAGCAGGAAGGTCGAGTGCGACCAGCTGGTGGCCCAGAGCAGGACGTTGTTCCGCGACGAGAAGAGGAACGTCAGCGGGGCCATGACGAAGGCGAAGACGCCGGTGCGGTAGAAGACGTAGGCGAGGATCTCATCGTGCGGGTCGGAGTACCAGGCGTGCGGCTGCATGGATTTGTAGTTGACTGCGCTCAGCATGAGCACGAGGAGGGTGAACATGGCGATGTACAGGCTCTGCCCTACCGTCGGGGCGTTGCCGAGCAGATATGGGAGCGGGCGGGCCTGGTAGGTGCCTATCAGGCTTGGGTAGACTAGACGTGGCCGGACCTTGTCCAGGAGACGGGAGATGTAGGGCACATAGCCTAGCCAGGTGAGTATCAATGGTGTCCCAAACCCAGTTACAAGGATAGCGATGCTGTGGGACTTGTGTGTTAGTAGTTCCCAGGTTAACCTGAAGATACAGCAGCAGTTATAAGTATCTTACCCATAGCTATTTTCCAGCACAGTCTCACGCTGGACCGCAAACATAGCATTATACTGCGACGTATACGCCTCCACGTTCACCAGCGCGGTGAAGTTAAGCGTCTCAGACTCCGTATCCGCACCAAGCTCCCGCCCCGGAGGCCCAGTGACATTAGCCACCGCCTGCGAGAAGTTCCACCTCGGCGGCACGGCCGGGTCCTCGGTGCTCCGCGCCTCCCAGAAGCCCTGCAGCTGCGAGACGGGCACGCCGAACACGGCGCACTTGGTCTGCGCGCAGTAGGCGAGCGTGGTCAGCCAGGGGGTGTCGCCGGCGCAGCACTGGGGGCTCGTCATGCCGTTGCCGTGCATGTGCATGCCGCCGTGCGTGTCCGTCTCGGAGGAGCACGACAGCATGTAGCTGGAGAGGGCGCGCAGGCAGGCGAAGGCGCAGACGGGCTTGTAGGGCCAGATCCCGTGGCCGACGAATTTTCCGAGGGCACTGCCCATCAGGATGGTTGACAACAAGACATGGTATAGAATCTTCATGTTGGACGTTAGGGGTCAAGGCAGCAGTGTCGATATCACGGTCTGCAATTCGTAACAATTGCTGGAAGTCACATCATATGTGGGTTCATTTTCGAATTATGCGAACGAGGAGTCTGCAGTCATATTATGTTGCAGCCCAGAATTTGCCTTCAGCCGCGATGCAGTTCACATGTGCACCTGTAGAAACGAGCCCACCGGTCCACAGCACTGGCTGATTCAAAGCTATGTGAGCAAATTTACGGTGATGTGAGCAAGTTTCTACCGGTGTAGTGGTATAACCTGCAGGCACATCTGCGTCTGGACCAATCGCCTTACACTAGACTACATGCAAGCGCTGTTCGGGGAAAGTCTGGGCAGGAATTGCTTCAATAGGCTCATGAGCAGATAAAGAGCCCGAGCGACTTGGTGTTCTTGGCGGAGGTGTCTCTAAGATTGTGTCTCCCGCATAGCTTCTAGGCCGGTAGGCGATGTGATACACCAAGCTCCTCAACACCTCGCTAGCCGTCAGCCACATCGAGGACCACATTGCTCCCGTGCCGCTTCCAAAAAGGTGGGATGTTCATATCGGCGGGTTTAGTTACCAGCTCAAGGGGTTGTATCTCGCCTCAGACCGTGTATGTTCCCATTCTCGTCAACCTTGAGCTCTGGGTAGTCTGGTTTTTGCATGCAGCCGCTCATTCGCCTGGGCCAATCAACCTCGCCATCAAAACCCCATCTGGACTCCTTCCGCTCGGGACCTGTCCATCCTACCCTGGCAGCCTGTATACGCCGCAGTAGATCCTTCGTGCGGGACTGGCTAACGTTGTTGAAGATGGACATTTTCACACCGGCGCCTTCAGCCATGGACGTCAGTTGCATCATGACTTCCTTGTTAAAGCGTGACTGGTCCGCGTGTGGTGGGTTGCCATGCCGAATAAGCCACGGCACAGACACGTCAACACTGAGTTCCTTCAGGTCCGGGAACCTTCCCTTCTGTTTAGCCTCGACTAACTTGCGCAGACCGACTGTCAGCTCTTCGTCCTCGTCTCCGTGTGTGAGGTGCAGCATCTCGAGTTGCTCAGGCAGCGAGTCCCTCAGCCGATCAGGGTCTGTGTCGGCAACGAATCCGAACAGGTATGTGCTGGCAATGCGGAACCGTCGTAGCTTAGTGAATGCTGAGAAGCTGCCCATCGGCCGTGTGTAGTTGCCGGCACCCCACTCGTCAAATTCGTAGTCGTGGGGATAGTCGATCCAAATCTGCTCCAAGCTGTCCTTTTGCTGTTCCAAGGCTTCCCGCACGGAATGATAGCTAATAAGGAAGATAGGCTCCGATTCGGAGATGATTTCGCCGATGTCGTATATGAAAGTTTTCAGTGCCTTGGGAGCTGCCAGAATGCGCCGCAGCTCAAAGGGCGAAATCCTGCATTGGCGCAGTTCAAGATGTGTGATGTTTAAGCTGTGAGCTTGTAACTCGGTAGCTGGCTTCAGCGTCTCTCTGTTTCGCATCGCAAGTACGCGGTGCAGGTAGACTGATTCCAGTCCAGGCAGCGCGAAGAGGTCACGCCAAAGCTCGAGGTGCCTTTCTGGCCTCGAGGAGCCAAAGCATGCTGTAGTTACATTGCTCAAAATGCTCGAACCAACCGAAGATCGGATGAAGTAGTGCACGAATCGCAAGCATAACGGCTCCAGTAGCTCAAGGTCGATACTCGCCAGCCTGGGGAGGCTGCGGATAAGTATGGCCAAAGTCAGCGCCTCGCGGAACGACCTCGATGAGCGAGCGAGCTTCAGAGCGCCGTCGACATTTGTCGGCATGTCGGCCTCGGAGTTGTCGTCCTCGTCCTCGCTCCCCTCAGTGGTGCTCCAGTCGCTGTAGTCGGCGTCCGACCCAACCTCGAGAAACTCATCCTCGAACTCCGACTCGATCTCAAAAACCTGCTCATCCGCCTCGGCGGGGCTACCTTCGCCATCGCGGACCACAGCGTCGGGAGGGTCGACCGAAATGAGGCCAACTTGCTGAGAGAGAAGCCTGGCGACATTTTCAATCTCGGGGGATAACTGCGCTCCCGGGGCATGAAGTGAGCTCCTGCTGTTCTCGTGGACTCCCAAGTGCCGCACGCTCCGGCCCAGCTCGGGCTGCCGCACGAGAAGTGACGTGATGATTTCGAGGTAGCACAGCTCGTCCTTCCAGGGGGTGCGCGAGAGCTCTATTGAGCGGTAAAGGTGGGGGAGTGCCACGCCGCAGAGCTGGTGCGAGCATCGGACGAGCTTCGCGAGGGTCGACTGGCTGGGGATAAACTCGCAGATGCGAGACAGCAGCTCGGGCGGTAGATCAGAGATGGATGTCATCATGGCTTGCGGGCCCCATCCGCCTGCCAGCCTGCTCGAACAAAGGAAGACAGCTCACTTTTTTTTGAATAAAGAAGTCTTCAGAAGAAACCCAGTTCCCGATGCTGTGACTGGTTGTTGTGGCTGACTGTTTGATGATTTGGCAGCAGCAGTGAAAACTTAGGCTGTTGAGTGTCGATTCCAGGCTCATCGTCTCTCCAGCGCATGCATTGACGCCAAATGCGCCAAGTCACCCTTCCGGCTTACCACTTGTTGTGAGGGTTGAACCCTTGAGCGCCGCCGTTGGCAACGGAGGGGGGGGGTGGTAGGGAGAGGGGGTGTTGTGCGCTGAAGTAAAGTTCGATGCCGCGACTCAACATGAAGATGTCAGTATCCATCCAAGTAAGTGACTAACATGGGTGACACAAGGGCGAGTCGGTCATTTTCGGCAACGGATGTCTTAGCCTACAGTATCACATGAATTCCAAGTAGAAAAGCCAAGTAGGTCAGTGTTGACTGAGAAATGTAATACGTTGGAATCACGAGCTCTACCTATAGTGTCAACAAGACTCCCGCAAGTCTTTAGAGACAGCAATTTCCGATATGGAATAAGAGAATATGTATGTCATAGCCATGGCTAGTGCTGACTCATGGTAAGGAACCAGCACTGTTGCAACGGCAGACACGGCACAAAAGGCCATCGTTTGTCTGATCTAGGGCGCAGGGCCTTCCGACAATCAACAACGGGGGACCAGGTCCGCTGTCTTCGGTTACCACACTTGACTCACCCGATTCCCCTTGCCGAAGCAAGGAGGTAAAATGAATTAATGACAAAGGAAAATATTTTTTTTGTGTTTTTTTAGTTTTATGAAAGAGGTTGGGGAAGGGAAGCTGGGAGTGAGCGGAAGAGAAGAGCGGGTAGGGAAAATGGAGGAGTATAGGGAATAGAATGGAGGATGACGAATGCTCACCACTCCCTTCCTCACACACCAACTTGCAAGTGTGCAACACATCTGCTAGGTCCCTCAAGCCCAGTCCTGTCTCACGATCAGATTAGAGATGCGGAGGTATGCGGAGGTCTGCGATGTTGGATGGTCTACTCACCTTGTGATTCGGAAGTGTCCTACTTCCTCTTCAGAGGCGCGATCTTGCGGTCTTTGCCCTTGTACTTGGGAACTTCCTTCTCCTCTTTCAGCAACTCCATTTCCTCGAGGGCCAGTTGGCTCTCGATTTCCTCAAAGGACAGTTCGTCGAGATTCGCCTCGGGCTTGGGCTCGGGCTTGGTCTCGGGCTTGGGCGCCGGCTTGGGTGCGGGCTTCTCAGCTTTTGCTTCGGTCTCTTCAGCCTCATAACTATCCAGCATGTTTGCGAGCAACGAGTTGACCGCGCCCATGGTGGCTAGCTTCTTCGTCTCTGTCTTGGCTGCGCTGGCTTGCGCCGGTGCGGAGGATTGACCAGAGGAGGACGAGGTGGCAGCCTGCGTGGGAACTGCAGGCTGGGGAAGAGGCTGGGAGCTCGAGGCCGTCTGGGTCGGCTCCTTCTTCTCTGCTGTTGCGGGGATGGCTGTTGCCTTCGCCGGAGAGGGTTGTCCAGAGGAGGAAGAGGCAGTCGACTTGGGACGGGCAACCTGGGGAAGAGGCTTGCGAGCGGCTGCGAACAGGGACTTGGGGCGGATTGCTGGGAGGGAAAGCTGGCCAGCAGGGCGCTGTGGGGTCGCGGGAGCTGCACTCTTGGGAAGAGGCTTGGGGGTTGCCGAAGACGGGGGCTGGGCTGGGGCACTGATGATTTGCTTCTTCTCTGTCTTGGCTGGGCTGGCTATTGCCGGCATCGAGGAGGGTTGACCAGAGGAGGAAGGAGAAAGCGATGGCGCCGCAGGAGATTGTCGAGAAGCTGTCTGGGAAGCCGTCCGAGGAGGTGGAGCCGGAGTCGGAGTTGGCTGTGACTTGATCTGGTGCTGAATTTGTCGAGGCCGTACGGACGAAGTAGGCTGTGTGATCTGAGCCTTGCTTGTCTGTTGGTTGTCATTCAGACTCCACCGTGCCATCTTTTCCACCAGAGGTGAAAAGTCAACAGGCGCGGGAGACGACTGAATCTGGAGGTTGACAAATTGCTTGGTGATCTGGCTGACCTTGCGCAGAATGCCGGGGGAAGTACTTGTCGTCGATGACTTGGTGCTTGGAGCAGCTTGAGAAGCCTTCACATCCAAGACCATGTGCTCGACTGGCGGCGAAGAGGGGACAGGAACAGGGGGAGCATCCTGCATTTCCTTCTCGCCCAAGGCATCTGAGTGAGCAGGGGTAGACAGAACGAGGAGAGGAGGGTCAGGCTGAGCGAGCTGGAAGCCTCGGGAAAAGGCGGCGAGTGGATCAGAACCGCAGCGGAAGCCGTCGAACTTTAACTTGGCAGCCAGCGAGGTAGCGGCAGCGAGCGCGAGGGGAGCAGGCTCAGGCTGGAAGAAGGTCGTCTCAGCTGGAGTCTCGACGAGAGCACCCGCGTTGACTTCCATCTATTCTAGTTGTTAGTATGTATTGAAAGACTGGCCGAGGGCTCAGACGAAGTTGGGAATGATGGGACTGAAGTTCAATAACAGCGGGATAAAAGTACGATGTTTACCTGTCGCTCGATAGTCTTGTCTTCCTCATCGGGCTTCGCGTAGGACACTTCCTTCTTCTCGGGGGTGGACAAGGAAAAGGACTCGAGGGCGAGAACGAGCGAGGCGTAAGCATCGTCGTCGGCTAGGGGGCTAACACAGGAGCCACCGTCCCGTTGACTGGGCACAGAAACCTATCCTGCGCGCTCAGCCACCGGTGGGGAGTTCTTGCGGCCTGGGGCTGCCAGGGCTTTTGCCGACTGATCGATGGCATGAGAGAGAGACCATTTTCCGTAGAGGACGTTGTAAACGCCCTCGTAGGTTAACAGACCCCGACTCAATGCCCTGCTTACTGCCTCGTCGCCAAGAGAAGACCTATACTGCGAGCTTGTCAAGTGTGAGTAGGTCTTGGGGGGTGTGCTCGTCTGGGATACACCAGTTGACGAAGCACGAGCGCTGGGCCGCTTCTTTAGGGGGCGAGAGGAAGAGAGGGAAGGGAGTGAAGAGGGGCGAGAGGAGGGGAGAGGCGAGGGGCACGAGATAACTAGGGAGGTGGAGGAGATGGAGCGAGGCTGGGAGAAGGGGACAAGAGAGTTCAAGGCAGAGGAAACCGTGCGGACAACGGAGGAGGGGCGGGAGCGAGAAGAAGGGGGAGAAAGGAAAAGGAGATGCTCATCATCATGGCTGTCCCAACCACCAGGCACCCTCCGCTTGCGCGTCGAGTGCGAGGAGTCGGAGTCCAGCACGGTGGCGGTCACCCAGAGGAGACCGGCCAAGAATACGACGGGCAGCGACGCGCCGGCGTAGGAGAGGATGGAGGAGAAGAGAGAAGACATTGTGGCAAGTGCTTCGTGATGACACGCGAAGAAAATGACCAGGAATGTCAGGTGCGGGATGGAGAAATAAAGCTCGAGAGCAATGGGGACGATGCAGTGATAAAGAGAAGTCTCAGCGAAAAGCGTAATGCAAATCTAGTTGACTTCTGTTGACACACGGCGTGGTGAAGGAAGGGGGGAAGGTTTGGAATTGCGGCGAGGCTGCAGGTGGGTTGATAAACAAGGGCGCAGGGGGGCAACCGGTCACGTGGCCACCCATAGCTTGACTGCACTCGGGAGCTGCCCTGTAACCATAGTGGCTCTTGAGCTTCAATCGCCCTGAGGCTCTGCAAGTGGGGCTCCAGGTGGGCTGCAGCTCCATGCACCCACGTAGGTACTCAGGTACTTCTGGAGGAGGTGGTTCACCCAGCAACCAGGGCGCCCACCTCAAGCAGCCCTGGCAACGGGTGCTGAGCAGGTAGGCATACATGGACTGCTAGCTAGCAACTGGAAGCACGCGTCTCTGGTAGTGAGGTACGTGGTGAGCAATGTGGTCACTTTGGTTGAGAAGAGTATTGCATCCTGAGGTCGTCTAGAGAGACACTCCCAACTACTGCTTCTCAAGGACGGAGAAGCGAAGGCAATATTCTAGCATGAAACTACTAAGTTCCAATGAAAGTACAGGCAGACGCAATCAATTCTCTCTTGTTGTGTGGCCGCATTCATGCCTCAGGCGCATCGAAAGGTCTGCCGTTGCTCAAATACGCCATTTCTCAACCCCCGACTCCGTCTCGTACCGTTTCTGTGACTGTTATCGCGATTGCGAGATGGAATCAAACACTCTGACAGGAATCACTTGGTTACATGCAAAGAGTACTCTCCGTACTACCCATACCTGACAGGGAAATCTGTAGCCCTTCCAGCCCGACACCGAGAGGTAGGATTTTGTTAAAGTACCTATGGTATATAAGGCTTAATCCGGCTGATGGATTAAGCGTTTGCTTTTTCTATAGTTATGGGCCCTTGGTTTATTTATATAGCGCGATTAACTACTATATTCCCCTAAGCTATACCAAATTAAGCGCCCTAGGTTAAGCCCCTTATATTTAGGTTTTATAAAGGTTTTAAGTTTAAAGGCTAAAAAGTTTATAGGTTTAAAAACTACTTATTATTTAAATAGCACTACTTATATAAGTGCATTTAGGGTATATAACCTAAATAAAACGTTTTATATATATAAGGGCTACCATGGCATATACTTTACTTAATGGGTACCACCTTGCAAACTAAGGGGTGTGTTAAAGTACCTACGGTATATAAGGCTTGATCCGGCTGACGGATTAAGCGTTCACTTTTTCCACAGATTTATGTATGATCTCGTATACAGCCAATGAGTGGCTGGGGACCTTTTGACTCAACGCCTGCGTGAAGCTTTATGACAGATCTTGGCATCCATCAGTTGTGACACTCGAGCCTTAAAAAAGGAAGGATTGAAATCCACAATTCAAAAGATCAATTACGGCAACAGTGCTTTTGTGGCGGTGGCCAAGAATTTTAAAAGAAAGTAATTGATTAATATCAAGACATTGAGATTAAATCCATGATCTACCAAATTCAATCCCAACATCCCACAAATGAATGTACAATGACAAACCCTGTGCGTCATCCACACCAGCTCGGGTTGTGCCCTTCCGTCGTCATCAGCTAAATACAGCCTTCATTTTCTCTTTTCCGGTCTTCATCCTCGTTATCCTTTCCCTTCGCACCAATTTCTCACAAGAGAGAACCAATTCTCGTTGCAATCAACAATCTCCCGCTTAAGCAGCGAAGCTGCGAGCCATGCGGCGGGCGGTGGCAGCGCCAGCCGCGGGGGCGGGGGCAGCAGCGGCCGCGCCGGGCTGGACCATCTGGACGGGGATGCAGCCGCCGAAGGGGCCGGCGTTGCTGGGGTTGACGAGCTTGACGAGGCAGGTGTTGGCCTGGCCGGCGATGTTGCCAGTGCAGGTGGCGTCGGCGGGCATGTTGACCTTGAAGGGGTAGTCCTCGTTGATGTTGGTGGCACGCTTCATGATGCCGACGGCCTGCAGGGCGCGGGCCCACGCACGCTTCTCGCTCTTCTGGATCTTGCCCTTGGTGCCGGGAACCTGTGTCTCGACGTCCATGGCGACCCAGCTCTGGCCGGTGCCGTCGGTGTTGAGCATGGCCTTGTATGGGCCGGCACCGTCGGAAGTGACGATGTGCAGGGTGCCGGAGACGGAGCCACCGGGGCTGACCTGAGCCAGGGTGTTGCCGGAGAGGGCCATGGCGGCCTGGGTGCCGGACTCGATGTCGTTGTCTCCTTGCTGCGGGGGTTGTCAGTGATGATCTGATGGGAACGCTGTGGAAACTGGTACTCACGCCGTTGGTTCGTCCACATGCGTCAGCCTGGTCGCCCTTGAAGACGGTGGTATCAGGCTCGGTGACCTTGTTCTTGCCAGGGCCGGGGATCACACCACCCTGGATACCCAGAGCAGTGGAGTTGCCACCGGCATCACCAGTTGCGACTGCGATCTTGCCATGGGCGGCAACCAGGGGGGAGGCGGCGAGGGCGATGAGGAAGATCTTGGAGAACATTTTGGCGGTTGTTGGGAGGTGGTGTTGAGAGTGGTAGATGAGAAATTGAGTTATTAATGTGAGAGATATTGAATAGAGTTACGAATCAATCGTAAGCTGCTCTGCGAACCTGGCAGGGAAGTAAAGGAAGAGAAAAAAGCTGAAGACTGATGCTGATGCTGCTGATGATGGAGAGAAAGGGAAATCGTGATGGTTAGCGGAGGAGTAGCGCCATCTTTATAGTTTCTCGACCTGATGAAGTCTTCTGTGAGGTCTCCGTGTCTGTAGCCTGGACCAACCGCCCATGAAACCTCGTCCGGCCTCGCCACATCGCATCGGCCCTCCTCCTGACTACTGAGGCATTGTGTCGACACATCTCAACAGCCGTTTCCCCGCTTCATGACCATGTCCACCTTCTAGTCCAAACGGTTTTGACGACAATGGAACGTATCATTGACTCAGAAAATGTCCAGAACAATCAGACGAAGCCGGCAGGTGTTGGACTAGCCAGCCGTACGAGGCGTCGTCCCGAGGGTTATGCGCCTAGCAGCCGTCCGAGGAGAAACTGTCTGTCAGTCAGTAGTGGGCCAAGGTCGTGATACATCGCACAGCCGTGTGGGGCGCGCATAGGGAGGTCGTTTTTGCAGATCCGGATGCGGCTCAGGTGGTGGAGTTTGAAACGCCCGCTGATCACCTGGGTGGAGGTCAAGTCCAGCCGATGCGGCGTTCTTGTCGTCCCTGGGCGTCCCAATCCGAACTTGGAGACAGCTCTGGGCAATTTCTAGGCAAAGCCATGATGGGATGAGGCTGAAGGAGGAAAGAAAGGGCGGTCCAAGGGCGTCTCATGAGAGGTTCAAACGTCCAGGGGTGGCTAGCGGGACGCCGTCTGTGCGACAGAGGGAACGAGGGATCTGAGAACTTCTGCACCCACCTTCATGCAGCAGCCAGAAACCGCGCAGCCCGATTGGTCCAGCACTTAGGTTGTAGCCCCGGGCCGATGCTACTCCACATCACCTTACCATATAAGCTTGATCTGCGCCGCTGGTTTCGTTTATCGGGCGAAACCTAACGTTTCCCTGTCCAGCGTTTGGCCCGGTCCTTCCATATTCCCCTTGCGGCATCGTCAGCAGACTTGGGCCGGACGGCAACCGATGCGCGAGAGCGACAACGAAGCTTTCGATTCACAGCAGCCTCGCTCTAGAAAGAAAGAGGCAAGCGGCGTGTCTTTCGATCGTTGCCTGTTGGCCTCAACGGGCGGATGTCCGGTTGTCTTTGTGCCAGACTGGTAGCAGCCGGTTTCCGCAAGCTGCTCCTGCGCTAGAGAGACAATTCACACAGCTTGGTCGGCTCCAAGAACAAAAAACAAAATTGGAGCCGAAGTGAACGAACAGTAGTTTGTCACGATGCCCGAACAATCATGTTGGCCGATCTTATTGAGCTCAAGTTGCGCAAAGCTTTTTTCTTGACGCCAACTGTCAATGAACCACACTCCCGGTCCCCTTCTTGGACTGAGCTGAGCTGCAGCCAAGCCCAAGCCCTTCCGGCTGGGCAGGACGCGCCAAGCTCTGTCATCGATGGTGATAGCCCTTGGCAAGAGCTTGGTATTTCTGATGTTTCCCGCGGCCCTCAAACCTCGGCTGCAGTTGACTGTTTCCATTCCCAGCAGCCTGCTGAGTCAGTGCAACTGTGAACCATAACGCAGCCCCTAAGACCGGCAGACCACCAACCTTGGGTTGCCACCCGGCACACTTGGGCAGTATCTTGCGAGAGGAGACAAGACTCCTCCGTCCACCCACGTAAGCTCGCTGACACAGAATCATGTGCTCACGTCTTGTCACCCTGGTCGGACGACTCCTCGGACGTGGTGGCGACCGGTAAGTTCGGGTCGTGCACGCCATGGAATCCGAATCCAACCGCGAAGTCCATCTCGGCCCTGCCCACCTCACACATTGTCCGGGCATCCAGGCACAAGAGATAGCTGTTCCTGCAGAAACCATCCAGCACCACGCTCAGCAAGACTCCATCATCCTCCTTTACTGCGCCTGGCCGCTGCACGAAGATCGCCTCCCCTGGTGTGTGCCCCGGCGGGTTGTTCCACTGCAGCACAGCTCGTGAGACCAGGTTTGTCTTCACTATCGTGTCCACAAGCGTGGACCTTCCGCTCATCGCCAAAGAGTACACGTAACGGTATGGCCTCGTGTGGTAGGCTGGGTTGATGGTCGGTAACTCGCCTACATGTGGACTGGGAATGCCGATAGTCGATGTCGACTCGGGGGTGAAGATCGAGTATGCAGGCTTTAGAGTGCTTGCCTGGGCCTCAAAGATCCGTTCGTCATTCCTCCTTTCCTGCAATCCTTCTTCCATTGGGACATGCTGAATGGCCAGTCGGGGTCTCAAGACAGAGAGCGCCATTGCTGGTAAGCCCCCGAGTACCGCGATGACCGTGTCTGCCTTCTGACGAATCTTTTGGCCCAGCTCCTCGCCCCTCCTGCAGACCTCATCAGCCATTACCTTCAATCGATCGTGAAACTTGGATACGAGTGACCGCGGGCTCTGGGATGGAATGTGATGGTGCAAGGGAAGAGTGAACTTCCATCTCGTGAGCCGCGGTAGCGTGTCTCTGGCCTGCTCTTCTGTTCCCCAAGCAGTCCTCGCCTTGCCATCTTGGTTCAACACAACGTCGTAATAAAGCCCCGTTAGGATGTTCATGTTGGGGTACTCGATCGTATCGCAGGTGATGCTCCACTTTTCCACATCGTCTTTTGCGTCGAGGTACATCTTGTCAAAGCAGTTCACTGTGTGGAAAAAGAATGCGGCCTCCGTTTCGAACTCAGCCACCACTCCTCGTCCTCGCAATCTGTCAACGATGAACCATTTGTTCTTCCTACTCGGATTGAAAGGTTTCATGGCGTCCAGCAGGTTCCTCTTCCACAGGATGCCAAGTCCGTCGAGAGAAAAGTGAGAGCTCGGCACGCGCAGCACAACAAAATGCTGGCTTAGGAAGAAACTGTGGATGTATGCCATCGGTATGTCTAATCGACTGATGGTGGCAAGTATCTCGGTCTCACCGGTGGCTGCGGACACTCGAAAGACTTTGTAGGTGGCTGGGAGGCCTGCCTTGATGTTGACATTGATGTAGTCGCCAGTTGTTGGACAGCGCTGGACATGGGCGCAGGAGAGCTCTCCATCAAGTTCTGGATGTAGACCATCTTGCCTGGCAAATCCGATGGGCTCAAGGGTGTGCCTGTCTACTTCTCGTAGGAGGTGGCAGTCCGTGCCAAGCCACACCGTCTTCTGCGGCAGAGCGCCACCCTGAGCCGCCGACTGGAGACCAGGCACGTCTAGCTGCACAGTCACGGCGATATTCTCCACCTTCTTTGTCTCCCTCCTCGTATTTGCGACCATCCAGGCGCTCATTATCTTGCCAAACAGGCCAATGCAGGGATCAGCACGCTGCCCGAAGGTGATGATGTCACGAACTCCATTCTTCTGTGCATGTTCGATGAAGTCGTCGCACTGCCGCCGGGACGAATACCAAACCTGAGTGCCACCGCCGTCCTTTCCAGCGATGATATCGAAACGATGGGTGTGTGCTAGGCCATCAAACCAGTGAGAGATGTGAAGCGTTCCCCTGGGGGTATTATCGACTGTGTTGGCCCCAGGTCCGGTCCGAAAGAGGGAGCCCGCGGCCCAAGAGGGGATGTGGCCTCGGACTGGGAGTTCAATTGGGCCGCGATGCTCTTCGAGGTTGGCAAACTGTCGTCACATATCAGCAAACGGGCTGCCATGAGCTTTGGGCAACCATTTCCTCCCTGGAAGGAACTGCTGCTGGGAGTGACTTTTTGGGCTTGATTGTGGAAGACTGGGTCATCAAGATCTGTGTCGCCCAACATTTAAGGAGTGGCACTTACCCCAGCTTCGTTGGGCCAACCGAGGTAGGCTCCATCCACGGCGTTGCGGACGGCATCTTGCAGATCACCCTGTTCATTGTCCACCGACCTGATAATAGCGTTTGGAGATGGAGAGGGAGATGCCGATTGAGCTGCCATGATGGCAAGGCATTCGCGAGCACAGCCGAAGCTTTAAAAATCCAAAACAATGCGGGTTGTGCAGGATACTTGGGTAGCACTCAAATTTGTGACGGGTTGGTGTTTGTGTGCTGTGGTTGCGTGGAAGGCGGCAGCACAAAGAAGCACACCGGGCCAGGCCAGGGTTGGAAAGGCCGCCCCGCAAAGTCACTTTTTTAAGTATTTCGCAGTTTCCTTTCCTGAGTTCCCATCATCGCAACATCAAAAGTCACCTCGTTCTTTCCAACTAAAAGTTGAATGGAGTGTAGCAAAGGCACAAGACAGCAAACCGATTCATAGGCATCCCGTATCACACAAGGGTCAGACACAGTGGAACCGAAGTTCAAGACAAACACTCCTACAGATTCTGACGGCCGTTGCCTCCGCTCACGAGTCCTCGAGAAAAGGGGGAAAGCGAATTGTCTCACCTTGTACTTCTGGCTGAAGGTATACCTAGGCACACTGGAAATGCTCTCGGAGCCAGCAACAATCCAAATTAGAATTCTGGAAGCATTCTGGGTAACGTGGGAGAATCAGGGGACCGTAGAGCAAAACTGGGAGCAACAGAGCCTGACAAATGAACCGACCTAAAGGCCAGGTGTGCTTTCTTATGGTCTCACTTGGCAGTGTCAAGTGCGCCATTCAAAGACACGAGCGAGGATTCAAATGGGCAAGCCATTTTTCTTGGTGCGAGAGCCAGGGATACATCAGACTAACTACCCAGCTCCCAATTATTAAATCAGTTTACGGACTTGATTGGTCAACACATCGTATTGACAAAGAACAGATTTTTTTAAGGAAATGAAAACAAATTTTCCGCTCCAATTGCTGGGTGAGCCTTTTGAAAGGTGGTATTTACGGTCGTTTCGGTCCTTTAGCAACGTTGGTGTATCTAATGGCGCTCAGGGGCAGTGACTCAGATCGGAATCATGCCGTGTGAAGCTAGAGATACCTCAGTAGGCACCTCGATTTTACCCTACAGGGCTCTACATTTTGACCATTACCATTTGTCTCCATTAAATTCCCAGGTGTGCACAAATAAGGATTGCACATCTGGGCAAAGTCTGCAGGGAGGCATTTCGGCTTCTCTGCCGTGTGCTACTTAGACTTGGGCTCTGGTTGCAGACATCACATCCCCTGACCGCTTAAACCCCCTATGTTAAACTTCTACAAGAAATTGTCGCACGGGATAACCTCCTATGGTAGATGGTATCTCAGCTACAATTTAAAGTCTTGATTGAGCATGTCCTTGTTCCACTGTCACAATTCAAGACCATTCAACGAATAGAACGTCCGCGAGCGCCGTGCAGATTGATTCCATGAACAGACACTTCGGGTTCCATTCAGTGTAAGCAGCGCTCCTGATCCGTTATATCCGACCTTCTGGCCTCACACTCATGTACTTCACGTGGCCACCATGGTTTCCGCTTCTTCCAGAGATCATGGCCGCTTCTTGGTCATGGGCTGCGTAATTGGACATTGACATGTGCGTGGTATTACAAAACTAGCAGGGCTTCACAGGATGACGAAGTCGTCATTGGCCATTGGGAATAAGCTCACGGCCCCTGACAGCTGCCTGCTTTGAGTCACCAGTACAGCCCCCATTTCGGGATGGTCAACTGCTTACTGGCCTAAAGGGGTAAACGCTCTCAGGAACTTGAGAGTACCAATGACTTGTAGGACAGAGGAGAGCAAATCACTTCAATTCCCCCTCCCCCTCTCCTAATATTCCATATGTCAGCTTATGGTGTAACGTACCGCAAACGGAATTCCCACACAAGAAACAACTAAGCCGACACCCGAAGGTTGTCTCAATATCCCAAGGTATCACGGGTCAGACTTCTAATACATCATGCCGGGGGGCCAAAACCGGGGATGACAATATTGGAACCGGGAAGCACAAGGACGTCACGAGCCGCAGTTCAGAAGATGGATATTCTAAGCCGGAGATCACAAGTAGGGAATCTTAAGCCGTAGATCAGAGGCTGTACAATGGGAGCCGGAGGAAACAAGCCGGGGATCACAAGACGGGGAATTACTCATGACCCTCGAAGAGGAAGAGACTCACAGTCTGTGGGAGTGCCAACTGTACTAACATTCCAAAGGCGAGGCTACCATCAAATCTGGGAGTGACGTTGGTCCATAGAGCAGAGGAGGGCGAGGCTCTACATTCGTTCTTCCAGATATAAAAGCCCATCCCATTCACGTTCAAACTCTCCTCCATTCCTTGGACTCAGAAGCAACACAGACCAGAAGCACATCTGAGACTTTTCAATTATCAATATACAATCACCCAAGAAAACCCAATCCAACCATCAAAATGATTTCCATCAACACAATCACCAAGTTCGCCGCCCTCATGGCCGCCACCCTCGGTGGAGCAGCCACTATCGCCAACCGCTCTCCCGCTGAGAACACCGCGCTTGCCAGTTACAGCGGCGACATGACCTACTTCTACCCGGGACTCGGTGCCTGTGGCCAGACGAACAACAACAACGACGCGGTTGCTGCTGTCAGCCCTGCTGTCTACGCCAGCGGCGGTGCCTGCGGCAAGACCGCGACCATCCACTACAACGGCAAGAGCACCACTGTCAAGGTCGTCGACCTGTGCCCTGGCTGCTCCACCGGGAGCATCGATGTCAGCCCCACTGCCTTCCAGAAACTTGCTTCCCTCGATGCCGGAAGGGTCCAAGTGACCTGGGAGCTCAACTAAGGTAAGCAAGCAACTGGCACGTCCGGAGTCTCCATCCCTGGAAAAGTGTGTCCGAATTGCTGCTAAAATATATCCCGTGAAGGTCTCTGTCAAATCTTGGAACACATTTCTCGCACATTGTTCTGACTACGTCAACCTCTGGGTCTTTTCAACTTTCTCATCCCAGAAATCAGCTCCACCTGAGCTGATTCAAACAAACAGCGAGAACTTGCACGATGGACAATGACTTTGACGGTTGAGAGCTCGAGGCGTGGAGGGGTTTGATTTGGGGATGGATTTGAGGGAGTCGCACATGAATGGATTGGTTTGCAGATATCTAGTTCATGAGATAGACAGACAATTTTATGCAAAGCCTCTTCATAAAATACTTCCACGGTGTCACGGCACAAGAAAGCCTATTGCGCTAGACACCCTGACAAAAGAGGGACGTTGTAATGCCGAGAGCATTACCGTGGCTTGCACCTATATACGTGCTGTAACACACGGGATGAAATCTGTGTCAACTGAGTGATACCCCCTTGTCGTGGATGCTCCATGGACGCTTGACTCGATCTTCTGGATTCCAAGCATATTCCCCAGATGCCTGCCTTGCAGATTTTAACGCAGTGGATCCAAGACTGCAGCATCCATAAGCTCAATGTAAAGTTTCCGGTGAGCGATGGTGACAGCTGCGAACATTGTCCTCAAACCTTATTCCGTAATAAATAGCTCTATCACGTCTTTAATGTGAGGGTCCTCTGTCCGTTGCCTTGTTGGGCTGTATGTACGGGCGAGACAGGCTACGCTTTGATGACCAATAGCCAATAACTACGCAATACCCAATAGCCACCTGTCACTCTGACCTCTCCGCCAATGCTCAAGCACAACCTCTGTAAAGGGATGCCAGTGTTGCTTTGCTTACCCGGATTACTGCGATCACCTAATCCTAGTGAGGCTGTCGAAAGGCATTCTGCATGGTGACATCAGAGCCAGGGGAAAGGTTTTAAAGATTGGTCAGTTCCTGCATGACCTGCTCACGCTCTCGGGGTACCTGCCTACACCCTCAGCTGTACCTGCCTACACCCTCAGCTGGACCTGCTTACACCCTTGGCGGTAGTGACGGTGCGAGCAGGGTGCCTAAGCAAGGGACGAATAGCATTTTGACTCTGTGGGTCCCGGCGCCGCCGGCCCAGAATGAAAACCTAACGTTGATGACTGCAGGGAAAGCTGGAACTGCGTCACGACCCATGCGCCCGGATGGGCGAAAGGAAATAGGTATCAAATTCACGCTCAAGCGAGCCGCCATGCCCTGAGACTGTTTCCGTTCTTCGGAAAGCACGCCTCAAAATGTCTATCTACCTGCATGCCCTGAGTATTACACCAGAAGAGCCTCCGGTATAGCGCATTATCCGCTGGCCTCTGCGCCTTTTGCCTGCGCTTCTGTCGGCAGCCTTCATCCACAATCATTCTCCTTTGTGCCGAGCCATAGCTATGGCTGTGTCCTGTCGTCTTTACTGCACTACTGGCTCGTCACCTCAAGGTGATCATGCAGACCTCGGACTCTCTTGTCTCGAATCCATCTTTACTCTCCAACCTTGACTCCGGCAGCCTGCTTGTCCCTTGCCAACTTGTCCAGCTTTTCCGTGGCCGCCTTCAGGCTGTTCACGTCCGCGCCTCGTATCAGCGACTGCCCGTTGACTGCGACCTGCTTCCCATTCTTGAAGAACATGAAGGTAGGCATGGCGGAGACGCCGTATTGCACCGCGACCTGTTGGACGTTGTCTACGTTGACCTTGGCGAAGGCGAGGTAGCCGGGTACTGTCGAGGCCTTTGCGAACTGCTCGTACATGGGGGCTATCGCTTTGCATGGCCCACACCAGTCTGCGTAGAAGTCCGTCACGACGTACATGGTCTTGTCGAGGAGCGACTGGAACTCGGCGGGGCTGGAAATGTGGTTGACTGACATGTTTGCGGCTGGGAGTCTGATCTGTCGATGGGGCGAGGGGCGTTCGGGGTGTTTTGTTCGATACGGGATCAGTTGCACTGCCGGTAGAAAGTATTGCGATTTTGCAACAGAGGAGCTGCACGAGTGTAGGCTGTTTCGTCAACTTTTGGTTCGGAGGCTCTGTCGGGGTTGTTGACTTTCGCCGGGCTGGGGCTGAAGTGGGATGGTCTTATCTTATCAAGGACCCTTAGATGAGAGCCCAAAAAAGATTAGTCATCAATCCAGAGCTCGGGAATGGCCTTGTCTATCGCTGACGCAACAGAACGTCCAAGTGTCCAGGGGCTTCTAGAAACGGCGTCCTACCTAAGGGGGCGCGTCAACAGCAGCAAGATCCTGATTTGTCCATGAATCCGAGCAAGCCGCCGCCACTTGTTCAGCCTTGAACCCGACATCACCTTGTCTACATTCTAGATATCACCTTGTCTACATTCTAGATATCACCTTGATGCTGCACACTCCTTGCAGATTGCTTTTGAGCACCGTGGAGATGTGATGAGCGCCTAGTGGAGTCAGCGTACGCCCACCCAGCTTCCACAGTACGCCCACCCAGCTTTCAGCGTTAGCCCACCCAGTACTTCCTTTTCTTAGTATTATATTAATAAAACTAAGTACTTTTTTAAATTTACCCCGCATATAAAAAGCTAAGGTAGCTATTTTTTAATTTAAGCAATACTTTAAAAATATAAGCAGCCCCTAAAGCGCTTAAAGCCCCCAGAGTGCTTAAAGCCCCCAGAGCCCTTAAAGCGCCTAGAGGGCGCAGAGGGCCGCGAGGGCACAAAGGGCTGCAAGGGCGCAAAGGGCCGTAGAGGGCGCAGAGGGCCGCAAAGGGCGCAGAGGGGGCAGGGGGCGCAGAGGGCGGCAGAGGGCCCAGAGGGCCCAGAGGGCGCAAAGGGGGCAGGGGGCGCAGAGGGCAAAAGTAACTTTTAAGTTGCAAATAAAGAGGTAGCTATAGAACCTCTTTAAAATAGCTATAGCTATGCTTTATTAATAACCCCGCAATATTAATATTTTATAGCATATATAGCTAATTTCCTTATATTAAGTAGGCTAATGTTAAAAGCTAGGTGGGCGTATTGTGGAAGCTGGGTAGGCGTATGCTGACTTGGGTAGGGCCTCCATAGGAGGTTTTACTGTCAACATCTCCATTGAAAGGACAGTTGCTTTTCTCTCAACCCAATCAACCAATCCAGTTACATTGAGCAAGTAGAGCTAAGATTGTATGTATTTCGCAATGCTTCTTTTGCCGCTCTTTACATTCCTGGTCAGTAAACCCCAAGGACGACGGTGTGATGGCTCTCTCTGGACCATGCCATCATCAAGCAGAATGGCGAACATCTTTGCCACCCAAGCTGCAGACGGCAGGATGATTTAGGCCAAACTGCTTCTGATGATTGAATTCATGATCCCGGTATTGATCCTTTATTTCCACGGTCGGCATCAACACGCTGGCTAGTATGTATAGGCTCGGACTGGGTTTACGCGACAAAACCTGATTTTGGCTGGACTGGGACACCTGCAGGAACTCGATGAATCCAATTACTCACTTCTCAAAAGTTTCCTTTTTTCGTTCCGACCAAATACTACGACAGACCATGGCTAGCTGCAACCATGATCATCAAGGTAATATTCGGTTACGCTAATGATCATAGGATTTCTTACTCCCCATGAAATCAACATCAAGTTGTTGAGACCCTATTTCGCTTTTGCTTTGTAATTCATTCGAGTTTACTTCGAACATCTCGTTTCTGTGATGACACTACATAGAACCGAAAGGGTAGGAAAAGAGTATGAATAAAACAGGTACTACAGAGCCACAAAGCTCCTCACCGACTTGATGATTTGTTCAGCCAGCCGTTGAGGCTGACTCTCGAATGGCATATGCCCAGTCTTGAAGTCAACCACGTCCCAATGCACCCTTGACTTTTGCAACCACATATCCTGCAACACAGAGGGGTTGCAGCAGCCCAACAGAGTGCGCACATACACTCTCTTCCCATCGAAACCATGATCAGCCCAGGCCGGTGCTGTAGCTTTGGTCTCAAATGCGAGATGTGCATGGGGCAGCATACGACACTCTAGCTCAGAGCTCAGCGCAGAGTCGCAGTCGTTGTAGAGGATTTCCATGGCCGGCTCGATAAGAGCCAGGCCCTTGGATGGCTGAGGGATGTGTATCAGCAAAACTGTTGTATCTACCAGACGCGGGTAGACGGGGGTGTACCTTATCTAGTTTGATGAACGGAGGGTAGGCCCCTCCCACAGCCTCAAGTAGAGACTCGTCTTCCAACGTCATGTTCCCGGCCACATAGATTAGACCAACAACGCCGTTGGTGTGGCCCTGGCTTGTGCGTGTTGGTTTATCAAGACCTTTTGCGGCGCCTCCCGCAACGACACCTCCGTACGAGTGCGCGAGAATAACAATATCTTTCCCCTGTTGTTCAATGAGAGGAAGTAGGACAATCTCTCGCAGGGCAGTGATGTCTTTCACAGCCGTCGCTGAAGCGGGATCGTCAGGATCACAGCTTGGGTACGACCCAGCGACTGTGGGCAACCCGGTCTGTTCAAAATACGGCAAGAGCTTGTCGTACCCCGCAGGAGTGCCAAAAGCTCCCGGCACAAGGACAAGTGTGGGAAGATTGGGGGAAGCCATGCTCGTGATCAATTTAAGGACGCAATAGACAGGATTTAACAGAATAAACAAAAGTCAAACGAGGACAAGTTTATGAGGAACGAGATTCCGAGGTCAAATGCGGGACACTTTGTCCTTGAAAACACAAATGGAGCCCGACACAATCTTTTATTTGCCTAGTCAGGGAGTGTGACGCTGCGCGCGGCAAGCCAGCTTTATAGCGTTACATGGCTCATCGTTCTAACGAATACTGCTAAAGCACTTCACAATCTACAAACCAACAAGCACGCTAGCTCTGTTCTGTTGGTTGCTAGTTAATGAACATCCCGGCGTATTGATTCGTACATCACAACAAGTGCAGTTGCATTATCACGGGCGTTGGGCCTATAAGATCTGAATCGCTGAGAGTCTGTAGCTATATATAACTACTAGTTTCACATAGTTGGCAATTGGAAATTCCTGTTTAGAAGGCTACGAGGCTACATTAGTGCGGCGAGAAGGATATTGAAACCTTGTCAAAGATCAGTTAGGAAGTGTCCCGGATTTCATGAACCGTGGGCATCATTGCGTTTTCTGGAGACATTGGCATCGTCAGAAGAGGCCCTGCAATTGATGCAAATGCCCGAGCTCGTTGCAGAGCCGAAGGAGTTCCCACCCCCTACTAGAGCTTCAAAGGATACATCAGAATCCACGTAAAACGAGTCAAAATGTCACGTATAGAGGGCCATATGTGAGGCATCAGACTTGGAAGGCGTGGGTGTAGGCCTCGTCCCCTATAATCAACACTCAAGGTAGCTGGGGAAAGAAACAATAAGGGATGGAGCGATTGACAGCTTAGATTGGAGCTGATGCGCCTCAGGGTTTGGGACCAGCATTTGATAGCCTCCAAAAACCCATCTCTCTTCAGCAATTTCTGAGCAATTTTCAATGCAGCTTAGACCTTGTGATGCTTTATCATTGAAGATGAGGCGGGGAAGGAAAGTTAAAATCAGGGCGGTGTAGAAAGATGTCGAAGAACTAAAACAAGAGGTTCTAGGACAAGTCAATGAACATTTTTAAGAATAGTATTGTCGCAATGATGTCTTAAACGGGAAAAAATTGGTTAAAGATCGTTTTTCATGGTTCAATTGTACCTAAACCTAGGAAATTTTGTAATTCCGCCACCTATGTACCGTAGACACGAAGCCATCAATGCTCGGTCCTGTCAGGTCTGGTGTCATGTTACCGCCGACAGATGATTTTCGGCCTCTTCAGCTTTCCGAATTCGAAGTGTATTGTGGAACAGGATCGCCAGTGAAGCGACGATATTACACCACCATGTTGCGTATGGCTAGTTATTCATTCAAAATGGTTGACGCAGATTTAAGGTTTCGACAGGACTTTAGGTGACTGCTCAGCTTAGGCTGCATTAACTCCGAACAGTGAGCGCGGAAATTGCGGCCGCACGCGGCCGCCTGCGCCCGTGTATGTCCGCCTCAGTGCACACCCGCCGGCTAGACCGGCGTCATATTTCTCACCACAAAGACTGTAAACGGCTGGTCTTACAAGTTTATCCTAAAATCCGGCCCAAAATCCGCATCGCATGCATTTGGTGATACCACTTCCTGAGCACATACGATGAAGTTGCCTGGAATCTTGGAGGCTGAGCTCGTGATGAATTGCTTCTCTGCGTATAAAGCTTGCATGTCCCATGCTTCTACCTCAGACATGATTCTAACCAGCACTTCCAAATCACCCAATAAACTCAAGGACACTACCAGAGACTGAACTTGATCTAGCTCAAACACTTATCATTCAACCAATATGACTGGCCCACCTTTCACCCTGCCCAGCAAGTATGAGGAGGTGCACAAGATAGAGAACCAAGCCGGCCCAGGAGACAATCGGCCAACCGGTGTGGAGATTCTCAAAGATGGTAATCGATTCGATGGCTCTCTCAACAACAAGGTGGCAATTGTCACCGGCTGTTCCTCGGGCATTGGCGTCCCGACGGTGGAAGCTCTGGCGGCGGCGGGATGCATTGTTTACGGCGGCGTCCGAGGAGCTAGCCTTGGACGCGCACAAGAGGCCCTCTCATCAGTTCTCAACGACCCCAAGACCAAGGACAAGGTCCACCTACTCGACCTAGACCTGACAAGCCTCGCGAGCGTCAAGGGCTTTGCCGACGAGATCAAGAAGAGGGAGTCGAAAGTCAGTCTCCTCATCAACAATGCCGGGATCATGGCCGTCCCCACGCGCGAGCTCACCAAAGACGGGTTCGAGTCGCAGTTCGGAACCAACCATCTTGCCCACTTCTATCTCTTCCAGAACCTCAAGGGTCTCTTGATCGCAGGAAGCAAGGCCTCCCCGGACTTTGCATCCCGCGTGGTCAACGTCAGCAGCGCTGCCCACCGCTACAACACGGTGATCCTGGACGACATCAACCTCGCGAAGCCGGGGAACTACGACCCCCAAAAAGCCTACGGTAACTCCAAGACCGCGAACATCTGGATGGCAAATCACATCGAGCGGCTCTACTCGTCTCAGGGCATCCACGCGTACTCGCTGATGCCGGGTGGCATCGCGACGCCGCTGCAGAAGCACGTGCCAGAAATGATGGAGGCGATTAAAGGGGTAGCAAGGATCGAGAACTTCATGAAGAGCACGGGGCAGGGGTGCGCGACGACAATCTGGGCGGCCACAGACCGCGACCTCGAGGGCAGAGGTGGGGTATACTGTGAGGACTGTTGTATCATTGGCCCGGTGCCGAGCCAGAGTGACGGGGCTGATGTTGTTGCCCCTGGGTACTCTGAGTGGGCTTATGACCCCGAGGGGGAGGAAAAGCTGTGGAAGATGAGCAACGAGCTGGTTGGACTCGAGGCGAATGCTTAAGAGGGTCTTTCCAGACGACGGCAGGTTTCATAGATTGGGAAACCGATTGAATTCTATCAAGGTGGGCCGAGTACGTCTAATCCCACAGTATCTTTGCGAATTGGAGAGCCAGACGAAAGATCTTCACGTCCATGCTTCACACGCGATCGATGCTTACGTGCTTGTGTCGCATGAACCACCCAAAGACACATAGTTGCTCGCTACGAGTCTTGGGAAAAGAAGGCCAAGAAACCAGTGGCGTGATTGGGTTTTAATATCAATGCCAATGCTCGTCGTAAAGAGGCGGTATCAAGTAGGGCCGATATGTTCTGGTGTGATCTACGAATTTCTTCACGGTCGGCCCTTGAAGAAGGTGACTGACGCCGCTGTCGGCTGTTGCCATGTGGGAGCATTTTCTCGAACAATGACCTGTTCTTCGAACACCTGCATGCATGCAGGCTGGCTTGCGGAGAGCTGGGGAAGGGGAAACAGGGGAAACGCGAGATCGAGCAAAGGGGGGGGGGGGAAATGTGGGAGAAGGGGAAGCCTGGGAAACATCTGGAGAGATACGGAGGACCATCCACGTGTAGAACAACGTTGGGGAGGGCGTGGAACCAGTTTCAAAACGGCGAGCAAGCGAAGTCAGGGGCTCAGACGGTGGTTGACAGAAAGTAGTACTCGGCATAGGACAAAGGCGCGAGCAATACAGCAGCCTGGGCGTCAACATCCCTAATTGGGCGCATGCACTGCCTCCGTTTCCAGCTGAAAATATCTCAATCTTGTTGGCTCCTTCAGGCCAGGGACGGATCTACCGACCTTTGGCGACCTATCGCTAAGGCCTGTCTGCGGAGCGGCTGGATGCACCTTGATCGGGCGACCATGTGTTCTCTTGTTGTTGTACGAAGTGTAGTCGTGTTCCAGACAGCCTTGCGGCTCTTTGCTGCTGTACTACTTAGGCATGGCGCATCTCCTTTGCCAAGAGATAGTCAGATCCGGATGCTCCGTGCCCGGGCTTTTCCCTATTCCCGGCTCGTAGGGATACCATGAACTACCGCAGTCTACCATCCACGGCCGGATCTTGCAGGAGTTCCTTAGGCAAGTTGGACAGTCTTGAAACACGTTTTCCTCGACGAGTTTTCGCAAGTGACGTCGTGCTCTCAGACGGAAGCGTGGGTGGGCCCGGGAACATTTGCGAGTAATTCAGCGGCATCAACGTCACGTCAAAACTATTCGGTGGATTCGGTGGAATGCCGAGCAGTCCGCCGCGGGCCGTGGGCCGGACTCCTTTGCGGGACCCACACCAGAGCCGCATTTCCCACGACCGTAATTCTGATATTCCAAGGAAATCTCATCATTTTCGAGCTTTCTGGGATGTTTTCGCGCTCGGCCTGCTTCACCGTTTCATGCATGCTTATCTCGGATAGACGCAGTCGAGCAAGTACCCAAGTAGCTGGTAGGTACCTCGGTGCCGAGGAAACTCCAGCGCACTGAACGCAACGAGGGCCGGCGTACCGTTTCGAAACATACCAGCGCGCTCTGCGATAATGCGATAATGCGATAACTAAGGCCGACTGTTGCCTATCCCACGTTGTTGCCAAGACGATGAGGGCGATGAGCGGTTTATGACGGTGGCGTTCAGATTTTGAGGTGAAATACAAGTAGAGAAGGACCGAACTGACTCAAACAGCTCCGGCATATTGTGGCAAGCCGAGTGCACCGCGGACAGCCATGTCCGCCCTCGAGAACATGACGTTGACTGCAGACATCGTGCTATTCTCTTCTGATGCCACTCGGCAACGTGAGGAGCCACCTCGCGGCCCCGAAGTGGGCCACCAACAAAGTGAGGCTACTGGAGGCCACGATCCCACATCATCCCATAGCGGCGGATCCAGACCAAGGCTCTCGACCCGGAAACTCCTTGCAGGCCTACTCGACTAAACTGGGGCTTCACGTAATCTGGAGATTTCCTGGAGTCAATAAAGATGGTTGTTTTCCCCAGCTCATGGCCACTTCTCCAGTAGCCTCTCCGCAACTTGCCCCTTCTCTTGCAACGTTGGAGTCTCACTCACGTTGAAGGCCCTCTCACAAGATGTCTGGCTATATTCCCTCCTTCTCTCAACCGCCTTCAAGGCCGGGGTCTCTGGCGGCATCCAGGGCAAACTCCTACGCCGGATCGAGGTTTGGCGCCTCGCGTCCCGGCTCCCCATCACCAGGCAGTCCGTACGCGTCTCACCCGGGGTCACCGGGGCCCGGAAGCCCCCTGCCATCAAGACCGGGCACTTCCAAAGGCCCATCTCGCCAGGCAACTCTCAATGGCAAATCCAGGCCTAGCAGTCCTCCTCCGGAGGTAGAGACTGAGCAGACCACACCCGATGTTATGTCCGTGTTGGAACACGCGAACGAGATGATCCGGGACGAGAAGGGAAACCCCAAGATTGGGCGTATCGTCGGAGGAAAGTTTGTCGATCCGTCCAACGAGCAGATCGACGCCGACTGTGGGGCGATCAAGACTGTCGACATCGATATGCCGCTCACGTTGACCGAGCTTGTCAGCCACAACGACAAGGAGTACATTGTCCTCGAGTACGCCACCGGTGACGAGCAGAACCCGTACAACTGGAAGCCCATGTACAAGAGCTTCGTGACCGCCATGCTGTGCCTCATGACCCTCTTCATCGGCCTCGCCACGACGGCGTACAGCTCCGGGATCGGCAGCATGGTCAAGGACCTGAACAGCTCACAAGAGGTCGGCCAGATCGGCCTGTTCACCTTCAACTTCGCCTGCGCCCTCGCCCCCATGGTCCTGGCGCCGTTCTGTGAGCTCGTCGGCAGGAAGATCGTCTACGCCGGCGCGTTCCTCTGCTTCACCCTGCTCTTCATCGGCCTGGCTCTCGCGAAGGACATCGGCACCATGATCGGACTCCGGCTCCTGCTCGGTCTCTTTGGCTGCGTCGGCACCATCCTGGTCGGAGGTACCTTTGACGACATGTACCTCCCCCACGAGCGCTCCCGCCCCATGGCGCTGTTCTCATGGATCGCCATCCTCGGCACCGTCGCGGCTCCCATCTACGCCGGCTTCATCGACCAGGCCATCGGGTGGCGCTGGATCGAGGGCATCCAGGGCCTGGCCAACGTGCCCCTCCTGATTTGCATCTTCCTCTTCTTTCCCGAGACCCGAGGCGGTGTCGAGCTGCACAGGCGAGCCGCCGCCCTGCGCAAGGCCACCGGAGACGAGCGCTACGTCGCCGAGGGCGACATCTACACGCCCGACATCAAGTCCATGCTCAAGGCCTCGTCCGTCAAGGCCATCCACATGCTCGTCACCGAGCCCGTGGTCTTCTCCTTCGGCCTCTGGATCGCCTTCTGCTGGGGCGTGACCTTCATGTTCCTCTCGGTCATCCCCATCACCTTCACCGAGAAGCGCGGCTGGTCCGAGGGCGTCAGCGGCCTCCCCTACATCAGCCTGGCCATCGGCTGCACCCTGGCCTGGATGGCCCACCACCTCCAGATGCGCAAGTACGACCGCCTCACCGCCGACCCCAGCGTCACCGTCACCCCGGAGGCCCGCCTCTACGGCGCCATGTACGGCGCCATCTGGCTGCCCGTCGGCCTCTTCATCTACAGCTTCACCCAGTACGCCTACCTCTCGTGGGTCGGCCCGGCCATCGGCCTCGCCCCCATCGCCTTCGGCATCTACTTCGTCTTCGAGTCCACCTACAGCTACACGGCCGACTGCTACGGCCCCAGCGCCTCGTCCGCCATCGCCGGCCAGGGTCTCATGCGGAATACCCTGGGCGCGGTGACCCCGCTGTTCTCGACCCAGTTCTTCCACAACGTGGGCTCGCAGTATGCCGGCCTGATCCTGGCCCTGATCGCCACGGGACTGAGTCTCATCCCGTTCGTCATGTACAAGTTCGGGCCCACGCTCAGAGCTAGGAGTAAGCTGGCGCTGGTCTAATGGCGAGGGAAGATACAGGATGTGGTACATAATCGTTCCAATGAGTATATATACCTGGAATGTGCATTATAGGAGTATTGCGGTTCAAACATAGCATCACAGCATCATAGCGATGAGTTAATAGTTCAGAATATTCGAACCGGGCAAACGTTCCAAGGATCTTGTCTGTTCCACTTGCAATTCCGTCCAAGAATAATTGTCGTGAATGTGCATTGCCAGGGCATCAGAGTATTATTGTTTCGCCGAAGTTTCTGTGCGATCCTCAATGACCCTGGAACAACAGAGAAGCAGCGTGGGATCACGGGATCACCTTGAAGGCCAAAATGGGGCATCGAGTCCCTTGGATAACCAACTCCAGGAAATTCGACTCCTGAGAAAGACGGCTCTGGAAAAGTCGGTCCGTTGGTGTGATGGTGCTCGGAACACCCGGATTCAACGTGTACGTGTCTCCCGTATAGACCCGGTGTTTTGTACCCCTTTATAAAGCGCGGGTGAGAGGGCCAAGGCTGAAGACTTTTCTCGGAGATGATCCGTCTGGAGTCGCCCCCTTTCCTGAACAGAGTCTCTACCCCGGAAGCTCTGGGGACACTGAAGTCACTACACCGTATGGACCGATCCGGCCTGTGAATGAAAGGTCTTCCTGTCTTGTGATCCCTTTAGGAGAAGCATATTCTCATCACCTGAAGACTGGGTGGATCTTGCCACTTTGCCGATCACGCAGTCTTTCTGGCAGTTTCACGTGGTACCTGGAGACGTGTTAGCTTATTAATGGTCGCGTAGTTGAAATATTCAATGTCGTATGAGTAGTACGCAGAGCGAAATGGAGTGTTAGCTGCAACCTACATGTGAGTCGTCCAAGCACAGAGGAGACGCCTCGTATCTGCTGGATCTATGATCTCTGGCACGCTAAAAGCCGCAGCAGTACGTACAGGATTCTGTAGCCTGGTATATTCGTTCACCAGATTCTCGTAGACCTCGGCTCGTTTCTCTCCTGCGTCCTTCAGCTCTCTGGAATGGCTGGCCTCAATGCCACCTTCCAGCGGGAGGCTTCCCGATTCGAGGCTCGGCCAAGCGACGCGGTTGTGAGGATCGCGGCAGTCAACCATCAGCCCGCCAGCAACTCCGTAGCACTTTCTGACAAGCACGTTGAAGATTGGCATGGTGGTCGAGTAGTAGGCTTTGCCCAGCTCAACCCCGTACTTCATGGTTGCTTGGCGTTCCGCTGCAGTGCCGACGGCGTATCCGGGGCAGTCGACGAACTGGATCAGGGGAAGATTGAAGACATCACACAGGTTCAGGTGTCTTGTCATCTTCTGTGCTCCCAGCGCATCGGTGGCACCGCTGAGTACTTCGGGATTGTTCGCGACGACCCCGACTGGCCGACCACCCATGCGGCCGAGCCCCACAAATGCTGTGTTCCCCCAGCCAGCCCCTATTTCGAACCAGGAGTCTTGGTCCAGCGTCGTCTGTATCAGCCGCAGCATGGAATAAGCCCGTTGGCGGCGTCGAGGTATGATAGTACGCAGCGATGTCACGTCCCTGTCGGAAGGGTCTGCAGCCTCTGCTACGGGAGGAAGATTATTCAGCCCACAATCAGGAACATAGGAAATGAACTTTGTGATCTGGGCGAAGCAAGCAGCCTCGTCGGGGACGGCGTTGTCGATTGTCCCATTTGCGCAGTGGATTTCCGGCCCGCCCAGCTCACTGACGGTCAATCCCTCCTCGAACGTGGCTTTTGCGACCACATGTGGCCCGGCATTGAACAGGGAGCCGACATCACTGGCCATGACGGAGAAATGGCACGCAGTTACCCGAGCAGCACCAAGCCCAATTGCCGGGCCCAGCACGGCACCGACGTTGGGGATACCAAGGCTGAGCTGCTCGGCGACCTCCCTGAAACCAGGCGTGGGAGGCACGTAGCTGAACCCGTCCTTCATTATGGTCGTCACCGAGCCCCCGCCGGAGCTGCCGTCGACGAGCTTGACGATGGGCAGCCGCAGGTCGAGGCACAGCCTCTCCATGTACACCGTCTTGGCCCAGATCGCCCCGTCGGCGTGGCCAGCCCGCAGCGAGAAGTCGTCTGCGGTGAACAGGACGCGGCGCCCGCCCACGGTGCCGAAGCCTTGGACGTTGTTACTCGGCGTGAACCCTCGGACCTCGTCCTTGGCCTTGGCCTCCTCGCCAGCAGTCGTCGTCCTCCAGTCGATGGTCCCCGCCACGGACCCGACCTCGTAGAAGCTGCCCGGGTCGAGGAAGGCGTCGATGCGTTCTCGGACCCATAGCTTGCCTGCTTGTTTCTGGCGCACATAACCCGGACGCTCTGTCGGTGGGGTTTCCGCGATCTTCTTCACGGCCTCGACTTGTCCCAGTATATCAGACCAGTCGGCAGGGGGTGCATTCTTGTCCTTCCTCCTGGTCCGTTTCGCAGCCTGTCTCTCTGGCGGGGCTGTTGATAAGTTGCCGTCGGTGTTGTTGTTGTGGCTTTGTATTTGAGATGCAATCTGCTTCAGGCGCAACCTCGCCTTTGGACCGTCATTTTCGCCTGCCATTGAGAGGTCTTGATTATATGATCAGAGTCTAGGCGTTGAGGTGAGAAACTTGGGGAAGGAAGGTTGAGAGACCACGACGCAGAGGGCCGCAAAAAGACGGTGCCGTTTCAGTGTCTCCAAGATCGTCCACCGAGGGACCCCAGCAGCAGCCGAGGTTCATTCGCGGCGGGGATTGGAGACGGCACTGAGACTCCAACAGACTGTCAACATTCCTCTGACCACAGTTTACTAATTATGACTTCAGTAGGCATCATTTCGACAAAAGCTGTTGATTTGGCGCTTCCAAAGGCCGCCGGCACTTGAGTTGCGACGACCATGGCTCCTGTGCGTATCCTGGTGGGAAACAGGTGAGCATGCCAACCGCATCCTGAAGACCAGTACCGAACGAGCTCACAATGTACTGATCGAATGCCTAATGGAGGGGCGAGATAGCTGTGAGGATCCTTTCGTCTGCCCGCGAACTTGGCCTCCACACCATTGCCGTCTATACAGAAGATGATGACGCGCACGTGGCACACGCCCACGAGGCAGTGCAGCTTCCCTCGGCGTCCTCATACATGGACCCGTCGCACCTGGTGGCCGTGTGCAAAGAGCACCACGTGGACGTCGTACACCCCGGATACGGGTTTTTGTCCGAGTCCCCTGGCTTCTGTCGACAGCTGGGGGACGCCGGCGTCGCCTTCGTGGGCCCTAGTGCCGAACTTCTCATCAGAACAGGCGACAAGCTGAGTGCGAGGAAGCTGGCGGACGAGTGCGGTGTGCCAGTCCTCCCGGCCCTGACTGAGCCAATTGAGAATCCCGAGGCACTGAGGGCGTTCGCGAATGATGTAGGCTTCCCAATCATGATCAAGGCACTCGATGGCGGGGGCGGCAGGGGCATCCGCCTTGTGCACCGGGTAGAAGATCTTGACTCAAGCTTCCGCAGAGCCGTGAACGAGAGCCCAAGCAGCAAAGTCTTCGCCGAAAAGGCCGCCGTCGATGGCTTCCGTCATATCGAAGTTCAGATCATCGGCGACGGGAAGGGCAATGTCCGTCACCTTTGGGAGCGCGAGTGCTCGATACAGCGCCGGTTCCAGAAAGTCGTCGAGATCGCTCCCTCGACAGTATCGAACCGTGCGCTGATCGCTTCCGTCATCGAGGCTGCTGTGCGCATGGCAAAAGCCATCAAGTATCAGTCGCTTGGTACATGGGAGTTCCTCGTTTCGCCAAAGAGCTCACAGTTCTATTTCATGGAAATCAATCCTCGACTTCAAGTTGAGCATACCGTGACCGAAGCAACATGTGGTGTCGACTTGGTCCGGTGGCAGCTGCTTCTTGCCCTTGGCAAAAGCTTCCCGGATATCGGCCTCGAGACATCACTCAAGCACGCTGACGCCAAGAACCCACCCCAGTTCTACATCAATACAGCTCAGGGTCACGGCAGAGGACGTCAAGCAAGGTTTCTCGCTCTCAATCGGCAAGATTCGTCGCGTTCTCTTCGCGTGCGGCAACGGGATCAGAATAGACACTCACTTGCACCCCGGTGTGATTGTCGGCGGACTTTGACTCTCTCCTGGCCAAGTTGATCGTCACAGGTCCCGACTGGGATGCCACAGTCGCCAAAGCCGAGAGAGCGTTGCAAGATGTCTTGATCGACGGTGTGACGACAAACCTTGGCTTGCTCCAGGGCATTGTGCGGTCTGCAGACTTTCGGAACGGTCAATTCGATACACAATGCCTAGAAAAACACCTGGAAACGCTCGAGACCTCGAGCCGAGGACTTCCGAATTCCACTGGCAGATTTGCGTCTGGCTCTGCTGGCCGAATCAGCCAGCCCTCGGCCCAGTCCCCGAACTCACCAGGCCAACTTGTCAGGAAAGGAGACCAATTTCAGATCCGAATTGAAGGCAGTGACGATATGGAGTCTTTCGAAGACCTTGTCTCAATTACAAGTGTGATTCGTAATGACTTTCCTGAATCACTGGCTGTCAAATTGTCAACCTGTAGCACCGATGACCCAGAGCGTTCCTCGGATAAACAGAAACAAAAGAGCTACACCGTCCGAGTTCTGAAGCAATCAGAAACACAGAAGTCTCTCGAAGCCTCTTCGGGTCACTCTAAGACTTCACGTGGAGATCTCTCGCAGCTTATCAGCCCTATAGCCGGCCAAGTCGTCGAGTTCCTGATAGAAGAGGGAGAATCGGTTGCCGAAGGGGATGCCGTTCTCATAATCCGCCAAATGAAAAGTAAGCATCTTATCCTTCTACGATTCCCAGTCTATCGTCTCTTGGAATATTCTCGAATGCGTCACCCCAGACTCTGTAGCAGGTCGTTAACACGCTATATAGTGGAGCTAGAAGTGAGGGCGCATCGGTCCGGGATCGTGCGATCGCTCATTGATCTTGACGAAGGAGACAAAATTGCCGTGGGCACTGCTATTTGCAGTATTGCTCCGGCAGACCGGGAGAAACTATGAGACACAGGAAGCATTCGGCACATTATTCTGCGCCTGGTTGCCTCGCGAGTAGATACATGAGACTAGGCTCAACAGATGCTGTGTCCCGGTCAGGTCGCTTCGGCATAGCAATACTCCAACAATACGAGACCATGGTGGTATGACAAGGCATGCGCGCATCATTCAGCTTCACTAGCGTCCCTCCGGAGGCGAGATACCACAGAGCCACGCGGCTCATGATAACTCATAAATACATTTTACCAGGCTCTGCTCAGTTGCATCTCATGTTCGTACACAGATAGTGTTATTTTTGTACACAAACATAATGGCGAGTGACACAACTGCAGTGAAGCCGGGAAGAATTGATTCAACAACTCACCGACTGGCGGCAAATGAATGCTGCCCAAATGAAGCCAGCTTGAATGCCTTCGTAGAATATCGCCTTTCTAAATAAGAATACAGCCTCCCAGCTTTCACTGGCTTAACACGACTAAAACTTCCACCGGAGTCATATGTCCTCTTGAGTGGTTCATCATTTGCTAAAATGGACAGAAAATTCTTCTGCGGTTATGTCTTTGTAGTCCTCGCAGCAACCATTCGCACGAGCTCACTCGCGGAGCAACAGCATGCGGTCGCAGGCCTTGACGACAACAACAATCCCCTTCCGAGCTACTCTCCGGCCAGGCCTCCTGCTGTCCCTCTAGCAGTGAGGAGCCCCTATCTAAGTGCTTGGTCCAAGACGGCTGGTGGAGCTACCTTGAACAGCGCCAATGCTATATTCTGGCAAGGTGCCCCCATTGGATGGGAAGGCATAGTGGCAGTAGATGGGATCTCGTACGAATACCTCGGAATTGGATCGCAATGTCCACCCACCCCGGCCAAATTGCAGCCTGCCAAGCCACAAACTGTCAGCTACGATTCCCAGTACTCCAACTTCACCTTCCTCGCCGGCCCCGTCACCATCGAGGCAAGCTTCTTTTCTCACCCCGAAGGACGTATGCCGGAGCTCTATCCCGCTCAGCTACCTCACAACCACCGTCAAGTCGAACGACTGCGAGGAGCATAGCGTGCAGTTTTACTCCGATATCAACGCCGCTTGGGCCACACCAGACCGCCATATACCTGTTGTCTGGGACCTCAAGGTGGACGGCCAAGCTTATCTCCCTACCGCCATCGACGTCGCCACCCAAGATTTGACAGGCTCAGCAAGCACAATATTCTCCTGGGTCTACTGGCTTGCGAATGCCTACATCTTCGGAGAGAACGCCGAGTTCCCACAATGGGGCAACATCACCTACAGCACGAGCTCCGAGGGCTTCAAATGTTTCAGCTTCGAGAGCGGCTTTGCCACAGATTTGCGGGCCCAATTCGTCAACCAGCGTGTGTTGAACAACGCGGTCGATCGTGACTATCGAGGCTGGGGATCTCGTGAGCCTGTCTTCGCATTTGCGCATGATGCCGGCAACGTCACCTCGGCACAGGTGCGGTACACAATCGGTTCGATCCAGACGCCGGTGGTCCGCTATCTCAGCGTCACGGGTTCCGGCGCCGTGTCGCCGTGGTGGGAGAGGTGCTACGGAGATATGTACTCCATGATCGATTTTCATTGGAACGATTTCGAAGCCGTGTCTCAGTTGGGCGCCACCTTTGAGGCTCAGTTGAGGGCGGACGTCAGCGGCTACTACAAGGGCAGCGAGAACTACACGAGCCACGCCCGGACAAATGTCAGCTCAAGTCCGACAAGGTCTTCCGCACTTTCGAATGTGTCTGAGCAGTACGCGGATGGTATAGACCGGTACGGTCAACAATACAAGTTCGATCCGAACAACGCGTACGGATTCTTGGCCATGGACAACTCCAGCGGCGTTGCAATCCCCGACATTGACGAGGCAGAAGCTTATTACACCATCGTAGCTCTCTCGGCTCGGCAAGTCATGGGCGCTTATGTCTACGCCATCCCACCCTCGGGCGCTGCGAGCTGCGGTGAGGGCTCGCACGACTCAAATGGCGAAGTGCCCCTAATGTTCCAGAAGGAAATATCATCCGACGGAAACGTAAACACAGTAGATGTGCTCTATCCAGCCACCCCGTTCTTCCTTTGGGCAAACCCGGAGATGCTCAAATACACGCTCGAGCCCATCTATCAAAACACAGAATCCGGCTTCTACCCGAGTGGGTACTCGATGCACGACCTCGGAACGCATTACCCCAATGCCACGGGCCACACAGACGGCATTGACGAGTTCATGCCAGTCGAGGAGAGCGGCAACATGCTGCTCATGTCGTACGCCTACTACAAGTTCACGGGCGACGCGGCCTGGCTCAGCGCCCACTACCCAACCCTGAAGCAGTGGGCCGAGTTCCTCGTCGGCTTCAGCTTGATCCCCGCCTACCAATTCAGCACGGATGACTTTGCCGGGCAGCTGGCGAACCAGACGAACCTCGCCCTCAAGGGCATCCTCGGATTGCAGGCAATGGGCGCCGTCGCGCAGGCCGTGGGCCAGCCCGCCGGCGCAGCCAACTTCTCCGCGATCGCGGGCGACTACTACCGGCAGTGGGAGGCCCTCGCCATCGACCCGACGGAGAACCACACCCTCCTCTCGTACCAGTGGCGCTCAAGCTGGGGCCTCCTGTACAACACCTACATGGACACCCTCCTGGGCCTCGGCACCGTCAGGCCCGAGCTGTACAAGATGCAGTCGGACTGGTACAGCAGGCAGAGCCAGGTCTACGGCGTGCCCCTCGACAGCCGCCACCTGTACACCAAGAGCGACTGGGAGATGTGGGCGGCCGCGACGTGCAACCCCGGGACGCGGAGGCTGTTCGTCAACGCCCTCGCGCACTGGGTCAACTCGACGCCGACCGAGTTCCCGCTCACCGACCTCTACGACACCACCGGCGTCGGGGGGTACCCCCCGGACTTGGTGTTCAAGGCCCGGCCCGTGGTCGGCGGGCACTTCTCGCTCCTGGCGCTGTACCGTGCTGGTTTGCTGGATGGCGGACGAGGGCCCAACGGGTCAGCATTCGTCCCGCAGTAGCATGGAGAGGCTCGGTGGGGAGCCAATGTCGCTCCCTACAAGCGGGCCATGATCGGTTTCTTCTGCAGTGCGTGAGGAGTGCAGGTGGAAATTCTAGCCGGGTCTTTGGATTAGTCGGTGGTGATAGGCTCGCTCAGTAATTGGATCATAGCGCCACTGGGGGCGAGGCAGATTGGACCGGCTAAGTCAGCGAGTCCCGTGGGATGGACTGGAGTTGACCTCGGCGGCAGGTGATGGCAGTCTATGTTGCTTGCGGGGGCAATGATTCAGAATGGACTCTGGTGAGCATCTTAAAGGACACATCAAGGTGCACCGGGACGTGTAATGGTGGGAGATGTCGCATGTCGAGGATGTTAAGTTTGCAAGTCTGCTCGAATATAAAGCACTAAGTACCAGCACCGTGCTAATGCCTGACCAGCACAGAATGTTTGGTTTTCGCCCCCCCCCCCCCAAGCCCCCAATCAGGGGTGAGTTCGTCTGGGTGTTTGGTGGGCAGGGAGGGAGCCATGCGTTGCACGTTGAAAGCTAGACCCAGCTGATTGGCCCTACAATGCTGCGTCTGGCCCCTTGCATCTGTCCAGATCGAGGCCCCTGGAATCATTGAAATCAAAAGGATAAAGCACCGACTCCCGCGTCGGCCAACTAAAACGGCGACGACCCCAGGTGACCGGGATTCAGCTGTCATGGTGGCTGCGCGAAACCGCAGACCGAGAGGCCTGATTCGAAGACCGCCCGTAATGAGCCCCAGCGGGAAGTGGGTTGTTTGCCCAGGTGCCGCCCTCGCGCACCAGGACACCAGCGAATAATGGGCCCTCCCTCGGCCGTCAGGTGCCGAATGGGGAAGGTCACAGGTGATCGCCCCAGTCACTATCGTGGGAAAGATCCGAGCCACAGTGCTTGATTGTACGACAGGCGGGATGACAGACCTGCCCCATCTGAATAAGTACAGTGCCTGCTAGCATAGATAGCTTGCAGAAGTCGTACATCTCGTCCACCCTGCCTCTCGTCAGTCACTCTCACACCTGGTACTCACACCACCACATCGTCGAAACACACTGCAGTGAGTGCAGTGGTCTTGGACAGCCGTTGGCAAACATGGCCGTTGTCGTACTCACCGTTCTGGCGACTCTCGCTGCCTCATCCCTCGTCAATGCCGATACTGGAGCCTCCATCTTCAACACGAGGGCGACATGCTCGGGATCGGTCGAGAGCTGTTCGTCGGGAGCCGGCTCGGCGTCGACCTGCTGCGTGAATAGGCCAGGGGGCCAGTTCCTGCAGACCCAGTTCTGGGACACGGATCCAGGTCAGTGCTACCGCTCCACCAAACGGCTTCTGCTCGCACGGCTAACATAGGCGGGACTATAGTCACTGGCCCGTCGAACTCATGGACCATCCATGGGCTGTGGCCAGACAACTGTGATGGCACCTATTCTCAGGACTGCGACTCCAGCCGGGCATACACAAATCTGACGGAGCTCATCCGGACGTACGGCAGCCAGTCGCTGCTCGATTTCATGAACACGTACTGGCTCAGCGATTCTGAGAGCGCCGAGGCCTTTTGGGAGCACGAGTGGTCCAAGCACGGCACTTGTATCTCAACTCTTGAGCCAAGCTGCTACTCGGATTACCAGGCCGGGGAGGAAGCTGCTGCCTTCTTCCAGACGGTCGTCAACCTTTTCAAGTCATTGGACACTTACACTGTGCGTAGTCTACATAATCTGCTGCAAACCCGAATACCTCCTTCCACACGCTCAGCATGCTAACATTGACGCTCAGGTCCTGTCAAAGGCTGGCATCGTCCCATCCAACTCCGCCACTTACACTTCCAGCCAGATCACCAAGGCGATCTCCGCGTCCTTCGGACAAGACCCGGTGATCCTCTGCCGTGGTAGCACTCTCTACCAGATCTACTATGGTTTCGTCACCAACGGGCCCCTGGCCGATGGCGCCTTCGTCCCCACCGCTGTCAACGGCCAGTCCTCAAACTGCCCCAGCACCGGCGTCAAGTACCCCCTCAAGTCCGCCGCCGCCGCGACTTCCTCCACCAAGACTGCCACAGCGACGGGCACCAGCACCTCTGCCGCGGCAACTGCCACCGGCACCTCGGTTTCTGGATCCGGCCACTGGAACGCCCAGTACAACGGCAAGGCGGACGGTTGCCTCATCAGCTCCGGGACCTGGTACGTCGGCGGAACCTGCGCCACGTACAAGACAACTGCAACCAGTGAGTCATCATATGCCGGGGCATAGGCCACTTGACCAGAGCACTGACTAGTCGCACCAAGGCAACGGCTTCACCATGACCTCCTCCAAGGGCAACTGCGGAGTTGTCAACGGGGCGATTAGCTGCGGGAGCGGTGTGACCCTGAGCACGTTCACCGCGGCTGGCGGCCTGCTGGCGTACAACGGGCAGACCGAGTTCTACGCCAGCGCGGTTCCATCGGGCTCCACACAGGCGAGCGTCTATGTCGCCTCGCAGTCGTATTCGGTTACGTTCCAGTGGCAGTCTGTCTAAGTCTCGCGGTTGGAGGGATCCGCCTTGAGGACACCGGCTGGAGAGTGGGTTAGTACTGGCATTCTCCTGCTCGTGCAGTCTAGTTAGGTCTGGGGACTTGTCATACTTACATACCAAGTAAGCCATTTTGGGCCAGACTTCGACATGCTGCCGTGAAAATTGATAAAAGCTTCTACGTCTTGCCTATTCTTGGCCTGACTTTCAAATTGCGAAGGATTGCATGTGCGAGTGGATCGTCATGGTTATCACAACGTTCACTCAGCTTATGCATGTATCTGCGTCCTCTTATGATATCGGCGCAAATGGGAAAGGCTGTTAAGAACTTTTGCGAAAGCATGTCAGCTTTTATTGAATCTGTTTGATAGGCCATGGTCTTGAAGGGCATTGTGAGATTCGCTTGCTCATCAATACTCGTACAAGTCAGCTTCGGTAACCCCTGAAACGCCGCCTTTGTTACCTCGCCAGCTGACATAGTATTCATCAATCACCTTCATCTTTCAATTCGGATCTCATCCTCATCTGCGGCTGAACGAAAACCAAGAGATGTTCCATGGTCATGAGCAACGAAACTGCAGGACAATGTTGCGAGGGAAAGGTGAAGGCTCATGCCATCATCTCTTTTTGTCCTAAACAAAAGGTCAAAGTTTAAATCTTCCACCTAAGCCGTCGATGAGCTGGCCCATGAAATGTTCCCTGTTTTATAGCATCCCTGGATAGATTAGCGCCGGGAATATTGTGTCGGACGTGGGTGGGTTCCGCCAGATTATATGAAACGCTGAGGTAAACGCTGCTTCGAAAGCTGTTTGAGCCGCCAATGCGGTCCCAACTTGAGATGGCGTGACGCAAGACTTCCTGTCCCATGTGAAAATCTGCTCGCTTGTAGCAGAGTATTTGCTGACAGATATAATGATGAGATGAAAGCAGGATGTCACTTCCTCTAAGCCAGTGTTATGCCTCTTTTCCCACTTGCTCCCCAACAGTTCCAAGGGGCCGGTTTGAAAACTGCACGATAACACTTCAAAGATTTATGTGGGGCCCTCAGCTATATAATCTTACATTTTATTCTCTTCAATTCTACGCTCCCAATTACAAGCAGCTGTGAGCTGAGCAATCCCGGAGCGGCTGTTCGATTCTGGGCCACAGGACACATGACTTGCCTATTCTGAGCATGGAAGGTAAGGATAATCAAACCCCTGAAGCTTTTCACATCAATCTTTCCAGAAACAGCTCTCGTTTCTCATTTCGAGTCCCGGATTCGCATCGAGGAAGACCTCGCGCCGAAATCTGACGAGCCCCGAGTTCCACTTTTGATGTTGACGTTCGACACGTAGGAACAGTCAGATTCGAGGCCATGGCCAAGCCACCATTATTATACCAGGTCTCCGGAAGGACTTTGGAGGTATACCGCACACCACGAGCGTATGCGACCACGCAGTCTGGACGAGACTCGTACCTGGCGGGGCCGCCACCGGTTCATGAGACATCATCGGACGCAAGGTCGTGGTCACGTCAGACGGAGGGTGCCCTGGACGCATACAGAGAAGAGGAAGAGAAGCGTAGGACTGTCCTCGACCAGACTGTCCGCGTCGAAGACGCACCTACCGTCGGCCGTGGTGGGAGCTACGAGATGTCTCATGGGACCGAGAAGAAGACTGGGGTGGAGGTTACCGAGTACCGCCTGTACTCCGGGAACAGTGACGTTCTTGGTAGCTCCCGGGTGCTCGAATCGAGCCAACGTTCAGAAAAGTCAGCGTCTAGTTATTTTGCAACCTACATTGAAGCAGCCCAATTGGAGGCGGACACAGAGCAAACCCTGGAGGCCGCCCAGAAGCCCCCGAAGAACCACAGAATGACCAAGATGATTGTCAAGGAAGACATCGACTTCTTCACGGCTCTCTTAGAGGGCCACGACCCGCCGACGACGACGGAGGAGACGAGGACTTTTGTGCGCGACGAGAGCGAGACACACAGGCACAGCCTGGAGATCAGGGAACGCGAGGCCGACAGGAGGCGACAGGAGGAGGCGGAGGCGGCCAAGGCAGACACGGACTTTTTCATGATGCTGATGTGCAAGGAATGAATGACCATATGGGGTATCATAGAGCGATTATGGAACGTTGCGGTGCGCGTCTCTGTCTTTCCCGGACGTTGTTTGGTCGCCGATTAATAGTCCATATTTACGACACATGAGTAACTGAGATCATAGGGATGCGGAATAGATGTTCAAATGATGCTTCGGTGCATTATTGGAGTCATTGAAGCTACACTACACTTTTTGGTTTCCCCCAAATCGCATAGAACCTCTCATTTCCCAGGTGTGCCCCTATATTCCATCCCAACACACATCCTAAGAAAGCTTCCCAGCCTTCTGGGCCGTCCACGTGGCGATGGCGTCCATGAGCGGCGGCGAGAGGGCGTCGTAGGTGGGCAGGCCCTTGGCGGCGAAGGCGGCGCGGACGTCGTCCATCTTGTTGGGGTCGAATCCCTGCTCGATGATGGAGCTGACGAAGGCGGCGAACTGGGGCCTGCCAGCCCTTGTCCCCGGACAGCTCGACGTGGACGAAGTCGAGGCCCTTGAAGGGGTGGTCCTTCTCGATGCGGCCGAACAGGTGCACGCCGCACTCGCGGCAGGCGTTGCGCTGGATGGCGGCCTCCGGGTCGACGACCTTGAGCTTGCCGGCGCCGGCCGTCACGCTCAGCTTGTCGCGCGGCACCACGGCCACGACGCTGAAGAGCGCGCCCTTGGGCTTCCAGCACTTGGAGCACCCGCAGGCGTGGTTGTGGGCCACCTGGCTGCCGAGGGTCACCTCGACGGGGCTGCTTGAGCAGTGGCACTTGAGCTTGCCGCCGGCGAAGTTCGGGTCGCCCTTGGTGAGGCCGTTGTCGATGGAGGGGTGGAGAGATGGTGCCATTTTGGTGGTCTGAGGTGCTGCCGGTTTCCTAGCTGAAGATTCCAATGTATTCTCTCAAATCCAGTTGTTTTGGATGGCAGGTCGGGCGAGGGGAGTGTTTACAGGTTGACAATGACAATGACAATGCTCCCCTCTCCTTCCCCTCCTCTCAGGCTGGGCACGACGGCCTTTTAATAGGATCCGAAGCTTCGCGTACCCCTCAGATGAGCACTCGCACCGCAGGGCCTCGCCTCGCGGACTGGCGAATAAAGACTCGGGATTGTGCCATCCTCAAACGTCCCCAATGTCTTGACTTTCACCCGGGGCAGGGAGCTTGTCAATGTTGCTGGTGTGAGCCCCAGCGCCAGCATCCCGAATGCCGAAGCAGCGCCCCCTTGGCAAGTGGGCGTCATCGGCGGTGCAGCCGTTCACGGTGCCAACTTGCACCGCCATGGATTGGCATTGTTGATAAAGCTAGTTAGGAACGGTGCGGTACGGTAATGTGGCACGCCGGTAACGGTGGGCTCGGGTGGAGGTGGGGGAAACGAATGCCCAGGTCGCTCGCCATCGATGTGGCTCGAGCTCTTGGGCGTCATCAGTCATTACAATCGCTCATTGGCTTTATAGCAAAGACGGCCGACATCCTGCGATTGCAATTGCTTGCTCATTGTCAATTTGAAAACATGGGAGGTGGACAAGGCTTCATGCACCTAGTCGTGTCAAGTCCTAGGACGACCTTCTTATATCAGTAATCTTGAGACTGAGCACCTTGATGTCCAGCAGCAGCACCCCTGGCCATCAAGGTTGTCGCCCAGACAGGTGCAGCCTGTGTGAAGAATACAGATACTGTAAGCCAATACGTCAGTGCCATGACACGACACACCCCGTCAGGCAGTCCGTCTCAATCCTTAACAGAGGGGCACGCGCCTTCCAACGGCGGTGTCAAGAGTGGTACGCTTGCCGGACAGTTGCTTTACCCCGCAGCCCCTTCTCCAAATGCCAGATGCCGAGTACTGCCCGAGAGTTGGAGAAAGCATTCTTCCTCAAAAGCTTATCTGGCTTCGCGGGCGATTCCGCCTGTGCCGTGCTAGATCAAGAGCTCGAGTCGGTTCTTCCGCGCCCCCCGCCGGATCCCCACCACATGTCGCAGCCGAATTACAGCGCAATATATCGTCTTGCCAAAGCTGCCTGTGTCTTTGAAAACCGGGCTTAGAGCTGCAAATCCAATTCAAATTTATAACTTGTACAGATCGACACATAAACCAACATTTGCGAAGTCACAAATCCCAATGCGAATAGAGTCAACTAACTCCTGGGATGATAACGCTCTCATGAATCCAGCATGGTTCCCCGCTCCCGCCGCCCGGGTTTGAGACGCATATATAGCCGTGTAATTACCCAATGACAGCAGGCAGCAATCTTGTACCTAGAGTCGTCTTGGGGAATCCAAGAGATCGCCTGTATTTAGTGTAGTGCATCAGAAGTTGCTTAGGGGTGGGGTAAAGCACAACGGCCGGCGTCACTTTGGGTTGTGCTTACGGGATGCCTCAGTCCTCGATGTCATCGACTTAGTCCGGGGGCGATCCTCACATCGCCGCAAAGTTCCCGGATAGCACGCTCGTCATTCTCATCCCTTGTCCAGGGAAATAATCAAGGCGTCAATTTCCCAAGATGAGCGAAACAAATGGCGACAGCAAGCCCTTCCGCATCGCCATAGTAGGCGGTGCCATAGGCGGGCTCACAACAGCGCTCTTTCTAGACCACTTCTGCCGCCGGCTCCCAGGCCAGAATGGCAAACCTCTGCCGCCGATCGCCATCGATGTTTATGAGCAGGCGAGCGAGTATAAGGAGATCGGCGCGGGCGTGGGGCTGGGCATCAACGCGGCCAAGCTTGTGCACCACATTGACGGCGTCGGTGCAGCCATGAACGAGATCCAAGGCCGGACAGACAGCTCGTGGTTCACTTTCTGCCGGTGGGATAACGGGAAGTTCATCACCCACGTCGATAGCCCCGTGTCCGACGAGGACGTGGTGAGGCCGTCGAGCATGGCGCGCAGCGAGTTCTTGGATGTGCTGCTTGGCTTTATTCGTGAGAGGCATGTTGCGACGCTGCACACGAACAAGAAATTTACTTCTGTGAAGGTGAGCATCTCCGCGTAGTGATCTATTATCCGGAGCTCGCGGCCGGCTGGAGATTGGGGGTGCTGACAACGCCGGCAGGACCTCGGCGAGGGGGGCGTCGAGATATCATTCAAGGACGGAACCACAGCCGAGGCGGATCTCCTGATCGGCTCGGACGGGATCCACTCCGAGGTCAGGAAGCAGTTCATCACCGGCAAGGCCCTGTACAGCGGCAAGATAGCATACCGGGGCGTCGTGCCCATAGACAAGCTCCCAAAGGAAACGTGGCCGGGGCGGTCCTGGTCGGTGATATGGATGGCCCGGCACAAGCACTTCCTCGTCTTCCCCATCAGCCAGTCCCGGTCCCTCAACATCGTCGCCTTCATCTCCAAGCGCGAGGACGAGATCCCGGACCTGCGCGAGAGCTGGACCAGCACCTGCGACCGGCGCGAGCTGGAGGAGGACTTTGGGGACTGCGAGGACACGGTCCAGAAGGTCATCCGGCTCATGCCCGAGCGCCCGTCCAAGTGGCGCATCAACGACCACGAGCCCGTGCCGCAGTGGGTCTTCCTCGACGGCAAGGTCGCGCTCCTCGGGGACGCGTGCCACGCCACGACGCCGCACCAGGGCGCGGGCGCCGGACAGGCTGTGGAGGACGGGTACATCCTCTCTAAGGCGCTGTCGGACTGGCTGGCGAGGGGGAAGAAGGGCTCGGTGCAGGGGTGGATGGAGCTCTACCAGCGGATCCGCCTGCCTCGCGCCCAGAAGGTGGTCACCACGAGCCGCCAGGCAGGCGAGCTGTACGAATTTGAGTCGCCGGACTTGATTGACTTGCCATATGATGAGGCGGTACCTATTGTCGCAGAGCGACTCCAGGAAAGGCTGAAATGGTTGTGGATGGAGGATCTCGACGCGGTCTATGAGAGGGAGAGGGAGGAAGCGGGACTATGAGTTATCATTTGTGGTGTCTCGTCATATCATGTGTTTCGTAATCGTGTAGGGCTTGACATAGCGGCGAAGACAGCTGTATATACTCTTTGCAGTTAGGGTTGACTAGTTATACTTAGAGATTGCGCCTATTCTGCTAGGATACACTCTTCTATACTCTCATACCGCTCGGCAACGGACTTCAGCGTAACTACATGCGACGTAGGCAACGGGATAGCAGGTGGTCCTAGAAATATCCGTGCGGAATCCGACATCCATAGGAATTTGGGCCGCTAGACGATGCGGATGCTCTCATTCCAGCATTCCAGCTATACTGCCTCAAGACGGGAAAACAAGACAGGTATCCGTCAAAGACACCAAGTGTCACTACTTTGGGCACCATATCTCTACAGCCCTTGAATTCTACATGCAGTTCGGCCAAGAGGTCACTTCATGAATTTATTATCAATGAGACCTGGCTGACAGTACCACGGGACGCAACATATCACAACAGGTGCAGATCTGCGAGTGGAAAACAACGATTTTGATTTCTGTGCTTGCCGCCCTTCAGAGACAGATCAGGTTACTGTTTGCGCAACCTAGTTCCTAGCATCCACCATACTACTCCACGGTCCAGGAGTGCCCCGGTGTCACCCATCAAATGAAGAAGTAGATTGTGAAGTGGAAGACACCCGGGGCCTGCGCCTCGTACCAAAACGCCTCGACCTCCTTGTCTTGCATCTCCGCGAACTCGTCGGTCATCTTCTGCGCTCCACTGCCGAACGGGGTCTCGTTGTGGAGTATGTCGTACGCCTTGCCCTCGTTTTCCGAGTGGTAGTTTCGGAAGATCCTGTTGTGCCGGGGCAATGGTTAGCTGCAGGAGCACCAGGAAAATGGAAGTCGTATTTGTGTATTTGTATGTGTGTATCACTCCGTGTGTGTGAGAGAAGGAGCTACTTACATCAAGTCCTGCGACTGAGGCACGCCCATCAGCTCGTACACGTGGGGCGTGACCTCCACGAGCTCAGGCTCTACGACGTCCAGGTACTTGATGTAGAGCAGGTCGGCGGCATCACGGCCGATAGAGTACGCCCAGACGCCCAGCTGGATGTCGCGGAGGGGGAGCGCCTCGGGGCGAGTGTCGTCGTCGGTCTGCGCGTTGAACACGGCGAGGACACCCGGGTGCTTGTTGTCCTTGTAGACGGCCAGGTCCGTGAGGAAGGTCGCACCCCACGAGACGTCGTAGTGCACAAAGTCGCCCGAGATAGGGGTTGAGCCCTGGACGGTGTATCCCAGCGCCACGAGGTTAGGGATCTGCTTGAAGGTCTCCTTGAATGTAACGTTGAAGTTGCCATTGAAGTTGCCATTGAAGGTGTCATTGAAGGTGAGGGCTGCCTGGATGAGCCAGGTGGCGAGGAGGAGAATGAGGGTGATGAGCTTCATGTTGTCACTGTTGTGTTCCCGATGAGATGGTTCTGACGAGATGATATGGTCGAAAATGGGAGCGTTTTGTGGCGAGAATGTTGTGGTGGTATTGGGATTGTCCAGTGTACCGGGAAGATCAGGGGAGGGGGGAGTAAGCGGTTGAGAATGGGGGTAGGTAGTTGGATTGTTCAGCAGATCAAGTGGTCTCAAATCCCTGAACGACCTAGAGACAGTCAAGACATTTAAAGTCAAGAGCAGTTGGCAGAAGGAAAGAGGGCATGCCAGTCAGAGGGCTTTCTGGGGAGTCAGGGTCACGATGTCTTCAGGAATAATGCTTCTCTGCCAGAATTCATGCTTAGACAGAAGGAAAGAGAAGGCTTCAAATATTCTGAAGAGAAGGTACATCCTATGAGAGCAAATGTTCTGTTCAAGATGTCCCTCTGTTCAGAGCTATCTAGCTGGCAGGCTTGCCTTACGTTTAGAAGGGGCTATTCTATCTGGCTTATTACAATCTGGCAAGTCTGTTGACCAAGGGCCATTCTGGCGAGAGCTGAATTATACTGGCCTTTTGGACCACGTTGACATCGTGTCTCCTGACCCTCCAAATCCGTTATGGTCGTTGAGCGATGCGTCGAATTTCTCAAATATTTTACATACTCTGAGTGACTATCCTTCATCGTGTCACTCTGTATGATCTATGCCAGTGGTCCACTACATTGGTCAGGGTAAGCAGGACCTGGGATGGCTAGCCTTCAAACTACCTTGGGCTTCCACTCGCTCAGTCGATAGCTGCAACTCGATTACCAAGCCATTCCAGTATGCTTACAAAATACAGATCAGTGCCTGGACTGCACGGGCCCTTATGACTTGTATGAGCATTCACAATTCCTGGAATTGCTGTTCAACCAGGCCGAATTGCAGATATTGAATTTTACAACCGTGATACTGACACATCTTGCCTACCTCGCACGGTTGTGGTCATTCCTCGTCCTTGATCTTCACTTCCTCTTCCTCCTCCTTCACATCCTCTCCGGCCTCGCCAGCCAGCTTACCCTTCCGGAAAGCCTTCCTCAGCCCACACTTCCCCAGGTTCCTCCCCCCAGCCCTGCACTCTTCACACTTCTTCCCATGCGATACGATGAGGATATGCAGCCCGTACTTGTCCTCATCCGGGATCCTAGCATCCAAATGCTGGTGCGTCTCGTCCCTGCTCGCCTTGGCCGGCCTCCACCCCAGCAGACCCGTGATGCGGTGCACATGCGTGTCGACTGCAAAGCTCTCCCTCTGCAGGCAGAACAGCAGCACGCAGCTGGCCGTCTTGGGCCCCACGCCCTGGAAGCTCAGCATCTCCGTCATGGCTTCCTCGCTCGACGCCTTATGCAGGTGGTCCAGTGAGTACTCCCCGTAGCGGGCGTGGACCTGCTCGAGGATGCTGAGGATGACCTTGCTCTTGACGACGCTCAGCCCGCCGCACTTGATGGCCTCCTGCAGCCTCGCCTGGCCCCCCTCCACGATGGCCTCCCACTTGTCGCTGCGGCCGTACGCCTTGTCCATGCTCTGCTTCGCCCGCGTGCTGTTGGTGTCGGACGTGTTCTGCGACAGGATCGTCCGCACCAGGGCGTCCAGCACCGAGGGCGAGTCGCCGCACCCGGCGCGGGAGCTCGGGGCCACGAGCTTCTCTGGCCTGTTGCGCTCCCCGTGGAGGGACGCCAGGATCCTGTGTGCCAGCTTGCATTCCTCTGGCGTGGGGTGCGGGAAGTCGGGGAACGGCGAGTTGTTGGCGTACTGGGCGTAGGCCTTCAATTTCTTGTCCCGGAGGTCTGACGGCTTGCCCTTTTTGCTTGGGCTTGCCTTTGATGGTGGTTTCTCATCTTCTACTTTCACCCTTTTGGGCGTCTCGCTGTCGCCCTCGGCCTTGGGAGCAGCTCGCTTCCTTGGTGTTGCTCGGGGTGGTGAGTGCGGCTCTGTCTTGACCTGTGGTGATTGCGACTGCTCTGTTTTCACCCGGGCAGCTCGCTTGGGCAGCTCCCTCCTCTGTGCTGTGCTTGCAGCTGCGCGAGTACTCCTGGCCATGGTGGTTCGAATCATGCAGTCTTGCTGTCGGGTCTACGCACTCAGACTCTTGCAAATGAGTGGGACTGAAGTTGGAGGGTGCGTTGAGATTGCCCAATGCACCGTCGATTCTGCCAGGGGTCCAAAGTGGTGATGTCACTGAATCTCTAGTGCTAGGCCTTATTTTCAGGGGCGGCAACGTCGCGGTCCCAGAAGCTCGGCACGCTAGTGCGTCCCTGGAAACGCGCAACCATCCAGTACTTGACTCGAATGACCAGGTCAAGGGCCAAATTGCACCTCAGTCTGCTGCACAATTAACCAAGGCACAATACAATGAAAGCGTTGCTTTGCTCGCTAAACTAACAAACTTCTCTACTGGCGTCACCCACGGGCACTTACGTTAAGATGCCAGACGTGCAATCTCGCCAAAATGGTGACCATTCTCAGAAACCTAAGAGTGAACAGTGGCTTATAGGTTGAAGTGAGCGAGTTACCACAGCCTATTTCATGAATGAAGTTGAGCCATCAACCTCCTCTTGGAAGATTAAGAGAATTAATTGTCGTGGACGGAAAGACAGTCAATCTGAGCAGGCAATGTATCAACGACGAAAAGAATTAGAGGCTAATTCTCGTGAAAGCAGAAATCCTCGACGACTTCGTCATATACTACAAAGTCGACACTAATTGAATCCAAAGCTTCGCTTTTGGCTAAAAACGAACATCCCCAAAAGCCTCTTGGGGCGCGTTTGGCTTGCGAGACTGAGTTCGTGGACGTCCACCTTCGTGAGCTCCTCTTTCATGCTCTGAGCCCGACTCAACAGTGAACCTTTGAGCAACTCGAGTGGTCTCTGCGTCGCTTAGTTTTCTTCAATGCCATGGGGGCCTTTCTTGAAACACAGACCAGTAAGCGTGGATGATTTTGCAGGAGAGCGTATTCGGTCAAGCCACGAAGCCGTCCCGATGGATCGCCACAACTCCTCCTCCCACCTTACACGCCGGCGAGCACGCAGAGTGCGGCAGGAGGAAGTCAGGCGCGCTCAGTTGCTAGATTTCAGCCGATACATAAGCGCGGCGTGACCCACCAGCACGAACTATGCCTGTGATCAATTCTGGCCGAGATCTCCTTGAAAGTGGATAGGCGACACGGGGTGACTGCCGCTGAGCTCTTGTCCGTCGTGCGAAGAATCTATAAGCACCCCAAATCGGCTCAGTAACATACGTCAAAGTTTCTGATGGGTACTGTCCTCGCACTATACCGTATATCGCCCTTTTTGAGGCTTGTGTCATCGTTCGGTTTCTTGGTAACGGCCATGGCGACAGGGAATTGGCCAACGGTCTACATTACACTTTGTTAGGTTCACACTCCAGCACAGCGATTGCCGACTGCTCCGGCCACGACGGCTTTGCTGCCGCAGAACTGTTCCTACTCGGCCGCATTTCCCGTGTCGCGGCCTGGGCGGAGACCCTCGCCAGGATGAGACAAAGCCCTGCTGCGTAGGAACTGCTGGAATTCTCTCGAGCGGCAAATTGAGACTGGGGCGGTGACTCCGGGACGATTCAACTTGCAGTCCGATTACCTGGGTCTGGACCTACTGTCTAAGGAGAGCGGACGTTTCTGTCCTGTCCTGGACGAGGAATAAAGTCCACAGCATCAACCGGCGGCTGATGCGGGAGATCCTTTGCGGGGAGTAGGGAGGTTCTCTACTATACACAATGTCCTGGACCGAATCATCGAGCCGTTTACCAAGGCGGCCAATGAGAATTTCCTTGATGAGGCTGCCCCGGCCGCTGTCGCCGAGACACTGCAAATCTGGCGCCATGACCAGCGCATGATTTTGGGCGGCGACCACCCTTCAACTCCTGCCAGGAACCCTCTCAGCCGGCCAGCGATACAAGGCCCAACCGAAACCGCACCTTGTTAGCCCACTGATCCGCCAGGATATGCTTTCTTTGCTGAGGTAGCTGGTGCTGATTCTGTTCCCCTTTTGCGTTCTCCGCGCGTTCTCCGCGCGTTCTCCGCCGGATGGTCCATGGTCTCTTGTATTTATCAGGAAAAATGCTATCACCGATGAGAGCATCAAACACGGCCATTCAAGCGCCATCAATGGTCATGACAGAAGTAGCAGGTTTGATGTGTGGGCTCTGTGAAGGTTGGGGTTTGCCCACTTCACAGCCGGCAGTATTCTGCGGCTGGTTATATCCCATCTCAGGTACCCCGGTCAGCTAATCGGAATGGGCAAATCATGGTCGAGTGACACATGGGAAAGCCTGCTATGGGATAAGTGTGGGCTGCACACATTGTGTCTTGTGAAGGCACTCGTCGGGCAATTTCTTCAACCTACGTAGGAAAGAGCCTCTCCAGTCTGTATTAGAGCCGGCATCCCGACTTGGCGAGTCTGCCCGTAGGCCGTTCTGCTGGGCCACCCTCAGCAGAAGGCCACTCTAGAACCCAGCGACCTAGGGAGGATGCATTTGAAGGTCACGGTAAGCTGGGACGTGCCGCCTGCCTCACTTTCATCCCACGAGGTCGTTGGAGCGGCCTTGTCTAGCACTGGGCTCTTTTGTCTGGGAGGGAGAATCCCTGGTGCGAGTTCATCGGCCTTGCCGCCGGCCATTATTCCCCCGGGCGGCTTTCATGGGCTGCTTCCATTGCATTGCCAATTACAGTTGTTTCATGTGGGCCGACCAGTTAAGCTTACTTTCTGGTGGGTAATCTCAAATCAATATCGAAGAAGGCTCAGCCGCGTGAAGACACTGTGAGAGGTGGGAGTCAACCTCTGGATGTCCACATTGTCGTCTATTGTTTGTCGCCCAGGGACGCTTTCCATTGAGTGAGACGATATCTGTGTGCATTATACCGTTCAGAAGAAGCAGCTAATTCAGTTATTCCAAGTCAGATGTGCAAATGTGATGGTCAACTTGATATGGTGATTATTTCAAGTGCTACAAATGGAGTCAACTGAGCCAGCTAGTAGAGAGGTGATGTGAGGTCGCGTGCCCTGCGCCCCACCCACCATTTCCCCAGATTTCCCCCACAACCCGCTGCCACCAGGCAAGCGTCCGTGCTGCCGTAGTGCCGTGCTGGAAGGTCCTGAGGTTGCACTGCGTCCCTGGAGCAGCAAGGGGTGCGATCGGACCTTCAACTGTCTGATTCTGTTGGATCGTCGATCGGCGTCCTGCAGCTACAGAAACGATCTTTGGAGCATCAACCTTTGTCATGCATCTACCATGCGTAAAGCAAGAAGGGGGGAGACGATGAAAATTGCATGGATGGTGGATCTCCCGGCACATTTTGACTTGGAATTGGAATGGCTGAGGTCGGGGCGAGGGCAGCGAACGTTACCAAAAATAGGGGTGACACACAGCCCCTGGAGACAGGTCAGCGGACCAGACCCTGCACGCAGCCACGGCATCCACAAGGCCACGCCAGTTTAGTGGGGGAGGCCGTCGCGGCAACACGGCTGTTCCTGGGGCTTCTGCTGGGACCGCTAGGAATGGCTGGGCTGGCCGGACTTGGGTGCCCAGGTGGTCTGACGTTTCAAGTGGAGCCCAGTGCCACTGTCCAAGAATGCGACGGTTACTGGGCCAATTCTCAACGGCAACGTCCAGCTCTGCCAACAACGCGCGTCAGCTTGCGAAGCAAAACCGCTGCCCGCTGCCCGCTGCCCGCTGCCACTGCCTCCGCTTATTATCGTGCATAGCCTCTCGTTATCACTTGCCTTGTGATTCCATTTAACGAATTTCTCACGATACCCATCTGCCATCGAGTTTCGCCTGCAAATATTTCGACCCGTCCCTTCCTCGCGAAACCGTGCCAACATCTAGACCTTACCGTATCCACACTCGCTTCCTTCAACGACGACAGGCCAATCCGACGTCACTTCCAGGCCCAAAAGAGAAGGCTGTCCCTGTCGGGACCACCAACAGCCGCGCGATCATACATCGGGAAAAACCAACGAGTAGACCAAACTCCAGCCCGAGTGGCAGCTAGCACCAACAGACAACGGCCGCGATGGCACCGACAGTAATAACCCCCAGCACTCTGCGGAGCCTCGACATCCCGCGGTCCCCCAACGCGGCGATGCTCCTCGCCGCGAAGCGAGCCCTGTCCGAGGCCGGCCCCGACGCCCTGCGCACGGCAGCCCACGGGCTCCTCCTCCGCCGCGCCTCGCTGTCGGTCACGGCGGACGCCCAGAAGATCACGCTCGGCGTCATCGCCGCCTACGTGGTGGTCATCGCCATCTTGTGGAACATCCCCTACGTGCGCTACGTGCTCTGGCCCTTCAAGATGCTGGTCATCGCCTTCCACGAATGTCAGTGTAATGTTGCCTCACGGCTGCCCGTCTATTATGTCCTTGAGAATTTCCAGAGCGCAACAACCCAGGGTTCGAAGCAGACTACTAACACGCAGCAGTTGGACACGCATTTGCGTGCAAGCTCACCGGCGGCAAGGTCGAGTCTATCAGCCTCGACCCGCGCGAGGGCGGCGTCACGCACATGCGGGGCGGCAAGGGCGCCGTGACCCTGCCGGCCGGATACCTGGGCAGCTCGCTGATCGGGGCGCTGCTGACGTTCTGCGGGTTCAACATCGTCGCGTCCAAGGTTGCCAGCTTCGTGGTCGGGGCCGCGTTCCTGCTGATCATCTGGTGGGGACGGAGGGACTATCTGACGATCGGCACGGTGCTGGCGGCCATCGGCCTGTTGATCGGATGCTGGTTCATTGCCGAGGCTGAGGCCCTGCGATATGTCATTGTGAGTGCCCTTACCTCAAGTATGAAGCAGGCTGGAGGGTCCTAGAGAGTATCAGTTGCTGACTTGTCTATTTGCGCAGCTCTTCATCGGAGTCATGTCATCGCTCTATAGCGCTTGGGATATTTGCGACGATCTGATCTTCCGGAAGGTCAATAGTTCCGACGCAACGCAGTTTGCCAAGCGGTATGGAGGGTCTTCCCAGTGCTGGGGCGTTGTGTGGTCCATCATCTCGCTGTGCTTCATGGTTGCCGGCATACTTGCCGGTATTGCCGCCTTCCCACAGACGCTCGCAGAGCAGAGGGAGGACTCGGACGACTTCATCTCGACGTAAGGAACAATTGGAAATCGCGCTCGGCTTTCCACCCGCTACTGCGTGGTCGGTCTAGCGTAGATGATCTTCGCGTTTGCCGGTGATACACGCACCGGAGGGCAGTTTGGTGTACCGGACTGGGGGACCGCGACGTGCCTTCAATTTTGTATTAGGCGAGGCAGGATATTGGATATTGGATATTGGATTAGTACTATGATACCCCGAATAATGAGCAGTGGCCCAGTCGAGAGGCATACTATGACGAAGGAATGGTCCGGAGGCCACTACTGTAAGGAGTCAAATGGATTAAGACTGATGTACGGTTAATTCCAACTACTGCATGGTGTTGTCAGCCTGCTGGAATTGACTTTAGTGCCTCTGGTCATGCATACATGAGGTCAACGTTGTTGTCATATGTCTGTCACACAAAGCATGCGGCGGTCGCTTCTGAGCAACTTGATGACGACCGTCAGGAGAAATAGTTAGACAACCGAGGACAGGCCGAATCTATGTGCCACTAGTTGATGTGTGCCATTGCTAAGTTGAGTCTACAAGGGGCAGAGATGCCAATCGAGGACGACGTGACGCAGTATGCCTCGACCTGGGTATCGCTCATCGTGGGTGTTCTTCCGGCATCGGACGTCGGCCGCCTCATTGCTCGGGGATAGTGACGCCGTCAAGTGTAGTAGGGGGGACTGAATGGACCAGATACTGCCTGCTGACTTTCAAATTCCTTGTGGCACCAAGCCGGTGTCTACTCTTTGTGCCGTGAATTGGGCAGCAACGGTGTTCTGCTCCACATTGTGCTCGGCTGACTTGGCTCGAGTTCAACAATAAGACAGACAAAAGAGTCCCACGTCCCACGATGACGACGAGGGTGAGAACGAGCATGATGCTCAGCGTGTTGTAAGCCGTAATCACAGCATGCTTGCAGTAGTGTAGACGAGGACCACGCAGACGTCAGCTTCGCCCAGACTTTTTATGCCCGCGGTTGAAGCCAGGCGATCCGGTTGCAGGAACGTCCATACCCCCCTTCTGCCTTGATCAGCGGCTCGGTATGTCGCTCCTGCTGTTCTGTCCGAGAGAATTTCCAGACACTTCAGCCCCCCCCCCCCCCCCCCGCGCACAACTTCGGCATACCTCGAGCCCAGAAAGGCGGAATTATTCGGAGTTTTCTTGCCCATGAGCGACCTGGTCATGCCTTTCCCAGGCACCAACGGCTCTGCCACTCTGCAATCCCCACTGGCCTGCAGCACTCGCCCGTCCATAAATCCAGCAGAGTGATGGCTTGAATGCATGACTAGCTCAGCTTGTGCGTCACTGTCTCTCAATGTAGCGCATCAGTCTGCACCTTCGGGCAGACTGCGGTTCAGAGAGGTCAACGCCGTTCCCCCGCCTTCGAGCCTCCTCCAGGGAGCCCGAGTAATCAAACTACTGTAATGGCACCCACGGTCCACAACGATCTGCGTCCTATCCAGCGACCTTCGAGATAGAGCGGCCATCATCGGCCACCATCGGGGGCCTGGTCCAGCGAATCCATTACTCGCTGGCAAACCGCGGGCTGCGCTGACAGGCGTGAAAGGTCGATTGGTGCCACGCTTCGGGGCAACAACAGCCGGAGGTCCACCAGGTGACGGCAGCCTCTATCGGCCAGATGAGCGTCATTGTGGCCCTGAGACCGTCAGTCCTACACGTGGAAGAAGTGAATCACTCTACAACGTGGGGTGACTGGCAGCGCAGACCACATTGGACTTCAGCACTTGATACACATCTGTATTCTGCCGGGACAGCCAAGACAGGGACAAGTGTTGATCACCCCACCCGCCGCCAGCAGGGTCCAGGCACCAGGACGATGCATCAGATCGCCCAGGAGCGGGCCGAGACTTTTGCGGCCCCAGGCTCGTGGTTTTCTGGAGGCCTGGGAAACACAAGCGGGCCTCGCGAGTCAGCTTGCATTTCCAGATCAGATGCCGAGTATTTTTCTCATCCGATGCAAGCGCGGCGAACGTCTTAGTTTTGGTGGGAGTGACAGGTCGACGGCAGCCGAGATCTAGACCCAAGTCTGGGGAAGCCGACGACAGCGTTGGACCTTGCGCGACTCGAGAATCCGGGGTGCTCGTGATTAGCTTCACTGCCACTTTTGGCGCCATGCATGACGCAGCTTCGCAAATGTCCGAAAACAGTTGCCGCAGCGCTACGCTGCGACAGAGATGGTTGCGGGCCGGCAGGGCGAGCGACATGATCCCCAAGCTACTGCAGCGCGGGCCCCTCACAGACAGGCCACTCCAGGTCACAGAATTACATTTCGATCGCGCGTACCTGCGATAGTGGCCGATGACGAGGGACAAGCCAACGTGGCACCGTCCGGGACAGTCGCCTTACGGCGCGTCGAACGCCGGTCTTCTTGTAGACAGTAGCGCATGTATTGCCTGCCCGACTGTCGACATCACCAACGTGGGATCTGATGGGAAGCGGCATAAGCAGTTCGGTGCTGGTCCCCCGATATGAGATCATGCCGCATTGCGGCGTCCCCATTTGTTCCCACGGGTGGCAACTAGCTGCCATGCTGCCCAACGACACGGAAACACCCCCCCACAACAGCTACAGGTTCTTGTGCCATCCCACCCTCCATCTTGGGGCGGCAGTTCTCCTGATTGGAGCTCCCAAGCACCATTCCTTGCGCCGTCATGGCCATGGTTTGCGCAGCTGTTTTGCAAATTTTCCGAACAAGACAGTCCTGCGACCGACCAAGCCCGATATCACGCAGGGTCCGCAGGGTTCAGCTCAAATCAGAGACAAGTGTCTCCCACCTTCAGCCCGTCCGTATTGCTAATAGTCTTGGGCGTCGCCGGCGCCGGTGGCCAAGGTGGCCAGGCTCGGCGGCCTGAAAAGCGGGTTGGACGTCGTAATAAAGCAGATGCGTCCGCCAGTCACGAAAGCACTCGTTTCTTACTCGTTCAGTTCATCTTCATCTCACTTCTGGTCCCCGCCCCAGGCATCGTGGGGTCCGAGAGAAATCACAAAGACCCGTCACGTGTGCTTTGTTTTCCCGGACCGACGAGTCAAGGCTGTCAGAGGGTGAGCCGTTCCGCCTGGCCCCATCTTGGCCCCTCCTGACTGACTACCTGGGCACTCGGCAACCCAAGGCTTGGTGCCAACTGGTGCCTGCACGAGGAGTCACTCGAGGTATATAATATCAAGTGATCCTCCTATCTTTGTTTACATCGTTTCCTCGTCTCTTCATATCTTCTCAAAGTCTTCAGAATATTCAGCACACTCGTAGCTCTCAGCATGTCGAAATCAAACCATCCCCGAGGCTCATCCAGTGTGGACGACTGGCTAGACGGCCAGTACGAATACATGGTACCCGATAAGGATTTGAACAACCCCTACGTCCCGCGGGACGCTGCCCGAGACATCACTCCGGAGCACTCAGACACAAGTCCGCCACAGTCCAAGGATTCTCGGTCGTCCAAGAAGCACAGAAGTTCCAAGGATCGTTACCGGCCAGCGACGCCGCCTGAAGAGGACGACCTCGACAAGGAACGTGACCGACACCGCCACAAGGGCAGATCGACCCGTTACCATGACGGTGACCGGGATTCTCGGCGGTCGCATCATGAGAGGGACACGAAATATCCCCCTAAATCGGACCGTGGTCGTCCACGTCGCCCGCCCATGGGCAACCGAGCCACATCACATTACGTACCCCGCAAGGAAGAAAGTCCTGAGCGGCGTCCACATAGACGATACTCACTGTCATCATCACCACCAAGACACCGGGGTGACAAGTCATCACGGCACTACCGTCGCCACGAGGACCGCTCACCATCACCCCCGCCACGGTCCACGCGAAAGAAGGACGATCGAGACAGAGAAAGCCGAGGTCACCACCACGGAAGCAGTGGGTCCACCAAGGGCTCCAAGTCTCGCCGGCCGTCGCTGTCCCACAGCCAAACTTCGAAGGACCCGAAGAAGCCCTCCATCAGCGCCCGGTCATTCAGCTTCTGGGATGACCCACGATTCAAGACTGCTGCACAGGCAGCAATGACAGCCGGTGCATCAGCAGCTGTCGGTCTTGCCGGTGAGAAGGGCGGATGGGGCGGCGACAAGGGTGCCAAGGTGCTCCGGGCAGGGCTAGGAGCTGCTGCGCTCAGTGCCTTGAAGAGCCCGGCCCCGTCCCCCGATCCTGCGCCCGCACCCGCGCCCGCCGCCCCGGTCGAGCCTAAGTCGTCGGCTGCCGATGCTGCCGGGAGATATGTGGCGGATCATTTGCCTGGGCATCTGCCTGGGAAGAAGAGCAGCACACGACGGAGGCATCACTAGGTCAATACTTGGGAGGAGTCGCCTTCACCAGGCGGCATCAAAAACGCATGGATTTCGTTTTGCTTTTTTTTTTTTTTTTTTTTTGAGGGAATTTTCAACAATTAGACACGTCTCTGGGCTCAGGGCTCGTTTTGATATTTGGTATCTGATTTTCAAGATAGACGAATGAGGCATTCCTCTGGAGTATGGGACTTGGGAAACATCACAGGGATGTGTACTTGTGGTTCGGAGGGTTCGTACTGGCAAACGGTGGCGATTTTATACTTAGTAATAGTCATGGGCTTATAATCTTTACTCCATAGACTTGTTCGATGAATGTATTCTGATCATAGCTGAGGTGGATCTGCCGCCGAGTCACGCAGTCGTGCCATGGACAAGAGCATCCGTGAACTTCACCGCCACGCCCATCTTCGTTCAAATCAAGCTTCAGGTACTGTTGCGAACAATTCGTGCTGTATGAGTCCTGTATGTACAAGTGCTTCTTGTTCCGTAGAACCGCCGAAGAGAAGTAAAGTAGATGCTGCCGGCCACCCCGATAGGAGTTTTAAATCACCAAGCACACTCGTGCCATTTGGGTGTCTGTGCTCTCTTTTGATATCCCCCTCATGACCAGTTAAAGCCGGACGACGGCTGCAAAGGGCCATCTAGGGCCCTCATCGCCTCAAACTCGGGGCTCTGATAGAGAGTCAGTAACTCAAACCAGCCGTTGCTGAATATGTCCTTCGTCCAGGCCGTATTGTCGCCAAATATCCACAGCTTCTCATGGACGACACGCAGGAGGCCCTCCTCGTCCGCCTTGGGGTAGAAGCCGTTCCACTCCCTGCCGAGCTCGTGAGGGGGGAAGGGCCCGGCGGCCCCGAAGGCGTAGTTGAGGAAGGCCTGCTCGGCCATCTTGTTGTCGAACTTGGTCGTGTCCCTGCTCTCGCGCAGCAGCCGCTCGTGCATGCGCGCGTTGGGCTGCAGCACGAGCACCCCGACGTTGACGCCGTCGGCGAGCCCGTGGCCCGCGAACACGTAGTCGCAGACCTCGGCCTCGTGCAGCCTGTCCTCGGGCGGGAGGAGCTCCGCGCGGCACCGCTGCCGGGGGGAGACGGAGTCGTCGAAGATGCCGTCCAGCGGGCGCACGGGGAAGGCGTCCAGGTCCAGGAAGGCGACGCGCGAGAAGTCCAGCTCCCCCCAGATGTTGAGCTTGGAGAAGAGGTCGCGCCACCGCGCGAAGGGGAACATCTGGCCGCCGCTCTCGTCCTTGGGCGGGTCCCAGGGGACGAGCTCGAGCTCGCGCACGATGGCCCCCGCGGCGAGGAGGAGGTCGCGCTGCTGCTGCGGGATGAAGGGCGCGACGAAGACCACCACGGGGTGCGACTCGGAGCGGGACTTGGGGTCCCACAGCAGGCGGTACACGAGCTGCATCGCCGACAGGAAGTAGGGGTCCGCCACGCTGTTGTCGCGCGTCGACAGGTACGTCGCGAAGGCGAGCTGGCCCGGCCCGCGGTCGTTGTGCGCCCGGTACTGCTTGAGCTTGGCGACGTCGAAGACGGGCTGGACGAAGCGGGTCAGGTCCTCCTGGAACTCGAACTTGACCTCGTTGAAGCCGGAGGAGGAGGACGACGACGAAGACCCCGGAGGGCCCTGTGGTGCGCCATCGGCCGGGCCGGGCGGGCTCTGCGTGAGCTCCGAGCCTACCGCCTCAGCCGGTGAGGATGGCCATTTCGCGTCCCCGGGCTGTGCTGCGGGGATCTGGATCTGGATGACCTTCTCGGTCTCCTGTGTCTGGCCACCGTCGCGCGACGAGAACGAGAGTAATGACGAGTGGTAGTAGAGGAGGAGCGCCGTCGTGAATGCAAGAAGCCCGATCCTCACGAGGCGGGAGGCCTGCATGCATGTGAGTGAGCATCCCGGCCGCTGACATGCAGCATCAACCGCGTTTTTAAGTCCCGAGTCGAGCTGAGCTTACCATATTGGGCCGTCCTGATCCAAAATATCAAGAAAACCTCTAATAAGAACAACGCCGGCGTGGTTGCGGCATACCGATAGTAGATCCTTTTCCTTCGCAGGATTATGGGTTGAGAACGCGACACAACTAGTTGGCGCTGCTGTCCTACGAGTCCAGGAAACAACACTGGGTACCAAAAGTTGGACATTCTTGGTATAAGGCAAAGCTGAAATACGACCCGCGTGCAGTTACATCCCATGTGACAGATCAGCGCTGCGAGGGGAAACCAGCCAGGTGCCGAGGAACTGTGAAGTCTAACTCGTTAAAGTGAAATTGGCCCCGGCAGGGGTGCTGTGACGTACCGTCCACCGGCTCATTAGCGTTATCTTCACCGTAAATACCCTGCACGGAATTCATCGTGTGTTCACGTAGAATTCACATAACAACAATCAATAGAATATTGCATTCATCAAGGAGATCCATCACCGGGCAAGCCAATATATAATGTCTCCATCTTGGACCACCTGTGGCTTCACGTTAGAATCCAGTTCAACATATATCCACTGTTATCAAAACTTACGTATGTCTTTCCTTCCTGTCGGTACTTTCCAGCGGCTTTGATTGGGGCCATCGATTTGGCGCCTCCACAAAGGTCGTGGAAGTCCTGGTACGAGACCACCTCGGCCTTGATGAATCCTTTCTCGAAATCGCTATGGATGGCACCAGCGGCTTGCGGTGCGAGACATCCCCGTTGGATGGTCCAACATCTGATCTCCTTCTCGCCAGCTACCAAAATCATCAGCATAGAGTTTAGATGACCAGTCAGGGCCATCGGCATACCTGTAAAGTAGTACTGCAACCCGAGCTTGTCGAATCCTTCCGTGACGATCTTGTCCAGCTTGCTCTTGACCTTGCACTCCTGGAGGAATTCTGCTTGCTTTGCAGGATCATCGCTCAGTTTGTCCAACTTCTCCTCGAACTCAATTGAGAAAGGGATGATATCACGTGGAGTACCTCCATGCTCTGTCACCCACTTGGCGATCTGAGGGAGGTACTTGCTCTTCTGTCGAAGGTAATCTTTCATTGTCAAGTTGACAAGGTAAATCACAGGCTTCGTAGTGATGAGTTGGATCTTCTCGTTGATGAGGGTGATCTCAGCAGGCGTCCAGCTTCCGTCTCGGACGGGCTGGTCTTTCTCAAGCATCGCCTGGATTTTTGTGGTTGTCTCGGTGAACAGGGGCAGCATCTTGTACTTGCCCCCTGCTTTCCGCACAATCTGCTCCTCGGCGACAATGGTCCGCTGAAGAATGTCAAGATCCTTCTTGCACAGCTCGCTTTGGATTGTGTTCAAATCCCGAACCGGGTCGATCGAGTCGTCGACATGGAGCACTTCATCATTATCAAAAGCTCTAACGATGTGGAACATGCCGTCCACAGCCTGAATATGCGACAGGAAGGCATTGCCGAGACCTTCTCCCTGCGAAGCACCCTTGATCAGACCTGCGATGTCTGTGACTTGCAGGTAGGCTGGGTACTGGGAGGGGGGCTTCCAAACATCGCACAAAAAGTCCTACATTCATCCTCGGTCAGCCTCTGCTTCGGATCTCCCCACCACCCTCACCATCACCGCCACCATCACACAGAACCTACATATCGTGCATCGGGAACAGGACATCTCGCCTCATTGGGCTCAATGGTGCAGAAAGGATAGTTCTCCGCAGCAGCACTCTGCTTCGTCAGAAGATTGAATAGACTCGACTTCCCAACGTTTGGCAGTCCAACGCATCCCATCTTCAGGTTCTTGCGAACCCGACCGAAGGCGACAACATTGTCCTTGACGTCCTCGGTTGCTTTCTTGGGAGGCATGGCTGGTGATCCGGCGAATCTTGATGCTCGTCGGTGCTGCCGGGGTAATTTTGCTTGGTTGTTGCCCAGAGAACACACGTCTAGGATACAGACTTTTCTCTTTTTGAAAGTCGTACGATATTGGGAGCTCGCCAAGGCATGAGAGTGGAGCCGTCGCTTTGCGGCACGTGTTACTCATGCCCCTGAGCTCGACCATTTTCTGTCCACTCAGAGCAAGTGCATCCTGCCGGTGAATGACTTGTCAGCAAAGAAACGGCAGACTTTTGCCATCAGCAACCAAGAGTTGCTGTATTCCAGCGAAGGGATCATTGTTTTGCCTTCTGTGGTACAGTTATCCAGAGGTCCATGTTCAATTTACTGCTATAGCAACCCGTGGCTGTTGGTAGGTCTCTCGTACGTATAATAATTATATGGGAAGCAATCATATATTAGTGTTATTTTATTTAAGTTTTAAAAGGCTATATGCCTTGGAAGGGATAATTAAAGTAGCTTTTTAAATGCAAGAGTTATACTTATTAATACTTATAATTTTTCTTTTCTTTTAATAAATATATATAATCCTTATTATAATTAATAATTTTTATTATAATTAGCCTTAAAATTATAATTTATTATATATTAAATATATATAACCTTTATTATAAGAAAATATTATTAAAAAAGCTTAAAATTATAACTTATAAGTTTTAAAATAAGTTTTAATAACCTTTATTATTATATTATCCTTTAAATTTATAATCTTTATTATTATATTATTCCTTAAATATTATACTTATTATTCTTAATACTTAGCTTTTAAGATTACTTTTTTATAAAAATTATTAACTTTTATATAATAGCTTTAGTTTTAAATTTCTTCTTTATAAGGAAAGTTAATATTTATAAAGTTAATATTAAATTCTTTAGCTTATATTTATTTTTATTATATATTTTTATAATATAAATATTATTATCTTTATTTTTACTTTTATTATTAAAATATACTTAATATTACTTTAAATTAATTTCTTTTAGCTACTTTTTATCTTTTTAAAACTAAGCATTATAAGCAACTTAATTATTTATTATCTTCTTTTTTTACTTTTTATTATTTTTTTTAATTTCCTTAATAATTATCTTTTGCTTAAATTACTTAAATAATAATATATATTTCTTAATAAATTTCTTTATATATAAGCCTTATATATATTTATTAATAATTTAATATAAAAAGTTTTAAAGTTAAGTTAATATAATAATTTAATCCTTTAATAGCTAAATCTTTTTAATTTAATATATATAAAAGATACTTAAAATTAAAACTTTTATTAAATTATTTATTATAAAAATTATAATAATTTAATATTTAAGATAATAATTACTTTAATAATTCTTATTATTAAAAATACTATATAATCTTGCATTAAAAGTTTTAATGCTTTTAATATAAATATATAGCTTTTTAACTATATTATTAAAAAATATTTATTTATTTTAATATTAAAAATTATTAATAATTTAAATAATAGCTATTATAATAATATTATTTAAGAAAAGTATTTTAGCTTAAGCTATAATTATAATCTTTAGCTTATTAATTTTAATAATTTTATAAAAGTTAACCTTAATAAGTAACTTATTCTTTTTAATGCTTAATATAAAAGTAAAGTTAAAGGCGGTTTTTGCAATCTTTATTAAGGTTTTATTAACTTAATTTTAATTATCTTTATTATTAATAATAATTAAATTACTATTAATATTAAGTAAATAAAAGTTATTATTATTAATATTCTTATTAATATTTATTAAATAAGTAAGTAAATAAGAGTTATTATTATTAATATTTTTATTAATATTTATTAAATAATTATTATTAGCAATAACTTTACTATAAAAATTAGCAAGATTAATAAGCTTATTTTTATTTTTATTAATTAAGATAATTTTAGCTCTTTTTATAACCTTAATAATAATTTTAATCTTTATCTTATTGCTTAATAAGAATATAATTATAATATTTATTTTATTAATTAAGGTTATAATTATAATATTTATTTTATTAATTAAGGTTATAATTACAATATTTATTTTATTAATTAAGGTTATAATTACAATATTTATTTTATTAATTAAGGTTATAATTGCGATATTTATAAAGGAATTTTAATTTTATTTAAGGGTTGCAATAAGGCTACCTTTAATATTAATTATATTAATAACAGCTATAGCAATAATTATATTAAGTATATTCTTAATGCGGAAAGTAAATGCAATATTTATTAAATAATTTTGCTTGCTATTATTATCTTTATAAAGCATATTAATAAAAATATTAAATAACTCTTATAAGTTATTATTAATATTCTTTATTATAATAAAAAGAAAAAGATTTTATAGGAATTTAATAATTAAAATAAATATTTATAATATAAAACTTTATAATTATTATATAATAATTATTAATTTATTCTTTAATTATAAGAAAAGTTAATAAATTATAAATAAATTTAATAAAAGTTAGTTTTAATATTATTATTAATAAATAATAATAAAAAGTAATAATAATAATAAGGTTAACTTTAAAATAATAATTATTAATAATATTAATAATTATAAGATTATCCTTATATATAATAAAATATTAAAAAGGTTTTAATTAAAATATAAAAGGTTAAAATTTATATTAAGGGTTTAAGTTTAAGAAGTATAAGGTTTTATAATTAATAATAATAAAATTAAAAAAAAAAGATATTAATAATAAGTTGCTCCTTTCTTAGCAAAAAGGAGCTATTTTAAGTTTCTTAATTAATCTATTTACTTATATATAAAGCTTATTATTATTAATAAGCTTTTATAATATAGTATTTAAAGTTAATTTTATTATTATATTAGCAAAATTATCTTTCTTATTTATTTACCTTATTTTAATAATCTCTTTCATCTTATATAACTTTTATAATAATATAATATTAATTATAAGGCACTTTTCTTTTATTATTCCTAGCTTTATAAAATATTTATATAAATTATATAAGTTTATATAAATAATTAAAGATATATTTAGCAATAAGAGTTATTTTATAATTATTTTAATTATTATAGCTAAGGAAATTTTAATATTTACTTTATTTACTATATTATAAATTTTGCTTATTAACATACTTTAAATAATATATTTATACTTTATTAATAATTAATAAAGAATATTGCTTATTATTATAAATTTCTTAATTTCTTTATAAGTTTTATTTATAAGGATAATAATATATTTAAGTTAAAATATTAAGTTTTAATTATTTATAAATAATTTATTTATAAATATAAAAAGTTTCATTATTTTAAAATTAAAAAATATATATTTAATTCTTTGCATAATATTATTTATTTACCATAATAATTATATATTTAAGCTCTTATAATTTCTTATTTTTAGGTTTTATACTTATATAATTATTAAAAGATTATATAAAGCTTTTAATTAGTAAATTAAAGTTATATATATTTTATAAGCTCTTTATTTAAGGTATTTTTAAAAAACATTTTTAATTATTATATTAATAAAGATAAGTTTATTAGCTTATCCTTTTTATTAAGTAATAATTAAGCTAATGATATTTATAATTATATAAGCCTTATTATAATTTATTAGGTTTTTAAGCATTAGCTTTTATTTTAATTTTTCTTATAGTTTTATAGCTTTTATTTTAATTTCCTTTTTATCTTAAAATTTTAATATAAATAAAATTAATATATTATTTATTTATATATTTATTATTTTAAAGAATTATATAAGCTTTATAATTATTAAGTAAGAATTATATATAAAGCAATTTATTTTAAGCTTTTATTAATAATATTTTTAATATATATTAAATTAATAAATACTGGATTTTACTATGCTATATAGGGGTTAAATAATATAAATAATTATGCTTAAAAGGTATTTATTCTTTAGTTTCTTTAATAGCTTTATAAAGATTATTTTATATAATTTTAACTTTATTTAAGGGTAAGCTTAAGTAATATCTTAAAGTATAAGAATTATACCTTTTTCTTAAATTAATAAAGGGGTAAATATAAGAATTATTTATTAGCTTATTCTTTAAATAATTAAGCTTTATATTAAAATTAATCCCTTTTTATTATTATTATAACCTTAAATAATAAATTAAGATTTCTTATAAGGTTTTATAATTTTACCTTTTACCTTTTATATTATGTAAAACTTAAAGAAATAATATTTGCTATATTGCTTTATTAACCATTTCTTAATTTAAAAAATACTTTTAGTAATAATATTATTAATGTTTATTTTATTAAACTCTTTAAATAATAAGCTTAATATTATAATTATTTTATTTTATTTTAATTTAATTATTAAATTATAATTTTTATTTTCTTTCTTTAAAATATATAATATAATAATGCAGTTTTTTATCTTTAATAATAATGATTATATAATAAATTGCATTTAAAGTTTTATAGCTAAGTTTTTTACTTATAAGGGTTGCATTTCTTTATTATTATCTTAATAATATAATTAAATAATTATTAATTTAAATATCGCAGCTTTATTTAGTATATTTAAGGTTATATTATGGCTATTTATAATAATAATCTTATATAAATTCTTTTATTTTTTTTTTCTTTTTATATATAAACTTTATATTATAGTAAATATTTTATATTAAAAATAAGTTTAACCTTAGTGTTTAATGCATTTTATATTTATTATTTAGCTATAGTTTTTTATAATATCTTTATAACCTTTAAAATAGCTTTTACTTATTTTTATATTAATAATAATAATAATAACTTATATAATATTTATAAGTAGGCATTAAAAATTAAAAGTATAGGGATTAATTTATTTAATTTAATAATATTATTAATAGCTTTTATAGTTATTTATAAGATAATATTATTATTTATGCTATTATATAGTTTAATATATAAGATTTTATATGCTTATTTAAGGGCTTAATGATATCTTTTAACTTTCTTAATAAATTAATATACTTTTATAGGGACTTATTTATATTTAATTTCCATTATTTATGCCTTTAAATAAAATTTTAAAAATATAAAATTCATTCTTATATTATATTTAATAATATTTAATAATTCTTAATATATATTAATTTAAAGTATTTATAATGTTTACCCTGCAATCTTTATAAATATAAATTTTAAGAATTTCGCTCTTTAAAAAGCCATAACTCAATTTACAACATAAAGGACTGGGCATTTACTTAAATATATTATATTAATTAAGATTTTATAATTAAATTCATAATTATTATATAATATAAACTTAAAATGCTTAAGCGCGGATTCATTTATTTAATAATAATAATATATCTTCTTAATCTTTATTATTACTTATTTATTAATATTTAAATTATTAGTTTTTTTAAGTATTTAATATAGTTAATTTATTAATAAGTATTTAAAGTAATAATAAAGTCTTCTTATTTTTATTTTTAAAAGGAAATACATAGCATTAATAATTTAATTTAGGAAAAACTATAAGTAACCTTATTTTTTAAGTATTAATATAATAATTGCATTATTAAAGGAAATTATTTTATTTATAATATTATTATAATATACTTAAAGCTTATTTATATTTATTAGGTAAAGTAGGAATGGAGTTTATGCTTAAATAATATAAAAGTTAATATAATTAATTAAGGTAGAAATTTTTATTATATTAAGCAAATTAATAATTATTTCATTATTAAATTTAACTTTAGCTTTTTTTATAATAATTATATTAATTTAATATTTTAAGTTTTTTTATTATAATGCAAGAAATTGCTTATATTTAATTATAAATATTAATAATGCTTTAATATTTAGCAAGATTTCTTAAAAATAAGTTTAATTATATTTATTTTTTAAGATAAATTAGCTAATTGCAATAATTATTTTTATTTAAAAAATATTATTTCTTATAATTTAATGCATAAACGCTTTATTAGCTAAGAAATTAATATTTATATAATAAATTTCCTTATTAAGTTTTACTTTTATAATATAAATATTATTATTATAATTATTATCTTAATCCTATTTATCTTTATATTTATAAAATTTATTTTTATTATTTATCTTATATTTTTTAAACTTACTTAAAAAAGTATTAAAGTTATCCTTATAACCTTTATATTTATATTATATTAAATAGCTTCTTCTTACTAAATATTGCTTATTAGCTAAATATTTAATTAATATCCCTCCTTTTTATAAATATAATATCTTTTCTTTTAAAATTATTCTTTTCTTTCTTCATAAGCATTATTATTTTAAGCTTTATAATTAATGCTATAGGATTTTAGCTGCTTAAAGCTTAAATAGCTTAAGTTTAATTAATTAAACCTTTAATTTCCTTAAAATACTTAAAATTATAATTATTATTCTTTCTTTAACTTTTAGTCATTATATTTATAATTAATATAATATTAATTTAAAACTTTATTTATAATATAAATTATAATTATGCAATTAAGTTATATTTTTATTATAAATCTTAAGTTTAAAAATAATTTTTTATATAATTAAGTTAATTTAAAAAGAGCTATTTTTAACTTAGGAACTTCTTTATAAGCTTTAATTATTATTATCTTTAAGTTATTTTTCTTAATATAATTTTAGCTTAATGCTTATTAATAAAGTTATAGCTTATTAAATATTAAATATAAAACTTTATATAAATCTTTATTTAAGTTTTATATTTTTATTTTTATAAATATTATTATTATTTAATTTATATAATAATATTAATAATTAAGGTTTATATTAAAATATATTTTAATTTTAAGGTATATTATTATAAATATATTAATTTAATTTATAAAATAAAGATAATAAGCCTTAGCTTAATTTTTAAGTATTTAAAAAAAAATTATATAAAATTAACTTAATTAAATTTTAATATAATAATAAATATTAAAAAATATCTTTATCTTATTATTTAATAAATTATATAAATTCTTAATATATTTATAAAAATTATTAAAGGTTTTTATAAATTGTGTTAACTTTGCTAAATTTAAATGCTTATTAAAAATATATTATAAGGGAAGAGTTTTATATAAGTTATACTTTTTATTTAATAAAAGTATTTTTAAGGTAGTTTAAGATTATATTAAATATAATATATATTTTTAATATAAGCTTTATTTTTATTTCTTTGCTAATAATAATAAGCCTTATTAATTATATTAGTTTTTAATAAATTATATTATTAAGTTTAAGTTTTATAATTATATACTTAAAGCTAATGATAATAATAAAAATTATCTTAGGAATTATTCTTTTAATAATTATTATTATTTAAAGCTTGCTTATAATGCTTATAAGGGTTATGTTTATAATTATTATTTTTAAAGTTATATATAATATTTATTTATGCTTAATTTTAAGGTTAATAAGGCATTGCAAAGCTTATTATTAATTTATTTTAATCTTTCCTTAATTTAAGCTATAGTAATTAATTATAATATTATAAATTAATTATTACGTTTTATATAAATACCTTATATTTAAAAAAAAACTTTTAAGCATTATTAATAAGGATTTAATAATGCTTTAAATATTACTTATATTTATATTATATAATTTTTATAATAAGTAATAAAAAGATTATTATTATAAAAGTTTTATTATATATAGCTTGTTAAAGTATTTATTAAATAGGTAATTAAGTATTTTATTAATACTCTTTATATAAGAGCTATAAACTATAATTTTAAGTTAATATATTTATAATAAGCCAAGTTAATTAAAATTTAAATAAGCATTTTATTAATTATATACCCTTTAATAAAAGCTAATAGCTCCTTAATATTATTAGCTATACTTATAGGTTTTTATAGTAAATATTATAAGGAGTAAAATTAATAAAATAAAGAAATATTAATAAAATAGGTAATATTTAAAAGTAAGTTAATAATAATAATTTAATGATAAGCAAGTTATGGTTATTAAAAAAAAGAAGTTATTAATTCCTTTAAGCCTTAAAAGCTAGGGCTTTCTTTTATTATTAAGTCTTTTTATATTAGTTAAAAGTATAATATATGGCTTGCACTTATTTATAATATAACATTGCATTAGCTTTAATAATTATAATAATTATAAGCTTTATTTATTTAATAATTATAATAATTATAAGCTTTATTTATTAATAAAATAAAGCTTTATTAAATTTTGCTAAGTTTTAAAAAGAATTTAAAAATAAGTTTATTTTTAATAAAGTTTTATATATAATAAATATATATTTCTTAAATAGCAATAAATATATATATAAATATTATAAAGAATGTTATTTAATTTATTTAATTTTTATAATATTTACTTAGGAAGTTTAATAATATAAGGAGGCTTAAAAAAGTAGTTATTATTATATAGCGCTTATTAATAAGGAGGATATAATTTTTAAATTAAGGAAATCCTTATAGGGTTGCCTTTTTTACCTTATTAATTTATAGTACCTATAATTATTAATTAATATTAATAGGTTTCTTATATGTATAATAATTATATGGAAAGCAATTGTGTATTGATGTTATTTTGTTTAAATTCTAAGAGGCTACGTACCCCGGAGGGGATAACTAAAGTAGCCTTCCAAGTGCAAGGGTCGTACTTGCTAACAGTGGCAGCGTTGGAGGTCGTCAGTGTAACTGGCAAAATGTGACAAGCAAAACATCGTGTATGTAAATTGAAGCGGATTTGAGCCGCGATCTTCATTCTTTTTCTGTTTTCTTGAAACAAAAGGCTCTAACACTCGATAATTGACTACTGCTAGATCGAGTGATATGAGTGCACAGGGAGTCCTACAGGGAGCGTTTGTCTGCGGGCCGTTTCGTCACGATTATAATGAATGTTATTCTTGTGTGCTCGTTAAGTTCCGAAAATGACGATTTGTCCACCACACGAGTTCATCTATCACAGCGAGAAGTAGAAGTGCAGACGGCCTTCGGCTGGCCAGGCCGGCCTGGTAATCTTATACGATGAGGCAGAGTGATCCCAGCGGCCGCCGGGGTTGTCTGTACCCGGCAGCCGATGGCCATCTGGCCGCTACAACAGCTTGGCAACACTACTGTGCAACTGCGGTGCGCGAAGGAAATGTCTTGAGAATGCTTGATTGAGCCAATCGGGCTGGGGAGTTCGGTTCCTGTTAATCCAGCCTACAATCTCCCACGCTGACAATAACGGGGGAAAGGCTGCCACCTGCTTGGCATAAGCCGGGACCACGGATTCAGTGCGGCTGTGATGACTTCCACTGGGGCTTGGATATTCCCCTTCCCGCCGCTGATTACAAGTCTCACTTTCAACCGCAGCTGTCTAAGTAAAGCTATTGCCAAGTAGGTATTGGAAAATAATTTGCATCCTCCTCTTCAAAACGTCCAAGAGGTGGAATGGTATAAAGACTGGTATGCAGTCGCAACAGAAGTGGTTGAATCCAGATTATCAAACACCATCTCGCCACAAAATCCCACCAGACTCCCAGATTCACAGATCCAACTTTTCTTGCTCGCCAAGTAACAGTCTCACAAACTCTAACTCGCCATAAACCATCTGTCCATTCCCACTCAGTTTGAACAAGTAACGAGACATGTCTTCGCTCATCAAGGCTGCTCTTTGCGCTGCCTCCCTGGCGTCACTGTCCGATGCGGCCCCTGCAAACCTGAAGTCAACCGTGCAGTCTCGTTGGGAAGAGTGCCCAACCGGCACATGGTACTCCCAGTGTGGTCAAATCGCTGGCTGCTTCGACTATGACCCTTGCATCAACCCACCCCAATCGTCAACCGTGCAGGCTCGCTGGGAAGAGTGTCCGACAGGCACGCGGTACTCAGCGTGCGGCGGCACCAAGGGATGCTTCAACTACGACCCGTGTGTCAACCCATCCCAACCAGCACCGCCGCAACCACCGCCGACAACCCTGCCCGCCTGCTCGACCGACCCCGTGAACCCAAACCGGATCCTGCCAACCACCTACTGGCCAATCAACCCCAACTCCCCGGACCAGACCTACGGCGCCGAGCCCGCCGTCCACGTCAAGAACGACACCAGCGCCGCCGACGGCGTGGTCCAGCAGCAGGTCCTGGTCTTCGAGGGCGTCGACGCCGCTGCCAAGAAGTGCAGCGTCGGGTGGTTCCTCAAGATGCAGGAGGACACGATCTTCGAGGTCGAGGGCGGCGGGTACGTGCGCATCACGCAGCTGGACGGGCTCGCCCGGGGCCAGGCGCCGGCCTACAGCTCGGCGGCCGCGGCCGAGAGGGCGGATGCGGCGACGACGATGCCGGCCATGGGCGGGTGGGACGACAAGACTGCATATATGGGCATGACGTCCGGGATGATGCAGGAGGTGGCGTGCTCGGATGTCTTGGCCTTCCGGGCGTACTTGGACCCGGTTAACGACGGCGAGGTGTACATGGAGCCGAGTGACAGTGTTGGTATTGCTGTTACTTACACTTGCTAAAGAGGGGTTTGATTTTTCACCAGCGATACTAATTACTGAGGAGTTTGCCTTTTGGCTCATGCATAAGTAGCATATAGAGTAAAAGACCGTCAGGTCAAGTTGTGATAAAGAGAACAGATTTATGTTTAGCCTAGTGTGTGTGACGGTACGGGCTTATAGACTGCTAGGTGTGTTTCCAAGGGATTGGAAATTACTGGTCTTTTGGCCGAGTGGTTTATTATGCCAGCAGTTAATACATCGTCTCAGTGTGGTTAGTTACCAAAGGTGTGGGTGGGTGCGTTAGTTATTCAATATTAAGTGCTGATGCAAAGATGTAAATGTCTCCAGCACATTTTTATGTAGTCCGTTTCTTGCTACTCTGAAATATCACTATGAAGCCCATTGGAAGGAGTGAAATTGCTACTCTCTTTTATCAGCACAGGCAAAATTGTCAAAAACAGCAGCGAGTGGCCTGAAATGGCAGAAGACAACAGGACCTTGGTGGCTACCAATCTTATCTACAAGTTTACAAGTAGCCTAAAGCGGACTTCAATGTTCTCAACACTAGCTGAACTTTGCGTTCAGCGTTGAGGTTCAGGAAAATAGGTGTGGCAGCCTGCTGATGGCTTGGAGGAAACGCAACTGCACGGCTGAACGATGCATACAGCAAGTATTCTCTGATGCTATTCATCATTTTCAACTCAACGCTGCCTACCGCGAATCTGCGGATAAACCATGGACACAAACAATTCATCAGATTGACAGTATCTGTCAGTTGGGCTCTAACAATTCCTGGATGTTGGTCTGGCGAGCATAACTTGGCCGATTCTCACACTCCAAAGGTCATCAGTTGATAAGAGTGATCAGTTTCATTGCTTACAGTTCCAGACTGGGTGTTTCTGTCTTCTTCTCGTGTGAATTCAGCAGCCGCACGCCTTTCAACAACTGTTCTGCTTCCTGTTCTTATAAGCAGATACAAATGCCTCTGGGGTTAAAGAGCAGCATTAGTCAATAATGGCGCGAGTACCAACGAGCGGTTTTCGATGAGCAGATCATGATATGCATAAAGTGGAGACAAACGCGCATTGGAAGAATCCACCGTCTTTCCTTATGAATTATACGCTGCATCCTATCAGCTCGACTTGTGGCTGCAGGCTGGTTCCGTGCCGCGACTGGGATCAGTCGGGCCTGGTGAGTCATGCCCGTCCTAGTCGGGCTCGGCGGGCGGCATAGAGCCGGCTCGTTATGGTCCCGTCTGACGATGCCTCGCGGCCGAGGGGCGAGTCTAATTGAACATGTTCACATCGAGTCGCAACGCCTTCTCTCCTGGAGTCCAAGAGCACCGTGCAACTCACTATTGCACCCTGCACCCCTCACATCCGGATCCGTGCATCCAGGTTGTGCATCATGTCAACTGGAGCCCCCGCCCCACGGCTTCGTGTTCGGCGCGCCACCCCCGATGACGCAGGCGCGATCGCGAAGATTCACTTCGAGGCCTTCGGGCCCGGCGTAATGAACAAGCTGGTGCACCCGGGTGGGGTGAGCGAGGACGCGCGGGCAAAGTTCGCCGGGGGGATATTCCCTCCGCCCGACAAGGCGGCGGACCCCTCCGCCGAGGTTATCGTCATGGTGGCGGAGCTCCTGGCGGGGGGAAGTCAGGCCGACGGCGGCCAGGACCCCGTGATCGTGGCCTTTGCCAAGTGGAAGCTGGTCAGGGAGGCGCAGCCCAGGGAGGAGTGGGAGGACCGCCACGACATGACGGAGGAGGAGCTGGGCGAGGGCGCGGACGCGGCCGTGTACAACAAGTTCATCGGCGGCTTGCACGAGATGAAGCGGCGCTGGGTGAAGGGGGACCCGTGCCTTCGTGAGTCTCTCATCCCCCCACCCCCAACGCGGCAGACTGTGGCGGGGTTACCTGACGACATGACAGATCTGGGAATCCTGGCGGCGACGCCTACTCGGCACCGGCTCGGGGCCGGGTCAGCCTTGCTCAAATGGGGCTGCGAGCTTGCTGACGGGGAGAACAAGACGGCGTGGCTGGAGGCATCGCCGGCTGGGTATTCTCTGTACAGAAGATTTGGGTTTGAGGACGTCGATGTTCAGGACCTCAAGCTGACAGAGTTATGGGGCGCGGTGAGGTCCGAAGGCGAGAACTGGGGCGCCGCATCGGCGGTGGCGCTCGCTGGCGAGCTCCCAGATGGCAGCTTCAGGTCGGTGCTGATGAAGAGGTTACCCAAAACGTCCTGAGCCTGAGGGACGAGTCGTGGGCGGATGGGTCTTCGAAACGCCTCGTGGGGGCCGTCCGTGGACGGTGGACGGGCACTAGCACCAAGCTCGTGTCGAGGCTGCTCGTGTCAGCTGCCACAAAACTTCAATAGAGTGCCAGTGCTACGTGCAACTCAGGATGCCGGCTTGAGGCGCTGGAGAATGGGTCTCATTCCGAAGAAATTAGAAGCTTAAATCGCGCCGGATGATATGCGCCTAGTTGACTCGTGCATCGATGGACGACTGACTGCTGATTGCACCGGATAGCGCCATTTGCCTTTCTCGCTTGGCGGCCTGTCAGCCCTTCATGGTCGGGAAGGGATGGTCTGAAAAAGTCTCCGATTTCTCATGATCATGCCGCGTCCCGTATGGCTTTGGGTCTTGATTGTACGTGTGCGCGGCCGGACAGAGGCTCCGTCGACAGCGTGTTGGACGGCGCTGCGGACGCGGAGTTGTTCCGTCCACGTCAACTTGACTTCCGGAACAAGATCGGCAGGGTGGGATACGGGGGGTCAGGCGCTGGGCTTGTTCCGACCGACGTCTCGGCAGTGTTTGGAGCCGGCCTCTAGCCCCACATCCAAGGCGTGTTGACCCTGTAGTGTGAGACGGGGGGCCCCTCCTTGGCCCAATCTCCACAGCCACACAGACGTGCAGCTGCGATTTGCCGGCGCGCGCACCTTCTGCGGCCATTCGCTGCAGTGGAGGCGGTCAGCACGAATGAGAGTTGGATTGCGTGGATAATGTGCTCATCATGTAGGCTGCGTGCGCTGTAGGGTAGTAGATTGGGTTCAAGCCTGCATCGGAAGCTACTGCTTCCACGTTGACGAGCTGATCTAATGCGTAAACCGCATGTAATTGGCATGTGATTAGGGGTGGTAGCCACCCTGCTGGGCAGGCGCCTGGGAGCTAGCGAGTTATCTTGGGACAATCTTGAAACGCTTTATCGTCAAGATCCCCGGGGTTTTGCCCAACACGGTTCACGACGCACTTCCAAGGTTTCTCTATTGACTTTTAAATTGTCCTTCTGTAAACTTTCCCAGCTTTCTGCTCTTTCAAACAAAACATTTTGTACATCTCCCGAGTCTCTCAGACCGTATAACAGAGCCCTTATCATCTCATCTTAACCAACTTGCAGCTGTTGCTACGATCCTGACCACAGACGGACCCTCCTCCTAACAGGAGACACTTGTACCTGGACCGAAGAAGAGACAACCACGACAAGACACCTACTTACTCTACCGAAGATGAGTCTCGAAGTCGGCAGCTTGCCCTCGCCAACAGGGCCTTGGAGCCCGACCCACAACACTCAAAGCCCCTCCTTCGACCCTGCCAAAACTGTCCAGACATCGCTTAGCAGACAGCAGCCGTCCGTGTCATCACGATTCAGAGACCTAGTGAAGGTGAGCACTCGAATGAGTACCTTGGGTGGAGTCTCACTTCCCACGTACCATGGCTAACCACCAGCTCGTAGTTCTTGTCATCCGTCTCTGGAGACCTCTCCAATGTCACCGCGCCACCATTCTTTCTAGCCCCGTCTTCCGTGGTGGAAGTCGGCCACTGTTGGAGCCAACGGCCCGGCGTCTTCGCTGCGCCGGCGCTGGAACCTGACTCGGCGAAACGAAGTCTGTTGGTCTTGCGCATGATCCTGATTGCGATGCGCAGCCAGTTCTACGTTGCCGGGTCGCCCAGTGTCAGCATCAAGAAGCCCCTGAATGCCTTCCTGGGCGAACTGTTCCTTGCCTCTTGGACACAAGTCCCAAAGGGGAAGAGCAAGAGCAAAGGCAAGGAGAAGGGCATCAAACTCGGGATGGACAGCGGAGACGGAAAGCCAGCTACGACACGGCTTGTGGCCGAGCAGGTCTCGCATCACCCTCCGATCACAGCCATGGCAATCATCGACGACGAGCACGGCATCCGAGCAGACGGCTACGCCCGCGTCGAGATGACCTTCAGCAGCAGCGTGGACATCCGGCAGATCGGCCACGCCATTGTCCATATCGACGAGTACGATGAGGACTATCTCATCCCGCTGCCAGACGTCAAGGTCCGAGGTTTCCTGTCCGGCAGATTATACCCCGAGGTGCTTGGCACATACACAATCGTGTCTAGCTCGGGCTACGTCAGCGAGATCAACTTCTCCGGCGCCGGTGTGTTCCGGGGCAAGAAGAACACATTCGAGGCCAAGATGTACCGCAAGGACGACCCGAAGAAGACGCCACTCTATGAGGTCGCTGGCCAGTGGAGCGAGGGCTGGACGGTCAAGGACAGCAAGACCGGCGACGTCCTCGAAAAGTACGACGTCGACGCCGTCGAGAACAGGCCTGCGCCAATGGACATGGAGCCGCTCGAGAAGCAGGACCCGTGGGAGTCAAGGAAGGCCTGGGGAGGCGTCATCGATGCGCTCGACAGGGGTGACTTCCGGGACACGGTCACGGAGAAGTCCAAACTCGAGCAGGCGCAGAGACGCCTGAGGGCCGAGGAGAAGACCAACGGGGAGACCTGGGAGCCTCTGCTGTTCAGCAGCAAGGAGGGGGCTGATCATGAGGTCTTCCACCGGCTGGCCAAAGGGACAAGCTGGGAGAAACATCTGTCCGATGAGAAGACGAAGGGCGTATGGAGGGTCAAAGATGATGAGAAAGCAAAGACGGCGCAAAGACCATTTAGAGGGGAACTTACACCTCTTGGCTAGGATGGGGAGCCAGACTTGTTTCACTCATTTGTTGTTTGTGAGCGTTGGCGTTCTTGTTACGGGACTCGGCAGACCTAGCACACTACAGTAGCTTTCAAGGAATAGGAAATATCGAGCGTCACATTCTTCTAATTTGCTGCTTCAAACGACGTGCCGTTTGTAAAAGCTTCGGAATGTGTTCGTGCTAAGCATCGGAAAACTATGAGAAGATGTATTGCTGTGTCGCTCACTTTGCTCTTCACTACTATCGATGCACGTCGTTCTTTGTCAGGGTTAATTAACAGTCGCTCGTTGGAGACAGAGTCAACCTAGGATTCAAGATTGCTAGACAAGTAGAAAGGAAAAAAAGTAACATTCGTCGGTGGCTCCCACGAAATAAATTTCGTCAATAAGTAGTGATCACGGTACTGGAAGTACTTTGCTTTTCTTCGGACAACGGGTGAATGCCCGACCATATTCAGAGGCGAAGATTCTACGCATATTATTAACTTCCACAATTAGCATGCGAATCCGCATGTGGGTATTGTGCTCTCGACACTCAGACCGCACTCGAGCTTGCTGCCACCACAGCTTTCCTCGAGACCATGACTACCCGCATCTTCTAGCGACACCACGCAGGAAGACACACCAGGTGCCTTGGGCCTCCTGAGCCTGCATTCCTTCTTCATCACAGTCTGGGCCGTCTCCCGACCGGTCTGTCGACACTGAGGCACGCACAGCCCGGTCTCGCTTATCACGCTCGGGAACCACTGACGGGTATGCGAGCTGCAGCGCCAAGACCAGTAGAGACAAACACGTTCGTTTTTTCTCGCCAAAGGAGGCAGGTGAAGATGTTGTTCCCGCATCTCGTGGAACGATGCCAGCGTTGAGATTGTGCGGACAACTGCAGGTGGGGACATGTTCTGACGGGTGAACAAACACATCACGATGGTGCCGTACAATCACTCTGTTGCTGGAACACTGGAGTACGCTTAAGGGTGCTGTCGTTGTATTGTTGTGAATTCGTAGAGCGTTACTCTGGTTGAGAAGCTCTACTAGCCGTTCGCTCGTTCACGCTCACAAATTAAGTCGATGTAAGTACCCACTCAAGCACCACCCCCCTCCCGCATAGCGTTTCCCACCAAAAAGCCTGAATTTAGCCTGTTTATAAATAGATCTAGGAAAATATAGCACAAACGAAAGTTATATACAAATTTAAAGGATTTTATACTCATTATAAATATATTTTTAAAAGATTTATTATATATTTATAATGATATTAAATAAATAAAAGTACTTTAAAGGTTGAAAAGTTAAAGGTCTTGCATTGCAAAAGTGCTTAAGTTAAAGGTTTTAATAGTGAAAATAATAACTTTTTTTTTATAAAACCTTTTATTTTTAATTATCTCTCCATATTAACATTATATAAGAAATTTTATAAAGTTTATTCTTAATAAATAAAATATTTATTAATTTTTTTATTTAATTTCTATATTAATATAAATTTAGTTATTAATAAGCTGAAATTGGGCTTTTTGGTGGGAAACGGCTGTGCGGGAGGGGGGTGGTGCTTGAGTGGGTACATCGACTTACGACCTTTGGTTCATCGTGGAAGCAATCAGCTGCTAGAGGTCTTGGGCTGCTTGTATCTATGTTCCATCGAAGCAGGATATAGAGACATTTTGGGTGAAACACCTGCAACACAAACAACCCTACAATGTTTGGATTATTTGCGGCTTGGGGAGTGTTTGCTCGGGAGGAAGTACCCGCCGTCGGGACGTTCCTGGAGGTGCGTGGATTATGATGCGAGTCTCTAGTGGTATCGATTTCCTCGGAACACTGACGACGGAGCATAGTTGTAAGGGCCTCGCATCGTCAGGATGTGACTACATAAAGCAGCTGCCCCAAGAGCTTCCTCGTCTGATTGAAGCGAAGACTGTCACCAACAGATTTACAACTTTCACCTTATTCAGAGCCATCTGCCCTCTTCGAGCAGCCTCCAAAATGTTGTTCACTCAAGTCTCGATCCTCGCTCTCGCCGTACTAGCTGCCACTCATCCTGGACATGAACAGGAAGAGCATCTTCAGACTATCAAGGCCCGCGCAGCGAGGACCAACACCAAGCGGGCCCTCGAGGGCTGCGCTTCCCAACTCGAGGCTCAAGGTGTCCATGCTCGTGCTATGGAGCGTCGCAAGACTACGTTTGATGCTCAACGCATTGCGAGGGGCATTCCATTGGACGGTATGCCGTGCTTTCAACCACCATAATGAATATTGGAGCACCTTGCTGACCGTTTCTAACATTGGTAGCTCCTCACGCGATGATCAATGGCAGAAAGATGAAGCGAGACACTCCCGACGTCCTCAACAAGGATCACCAAGGCGACATCGATGCCTTTCAGGCGTGGGTTAACGAGACTTACGTGTTCAACGATACCACTTCCACGGTCCTGAATCCCGAGGGCGACATCGGGCCGTTTTATGTCCCGGGTGAATATATCCGCAGCTACTTGTGTACGGATGAGGATTGCCCGGACGGAGTATTTGTCATCGCTGACATTCAGTTCATCAACGTGGACACGTGTGAGCCCCTAGCAGACGTCTGGGCCGACGTCTGGTCGTGCAACGCAACCGGGGTGTACTCAGGCATCCAGTCCGACGTGAACGGGGACCCATCCGACGCTGGGAACCTCAACAACACCGCCCTGCGCGGCGTACAGAAGTCCGATTCCGACGGCGTCGTTCAGTTCTGGTACACCTTCCCGGGCCACTACGCGGGCCGCACCAACCTTCAGCACATTATAGTGCACGAGAACGCGACTGTCCTGCCGAACGGGACCCTGGCCGGAGACGGATCAGTCTCTCACATCGGACAGCTTTTCTGGGACCAGGATCTCATAGATGAGGTTGAGACATGGAGCCCATACACTGAGAACACGGCACCTCCGACACTCAATTCTGAAGACTTCGTCTTTGGCGAGCAGGAAACGGCGGACACCGATTCAGACCCGGTCTACAGCTACACTTTGTTGGGGGAAGATGTAGGCCTCGGAATATTTGCGTGGATCGTTATTGGCATCGATCCCTCTGCTTCTTACACTCCGACATACTCCTTCGCTCTCACTGAGGGCGGTGGCGTCGCTGTTGGCAGCAATGATGAAGGCAGGCGGCTCTCCGGGCGGCCCTGGAGGCTTTCATCCCCTCTGCTAGGCTAGGCCTTCTCGTTCTGCACCTACCGATCTTGTGTAGCCATGAACAGACATTGGAAGTGCAGGAAAAAATCGTGGCGACTGGTGTTCCGTCGTGGCGTATGCTTTGTTTTCTCTTCAACACCAATTATTACATTCATAGCTTTATCTTTCGCTTCTCAGTGAAGTACACGTTTGAGTCAATGTTTCAATATCATGCTATGATCACCATCACCTGAGATGCCTTACACATGTGATAGCGTGTCATTGTAAGACACACGACTCGACAGGTCCGTCCCACAACAAGTGTATGGTACGCAAATAATGCGTACATGAGCCGACTTATTTGCAATGATAATCCAATCGCAACGTAGATAAAGAAGCTTTGATAAGCTTGAAGACATCTGGCTACATATATATGCGCACACATCGAGTAGTATCAGAGCAGAGGCACATATAGCTGCGCTCATCTTGGATTCTAGACCTCCAAGCACGAGACGTACAAAGATGCAGCAAAGTGGTCGCACGGGGGAGGCACCGGATATCACACACCGTCGTGCGGCGCACCGACTCGATAAGCTCTCGTAGTTCTTGCCTCACTACGCGTTGGTCATAGAAGGATGAAAGTGAACTTCGTAGCCAGTCACACTTGCTAAGGTGGTAAGTAGCTGTACGACTCTGTATCTGTTTCCTTCCCCCACGTTTTGTCTCTTCATTTTTGTAAAACATTGGATCAAGAAACGAGCAGCCTATCATGTAACCATGTGTGGCAGCACTGAGGGGATCAACTGTGTATCGTTAGTCTTGCGGCGTGAAAGTTCTAGTATTCGGCTGTGACCCGTGCCTATCAACGATTCCACAAAAGCAATCACTTCATGATACTGCGCGAACTGACAGACCCATGCGGTGTTACTGAAACACATTATTTTCTTAGCGGTGTGAGCCAGATCACCAAGGCTTTCTTGCCTCGACTACGGTTCACAAGATTGCCAGGCGAACACACGACCAGTACATAGAGGCGCAAAAAGCCAAATTATCCGTCGCGATTGGTAGTTTAGCAGATCATGGGATTGCGACTCCCGTGATATCTGATCCGACCACCTACTCGCTGGATCCGGATCCGGGGTGGCACCGTTTGAGATAGGCTGATGATACATTTCGGCGCAGTCGGATCGTTAAGACGTGGTACACGAAGAAACGATGACTGGAGAGTGTATCGGAGGAATCAATTCATTCAATGGAGATATATAAGAACAAGATCATGGTCGAGTGAGATTGTTCGGACAAAGACGACAGCGCTGAGGCAAACCGCAAGCTGCATCAAGCCCCATATTTCATGACCACCTCACCTTCTCACAGATCCAAGTCAGCAAGAAGAAAATGTGTTCCAAGACTTTGTGTCGAGCTGTAGTTTTGGCTCTGTCTCTGGGATATGTTAAAGCGCTTCCTGCTGGGATAGTCAAGCTGGTAAGCCTCCCTCCTAATACCACGTACGAAATCAGATTCCCAGAACCTTGAAATCAACTCACGCTTTCCATAGCCCGATCTTGCCGACCCTTGGATGCTTGCGGCTTGCACAAAACCACCTACTCCAGACTGGTGCACCGCAAAGGGCCCGGGGTCCGAGATGTGGTGTATGGGTGAAGACTGGTGGTGCAAATACCAGGGGTATGTCCTCTCCCTGAGCCTCTAGGACTATGAATGTGCTAGCCGTGCATGAAGCCTGGATTGACACCTCCGCAGCCCCCCACCTTACATGGCGCCGACCTTTGCGCCTACTAACATCTCTTGTGCGGGCTGTCCGAGCGGACCCCGGGCGTGATCTCATACTGAATGTTCTTTCTTAGTCTAACAGTCACTCTCAGAGCGGTGGAAACCAGCGCGGACGTATTCACGGCAGCAGTGTTTGCCTACTGAAGCTGACTATCAAGTCTGTGATTGTATGACTGGAGGGCCTCTGTAGCTGTCTTTTCTCAGCGTTTAGCCGCCCCTTTTCGAGATTCCATATCAAAAATGTATTGTTACTTTGAGAAATATTCAATCAGAATGTAGTCATTTTGCACTTTTCTGGTACAATCCGCATCCGCAAAAAGTGTAGGAATCCGGCCTCGGCTGATGGCTGAAGGATATCATCTAGCGAGATGCCCCTTAATGTTCAAGTCCAGTCTTACTCCGAACTCAAAGCTGATCAAGAACTTCAAAATTTTTCATAGAAACCATGTTCGTAGTTGTTTACGAAATTAGATAACTGACAAATAACAAGAGTCCGGATGCCGGTAGGAGGCTGTTAGCTCAGCTCACTTCTGACGAAGGAGCGCCAGAAACTGTCGTGAGAAGCAAAGGGATTGCCCTCGATCGCGGGCACAATAGTCAGGCTATGCGATATCCAGCCCATGGCCCTCTTTTCAAGCGCTCAATACATGTATGCACTCTTTTCACCTCCCATTTTCTCGGAATCGGACTGCTTCAAGAAGCCAGTATAAGCCGCGTACCATGCTTACCCAAGCATAACGACAGCACCACATCCGCCCAGATGGATTCAACTCAATCCGTAGAGCCGGCCCAAGGGATAAAGTGCCACCAATATAAGGTTTTGGCTATCCTGCAAGGGGTCCAGTCATACGTATTGGGAGCGCCTGGGCTGTCGATGCAACTGCGGGGGAGGGCATGGATGGGCGACCTTGGCCCTCCACCACCACCAGTTCGACTTGACGAGACATCTCCGAGAAGCCTCACCCGGATGATCTTGGGTGTTGGAGAGGATCGACCCGGGAAGCTGGTCTGACACAAGGCGCGAGCGGGGTTGCGGCTGTTTTATAAGTGCGCGATGGGAACTGTCGTGAACCGTTAAACATTTCGTGGGATTGCAACAGCGAGGCATTTCGCAGGGCAAGCAAGAAAAACATGTAAAAAAAAACAAGCACAACTTGTTAGAGTTCCAAAACACCAAAAATGGAGCCTACGGTGCTCATCATCGGCGCAGGGACCTTCGGCACCTCGACCGCCTACCACCTGGCCCAGACCTACCGGGACGCCTCCCGCGTGACCGTCATCGACCGCGAGGCCTCGCCGCCCGCCAAGGCGGCCGCCATCGACATCAACCGCATCATCCGCGCCGACTACCCGAGCACGTTGTACTGCAACCTCGCCAACGAGGCCATCCACCCCTGGTTCTGGAGCAACGAGCTCGGGCCCTGCTTCCATCGGGTCGGGTGGCTGAGGCTGAACGAGGCGGGCAGCGACCTGCAGGGCCGCATATTCGCCACGCTGCGCGGGCGGGGCACGCATATCATGCAGGACGTCCCGCTTGAGGAGCTTGGCCGGCGCTGGGATGGCCTGCTGGAGGGGACGGAGACGGCCGGGTTCGACAGTGCGTACTTCAATCCCGACGCCGGGTGGGTGGACGCCGCGAGCGCGACGGCGCGGTTCATGGCGACGGCGACGGGGAAGGGCGTGAAGAGGGTGGCGGGCGACGTCGTGGAGTTGCTAGTCGACACCAAGACGGGCCGGGTCGAGGGCTGCAGGACGGCGGACGGGCGGCGTCTTACGGCCGACAAGGTCGTTCTTGCCGTCGGCGGTTGGACTAGCGCTTTGCTGGCCCCTGTCGAGGAGACGCTGGGGGTCCCCGAGCAGGACAGCATCGAGCGCCAGGCGCAGGCTACGGCGATCGTGTCGGCGTACTATCGCATATCCTCCAGTGATGTCGGCAGGATGGCCAACGTCGAGCTGCCGTGTGTGATATACGGCCAGGTCGGAGAGGTGATTCCGGCTTCGAAGAATAACGGGCTTCTAAAGTATAACAACTCGCGCACCCGGTTGGTAAATACCGTGACAAGCAAGTCAGGGAGGAAGATCTCCGTCCCGCCGTCGGACAGGGACCAGAGGGATGTGCCAGAAGGTCTGAAGCGCGAGACAGAGGCGATCTTGACTTCGAAGCTGATGCCGAGCTTCGCGCGAGGGACACCTGAGTACTGGCGAATTTGCTGGGACTCGACGACGCCCTCGGAGGACTTGCTGCTGTGTGAGCACCCCAAAGTCAAGGGCATCTATGTCATCAATGGAGGATCCTTCTGTGGTTACAAGTACGATCCTCGGCCCCCCAAGCTTCTAATCCTGATGAACAGCACAACTCACTGACAGGGAAAACAGGTTTCTTCCGAACATTGGCAAGTATATGCTCAACGTCTTGAACGGGCAGAGCAACGGACCGGAGAAGGACAAAGCCTGGGGCTGGAAGAGCAGCGCGGCACTAGAGGCGGCCAGGCGAGGGAATAAGGGTGTTGAGCAGCGCGAGTTCGAAGAGTTCGTCGACAAGAGTCCGTCCAGACCGAATGATCAGTCCCGACTATGAACGGGAAAAGGCTGCCTATATGGAGTTGCATCGGCGATATGCTTCTCGAGGTGCTTCAGGAACCTGTACAAGCTCGGCTGGGATCCCTTCATCTCTCGGCGTAGAGTCAACCATCCGCTCAGACAAACATTGTTGTTAATGTGTATGATCGCTCTGTCGATTTGGCTGCGGTAGTCTCGTGCTGTGCCTTGACTACTGGGACCGTGAGGGCTTGCGTAGAAAGGGGTTGGGGACCTGGCCTCTAACGCAAGGGAAATTCGATCGTTCGATTCATCTTGATGTTGTGAAAGCTCGTGGTGAGGTTTGTCGAGGCACTTTCCTGGAGATGAGCGTGCCACAGGAACCATGTGACACATATGTTCATTGCTTTCCTTCTCTTGCAAACACTTGGTGCCCGCGAGCCTTTTGACTGGTCACCTGCCGACCACGATACCAACAACATCACTTGCCCACTGGGGTATAGGGGGTTTTGATAGATCATAGGCCTCTGAATCCCCTGCCAGCACACTTGTGGATATTTCATCGGCTCAGCCTCGGCTGAAGACCAAAGCCTTCCTCCCTCAACTCTAGCCAGCAAAGGGAACTCGCCGAAATCTTCCTTACCTGCCCGTTGAGGCGGAAACAGATAGCCCGAGCCACCGTAACTTGGCCAAACCACCTCCCTACTGGCCATCTCTGTGGGTCCAAAGGAGCACAACCTGGGGAATGAGACTCCTGGATGGCTCGTCGATGATGGTATATACCCGGGGACTGCATCGACTCGACCACTCTTGGCGGGTATTCCGCCCCCGTCACGTACTCAGAACATGGGGAAAGGAGGAGTCCCCTCGGGGTAAAATAAGCGTCGGATGTTGAGAACCACGACAAGGGTTCAGCGGCCCCTGGCTGCTATTGAGCCGTTGACCTGTTGATATAAAGGCCCAGCTTCTGCCGCCGGCCTCCTCAGTGCACGATGTCCTGCCCTTTGCTTCCTGTTGCTCTGTCCTTGGCGATAGCTGGTGGTTCGCAGATCGATCTCGAGACACCATCCCAGGGCGGAGGACCATCACCAATCCGGACACTGCCAAGCCCATCGAGGCTCGAAGCACCTTACTGGCAAAGCACCGGGACATGGACAGCCACCTCAGGCTCATCAGGCCTCACCAGATCGTCTTCAGCCAGCAAAGACTCGGGTGGTCTTTCGGGTCGGCTCCCAGTCTCGAGTGACCGACATCCATCCCGTGGCGAGAGGACCGCATCCCCCACTGCATCGAAACAGCCCATCAACATCGAACGCGCGAAAACCCCATGGGCCCCCGGATCTGGTCAAAACCGGCGATTGTGCACCTCGAGGTCGACTGCAGTCCGTCGACCGGGCGCGGTCGGCCAAACACGGAAGGCTAGGCTCGGGCGCTCCTCGGCGGCACATTAGCGCTGTGTGGGACTGGAGGAGTTGGTGCTGTGGCCCAGTTGGTCTTGGGAGGAGGGCCCCCCTGTCGCCGTCGTCCTCTGGAATTATTGGGATTTTTACCTGGAACCCACTGGCCGAGCAGGGCGAGTCAGCCCCTGACGGGTAAGCAAAAAAGCTCCGCGCCCGCCTTGGCTGCGTGCCGACGACCCATGGCCTTGGCGGGAAGCCTTGATCCAGCTTGGCTCCTGGCGTGGCGTGGCGCGGCGTGGCCTGGGCGGGAAATCGGTTGAGCCTCATTTTCTTTTTTCCAACGGTCGTGTGTGGGTGACATTCCTTTATCAATATGCTCATGTCGGGCCGTGTGTTTTGGCGAGCAAGTGCTCGTCCCAAATGGTGCCCCCTAGTTGCATTTGAGTTTTACGAGATCGGGGTGCGCGGTCTGGGGATATCCACTTTGCTTTTCCTGGAGTCAAGTGATCCATCCTCGACCTGGAGAAAAGTGGTGCGCCATGTGGGAACCACTGCAGGACTTTGCAGCACAGAAGAGTGGGCAGGAACCAGGCAGGTGGGTTCGGCCCTCTGGGGTCGGCTCTCGACCTGGAGAGTACCACAGAGTTTACATAACGGCCCATTCCCCACGGCCCCATCCAGGCTCATCCCATCCGCCCACGGGGAGTTCTGGGCTAGGGCCTCAGGGCCTCAGGTACCAAACACCACCCACTGCCCACTGACAACCTGCGTTCTGGGCCGATCTGGCAGTGAACTGGTTAGTGCACACCTCGGCAGGTGGAGCACCCTGGAAACACTGCAGGCCCGAATTGATCCAAGTAGTAGAAGCACTGGCGAGTCAGAATTGCCACCCATCTCCTGCCGTTTGCTGCCAGTTCATGCCAGTTCCTGCTGCGAGGCACTTTCTTGCAGCCGGGAAATCCTCTCGATGTTCAGCCCAATGCTGCGCTGCAACGCGCGAAAATGGGCCCACGGGTGGTGCATTGTTGGGTCCATTACCAGAGCGAGGGAATTTCTGCAAGAGAAGACGCGGAGAAGGATCTTCACCCACACAGAACAATCGGTCGTCTGGGGTAGAGGCGTGGTGCCTGGCATGTCTATCACGTCTGTCCGTCCGGGGTAAAGGGCGAGCAAAACAGCGACGCCAGCAATTTTGCTGCAGTCAGCGGGTGCAGACCCAAGCTGCCTGCGTGCGACGTCGACCGCCCCTGGGGACCCCGGCGCCAACATTCGGCCATTCTCCTTGCTGGGGTCCCCACATTGTCGTCTAGAATCTGTGAGGGATGACGTGAACGTTGGACAGGAACTGCGAGGATGGCGAACAAGAAGTGGTATCTCCGAATTTTATTACTGTTGATGAGCAGGCCACAGACATCGTATGCGATAATCTATACAAATACCAGCTGGCTGCCCTTCCCATTTATTTAGTATGATCAATGCGCCTTCTCCTTCACGCTCATCGTCGATGCTCAGTCATCAACCTTCTTCCACCGTGACTTATACCCAGACTACCTACTATTATCCTGTAGTCTGTATCTTATCTTGCACCTTTTAGTAGGGCCCTCACCAAACACATACACCTCCACACACTGCCCGTCATGGCCGACTCCGTGACGCCAGCTCCGGTGGAGCCCACCATGAGCAAGAAGAAGCTCCAGGAAGCACAGCTGGAGAACCCTGTCAAGCCCAACAACATTCCCGCCATGGACGAGGCACAGGCCCTCGCCGTCGCACAGGCAGGCGGATATGAGATCGACGCCCTGATCAACGAGATGGAGGCCGAGCTCGAGGCCGACGGTGGTCTCAAGACCGGCTTCTTCCACCTGCAATTCACGGACCCAAGACATTTCACATGGGTCATCGTCGCCTTCGCCTCCATGGGTGGCTTGTTGTCGGGACTCGACCAGTCGCTCATCTCGGGCGCCAACCTGTATCTCCCCGTCGACCTCCACCTGACCACTGAGCAGAACAGTCTCGTCAACTCGGCCATGCCTCTCGGTGCTGTCGGCGGTGCGTTGATTCTCGGGCCTTGCAACGAGTGGTTCGGCAGGAAGATGGCCATCATCATCTCTACGATTCTCTACACCATCGGCGGTGCTCTCTCTGCTGGAGCAATGAACTATGGTAAGTTTTTCGAAGGCCCTTTTTCATCATCTCCAGTTTCCAGAGTGGCAGGTCCTAATAAATCTGCTAGGCATGATCATTGCTGCTCGCGTCATCCTCGGCTTTGGCGTCGGTCTCGAAGGTGGTACGGTCCCTGTCTACGTCGCCGAGACAGTCGAGCGCAAGATTCGTGGCAACCTCGTGTCTCTATACCAGTTCAACATCGCCCTCGGCGAAGTCCTCGGCTACGCCGTCGCAGCCATGTTCCTGCACGTCGACGGAAACTGGCGGTATATCCTCGGATCCTCCCTTGTCTTCTCGACCATCATGGGCATCGGCATGCTCTTCCTTCCCGAGAGCCCGCGTTTCCTCATGCACAAGGGCAAGGTGCTCGAGGCGTACAAGGTCTGGAAGCGCATCCGCGGCATCACCAACGCCGAGGCCAAGGAGGAGTTCTTCGTCATGAAGGTCGGCGTCCAGCACGAGCAGACCGTCGTCTCCGAGAGCGCCACCAACAAGCGCTTCCCCTGGATGGACTTCTTCACCGTTCCCCGTGCCCGCCGCGCCCTGGTCTACGCCAACATCATGATCCTGCTCGGCCAGCTTACCGGAGTCAACGCCATCATGTACTACATGTCCGTGCTGATGCACCAGATCGGCTTCGACGACGAGAAGGCCAACTACATGTCCCTCGTCGGCGGCGGCTCCCTGCTGATCGGCACCATCCCCGCCATCTTCCTCATGGAGAAGTTCGGCCGTCGCTTCTGGGCCAACGTGATGCTGCCCGGCTTCTTCATCGGCCTCGTCATCATCGGCGCGTCCTACCAGATCCAGAGCCTCAACGGCACCATGGCCTGCTACCTGGTCGGTCTCGTCCTCTACATGAGCTTCTTCGGATGCTACGCCTGCCTGACGTGGGTCGTCCCCTCGGAGGTGTACCCCACCTACCTCCGGTCGTACGGCATGACCACCTCGGACGCCCTGCTCTTCCTGGCCTCCTTCATCGTCACGTACAACTTCTCGGCCATGCAGCGCGCCATGACCCAGACCGGCCTGACCCTGGGCTTCTACGGCGGCATCGCCGCCGTCGGCTGGGTCTACCAGATCCTCTTCATGCCCGAGACCAAGGACAAGACCCTCGAGGAGATCGACCTCATCTTCCAGCGGCCCACGCGGGAGATCGTCAACGAGAACATCAAGAACACCACCAGGGCGTTTGCCCACTTCTTCGCGGGCCGGTGGACCCCGACCAGCCAGAATGCTGCTGTCGCGGCCGAGGTGGAGGAGGAGAAGCTCGGCGAGAAGTCTTAGACTGCTTATGAATAGGCTTTGAATAATTAGATGTTGAAGAAGTACATGTGTGAAGATACACGATATATGCAACTGGATGGAGGATAGCATGGCATCGCGGGCTTAACTAGGTCGCGTTGGTGCCGGATTACGATATGACCAATCTCATGATACCCAATGGAGATCTTTTGAACCAAACAAATTCTTGCTGTATTTGCCTGCACTTGCCATTCGATTGAACAATTAGGATCAGAGCATTTCTTTGCTTGTCCACACGTAACTCTTAAAGGCAGCTGCATAGTATTTGCGGTACAATCAACTATGCACCTGTAGAGCATCGGCACTACCTATGCTGTGACCCGCTTGACAGCTTCCAGAGTGTCTCGCCATTCGTAACCGTCATCAGGAAAGCTTGGATAATGGTCCCTCAATAGCTGCGCGTAATTAACTACTACAGCTGACTAGTTAGCGACAGGAATTGCCGGTGCTCGACGACTCCATCAAGGTCCACCTCAACTAGCACAATACTAGTCTGTGCGGACTTTGCCCTATGTACAATATTCCAAGGCTTAATTATCATTTGATTTATTTACAATGCTCCCGTGGGTTCCGTTAAGCTTGGAATAATGACCATATTACCACTTAGAGACCTTTAATGTGTTTTCCTTTCTTAGCTCATCATGAAGCGCACCACAAATAACAGCCAATATTCGACACCATGGAAGCCATCAGCCGCGCCGCTCTCCACTAGCACGATTTGCTTTGCAAAGTTGTCAATTCAAAAGTATCTAAAAAGACCTCCTACTTTGCGTTTTTTCCAATTTTCCATGGGTCTGGCAAATTGCCTCTAATCGGTCGTTTTATATCTACGCCCACATGATGGATGAGCCCAAGTCTTTGGTCTCAACTATCTTCACTTCCATGAATCAAGCCGCTTCAAACACCAGATCATCAGAACAAATTCTGTGCAATCATCTCACAAATAGACGCACTAAATTACTTTCGAGGCCCTCAAATCTTCACGTCATAAGCGCAGTCACTCGAAAAGATGGCGTCCATTCCGTGCGGACCCTGTTCGAGATATGAACTTCCCGATAATTCGACTGACACAGCCGACGATACTTCTGTTGAAGGTTATGAACTCACCCGACAGCCCCGACCAGCATCCTGGAGTCACCCTGACACTCTTGCACTTCTGTCACCCGGGTCTCTATCGCCTGGGTCTCTAGAGTATATCGACAACACCGAGCCAACACCCGACGCACCACCTATCGACCCAGAGCCCCCTGCTGTCCGCAACAGAACCATGACAATGAACATCCCCCTCGACGACGTCGACCTCGTGCAGCTATTCCTCCGCCCGGACGGCTCCGTCAAGGGCATCAGCTTCAACTACGGGGACTCGGACCTGGCGGACCTCGGCTGCTGCATCGCCGAGCCGGGCTGCTGGTACGCCTTCCTCCAGCCGCGGTGGCTCCTCTTCACGCCCGCGCCGGGGGGCCACCGCGTCGGCGGCCGCGGGTTCTTCCCCGTCGAGTGCATCAGCTTCGGGAACGTCCGCGATCTGGGTGACGGGGTCGAGACGAACGCTGTCAGGATGGAAGGCTCGCTGGTGTTCCGCCTCTCCCCGGACGGGCTGGAGATTGACATGAGCGGTGATGTGGGAGTATATGGGACCGCGCCCAGGCGCGGCAAGAGGACCTTCGAGCGGGCGGCGCGAGCTGTCAAGGGCTGGCTTGGAAAGCACTGCGTTCTCTTTCGGCTGTCCAACAAAATGTCGAGATATTGGAAAATAGGCCAGCAGACTCGCTAACAAGAAAACGCGAAACGAAATCCAGTGGATGGGGTGCAAACGAATCAATGAGGTTTGAAAAAGGTCACGTGAAGTCCTACAGGGAAGACCACTATGGGATCATCTCCTCTGTGATAATCCTCTACATCATGTGGGATAACCTCCTCCGAGATGATCTCCACTGGTAAACTTCCTCTAAAATAAGCTTCCACGGAAAAGCCTGCTATGGGATCACTTGCGTTGGCAGTCGGGCGTCTTGAACGGAACTGAATTATTTAGCTGCGACTGGTGCATTCATCATTAGGATAAGCGCAAGAATGGGGTTTCGGAGGAGCATGGCGGAGGTCGGCAGGAGAAAGAAGCTTCATGGTTGTTCTGAAGGATGAACAGCGACATCGCAATTGACCCAGGGGTCATTTTTGAAAAACGTTTAATTGAATCTTCAGAGTACTTCGTTCAGAATTGAGTAATCATTTGTAGGAAAATATGCAATCCCTATTCAATCATCTACTTGTCCAAAGCGTCCTTGCAAACAATTCACAAGTGGCATCATAACCCGTACATGATGAGACGTAGTATCCCGCAAATCTCTGTATCGTCTGTCATGCTAGGAACATACACCAGGTACCATCTCACTTCCTGAAGTCAACTTGACAGCGTGGTCCACTCCTCAAGGATGTCACACCCAGCAGTCTGCCAGAATATATAAACTCTCTAAGCTGCACACTGGTAGCGCTTTTTATTTCTTACACAGTCACTCTCCAGAATCTAGGTCATAGGCTAGATTTCCTAGGCAGGATTGCTCAATGCCCTAGTAATGACCGTCATTTCGTCCTTCTTTTCCGTGACGTTGCCAATGCTCGTGTTGCTTTCATTCTCAGCCATCAACGCGCCGATACCTGTGCACTCGTACTTGCTGAACTTCCTCGCAGGCAGTCGAGCTAGGAACTACGAGGGCGTCAGCAATTCATCCGATGCATGTGCGCGTGACATGTAGCCAGCAGTGTGAAGTGGTCCCGCAGTGTTTCATCTTACCATCTCATCGATCTCTTCGAGCCTTCTGTCTTTAACTTCGGGGACATAGAAGTATACCCAAATAGCTCCTAGGACGCATCCGGGTGCGAAAAGATAAGCAAATTTGGCATTCCACCCCAGGGCGTCAGGGTTCAGGAAGTACTGTACGCTCAGCATGGATTTTCTTTTTATTAGAAGCGAGTTGAGTGCTAGAGGGAAAAAAAAACAAGACGCTTACCGGCGCAATAAAGCTGCAGACCCATTCTCCAAACGAGGCCACGCCGAAGGCGAATCCCAATGTCAAGGCTCGTAAGCGCTGCGACGGCAGCTCCCCACAAGTCAACCGCGAGAAGGTGAGTACCATACCAATGTAGCCTATGTTGAAGACGTGGAACATCGTGATTGTGACAATGCCGGATGCACGGCTGCCCGGAGAGGCAGTGTAGGCCGCTGCCATCACCACGTTACAAACTGCGCAAATAAACAGCCCTGTAACCAGCCATCGGCGTCTGTAGCCCATTCTTGTGATGAACAAGGTGTTCAGGATGGAGAACCCTAATGATGATGCTGCCAGGCCGACCGACTGCTCGAACGGTTTCTTAATGTTCGCCATTTGGAACATGTAAGTACCGTAAGCTGTGGATTCGAGGTCAGTGCTGGTCCAACGGTAACAACTGTGCATGTGAGATGCACTGGTGAGTGTGACTTACTTCCGTGCCAAGTGATGCCGGTGATAGGATTGAGCAGAGCCGTGCCGATCACGAGCAGGGCCCTTCTCCGATCCACGGGATGCCGGAAAACGTCCATGAATGCCACGCCCCGTGCGAGACGTTTTTCCTCGTCGATGGCTGCTTTCATATACGATAGCTCGATACTGATGTTTTCTTCGGATTCAGACTTCGGTTTGAGGGCCTTGAGCGACTTTCTCGCCTTGTTTTCTTTATTTTGGAGCAACAGCCACCTTGGCGACTCTGGGACGATGAAGACGCCGCCGAGCATGAAGATGACCGGAATGAAGAGCGACGCCCCTAGAGGGATTTGATATTGTTGGCGACCGGGAAGCTTGGCTGAATAATTGGAGATGATACTTCCGGTTAGACTGCCTGGAGTTGTTCGCTGGTAAGAAAAAATTGCTTCTGACTCTTGGATGGCGGGAGTGACGTCTTCAAGAGCGATTTTGCCTACCAAAGACTAGAACACTTCCAGATATTGACAACACGAGGCCACGATACCTAGCCGGTGCACATTCCTGGTAACATGATCAGCGTGTGTTGCTTTGCCAGATGGGGTGCGCGAGCGGACCTGCAGATAGAGATTGAAAAACGTGTAGAGGAAACCCTGAGCCACCCCGACGAGAAATCTCGCAGCGTACGCGCCGCCGATCGTATCGACCACCATCGTGAGAATGGTCGCCAGGTTGAGAAAGGCGCAGCCGACCCAGATCGATGCTCTGCGACCAATGTAGTGCGATACCACACCCGAAAATGCACTGGAGAGGATGTTTCCCAAAACCAGGAGCGTGCCGAAGAGCTGTTGGCGGAGAGGCGAAATGTTGTACCCCATAGGGGTTGAAGGGTCGCGATTCCCAAAGACCTATGCCGTGGTGTTATATCCACACCTCTTCGGACAAGGGCAAGGACTCGGAAATTGGAACGTACTTCTAGGAATCCAGGCATTGCTTGGAGAGTATCGAAATTGATTGTCTCCCAGCCATACAGGAACGCCGTAGAGGCCACGAGAGAGCAGCTCAGTAGGCACCTCCAATGGTCCATCATGCCGTATTGTTTTGCTACTGTAGAATCTTTCATTTCGCCAGAATGATGACAGGAAGCTGTGTTTCTTGGTTTCATTGAATTCGCGTGAAGAAGTGTGGTAACAAAAAATAAACAGTTGAGGCGGGAAGAAACGAGCCTCCCAGATTCGGCACTGCTCTTTTATCACATTTGCCGTCACAGGGTACCCCAAAGTTTGCACAACCATTCAAGCTCATGCTTCCCGGGTGGACGAAAGTTAAGGCGGGCAAGGAAGTGAAACCTCGCACCTAAAAGCTTCTGTGGAAGCCTGAAAGCGAAAACCCATCTTCGACGCAGGTCAAATCTAATTTGAGTGGTCGAGAACCCACATTGCCATAGGGCCACAAGACCTCTCGGTGCTCGGGACTCCTGAGCTGCGAGGGAACTTCCTGCCATATAGACTGGCTCGTTAAATTGAAAGTTTCGCTGATTTTGGTTTCATGCAGACGATACTGCATGATGCGTGCTTCCGCTGGAGTCTCATCGTCGTATTTCATCTGATGTGACACCTGTAGACTGGCAACAAATTGAGGATGCCGAGAGCTTTATAAGGAACACAATATAGATTTCTCAATGAGGCAACAGGAACGGGTTGGCCGGGATAATCTGCTGCACCCTCTCGAATAACCTTCTCTGAGATAACCTCTAGAACAACCTTCTCTTGGATGGCAAACCTGGAAACCTCGTTGTTAAAACAACGTAGCACCAACCAATCATCTCTCTGGCGGACTTGGTGGCACTCACGGCGTGGCCACGCAGGAGTGGACCAATGCTATGCGCCCGGTGTCTTTGTCGCACTGATATGTACGACACTGTTGTATACCAGGACCTCACCAAGACTTGGCCCGAAATCCTCCCAAGTCCGGGTCAAGTTGGGTGGTCACCATTGTGACTGTGGGCTTTGATCGGAACATGTTGAGAAACGAAACAGAGACAACAAAAAGTGACATGAACGTTGCAAAGTTGGTTGTGGCTGTACTGCACTGAGTTGTTGCGCGATTATTGTGCTCAGTTGGTGCGCCTTCTGCGTCACTCCTGCAGGTGTTCTGTGCGAGAAGCCCTGTCAGCCGGAGACCCCGGAATCACCTGTTGTGAGCCGACCGCGGAGGATTCCGCGCCCGAATTGCAACCTTGCCGCGGCGTGAGTGTGACTTGTTGCATATTTGATAAGAACACCTGCGCCGTACTCGCAGCGCCATGATGATCAACCCTGATCAACCCTCCGCGAACCAGAAAACACCATGAGCACGGGGAAAGTGTCGCGATTTAAAGCACGAGACGGGGCGCGGGGTCGGCCCGCTGAAGCCGCACTAGCATTTCCGGATCGGGACACGGGCGGGCCCCGGAAGCCACCGATGGATCACCCCTTTGCGAATCACCCGAGTCACTGTTCGAGAGGGAAGGTCGGGAAGCGAACGTAAGACATGGCCGAAAGGAGCTGACTGCGCTCTCCACATGACCACGAACAGGTGATATATAAACCTTCTGTCGCCGATGTTTTGTGTCCCCCGGGGAAGTGTTCAACGCTGACAGTCCCGCAAGCAGAGCGACATAGCAATAACAGTCAGCGCTCACTTTCTATCCAACAATATCTTCCGTCCTAGACACCACTGCTCAACAATTTCTTGCTACATGGCCCCCAAGGTTGTCGACGTCTTGATCGTTGGAGGTGGGCCAGCAGGGTTGACCGTCGCTAGCACTGTGTCACGCCAGCTGCAGACCGGAATTCTGTTTGACTCGGGCGTCTACCGCAACGCACGCGCGCACCACCTGTACGGCGTCTTAGGATTCGACCATATTTCTCCGGAGACGTTTCGGATGAAGTCCAAGGGCGAGATACTGAGACGCTACGACACGATCGAGTTCAAGAGGGCGTACATCGAAGGAATCAAGAAGCTGGAGAATGGCAACTTCCAAGCCACGGACGGGTGGGCCAACGTTTACGAGGGGAGAAAAGTGGTGCTTGCTACCGGGGTGAAGGACGTTCTCCCCCAGCTCGAGGGGTTGGATTTCTGCTGGGGCCGAGGAGTGTGAGTGAGCACCCAAAGACAAGATCGTCGAGGCTGACTCGTTTCCAGGTTTCCTGATCTTTTGTGCCACGGATATGAAGACCAAGGCGGATCGGCCGGTTTATTTGCCTTTGCCATGTTCGACAACGTAGAAGCTGTTTCTGAGATCGGGAACATGGCGCTGCAACTCTCAAAGAACCTGCGGATCTACACAAATGGCGACGAGGAATTCGCGTCCAAAGTCCAAGCCAATGCCTGGAGACCAGATTTTGAGTCGAGAATTACCATCGAAAATCGGCGCATCAGGAGTCTTAGAATGCTGTCAGATGATTCCTCGCAACTCCTCGTGACACTGGACGATGGCACACAATTTGAAGAGTCCTATGTGGTGAGTCAAAACGAGAGAGCACGATGAAACAACCTCGCAAGAGTGTAGTTCGTTCTAATGAAACCTTTCAATTCTGCAGGTTTACCATCCGCCTATTGAGCTCAATGGTCCCTTTGCAAAGCAGCTCGGCCTCGAGATGGGTACGCAGGGAGAGATCAAAGTCAGCCTACCTTTCAGCGAGACCAGCGTGTCCGGTGTGTTCGCTTGTGGAGACGCAGCGTCGCAGACACGGATCGTGCCGAATGCGCTCTATGGCGGTTCTCTAGCTGGCCGTGGTTTGATTGCACAGTTGCAAGCGGAGAAAGCGACAACAAAGTGAGGTTATGAGACATATACGCGATAAATGAGGCTCAATGATATCAGTTCTCAGTGTGAAAAAGATGCATTTCGTTGAAGAAATAGACAAGAGGTTTTCGGAAGGGAATAGAAAAATACACTTGGTTACTCTCTCTCACTGGGCCGTAATACGGTGTTTGCTTTCCTCATTTGACTGCCAATTGATGCCTGTAACAGACGTAGCATTGTGCTCATCACAGTCTCGGACTTATTGCCTGCCTTTCTTAAGTTTTCAACTCCGGCACATCGGATGCGTAAGCTACCTCTTGGCCTTCCTATACTCCTCAGCTTCATCCTCGACCGACTCGAGCCAATGTTTCCTCCACCCGTTCAACATATCATCCCTCCATACAAACTTCGGCAGGGTCCTGACCATTGACCAACTCAACAGGCTCTCTGCTCTTGCGCCATCCGCAGAATCAAGTAAACCGACTGCCAAGTCCATCATATCAGTTCTGTCATCCACGGCGTAGAACACGCTGGCCGAGCAGCGTGAGCAGAAGTATCGCTGTACGTCTTTTGAGCTAGCATAACATGACAGCGTACCCAGCCTTGGATCTCGATCCGGTCCCTCTTTTTCAACAGCCGCCTTCAGATCTTTTGTATCGTCGGGGAAAATGCTATCGCTGCCGTTCGTATTGGGCGCGAAGCCAATGTGTCTGATGAGGACAAACGTCCATGTCCAGAAATCCACCCCAGCTGACAGCCTGCACGAGTCGCAAGGGTCGACAGAAGCCATGAGCTTCTTCGTCTCTGGATGGACGAACCATGGTAGCTCTGACTTGGCCTTCGCCATGAACTCTTCCTCTGCCTTCCGTCGCTGGAAAACGAGGTCGACACCGCCACAATGGCAGCGGATGGGAATTTCGGCAGCCAGGTTGCTTTGGATTTCAGCCACTGAGTTCGACGCTCCTGGCCAGTCGAATGCAACCTCCTCGCTTTTAGAAGGTAGACCCATCCACCTCCTCGCCTCCACGCCATCGCCGTTGGGTCGCCGCATCCACATGCTTGCCCCTCCGTCCTTGGTGTCACCCACGAAGACGTGGTTCTCGAGCCTCACCAGGCCATCCGGGCCATCATTGGACAACGCCCCAGTCATAACGCCATACTCGCCCCCCAGCGTACTGTAGGACTCACGATACTGCCCGCTGTGGATTTCGAAGAACATCGGGCTCGAGCAAGCCCCACAGAAGAGCACCGTGAGCTGCTTGGAGAAGCTGTATCTCTTGAGGGTCGAATCGCGGATCGCGTCGCCGTCGCCGGGCCAGCTTTTCAGGGCAGTGCTGTATAGCGCACCCGTGCACTTTCTACATGATGTGCAGTGGCATGCTGTGGCTTTCAGGGGGAGTGATGAGCGTGGCACCGAAGTGAGGAAGGTGTGCCGTTTGCAGAGGCACTGGGCTGTGATCTGGACTTGTTTGTCTGAGTTCACCATCTTTGAGATACTGGGCTGGCGCCGTCACCAATTGGACTCGTTTTGGTTGAAGCTCGAAAGGATGACAGAAGCATTGAAGGTTGCTATCGGCTGGTCGTGTGCATGTTGTTGTTGCTGCCTTGAGATGGACAACCCCGCGTGCGCCTTTGGAATGATAGGACGCCACAAGCGCCATAACCCGGCTCAATAGAGACGACTTTACGCATCTAATGGCTTGGCTCTTTTTGAGCCTACAAACAAAGCCGAATTCGACAACTTTCTTACAGCAATGCCAGGCTTACACTAAGCGTTTACTCTGTATGCTCCTGCGATTCATGTTGGATTGTGGGGGCTCTAGGAAGCCCACGTAGAATCAATAATGATACTAAACTAGGCCATATATGCGCAAGGGCGCACACTTAATCCCCGACAGCCCTCGGCCGAGATAGTCAAATGACTCACTAATTCGGGCTGCAACAACTCCGATGATCATCAACTTTTTAGATAATTTCCCATTGTCACGCCTACGCACTCAGTCAAAGTGCCAACTAAATCAACAACCTCATTCCTTCTCTGGCCACCATAACTGGAAGTTGCACGGGGCAAACCACTATATCCAAAACCAGACAACTCCCTTTTCGTTGAGGATCATTCCAGTCGGAACTATTGTTCCACAAGACTCTCCGCGGAGCTTCGTCACTCACCATGTCGACAACAACCCCAGCCCAGCCAAAGTGTACCCTGGAGCCTGCAAACCTCCGCGAGCAATCACAGGTCGACGAGCTCCTCCGCCAGCGCAAGATATGCGGCTGGAAGACCAGGCCAAGCGACATGGCCTCGTGGAAGGAGAGGGCCGAGGCGCGCACAACAACCCTCTTCTGGATCAAGCCGACCGCGCACCCAGACCTGCGGGTGGGCCACATCTCCCTCGACAGGGTCAGCGGTGACCCGTCGACCATCAAGATCGCAGACCTCTTCGTCCTCCCGGAGCAACGTGGCGGTGGCATCGCGCGAGCGGCCTTCCAGGCCGTGGAGGAGCTGGCCACGGTGGGGCCATATGGCTCCGAGGAATGCAGGACTCTCAAGATCGATACCCTGAGCCGCAAGTACTCTTACGACGAGGAGATGCGGCGCGAGTATACCCAGCTGACTGGGGTGGAGCCGAACCCGAAGGGGGCGACCAACGAGGAGTGGTATGGGCGGATGGGTTACGTTACGTACAAGGAGGAGCCGACATATCCTGAGGGGGAGAGCCGGCCTAGCGGGAAGCTCCTCCTGGCCTCGTTCATGAAGAAGGAAATACGTTGACAGGCCTGATGATTTGAATCAGGAGAGGTTGTTTGCTTCTCAGAGTCTTTCAACAGCATAGTATCTAGTAGAGCATGACGGCCGATTATACAGAGAACGCGTTGCTTTAGAGTTGCATCTACAATTATTGAGATATATGTAAGAATTTATAGTGCGGTTGTATTGTGCTCCCTTGACAGAGGATATACACCCACATGGAATCGAATACGAGGGAATAGAAAATATTGTATTTCAGGTATTACACTGTCTGACCTTTAAGTTACAGCACAGACTTCCGAGCCTAGATGATGCTGTACTAATCGAGCACATCTCTCTGACTTATGAGAAGTGAGACTGGGTTGACACGGATGAGATGCAGGCGTCGTTCTACCTTGGTCAAAGGCATTTCGACATCATATCTATTGCCTTTCTTGGGTTAAAACACAAACATGTTTGGTTTCTCTCTTAAGCCTTGGGCAAAGGGTCGATCAGAACCGCCGGCCCAGCAGCGGCAATCAAAGGCACCTTGTCCTGGAACACAATCTTGTTCCGCGCCGCAGCATAGCCCTGCCCGTAGGACTTCAAGAACGGCTCCGTAGTCTCGTAGAAGGCGCCCCGGGCCTGGCCCTTCTCGTCGCGGTCCCAGTACAGCCTGCGCAGCCACAGGTACAGATTCGGGTAGTCGTGGCGGATCGACTTGCGGTTGCACATGAAGACACTGTGGTAGGCGACGTCGAATCTGACCAGAGTGGTATACAGCCTGACGTCCGCCTCGGTGATGTGGTCGCCGAACAGGTACGGCTTCTTGTGCTGGGCCAGGATGCCCTCCAGCCGGTCGAGGGAGTCAAACAGGGGGTACAGGTTGGCCTCGTACGCCTCCTGGGTGGTCGCGAACCCGGTCTTGTACACGCCGTTGTTGACGGTGTTGTACACCCACTCGTTCATCTCGTCGATCTCGCCCCTCAGCCTCTCGGGGAAGATGCCGCCGCCCTGCTTCTCCTTTGTGCTCTCGCGCAGGTGCTCGGGCAGGAGGTCGTCGAACTCGGAGTAGAACATGCGGATGATCTCGGAGCTCTCGTTGTTCACCATGGTGTCCGTCATCTTGTCCCACAGCACCGGGACGGTGTAGCGGCCCTTGAAGTTGGGGTCGGCGTGCTCATACAGCTGCTTGATCTTGGTGAACCCCGGGTGCAGGGGGTCCTCCGCGGGATTGTTCTCGCCGCCAAAGACCCACCCCTCGGGGCCCATGTGCATCCTCAGCAGGTACAAGTCAATAATGGAGTCGAGGCCCTTCAGCTTGCGCACGATGATTGTGCGGTGCGCCCAGGGGCAGCCGGGCGACAGGTACAACGCATAACGGTTTGCTTCTGGCGGGTACTTGGAGCCCGGGGCTTTGGATATAAAGTTCCGGAATGTGGATGCAGGCCTGGTGAAGTGACCGTCCTTCTGGTAGGGCTGCTGAGCGTCAGTGAATGGCTCTTGAAGACTGGGTGGGCGGAATCTCACTTTATCAGTCATTGTAACTAGGTATGTAGTTATTCTGTTCTTGTTGCATGAAGTCTGCCAAAACTTGACACGGTTGTGGGGGTGTGTGAGTTGGCTCGAACTCTTGATATATTTGGCGTTGTTTCTGTTCCGCGGCCCCGCCCTCAAGCTTCGGAATCGCGACCAAAGCCGCTGTGATTTCGTATGCTTGGAAATCGTCCAACCCTTTGAGTTCCACTGGTCGCACGTCAGCAAGCTCTCGCTACTCGGCGCTGACAAATGAGACATTATCGGTGCTCATTCGCCCACCAAGCCGACATTGCATTCTCACACAGACCCTCGACCACCATTTCTGCCCACCCAGGGGTTTGCTGGCATCAACACGTTCCGAAGGTCTAGAATGAATTTGTCAACTAACACGCATACCCGAGCATGGAATTTGCTGGCAATGGTCCATGATTCTATTATCTCGACACGCCAGTCTTTCATAACTTGATCTTGCGAGCGCCATAACAAATCATCGGCAGTTCAATGGTGATAGACAACCAGGCTTACATGATGGCACTCAAGTCAGGCAAAGAATCTAGAATCGACAAACGGTCAAAACTCCGCCTGCTCATGCACAACTTGTTGTAAATAATCTCAGTCTCCTGAATTCTTCCCAAAAGTAAATACTCGATTCAGACTCCGTGAAATGGTGACTGGAGCCAGGTTCTGTACAGTGTCTGAAGTCAATCCCTGCACGAGCTTGATCCAGACGAGTGCAACAGAGGTGACATTACCACTAACCACCACGGATTGCCCAGCTGACACTTTGAGGCTCAGGTGAACTCTCTCTCTCTCTCTACCCCAAATCATGCCGTCTTGATAACGACCTTGGAGAAGTGCTGCTGCTTCTCCAGCCTCTCGAAAGCGGACTTCGCATCTTCCAAGCTGAAGGCAACGTCATCCAGCGCCGGCCTCACCTGCTTCTGCTCCAGGAAGCGCACCATATCTCTGAACATGCTGCGAGATCCAAGATAGATGCCGCGGAGGACGCATAGCTTCCACAGCGCGCTCATCACGTCCGGGATCTGCTCTCCGCCTCCAGCGCCCCCGATCATTCCGGCTACTGTGACCAGGCCGTGCAGCCGGACGGCACTCAGAGACTCGGCCATGGTCGTGGCGCCGACCACGTCGACAACGTGGTCAATGCCGCGCCCCTTCGGCGTGAAGCTTCTGGCCAGTTCGCCCCAGTTCGGATGCTCCTTGTAATTTATGACGTGCCGGGCGCCGAGGGAGAGCAGCCGGTCTCCCTTTGCGTCCGAGCTCGTTATCGCGACAACATTGGCACCTGCTGCTGCTGCGATCTTTAGATTGTCAGCACGCCGAAGGGTCTCGAGGCAAAGCAAAGGTCCATGACATACTTGCAGAGCAGCCACACTCACGCCTCCCGTACCCTGGACTAAAATCCAGTCGCCCTCCTTGACTTCCCTTCCCGGCATGCCCATCAGCGCGTTCCAGGCCGTAAGTCCCGAGCATGTCAGCGTCGCAGCCTCCTCGAAGGTCATGTGTGCTGGCATAGGGACGAGAGCGTTATGGTGGAGGATGACCTGTCGGCACAGAGTGCCATTCAGCTTCTGGCCCAGACCGGAGCAGACGTCTTCAAGGTTTGGCAGGGCGTCGTCCTCCACGTGCGGGATCATGTGTGTCACGACCTTCGCGCCGGGCTGCAGCCACTGCGAGGACTGGGGCACCGCAGAGCCAACCGCGAGCACCACGCCCGCGCCGTCGGAGCCGGGGATCACGCCAGGAGTCGCCGGGAGAGGGATTGCACTGGATGGGTTGCCCTTCTCTCGTGTCAGAGACAAGTTCTGTATTGGCGATGGACACCACTTACCCTGCAGATTGCGAGCTCCCTGTAGTTCAGAGACGCCGCATGGATCTCGACTAGAACCTCCTCCGGCCCGACTTGGCCAACCGTGAATGTGGCATCCGGCTCATAACGGAGAGAAGAGATTCCTTCTTGGGCAGAGTCTAGAACCCAACGCCCGGTCTTCTGAGATATGCTGCCCATGATGCTGTTGTTGAAGCCGGAAAAGAGGGGGCCATGTTGACGAAGAAACCTCGACTATGCCAAATGGGTGAATCATCGATAAGGGGCAATCTTCTATGCGGGCGGATGGGAGTGGATCCTTCGAGGGCATGAGCGATTATTAAGCGGTCGGCGGATGCTTTTCGGCCGACGCCATCACCGCTTTTTGCACCCACCACAGTTAGACTTGTTTCCTTCATGACCCATTGCAAGGAACACCAATGCCTGTCCGATCTCATGGTGACAATAGTGGTATCAGCGACATGCTGGTGGTCCCAGAACACACATCGACTCCAATGTGAGCACTCTTCAGATCTTATCGTTGGTGCCCAGGATATGCAAGATTTGCTTCATATGCTCCACCTACGGCAGTCTCTAGTTCGGATCCACGCTGATGACGTTAGTATTGCTTTGATGCACACCGTTTCTTCTTCTACTGTACTACCATGGGTGGCTTACTTGGGTCATTCGGGCAAGGTACGCCTCATGGCAAGCAACTAAACGGCCAACACACAAGTCTGCCCATGCATACATGTCTATCATGATACAGTCAGTCAAGAAGAACATGAACGTTTGGAAATGCGCACCACGTGGAACAAGTCTGGGATGAGCCTTAAATTACTACATTATACCAATATGTACATCATCAATAAACAGGTTGGAATGACCAGCAGGTCATATACTAACAGGAGCCCAGCTCACGGCATCCTATACGACCCAGGCCTAGCTGCTTAGAAGGTGGCAGCAGCCAGGTTGCCACTGAAGGTAGAGTCCTTGAAGGGGACCGTCGCCGCCCCAAAGTCCACAGTCTGCAGGGCATTCTTGGCCGCGGCCGGGAGGCTCTCCCAAGCAATCAGCGGCTGGGTGCCGCCGACCGCCGTCGTGAGACCCAGCTGGTGGTTGACCGGCCAGGTGCTCTTGTACTCGATCAGCGGCTTGGTGCCGGACAGGGTGTACCCGCTCGTCGCGCAGTTCCAGTCGCCGTGGGCAGACGGGCACACGGCGGCGATGTTGCTCGCGGCCGTGGAGGTCGCCGACTTCAGCCAGACGATGACGCCCTCCCATTCGTGGCGGTGTCCCAGGCCGTCCGATGGGGAGTCCTTGGGCATGTACCTGGTGGGGAGTGTCAGCCTGTCCTTGATGGCACGTGATCCGGGAAGGGGAACATACCATGAGTACATCAGACCGTAGTAGCCGTTGGATGTGGTTCCGCGGACGTAGACCTGTCCTGTGCTGCTTGAGCACTGGCCATTTGATGCACCTGTCGGGTTGAGTCCGGCACTGCGAGTAGTGTAGATTAGATCCAGCCCCTAGCACCTTTGATCTGCACGACACCGTCGATCCTGTAGATCGCGGGAGGCCGGTCAACCGCTCAGGGGAAAGAAAGAGAGACGTACTTTGTGTCCCCCGCAGCGTTCACGGCTGGGAATGGGACACAGCCGTTGACGACCTTGAGGAAGGGCTTGTAGGCGAGGTACACGTCTCCTGTCGTGCCCGAGGGAACAGTCTCGGCGAACCCAACGACCTTGTCCGAGTCGATAGGGGCGCGGCGCTCGATGGGGCTGGCGCTGACGGCCGCGGCCGCAGCAATCAGAGAGACGAGAGACCGGAGGACACCCATGATCAGAGAGGCAGAGACTACCGCGTCTGCGTTTGCGTTTGCGGGATCGAAGAGTAAAGGCAACGGACGGCGTGAGGGCGAGGACTGCTGGAGATGCAGCCCCTCACCTCCAGGCCGGGATAGGTAGGGCTGCCCATCTTTATACACTGGTAATTGGACATGCACGTGTATGATTATTAGGTAGGCAGATCACCACCATCGTCCTTTCCGAGCGCAGGCCTGCACCGCACTTGCATCGGCAGTGTGGTCACATCGCGGGTGCTGGTAACAGGGGCCCTGCCCCGGAGCAATGCCCCTGGCCGGTTAGGGATGAGCCGGCCAGGAAGAGGACCCACGATCCGCGGACCAGTTCGCCCAAATACTGTCCCACGTGTGACAGGTGGAGCGAGATCATTTGGACGCTGAATCAAGCACACCCAGACGCCGTTAAGCTTAAAGCAGCAAACCAACCCGTCATGGCAGCGATGCCGATGGAGATGCGCGGGCGGTGAAATGGGCGGGCACCTCCACTGCACGTGTTCACCGGTCCTTCATTTCTCGACTGAGCGCCCGGGGCCCTTCTCCTCTTTGCGGCCCCCGCGACCTTCCTGTTGCGCTCTAGGATCTCTGGGGTCTCTGGGACGAGATTGGCCCCCCTCCCGCTTCTTGGACGGAACCTCTTGGACGGAACCTCTTGGACGGCCGGGGGGGGGGGGGGGGGCAGCCTGCATCAGGAAGAAACGAACGCCCAGGAGGTATCATTGATCGGACCTCCATACATTATGCTGCCGCCAAGCAACCGCCTGCATTAATGCCCGGTTTGTAGCTTCTGAAAGCCGGCTTGCATCCCGAGATCGACAGAACCAAACACGTTGAGGTTCGAGCCCGCCAGCGAATGTCGACTTCTGTCGCGGGACCCAAAGCCCCAACCTACAATTGCGGTCGAGCACGCCCGAGTCAGACAGGCCGAAAACGCGTATAAACTCGCGATCAAAACCAATAATTGATTCGCTTCACGGGCCCCATCTATGGATCTGTCCATCATCTCCCGCACAGTGGACCGAATCGACGGGATCCGTCTTATTACCGCTCGGAACCTCCCGTCGCTCAAGGTCCTCAGCTCTCTCGGAATTACATCTACCCATGACTAGTCCGCACCACGCGCCGTTACCTATACAGTAGTAAGCTGTCGCAAGCAGCGCGACAAGCCCGTTTGAGTCAGTCTCGGAGTTAGAGCCATCTCGGAATATTGAAGAAGGACTGCTCTCGGAAGCTTTCCGAGGAGAGACAAGCTTATCTGAGAAAACGTCTTATATTGTTTGAGCAGAGTATTTATCAGGCATGATCAATGGAGGCTCATCTTAAGACAACAAAATATTTCATTTGCTTAAGAAGGCGGCAATATCTTAGGTGCTTTGGCTGCATGGTCTGTGGTTGATTATGAATCCTTTCTACATCTGTTGAGGAGCACTTTATCATCATTGCCTGCTGAATTCTAAGCCAATGCAGAGTACATCTGCCTCTGGGCCCCTGGACCTGACTCTGATATTATGAGAAAGTCTAGGGACTATAATCTGTACTGGATCTGCCAACAACTGGTGGTAGATACTCCAGCAAGTGACTCCCACCGTGACGAACACTAAGTAGTAGTTGTAGGCGATGGCAAGTAAATCGGCAGCAAAATACCATCCCAATGTATAAATACTGGTGTGATTCCATTTAGTCATGCCCACACGTATCTCCACTGCTACTGTCCTTGTTCGTCTCATTTCGTCCCTTTATCACCTATTGCTGTATACACAGCACTACTATGATGCTCGGCATCTCTTCCCACTCGCCTAACGAAGCATTGGCGCTGTGACGTCTGTATTCGTTGTCAACACCCAGCATGGCGCTTCCCCTGCTGTCATTTCTAATCACATATATATTAAGAGTGTCAGGTAACAACACCACCACATGTGTGCCTGGGGTGCCGCTGATCATCAAAGTAGAGGCTTGCAACTCAGTCTTTGACACAGTGATTTGTTGAGGTCATTATTGTCCTAGTGATGATGGCGTCTGTCCAATTGAGACTCCAGCCCTTGTCAAGCATATCCAGTCACTCAGAAGTAGTACGAATATTAAGAGCTTAGATGGTTGGCATTTACAGATCCAGTTAAATTGGGCTCACACCGCAGTATTTGTATAAAACTCTCTCCTACATAAACACCACAAGTATACTTTATCACACAAGTTCATGCAATTGGTTGCTGGTTGCTGGTTTATAAGCAATGCCCAGCATGCAAAATCAGCTCCTAAATCTGCAGTGGATATCTTGCTCACCCATTCCTAAAAATATACAAGGCCATGTCTCAACCATGCCGACATGTGACGAACGGCGAAATCACAGAGCTGGTGTGATCCGGTGCGGCTGCGAAATCACAGACTTAGTTCCAGCCAAAACTCTGCAACGCGTTTGCTCTCCCAAAGTGTGACGCGTTTGCTCCCTAGGCCCTCGAAGATTCGATGCCCCGCCTTTTAGAGCCCATGATCCAAGTGTAAACAAATCAGCTCTTCACCCTGACTACCATTCCCGCGGTACGATGAACAGTTGCATTCACTGGATCCTCGAGTCACGAACCACCCCAACGAGTGTTTGTGGCATAGATTGCAGACAATCCAGCTTCGTCTTTTTCTCTCCTCTGCGTCGCTGCTGTGCAGGCAATGTTATGCCTGATTGTCTGGCTCACCACAACTTCTACTCACTTCACTATCATCTTTCAAGCACAAGGTTGACTCAAGTTTTTGCCTAACATTTCCTGCAGACGCAACACTCTGCGCCGCCTCTTGTAAATGAAACAAAATGTCACCTGAGGACGCCCAGCAAGTCATACACCAATGGGTGTATTTCTCCGTGTACCAGGTTGCGAACAATCGCCCCATACTCCACGATGGATGCGTCCAGAACATTTGTGACGCACTGTTTGGTCCAGAGTGGAACCAATACACAAACGAGGAGCAGCAGGCCAAGAGAGACATCATCTGGGCGGAGTACAACAGGATGTTCAGGGACTATCTGCCTATGCTTCAGCAATTCCAACATGACACCAACGAGATCTTGAGGCTTGACGAAGCAGCTCTCGCCACCCTTCTCAGGAGGCCCAGCAATGATAGTGCCAGCAATGATACAACTAGTGGTACGAAGACCAGCCCTACAAAGACTAGCCCTACAAAGACTAGCCCTACAAAGACCAGCTCTACAAAGACCAGAGCTATGAAGGTTAGAGATACGAAGATTAGAGCTATGAAGGCCAGCGATGCCTTTGACGAGCCGATCGACGAGTCGATTCTCACGACTGCGTTCGCAATCGAGAGAGACGAGGCTGCCCGCAAGAACCTGGACAAGTATTACGAGCCCTGTCAACAGGGACGCAAGGACTTGATCATCAGACGTGCTAAAGAGCCAGAAGGTAACATTGACCTCTTCGACCACAAGGCGTAAGTTCTGTTCCTGTCTCCACACCATGCTCTACAGCATACAACATAGATTTCCTCGGTTGTGTTTTCTCTACCTCGGAGTTCCTCCTTCGCCTAACGTCAATTTCTGCAGCGTACCCTTGAATGATGACAAGAGAACCAAGAACTGTCCCAAGTGTGGGAAGTCCGTCACCTCCAATGGCATCAAGCGCCATGTTCAGATCACTCACGAGAAGGACCCTCGCTGGGTCATCTACTGCCCTGCGCCCGGATGCAAGTATGAGTGTTGGCGCGGAGATGCCACCATTCTGGCACACATGGCCTATTACCATGAGGGTCTACACAGGGAGATCTTTGGCGAGGAGGATGTGCAAAAGCAGGCCAAGGCAAGGGCAAAGGGAAACGAAGGTGTCAAGGCAAGGCGTTTGGCGAAGATTGAGGCCGATGCAAAGGCAAAGGACGGCAAGTCCGCCGTCTCGGAGAGTGAAGAGCAGAGGGTCAAGGAGTCTGAGCTGGCCGAGGATCACCTGAGAGGTGAGGCACTGGAATTTGAGGTCATGCCTCACGAGGACTTGTATGACGAGGTCATGTCTGAAGAGAACATGCCTACCCAGCACACGCCTGTCCAGCACATGCCGACCCAGCATGTGCCCAACCTGTACATGCCAAACCCGTATGTACCAAACCAGTACATGCCCACTCAGAGCATGCCCAACCAACATATGCCTAACCTGTATGTGCCAACCGAGTATATGCCCAACCAGCACATGCCCAACCAGCATATGCCAAGCCAACACATGCCAAACCAGCGCATTCCCGATCAGCATATGACCAGCCAATATATGCCAAACGGGTATGCGCCCAACGAGCAGATGTTGGATGAAGAAATATCTGATTGGAAATGGGCAACCAGAAGATGATCCATGTGGATATGGTCAACGAGTACATGACTGTCTCTTCTCTTGAAGCAGTTCAGATTGTCAGTTCTGGCGCATTCCTACCTAGGTAGCCCTCAGATGATTGTGGAGTCCTTAATCACTACGCAGGACCAAATATAATCGATTTTGACTTGATCCACTGCAGTAATGAGTGATCCACTGCCATGAACTCCAAACTCAGAATGGACTTTTTACCTGGGACACTATCACATCAGATGATCTGCCAGCTCAGCTCCATACGGGCAGTATTTCTCGAAAGAGTTTGGCATATATGACACAGAGATGCGACTGATGGGTAGCAACCTATAAAGCCCACGACTGAAAGCCTTTTTCCCACCTAGTACATAGCCGCCCAGAAACATACTAACAACGCAGTCCAACCCAGCCTACCATTACTGCCAGCCTGCCATGCGCCACTGCCAACAACACTGCCGCCTGAAGAAGCATTGCTATTTCCACCACCAACGACCCCTCCCTGTGCAATTAGAACCGTGCCATTCCCCATATCGACATCCGGCTGAGCAGTGTTGTTCGTGTCAGTCGTGAACGGAGCCAAAGACTGGAAGCCCTCCACGCGCCCGAGGAGGACCTCCATGCTCCTGAACGCAACCTGCGGGGCATCCATGGCGAGGAAGTGCCCAGCCGGGGCAACAGCCAGATAAGTCAGCCCGCGTTCCGTATGGGCGGTCCCGAGGACGCCCGCACCTGCGACGGTCTCGAAGTTGTCGTTGACGTGGTACGGGATGAAGAGCGGCTCCGTGGGCCGGGTCTGGAAGCCCAGCGTGCCTCCCCACGTCATGTTCTGGATGGAGAGCAGCGTGCCGTCGGAGATGAGCACGAAGTCCTGGGAGCCGTGGCCCAGGATGACGTTCTGGGTCCGGTCAATCACGTTTGGTATGACAGGCTGTGACCCGGGGCCGTCCACGACGGAGGTGTCGGTGCCGTTGACGAACACGGGGTCGTTCGTGCAGAATACCCACTCCTTGTCGGGCGCGTGGATGACGGCCTTGACATCGGGGCGGTTGAAATAGGCTGGTCCGGAGCCGTCTGGGATGTACGCGGTTCCATCTGAGAAGCCTAGTGGGTCGTACTTCACAGGACACAGGCTGGTGATTGTGTAAGGACTGAAGCAGGGGTTGACCTCAGCAGCAGCGGCGAAGACATCGTTGAAGAGACCACACCCTTCGAGGGGGGTAACCTGGTCGGACTCGACCCCGGGCAACGCCGATGGCTGAACTTCGGTAGCCGGATAGACTATGTATTTGTTCAAATAGTCCTGGTATCCACACGAAGTTGACCTGTTCTGCATTGATGCTGTGAACGAGTCGTTGAACCCAAACACATCGGACCAGGCAGTCGCAAAAGACGATACCGGAATGTCCTGGGGAATTGGATTATTAGAGTACAGGCCGTCAAAGACCTGCATGCCCCTGACGTCGAAGTACTGCGTGTCGTTGGCGTCGAGCATGCCCGAGGCGATGTAGGGACAGTACATGCCGCTGTACGAGGAGCCTGTGATGTACACTTTGTAACCTTGCAAGGCGAACGTGTCAACAAAGTTCCGCCAGAAACCCTTGAACTGGTCTGCTACGTCGAATTCGTTTCTCGCAGTCACGTTGCCCTGGGAAAATCCGCTCCCGATAGGTTGGTCGACCCAGACCATATTGGTGAGCCTGTGCCAGCTCCACTTGTTCCGGACGGGCTTGAAGACGCCCGGCTGCCAGAGGACAGGGCCGTTCTCAGACAGCAGCTCGCCGACGGAGGAGCATCCAGGCTGCATGCGTGTCAGTATTGGAAGTCAATGCCGCTAAGAAAGTGAGTAATTTGGCTGGCAAGAATCTTACCCCGCCTGTCAACCATATCGTAATTTCGTTGCCGACTGTCTGGTTCTCTGATGGGAAGAACCAAAAGAACAACTGGTTGGTGTCATTCGTATTCGTGCTGATGGGCAGTGACCCGGCGTAAGACTCGCCGACATCGAAATCGACATTTGGCAGAGCGCTCCCATTCACAGAAAATTCTGTAGTTGAGTCAGTCTCAGCGACACGTCTCAATAGTGATATCCTTCCACTTACTTTCCGTCTGTGCATTCAGGAACTTGCTTGGTGCAGGAGATTGCTGCTGGCGCGGTGATAATGCCTGCTCAGCTAGTGGCGGTCTCATCTGGTTGAGATTCAGAGTGGCGACAGCCACACTGGCCTGAACAATGGCGAACCAACGCATGTTGGATGTGCTTCTTCCTTCCCTCCGGGAGAAGGAGGCCCTGTGATTGCTCTGCGCACGGAGAAGGGGGGCGACGGAGAAGCGGGCTTGGACGGGATAGTGGGGCCCAGCGTCTTTTATCTCGAGGTCGACGTCTGATTAGAGTTGGGCAAGGCCTCCCTGTTCGGCTCGGGAATCCGTGCACAGCTTGGGATGCTGAAGAAGTTGGGACTCTCACCCCCGATGCGGTGTTGGCCCTCGAGCTGTAAGCCGAAACCACAATCACAGACTCCGCACATGCAGGGGGCCGCTGTGATGACGGGTCCATCATCAGGAACGCCCGAGTTGTGCAGGGTGACATTGAGCTGACAGTTGTACCACTGGGGATCGCCGGTAGGAATGTCCCCTCAAACGTCCCCGCGAGGTCGAGTCTCTTAGCGTGGTCGGAGATCAAACTCGGTTCATGTTTCGTCTTGTCACTCCCGCCCAGCTCAATTTTCGCATTAAAAACCAAAAGCTCTACGCGATAACCTCTTGTGAGATAAACTCCTATGAGATAACCTCCTGTGGGATGATCGTCTGTATCCTGTGAGATGACTCCCCTGGGATGACCTGTCACTGGGTGTTTTCGAGCCTTGTTCTTGCAATACGCTTTGGAATTATGTCTGCAGTTTGATAGAGAGTAGTGGACAGGTCGACATGGCTGCGTGAACTTGTCTTCCCACCCAGATGTCTGAAGATAAGGCTACTATCATTCATACTCCTCCACGTCTCAAGCTTGCCGGCCACCCTCATCCAGATCGAGAGAGAGCAGCAGCAAACATTGAAGATGCTTGCCTAGTATTAATCCAACTGAAATGAATCTAACGAGCGATGGTATCAGAACAAAAAGCTTCGACTTGATCTAGTTGAAAAGAATCGCCACAGGCCCCGAATCGGGTGCACCCTCATCAACCTGGCCCGAAGATTACATGCCGGGAAGTTTGGGGAGCCCTGCGATATGTTAGAATTTGGCTTGCAGCAAGAGTGTCAATACGTACAGCCGTCAGTCTCCTCCTGAACCGTTTGTTTGATGGTGCATTGATTGGCAACGCTCATCTGCTGCTTCGTGATGGAGCCGCAGCCATCATAGAAGCACTCCGACTTGTTCATGGCGCGTTGAAGCGAGTCTCCCTTCCAGCCAAACATGTAATCGGCGTGGGTGCCGGCGGCGGTACCCTCGAAGCTCCATACGTAGGGGTTGGGTGTCCCCGAGGGCCACATGCTGTTGAACTTCGAGGTGTCCCAGACAGTTTCGAAGGCGACCTGCAGTACAATATTCAGCATTATTCTATACGAGACCACGAATGAACCGATGGAATAAATGAAGAGCACGTACCTGTGGCATGCGGACAGGATGAGTTGATGGGCACTTTCCTGCGTTGACGAACCCGTCCTGGGTGATGGAGTTGTACATGTGCGACTGGTGGTCTGGACTGTCAAGGTTCTTACCGTCCCAGCATCTAGATACAATTAGTACAGGCTGAGAGTAGGTTGATATCCAGGAATCACTAACGCAGGGAAATGCTGTGTGACAAAGATACCGCCAGGGCATGCCGAAGTGGGAAAGTCTTTGATCTCCGGGCCTCTGCCGCCACCACTCTGCAGGCACTGGTAGCGCAAGCCGACGTGCTGGTTGGAGGTAACACTCGGGCTTCCCACCGTCATACGGAAGCCCTATGATATGTTAGATAATAGCTCTCGACAGCCACAGGAGGATTGGTGCACGTACTGGTGGGAATGTCTTGACGGGTTGATGTGCGATGTCGTCCCGGATCAAGTCCGTCTGGCTGTAGTAGACAGTAAGTCCACCCTTTGTGCCGGAGTAGCCATCGAGGTTACCAGGGTTGACAGGGATAACTGGCACACGGTGGTAAGAGCCATTGGTGGGGTGCTTGAAGTACAGAACGGCCGTCCAGTAGTTGGAAAAGTCCTCTGACATCTCGCAAGTGGTGCAGGTAGCCCTTGCACCAACGTCTCCCTCCATGGTGGCATTGAATGCGTTTCCGCCCACAATGTGGTGGACATGAGAGGCCGGGACCGCGCCTGGCTGGACAACAGGGTCCAGACGTTGAATCGTCAGAGTCGAGCATTGGAACCGAAGGCCGGCCTGAACAGGCGCGACGAGAGACAGCGCTGCTGCGGAGAGCCACTTCATCTTGGCGGTAGATCTTGATTCGATACTGGTAACACTTGGGAGACAGAAGCTTGTGGAAGCAGATGTGCCAGGCAGGGGCAGCCTGACCTTAAGCTATTCTTATACGGCTGGATTTAGTCCAAGGCGCGTCATTTTGGTTACTCGTTCCTTGTTGTTTCACTGTTTAATAAGAAATGAATCAATTTTTAATCTTTGGTCGGATACGGAACCAAACACGGAGGTTGAAGAAGGCTCCGGCAGATCGCCAACGAATCAATCGAGGTCCGTATTAGCCGGATGTCCAATCCGGTGACACGGAGTCTTCATTTATATGAGGTTGTATTGTATTTCCCCGCGTAGGTATCATGGGAGGATGTTCACCTCTCGGCAAATTCCCTATGTGTCTTGATCGTAGAGTGGTCACCTTCTGTTGGGCTCACCAATATGCCGAGCCCACCAGGTGAGCATCCTTCCGGAATAGGTACGATAAGGCCGGATAAATCAACTGACCAAGACAATTTTTAGACACGGCACGCTGTCGATTTGATGTCGTCTTGCAGCATGTGATGGCACGTACCAAGTAGTGTGAATAATCGGACCGAGAGACGGTCAGATCAATTCAATGTTTGCTTTCGAGACCCGATCGAAGCACGATCCAACTGACTTGTAACTGGCGAGCATTTAATGAGGCTGCCAAGGTGGCCAAAAGTTACCCCTGTTGACATGCCGGGCGGCGGGACGGATTGTTGATTTTCCAGAGGAATGAAGTTGGAAGATTGTTGTCCCAAGCGGACTGCAAGAGAGACAATATTCGATATCTAACTTTGCGAGCACGAAGTGGTATCTACGCTTGCCCATGAAGTATTGCATCAACAGTCATAACGTTGTAGACACTGGCCGACATGGAAGAATTGAGACGGACGAAAAAGGACAGCTAGGGCCAGGTTCCACCGACTGACCTGGTTGTACAAGCAATTTGGGCGCCCCTGAATCTTCTAGGTTGCTTTCTATCAGAACGTTAGTCTACGCCTTCATGACCTCCATCGCCACCGTCATCTAGCCCATCCAGACGGTCTTACCTTCTGCTGTCAAGATCATGATGTGCCACACATTGGCATTAAATGGTAACCCTACGGCGCAACTCTTCGGCTACGGGACCTTGTTAATGTATGGCTTTAGTATGCTTCCCGGGCCGCCAGGTTTGTGCAATGATCGATGTGCATGCTAAAACCAAAGGCGCCTCTACGATCAACCCAACTAGATGATGTTTCGCAACCTTCGTCTATTCCTACGCACCTGCGATCTTATCCTCTCTTCGCTGTGAGAGATTCTTAAGATCCTCATACCAGTGGCTACCAGGCACTGGTCCATACCTGAACGTACCTAAAAATAGGTACGAGACAATCGCCTTCATTGACCGCCCAAGTCCGACCATCCCGTGTGAATTTTGTATCAAAAGGTTGTACCAAGGGAGGTAGACTTTAGCCTATATAAGGTTCCTCATACGAATATGTGCCACTGAAAGTCTATTCTACGCGAAGTTGGGGGTCTCTGCGATCTGTACAGCCACTGACATTGCCAGCCTGCCAGCCTCGAAGACTTGTTGCTGTGCAACATAAATATATTGCACAGGAATGTGTGTGCTGAGAACGATCGGTAAATAGTAGATAGTGTATTAAAAACTCCGTGACGGCGCGGTATGAATGCCATTGCAAACAAAGACCAACCTTGGTGACGATGTGATAGACCCCTAGCGACCGGAAATCGGCGACGTGCCCTATCACAACATCCCTCAGGACAGTTTCACTGCCTTTGGCTCTTTCGGTATTGACACTTGGTCTAGTGTGCTAAAATGTTGCCGGGCTTCAACATCATCATTCCTTCAAGAGCACTCGATCAAGCATCTCTTGTTCTTGGGGGGAGCAAGAAAGTAGGTGACCTGCTCCATATCGTCGTCGGTCATGCCCTCCAGCGCAGACATCTTGGAGTTCGGGAACTCGCGGAAGAAGTGGGCAATGCCCAGCCTGAGCTCCATGCGAGCGAGGTGAAGGCCAAGGCAGACTGCAAAAATCGTGAGAAACTTTCCTTGGCGCGTGGTCAAGAACCTTGACGGCAGCTGAATGAGAAGAAGGTGGAGGTGGGGGGTAAATCTTACTGCGAGAACCACCGCCGAATGGCATGGACGCATCCTTCATAGCCTTTGTGGGTGCGGCCCACCTGTCTGGGTCGAACCTCTCGGGATCCGGGAAAATGTCCTCGTTCCGGTGCAAGCTCCAGGCCTGCGTGCAGACGACGGACCCGCCCGGGAGATACTGCCCAGCCAGGGTAGCACCCTCGGGAGGGACCATACGAGGCAGTCCGGATGGGGCCGCGCCGTGGAGGCGGAGGCTCTCCTCGATGACTTGGTTGAGATAAGGCAACTTCATTGCGTCGTGGTCCTGGAAGCCCTCCGGTAGTTGGCGGAGTTCCTCCACCAGCCTCTGCTTGATCTTTGGGTTTTGACAGACACGCCAGACGATGTATGTGAGGGTGATCGCGGTGGTATCCGTGCCAGCGATGATGTAGGTCTGGGCTTCATCGACGATTTCTTTGAAGGTCAAGGACTCATCCTCCTCGCCCTTGAACAGCCGGGTGAACAATGTTGGGAATGGCTTGTCCGGGTTCTCCTCCACAAGCCTCTTGTACCGGCCCAGGGATTCAGTTGCGTACCGCCGCATGTTCAGTATCAGGTCGGTGTTTTCCCCGAACCCGGGTATGGGAAAGCCCTGCATGGCGAGCCTGGCCAACGTGGGGAACGTGGCTCTCTTTGCTCCCACTGCAGCCACCTTCTCGAGGATTTCGATGTATTCGTTTTTCTAAGGCTCACATTTAGTACCAGCCGTCTAGAAAGGCCCGTCAGACACTCACCTCTCCCTGCTCCAACAAGCGGAAGGACTCGCCAAACGACAGCTCGCCGATGATATCCGTTGCCATGAACATCCACCACTTGAAAACGTCAGCTGTCCCTCTTGTCTTGGACTCCTCGGCCATTCGCTGGATGGTCATCCTGACGCGCCCCTCGATGGTGGGCTGGAAGGCTTGAAGTGCTGCGTCTGAGAAGGGCGCCTGGAGGAGCTTTCGATGACGGCGATGGAAGTATATGTCCGGTGTGTTGAAGACATTGTGCACCCCAGGAGCGCTGATAGCCTTGTAGAAAGGGGACTTGAGGTACGTCGCCTTAACAGTGTGAATCTGCTTAGCCGCAGCCACCTCCATGACATCGACCTCATTGGGAGCGATTCGAACGATGGGACCTATGTCCGGCATGTCAGTAACTTGGAGCATGTTCAGGGGAAGAGTAGTTTTGGGAGCTGACCGTATTTTTCATGGAGACGATGGACATATTTCGCCCTTCTGCCTTTCAGGAACTCGTTCGTCAGGACAATGCTTGTGATCTTGGAATACCACGGGCCCGGGACCTTCGACAGAGGATTCCGCAGCACACTGTACACAAGACCGAGGGCGGCAACGGCAACAGCTGCGAGGAGCAGGTGGTGGTATTGTTGGCCCAAAGGCCCGATCTCGGTTAAAGGCGACATTGTTTACGAGTCGATCGTGACACTGTCGTGCGTGATGAAGAGAATGAGCAAGAGGAAAATGCTCCGAGTGACGAACTCAGTGAGCTGTTATATAGTTCCTCATCAAAGCATGAGCTCAACGGTCGACATATCGGCCGCGCCGGCTCTGACAGATCAAGCACGGGCGAATTGCCTTCAAGCAAAGGGCCGACGTCACATCGCAGGAGACGCCGGGGCTCTGGGAATAATCATGGAAGTCTTGATCTCAGTAATTCCGCAGTACTGACTGGCCCATACCTCCTGACGTTGTGGGTCCCCTCTGAGAAACGAAACCTTGTGCTGGCGGGGGACGAAAGCACCGGCATGTTGCCCAAGTGGAGAGTTGCGTCTACACAGTGAGTGTTACCCAAGTATGCACAGCGGACGTCCACAGGCCAGCACGACGGCGCGCAGTGCCCGCTCTAGTGCTGAGCTCGCAGCAACTGCCCGCCCCGTCGCCTCACATCGGCGCCGACACTTGACCGTCCGAAGTCGCGAGATTGAGACTGGCTGTGCCGTGTTTGCCGCATGTTGATGCAGATCACTTGCCGTTCGTCATCAACTGACCGCCGTGGTTGCATGCGTAGCGTTGAGGGCCAGGTGGTACTGGCTCGGATCGTCCACTGAGTGGAGTCGTATATTTCTGGGGGCGGATGATTAGCTTGGAGGCAGCGAGCGTCCGGAGCCGAGTCGGAGATGTCCCCGAGGCACGGAGGGATTAGGTTCCGCTGCGGGCGGGGTTGTCATGCAATGCCCGGGGTGCTACACTATCTCGTATCTATAAGGGATGCCTTGCATTGGCATCGTTGTTTGTACGACTGCCATGTCGCCATGACTGATGCGTTTCTTGATACGCTCTTGTAGTATACGTCCTAGCAAGGTGTGTAGTACTCGTCAGGTAACCACCCCAAGACCCTGTGCTGTTTGTGTAGGTATTGCAGCCATGCATCTAGGCAATTGCGTGTGTTGCAGACAGAGAGAATTGAAGATCTGCCCTCCCAACTTGCCCGGGGGGAGGGGGTTGACGAGATAACAGCCGATGTGAACACAGTCAAGTACTCGAAAGTAACATTTTACGGCCTTCCGTGTGGTTCAGCAGTGATGTGGGAGACTTGAGAGTGCTGTGGTCATACAAGCTGAAATGACTCCCTTCTAGAATAGGCGGTCAGATCCCGCTGCCCGAATATCGGCACCTTTGAAAGAAAATAGAGGGCATGAGTGGGTGGTCCGATTGAGACATTGGTAATCAGCCACGCAACCTGTGATCCATGACATCTGCGTAGTTCCATAGAATTTGAGTGATGACTTCAGCCTCTTAGCGTGTATTACCCGAGGACTAAAACAAAGAAAAACCGACCTCTCCCTCGATTCGACCAGCCATCATCTTGAGGCTCAAAACAAGCATGTCGAGCATGTGGAATCTTTCAAACCTCCGCACCCTTCGCACGTCACCCTGTGACACAGCAGCTCTGTCCAAGACCGCTGCCGGTAAGCATCGGAGTAAGCATCTTTATCAAGCTTGGTTCCAGACGATCCGAAGAACCCGGCAAGCTTCTTGCACTATCCCACAAATGCTGACGGCCAGATATGAATCGCGTCGGCGGGCCGCACTCATGCAGGCCAGGGACCCAGGCCACTTCGCCCAGCGAAAGAGAGCGAAGAGTGCACACATTCCTTTTTTGGCTCGCATATGCATCGTCTCCTCTGTACCAGACCTGCCAGATAAAGTGGCTGCCCAGCAGCCTATCACTCGGCCTGGGCACTATCAATCGCGCTTCAGTCTGATTGCGCGCGGCGCCACTGTCATCTCGCGGGCGATGTTGCGAGCCTGTGGTTTATCTTGATTGCTTCTCTGCCATCTGCTTTAGGTGCGCACATTCTACCGTCTGTGTAGCAAGTTCTGGGGATATACAAATAATTTTTCCGCCCCCTCCCCTTCCACGCAGTCAGTATCTCAGTCTCCACGACATGGGACCCCAACCCCTCGCTCGGTTTCGGGGGCACCCCCTTGTCTTACCCCAGATTTGAGCCCACCGGGCGGCCCTTGGCAGACGCACGTCGGGGCCATCTACCGTGGTTGTCAAGTATCAGTAAGCTTCTTAGCCCGGCCCCCAGGTGGACGTGGATTGGAGCAGCACCCAGCCCCCGCAGGTTCAGAAGGGCATGATGGGCGAGCTTCCAAGGATGACAGCGCTCAGGTTGGACGCCTCCGCAGTTGTCCAAGAGGAGGAGGGCCCAGGTGTTTTGGAGAGTCGGGATTTGTTTTGCATCCCGGGGGCGTCTGGCATCGAGGGGATGCACGCATTGCTCGGCCGTTGATGTGTGTTCGCAGCGTGCACCATGGGAACCAACCCCCCGAATCGGGATACCCCGTGTCCCGAATCCGTGGGGCCCGATGGCAGTGGTTCGTCGGCCACTGCTGCAAGGGCATATATATGCTAAATTTCCCCTTGATTGACCAAGGCTCCTGTGATCTTTTTGGCCCTGAAGCACCAACCAATATCCATCAGTCGCCTGCCTCCTACAACCCACCATCTCCTGTAGAGCGAATCAAACATGGCCAACGACCAACAGCCGGGGAGGCATCTGGCACACAGGTCTGTCCTGCGCGAGATGATGCCCGTGATGAGATGCAAGACTGACAGATGACCCCAGCCACGCACGCGAAGAAGACATCCCAGGAACAGTCAACTTGAGGGCGGCCGAAGGCGACGACACCGGCTATGGCCAGGCCCTCTTCCCCGTCCCGGCAGAGGATCCCAACGACCCGCTGCAATGGGGCAACACGAAGAAGACGTTAATCCTGGTTACGTGCGCCCTGTATTCCTTCCTAGGCAACACGGCCCTCCTAGGGCCATCGGTATACATCACTATTTTCTCACAGGAGTTTGGCATCTCGCCAAACACCGCGTCTGGGCTGGTCAGCTATGCCAACCTTGTGTTTGGATTCGGTGAGTATTCCTGTCGCCTGCGTATCCGCCGTCCAGCCCGCCGGCCCCGTGATAGTTGCATCCCATGCTGACTTAATTCAGGCTCCCTCCTGCTGGTTCCCATGTATCGCAAATTCGGTCGCAGGCCCGTGATGCTCCTCTCCCTGATGTGCTACTGTGCAGGCCTCATCGGCGCGTCCCAGGCCACCTCGTACGGCGGGCTAATGGCCGCACGAATAATCCACTCGTTTGGCTCCGGTGTCTGCGAAGCCCTGCCGGTCCAGCTGGTGAATGATATCTTCTTCCTGCATGAACGAGGCCAGCGCCTCGGATATTGTGAGTCATGGGCACCCTCATGGCGCTTCCGCACCGTCTGCTCAGGTCTGTGAGCCGCGATTGATAGCCTGAAATCACAGACACCTTTGCCTTGTGCCTGGGCGCCATTGGCCCGCTCTTCGCGGGCTACATGCTCAACGGCGGGTACTCGTGGCGCCTCTTCTTCTACGTCGAGATCGCGTTCGGGGTGGCCCTCCTGATATTCGCCTTCTTCGTGGTCGAGGAGACGGCATACCACCGCAAGCTGACGCAAGACTCTTCCGATGGGCCCGAGGACGCGGAGAAGACGGAGGCGACGACAGTCGAGAGGAGTGTCACGGCCCGCTCGAGCGTGCCTAGGCGCAAGACATATCTCCAGACTCTCAAGTTCTGGGGGGTGTGGGAGCGCGACTCGGACTTCTTCCTCATGATGGCCCGGTCTTTTACTTATTTCCTTGTCCCTCATGTGTTCTGGGTGGTCACGACTTATGGTAAGCCTGCCCGTCCCGCCTATCCCGAAGCCTGCGTGCAGCATTGTGAATCTGACCAGTGCCGCCCACAGGTATCAACATTGGTATCGGAGCCCTGACTTTCAACTACATCATGCCGATCAAGGTGGTAGCTCCCCCGTACAACTGGTCCCAGCTCAATTCTGGGCTGGTGAGCGTCGGAACGATCATCGGCTACTGCGCCGCCCTTCCTTTCACCACCTCGTCTGACCGCCTGGCGGCCCGCTTGACCAAGAAGAACAACATGGTGCGGGAGGCGGAGATGAGGTTAGGCGTCTGCCTCCCTGCGATGCTCATCGCGCCCGCCGGGCTGGTAGTCTTCGGCTTCACGGCGGAGCGGAACCTCCACTGGATCGGGTACTTCGCGGGGGTTATCATGTCGTCGTGGTCGAGCTACTTCTACTTCACGTTCGTGCTGAGCTACGCGCTGGACAGCTACACGGCGAACACGAGCGAGATGCTGATCGCGATGAACCTCGGGAAGCAGGCGATCAGCTTCGGGATGGGTCTCAACCTGCTGGAGTGGGTACAGGCCAGGGGCTATGCTGTGATGATCTCGGGCGTGTTCGGCGGCGTGCTGCTCGCTAACCAGCTAGCTCTCATCCCGTTTATGCTGTACGGGAAGAGCATCCGGGCATACATGGCAAGGACTTGGTTGGCGAGGATCCATAGAGACAGCGTGAGAGAGGTCATGACGGCGTGACGGAATGAGCTTGCGGCTCCGTAGATGGCGGATTCTGGCAGCGGAGCGTTTCGGTGTTGTAGAGATCTCGTGCGCGTAGTGCATGTGTATAAATATTGGAACCAAATAAAATGGCCCTAATTGCTACCAGTCTCCGCCCACAAACCCCTGCCAAGGCGAGGTATGAGCATCATCGCCTGCCCACCATCTGCTTCCCGACAGGATGGACCACAGTAGCTTCAGCAGCATAGCGACCAGGGGCAGGCCCATGGCAGCAAGCACTAGCTTCTCCCTTTGCCTGGCCAATTCGCGCAGACGTGCCTGCCGGCGAAACTCGAGGGCGGCGATGTGAAGGTGATATGTACTCCCAGCATCGAGCACGAAGGGCGGCTGTGCGTGAGGGTGTGGGATGAGGTCGATGTCCGGCATGAACTCTGCTGCTCCGTCGGTCGGCTGGAGGTCTTCCAAGCCGGGGGGTTCACCCGGTGGTTGCCGGCGCGGCCTGAGGATCTGTGGCAATGGCTCCTCGCGCATGATTGCTGTGATGGATGATACGGGCCGAGAGTAGAGGGTTATGCGTCTGTTGAGAGTATGTTACCGAGCCTCTCTGCTCCGTCCCTCCACATGTCACAGAGCGGGTAGTAGCGTAAGATGCGAAGCGATGTCTAGACTCGCGCAGGTGGCGCGATGCTGTCCGGCACAGCCGAGGGGCACAGTTCCTGACTCCGGCGAGAGGAGCGACGGTGTCTTGGGTCGTGGTGCTCACAAAACGCAGGAAAGGTCCCAGTTGGGATAATGCAGAGGAAAATGGCGCGTGTCCTTTCCGAGGTGCCGTCAGCCGTGGCGGAGGACAGTTGAAGGTGCCTTGGTCGGATGATGGTGCTGACCGTAGGTCATCTCTAAGTATGTTCCGGGATCTCGGGATCACATCTCAGGGTCAAACCCTCGCCCCGCCTAACCCGTTTTCCACGGATCAAATGTCCCAGAGGACAGGACGATTTGAACGTCAGAGTGGTTGAGCAACTTGCGCGCCTGATAGGCAGTCATGGGCAAGAAAGAGCCGAATGCCTCTCTGAAGAGGCGAAATGCTGCAGGGGATTGCCATGTCTGAGCACCATCTGAGCACCATCTGAGCACGGCCCTCCGTCGGGTCCTTTTTTTGGACTTGTCCGTCTCCTGCAGGCGTCTTCAGGGTCGCATGGCGATTCTCATCAATCCAGATGAGCCTCTTATTCTTCAAAGCACGGAGTCGATGTCGGCCCGGATCGGCATACTCTGATCAAGATGATCGGGCTCGGTCAACAGGGGCCATCAACTGACTGCGGGCTAGATGCTGTGCTCCCGCCCTCTGCGAATCCATTGCACGTCATTGGTGCACCCGTCACGGTCGTGCAACCCACGCGAGAAGCTTGGCGCGATGAATTCCGACGCTGCCCACCTCAGCTCACCTCAAGCACTGCGATTGCGTCGAATCGTCAAGCCTCATGCTGGACCTCGCCTTGTGATTCGAATAAAGCCTCAGCTGCATTCGACTTCCAATGGCATCGAGAGTGCGGGTCCATCTCGCGCAACCTACGCACGCCCATTGGCTTGGCTGCATCGATGCGGGTGTTGGTTCTTGGGCGGGAAGGCTTAGACCACACCCGTCGCCCACCTGCAGGCCCGAGACGGCTGTTGGCATCTCTACCGTACAGCAGATCCGATTACAGTAGATGCCCGAGAGGAAGGTTCAATAGACGGTGGACAGTTGTCTCGCTGATCTCGCCGATCCCACCAGCTGGTCCATCCGAGGGCCTTGAGTCTCGCTGCCTGGGGTGGAGATTGCCCCAGACTCCATACACAGCAGAGTGCATCATCCACCGTCAGGCAGTCGTCGCAGGGCCTGCACGGTGACTAGAGTTCTCTTGGGTCTTGGAAGCCACAAATTCCTCTTTAAAATGAACGAGAAGGCTTACCGTATCTTGTGTACAAATATAGAAGCAAGCAAGCGGGGCGGGCACACAAACGTGGCGACCGACTTCTCTACCGGCCCGCCCTGTCTAGCCCCGATGTTGGGAATCCCTCCCATCCATCGCCTGCGCCGCAAATCCGCCAAGATGGTCGATTGTCTTGGGATCTGACACTTGATATTTCGGAAGCCACAACATGGGTCGTGTTGAATTTCATCACTGTAGGACGCTTTGTCTGTGTCTAACGGGCCCAGGCGAGTTTAGTCGTGTAGTTGTGGGGAGGGAATTGCTCTCGTGTGCTGTAGCATCGCCTGCCCATTAATCGGTCAGCCGCGCCTTGCTCACACAACAGGCAAACAAACCAAGTGCTCCGTTGGCAGGCCTGTTGGTCCCATGCGAGAGCTTCGCGTTTGCATCACATCACCTCGCATTCCCTTGTCTCCCTCGAGTCACTGCTGCTGATTGGAATCGGCTCCATTGCTCACCCCATCCTCCCCGCCTCTCAGCCCTGAGCCTCTCCCCCTCCGCCCTCCCCTGCTCAACGTCAACTACATACATCTATCTGTTTACTTTCGACGATCCTCCCACCTCTCCTCTGCCTTTCTACCATCTTCGACATTTTCCAATCAAGATAGCCAATTGGCCCGACCGTTGGTTCTTTTCTCCTTCTCAAAGGTAGGCTCTCCCTCATGTTACCTGTCGAATATCACCCTTGCCTTCTGATTACTCCCTCGTCTCGCTTGTCTGCCATTCATCATGCAGGATCAGAAGCATACAGCCGCGTACAACACGGCCCACAATTGTTGCCCGCTAGATATTACCGGCCTGGTGATCGGCCATGTGCAGGAACCAACATGGCTTGACCTCAAACATCTTCTGCCTCGTGGGGTGTTGCCTCCCGTGGGCTCTCCGTTGGGACTGGGATGCTGAGTAGCACTCATGGACCTGCGCCTTTTGTCTCCCCTCTCCTGCGGCACCCAAGCCCCCTCTTTCCCCGTTTCGCTCTTTTCTGTGCCATGTGATTCATTCCTTTTCCTTCATCGCAGGACTGACACCCAATTGCAGTACCAACATTGACCACGGTCTGCTTCAAACCCTTGGGGCGCCGGCAAGGCAACGGGATGGCCAGCAACGGCCTAGTCGACGGAGGGTCGCAGGATAACGAGCAATATGGCTCAAATCGGCCAGCTCGCGAGGAAGGAGGCCTGGGTATATCATACCCGGCCCTGATCCAGCGATCTGAGTCCAGCCAACCGCTCGTTGCCAACGCAGCCCCAACTGCCGGTCCCTCCTCCCCGCCGTACGACACTGCGGCACAGTACGGACACCCCGAGTTCTGGAATCCCCAGCTGTCCGGGCGCACACTGGGCGGCTTCTCCCCTACAATGGGGTCACCGAATGCAATGCCTTCCGAGGGCGACTTGAAGGGGTCGGTCTACAACGCATGGGACCGGGGCTCGAAGACGGCGATATACCGGACCCTAGATGACGGCGGGGCGGCGACGGCGGCGGGGGGGCGAGAGCGGAGGAGCGATTCCGACTCGATCAGCCTGGACTCGCTGCAGATGCAAGATGACAGCCAACAGTATTCCGGCGAGACCTTCAGCTCCGCCCGACAACTCGACCCGAGCGACTACGACAACTTCAAGAAACAGGCGCACGACCCGCCCCGTCCGTCGGGCGCACCAGCCGATGTACGTGTTAGCCGCCTCAGCTGGCTGTCTGTCTGGCTTATTATACTTTCCGTCTACTCGACCATCCTCAGCGGAATGTGGCTCGGGGTGGCGATCGCACAGCCGGGATGGGGACACACGATATCATCGGGTGGCTCAATGGACCTGTCGACCGCCAACGTCTTGACAGCAATCTTTGCCAAGACGATCGAGCTGTCCTTCGTGACGGTGTTTGTGGCCTTCATCGGCCAGGTGCTGACGAGGAGGGCCATCGCCACCAACGCTGGTATGACCATGGCGGAGATGACGATGCGAACCTGGATCACTGTTAGTCCCCGTCAGAATTCCCCACCTGTCGATGGAACACACCTCTGACTTGCGCAGCAACCTGGCTCTTTATTGGCGAATGGCCAGACTCTACGATATGCCGGGCACACTATCCTTGGCATCTTGACCCTGATTGCAACCCTTGTTGCAATGCTGTATACCACAGCCTCCGACACAATGATCCGGCCTAAACTCCGATTCAGCAGTTGGCATGATAGATACCTGGAGAGCTACGTTGTGGCGTCTTACGCGAATCCGGGATACGCGGAAGAATCATGCTCGACTCCAATTTCCACCGATCTGGACACGATTGCGGCCGGTGAATCCTGCCTTGGCGTGCAGTATTCCGGAGACTGTATGTGGAGGTGTACCTGGAAAACTTGAGGAGGACACTTTGACTGACACACTGTACAGCATATCAAAACCTCCTTGCTTTCATGACCACGTGGCGGGACATCAATTACAACGGCAGCACTGCGAGTCGCAACATGGCCGAGCGACCCGCTGCTCAAGCCATGCTTTATGACAATGTTACGATGATTGGCTCATGGATTGAGGCTCAATTCTCGAACGCAGAAGAGAGTTTTAAAACACACGATAGAGTCATCAACAATGTTTCGCTGGCATTGCCGCATCCAGGTAAGTCAACCCAAGATCTCGGGAATGTGAGGTCAAGTATTCATTTCGGGACAGGAGTCTACAAGGCGGCAACCAACGGTGAGAACGAGATCCTCCAGCCCTCGGACCTCGACGGGCTCGCCTCTTACAACATCTCTGCGAGCGTGATATCACCCGCAGTGAATGTCCTCTGTGTAAACATGAACAGGGAGGAGCTCGAACCTTTGGTCTACACAGCGTGGCCAAACGCAAATATCACGGAGAACAAGAGCGAACCCAAGCAAGAGACCGGCTGGGAAGAATGGGAAGGCGACGTGCCGCAACCTTCCGAGGACGAATGGCTCAACAGCACCGTCGTCGACGACATCTTCCGCTGGGGCCCGCGCTACGTGCGGCGCCCGCCGGTCTTCCAGCTGTACCCCTACGACAACAACATCATAACCAACACCACGGTCCAGGCCCTCAACAGCAGCGTCCCCGCGGACGCGGTCTACCTGTTCGGCAAGAGCAGGCTGATGGACGACTACACCCTCTGCGAGATGCGCTCCTGGCCGGCCATCCAGTGCAGCACGCAGTTCGACGTCTCTGGCGTCACGGGGATGTCCATGGAGGCGCAGTGCGCGCAGGAGGAGGACTTCTTCCCCGAGAACGCGCAGGACCACCCGGACCCGGACGCCTACGTCCGCCACATGGGCGACGGCGAGATCGGCACGAGCTGGGACTGGAAGGACATGGTGGACGGCTGGCGGCGGGCGATCGACCTGAACGGCGGCGTGACTAACAACAACGCCTCGAACGCGCGGATCCTCACCGAGCTCGCCCTGGCCGAGCCCCGGCTCAACGACACGCTGCCCTCGATGGCAGAGGCCCTGGCCGTGCTGGTCAGCAGCACGCTCGTCATCGCGTCCGTTGATTCCCCGTTCATCCACTACTGGGAGTACAACTTGACGACGTGGCCCAACATGACCGAAGCCAATATCCTGCCCGCCCCGGGCGCCCTGGCGTCCTTCCACGCCCGCGTGCGCACCCAGGAGTACGCCAGCTGGCACTCGTCCGACTGGCAGGGCATCTTCTACCTCGTGCTTGCCTTCACCTTCCTGCTGAACCTTCTCTGCCTCGCCTACTTCTGCCGCGTCGGCCTCGTCAAGGACTTCCTCGAGCCGACGAACCTCTTCGCCCTGGCCACCTCCAGGCCGGGCCAGTCGCGCTCGCCGCGTCAGCAGGAGGAGGAGGCCGTGATGGGCACCCCGCAGGTGGACAAGGAGAGGAAGAGGAAGACGGGCCTGGCCGTGCCGTACCGGCTGGCGTTCAAGGAGGATGCTAATCACTATTATTTCGAGGAGGCCGAAGATGAGAAGGGAGCTGCCGGCGCGAGGGCTACGGCGCTCGATGGCGAGGATGACGCTGCCGGGAAGCGGAAGAGCTATTACCGCCTTAGTAGTAGGATAGGACTATAAGGGGTTGGCGGAGATGGGCTCATCTCGCGTGCTTTAATCACAGCCTCAATTCAAGTATTTTGTAATTTCTCTGTAATGAAAGTCTTTGGAACTGACCTTTCCGACCCTATCAAGTGATACAAGCTATGTAAAATCCCAGACATGTCCAATCGTATGCACTGGGAATGCACATGTGTCACCAGAAGCCTGAATTGGGTCCCAATGAAAGAGAAGCTGGACGTGGATCTACTAAAGGTTGTGAGAAAGGTCGCGTGTTTCATGGATTACGTGCTAGACGTGAATATCCTATACGTAATGGCCATGACTGCAAGAACGTCGACGTCCAGATTCATTTCCCACCACAGGTACGAGCTTGATGCGAGATTACTTATCACCGCATATCTGCCAAAGCTCCCCTCCTCATCAAGCTCTTTGTAACCCAATTGGGTGCGTTTGAACAGGATGCAGTAAGCATGATGCCCACGCTGTTGGTCGTAGGAGCAACTTTGTCGTTAACTACGGAATGAGACCCAGTGTGTGTGTCAGAAAATGACAATGGGCATCACTAGCTGCGTGGGGCTGACTCAACAACAAAATGAACATATCGAGTGAGAAGAGTCAGTCCTCCTTACGTCGCCTGGAAGGGAGTCAGACTGCAGTCTTCTCTTCAGAACGATGTATACGCATGATAGCATAATCGCCTGCGTGACAGTCTTTTTTAGGACAACCCCTTGCAGGACAAATGTCCCATAGCGAAATCTGCAGTGCGATGATGTCTTGTAAGTTAATCCCGAAATGGCCTGGGTGATTATTGAACTCTTCTAATATACCCAGCTAGCTTGACTTGTACTGTACTGCCACTTGCAAGGTGGTGAGAATCAAGCCCTAGCCAATCACTGCCCAGTTTATCGTATGAACACAGGTATATTTGACAATTTATAAGGGCGAATACCGTCTCATTTCTCTTCGAAACAGACTTCAACACAACCCTATTCGGGCCAAGCTAAGACCTGTGGCCGTAGGTGTCTTGGTATACCTAGGTATGTTTGTTAGCAGAGGGTATAGGCACAGACACTGCCAGAAGATCTCAATCCGGACTGCAGTGATTCAAAGAGCATGGTGGCACTGTTCAAATCTATTTCGATGACTGTACTGCTCGTTTCTCTCTGGCTAATTATCCATGTCACAATTAACCGCATCCCGACCCTGGGGACGCGAAAGAATCAGACTCTCCCGCTCGCTGTAAGTACCCTTGATCCGTAGAATCCGTTGCCCATTGCGCCGCAATACATTTTGAGTAATTATGTCCCCACCCAGAATGGATTTGCCCCATGTACAAGAATCCCAATTTCCCCAGTCTTAGAGCATGAAGCTTACAGAAGCATGGTACCAACAAGACTGAAGAAGAAAACAACGCCAGTGACCATGAAGGCGCCCATGTCCAGAGGGCCAGGGCCGCCAGCGCCTGCGTTTCCGCTGGAGGAGCCAGTGGCGGCAGACCCGGTGGCAGAACCAGAGCCAGGCTCGGCATCTCCGGTCGACGTGCCGCCAGCGTTCTGAGAACCATCGCCCTTCAGGCCGGGGCCATCACCGGCGCCCGAGGTCATGTACTTAGATGCGCCCGTGGGAATGGCGGGCAGCAGTGTGTTGCTCACGAGCCAGTCAGAGTCAGCGGATGGGCAGGCCTGGGAGTTGGTTGTTGAGGCGAAGCCACCGTCGCCGGTAGGAGCGGGGTTCTTGGACAGAGCAGTAGCGTAGGCGGCAAAGTCGCTCTTCTCCGACACGCTGTCACCGCTGATAGAGACGATACCGTACCCGTTACCCTCGTCGGAGTACTCGTACACCAGGCCTCCAGAGTAGACGGCTGTCATCTCGCTGTTCATCAGAGCCTCGACCTCGCCGAAGCTACGTCCGTTGGTGATGCAGCCGTATTCGGAGAGGAACAAAGGAAGACCGTAGCCGGTGAAGTTCTTAACCTTCTGGTCCCAGCCGGACTGCGTGAAGCTGCTGTCGCACCACGAGTAGTCGTTGAAGGCAAAGAAATCGCTGCGCTCATCGTCTGTACCGCAGTTGAAGTACTGAGCAAGCTGGAAACGATTCTGAGAGACATCTGCTGCGGAGTATCCGACAGGAACCGCCCTGTAGCCACGGTTCCTGATGTACTGGCGCATGTCACGGGTGGTAGCCTTGACGTAGGGGGCAGCCAATGTAGTGTTGGCCTGGTCGTTGACAACCTCGTTTCCAGAGAAGAAAGCCAGGGTGTTGTCATACTTGACGAACTGGTCCACGGTGGCAAAGACACTCTGCAGATAGACGTCGTTGTAGGACTCGCCGGGGCTGTTGCGGTTGATGGAGTAGAGTGGGTTGTTGACGTCGAGAATCAGGTAGATGCCAGCATCAGACAGCTGGCTCATGCAGTCGTCGTGGCTGGCAGAGTTGTCGACGGTGTAAACACGGACTGTGTTGATTCCCAGCTTCTTGAACTCGGCGATGTCACGCTTGCAGGTGGCGGTATCGGCCAGCGGGTCAGCCAGGTTGGACGATCCACCAGGCTGGTAGTCGATGCCACGGACATAGAACCGGTCCTTTCCGGCCCAGAAAGCTGTTGGAGAGACAAGTCAGCAAGCAGTGCATGTAATTGAGGAAATGGGGAAATAGGGCGTCCTACCATTGCCTGAGGCCGTGACAGTGGGCAGGCTCGCCCGCTTGCTTGGTGGCTCCTGCTCGGTGGGAGTAGGGTTGGCCGAGACGGCGGCCGCCAGAAGGGCGGATGTGAGAGCAAAGGACTTCATGGTGGGTTATGCTGCGTTTGCGTCGAGCTCGTTGACAGACAGCAGATGTTGTTCAGTGTTGAGGCAGCCGGCGCTGTTCTACTCTGCTACTACAGTGGTAGTAGACAAGAGGCAGCAAGGGAGTGGCAGAGCGAGCGAAGTGAATCAATGTGTCAATTAGAAGAAGAAAAAGAATAGTTGATCCGACGAAGCGAGTGAGTCGGGCGTGTGTCGCGGATGGGAGACAAGAAATATCTCGCGATCAACAACGATGGCTGGAATGCGTTGGAAGAAGGTGAAGGGTGGTTGGGTATGGGGAAGGAGGGCCGTCTGATGTAGATCAGGGAGGAGAATAAGAAAAAGATGGAGGCCGGCAACAATAATAACGACCATAATCATGCACCTCTCCTTCCTCGCCCCTGGCACCTGGCCCCTTGCCCCTGCCGTCGCCCGCTGCCGTCGCTTCTGCGTTGCTAATTGGAGAGCCCCTTGCCCCAAAATGGCTCTGTTTCCCAGCCTGCCAGCTTGAGTTCCCATCCTGCTCGTAATGCTCAGGTTTAGCTTCCCGCCAGTCGTGGGTACAGTGCGCGTCTAAGTCGCTGGTCCCTTGTCATGATCAGACAGGGCTGGTGGGGTACTTGCCAAGATATGTAAGGCTTGCCGCGAAGCCAAGTCACTCCTTCCCGCCGCCCCTGCTCGGTCATCCTTGCCAACCCACTTCTCGCACTCTCGGATCAGCAGGAAGTATGCAGTCTACAGAGGTACACAGTAGCTTTGGTCATTTCATCTCCGCTGGCCAACCATCCAGCTCCAGGACGCGTGCACAGCACACCACCCTACTGGCCACCACCGAGAGTCTCACCTTCGTATTGGGTACCAGATCTCCCTACTGACGAGATACTGAATGTTGCTGCTGAGGCTCGTCGAGTGACAGTTTCCACCGTTTGGACTTCGATGCTGATGCAGTGGAGCGTTCTACCGTTTCGATGTCTCCTGTCCCTGGTGCTCCTCTTTCTCCCGGTCGTCTGCAGGTGCTCGGATTCACGACGAATGTAAATAATGACGTCTGGTCTGATTCGTACCCCAGCAGCACAGGTTTGACCCTGGAGAAGCGAGGCAGGACGCCCCAGCCATTGGAAACCATCGTCCCACTATTACCTAGTAAACTCAAACAGACCATCAACCCAAGAATGCTGGACACGCAGAACACAGCCGCAGACCACATTGTCCTTCCTGTCTTACCACCACCCTTGATTGGGGAAGCACACGGCCAAGGACGGGGTGACGCCAGTGCTGGACCACAGCAGTCAGTTTATTGCATCGCGCTGCACTGCCTCAAAAGCATGTGAGATGGCTGCATGGTTCGGCGGTTTCAAAAGTCTGTTCGCGGCCGATCCGATCCAATCCAGTGTCCACCAAGAACTGAACGCAAGGAAAAGCCCAATTGATCCTCTGGCTCGCCTCTCTTCCAGATCAAGATCACGATCGGCCTTGTTCGGCACACAGTACCTCCCCCAGCTCGAATGAACCTGCGGCCAGGCCTCCTTCGTGATTGTGGGTAACCGTATCAGCAGTGTGCTGTTGTTGGCCCCCCAAAACCTGCTTGTCGGGTTTGTCCTACCAGCCGGGCCAGTCACACAGCCTCACACCGCAAATCAGGAGTCAGGACGGACAGGCCTGCACAGCCGTTTTCATTTCCACAAGTATCCGTTATGCTTAGCGTTAAGGAATTAGGCTTTGATGGCGATCCCCTTGCCTGGGGGCTGTCGGGCCTGTCAGGTACATATTGTCTGGGTCTGCAATCCAGCCCACAGTAGCGCGTGATACCCCTGAAATGCTCATTTAACCCGCACCCTACCACTCGCCCACGCCTCCGCCCGCCGTTCCTGTTAGCACCCAGAACTGACTGACATTTGGCGACGTCAAACGAAGCTTCACCAAGCAATTGCCCAGGCTCGCCCCAGGTCTTGGAATTGCTTGGCCCAACCCGCTCAAAAGATGCATGGCAGATCTCATACCCGCGGGCACAGTGTCAAACATTGCGGAGATGAATTGCGAGGCGTCGTACATGGTTTGGTGTAGGTAGAGAGCGGCTGGGGAAGAGGGCAGGGCGACTTGGCAGTGGGCTGGCCTGCCCACCTGGACAACGCATAAAGTTCAGCACATCACCGAGCATGTCAACTGGACCTTGAGACCGGACGAATCTGTCAGGTGACGTCGTTCTCCGCGAGCGCAACACGGTAACATGGAAGACGTGAGCACCCAGTGTCAGGTTGATCTTCCAAAGGGGCATGAAACATGTGCACAAGGCGCAAGTGTTGAAATACCGATAATATCCTGATATTCGGCATTGGAGGCTCGAGCGTGACAAGAGATGACGTCCGAAAAGGGGACCCTCCGTCTTGTGAGGCTGAGAAACATCGCGAGCGGCACATCTTGATGGCTACCTGCCTGCCGTCCGGAACACGTGAAGAACCACGGCTGCACCATGCCTTTCCTTCAATCGGACTGCACAGAACCCCTTGAACAACTTGATCACAGCAATTTAGCTACATCTAGCGTTCCCCATGCACAGACACGGCCCGTCGCAGCTCTTCTGACCCAGGGTCGGTTTAGCACTTCACCCCATCGATGGGCCTGCTCACTTACACAGCATCTCTTATGCCTCCCATCGCATCAAGCCCCATCTTGCAACCACTTCCTCAACTCCAGATAGCGATCCTGAAAGCCGTAGGAACTGTAGACAGTCCGTTTTTGTCCTCCCGTGTGAGACGTTTGCTTCAACCCTACCGGTTCCCACGCGGGTGATTCTGGAGTCATCACATGGGTACGGCATCGACGATGCTCGTCCTTCCACCATCCCAGCTTGCACGCGAAACAATCCCACTCACCTGGCCGCTCGCACCACCGATCTTTCTGCCTTAAGCCGTTGTCTCCCGTTCGGCAATCTGCTGCCACAGAGGCCCGGCCCATCGCGGCTGCATGCTCCAAGCCGTTCCCTCCGTGGGCTTCCACAGTCGGCTTACAGATAGGTCTCATCCCGCGTGGGAGGAGCCCCTGCTCCCGAGCGCGAAACTGACAAACACAGCGAGATACCATGTTGCACGTCAGCCGTCGTGCGCGGTATAGAGATGTCGGCACATTGCTTCAGCCGCCTGCTCGAGCGAAGGGGCATGTGGCGATGCTGGGGACGGGCGCTCAGGGACGTGTGCCGTCGACATAGAGACAGGGAATTTGTTAGCCTGGCCCTGAGGGCTTAATATGAGAGAACACGAAATAGTCAGTCCTTTGGCTACGGCGCATAGTGATACCATTATGGCATGGCCAGGTGACGAAACCGTCCGAGAGGTTCCATCTGCAGTCAACGCAGCAGGACATCGTGGGAAGAGCAGAGTTGATAGACCTTTTGAGGCTTCTATAGGTTGAACTTCTTAGACTTCTGTCTCCGACGTCCTGCCTCGTAGACAATCCCTTCATCCTCGAAGCGTAGATAAGTCTCGGCTGACAATCTGCATTTGCAACGGCAGCAGGCTCGTCACCGCTCTATCTTTAATCTACATCATCAATTTGAGACCAGCATGGCCATGCCAGGCCATGCCACCAGTAGAACCACAGCCCATGGTTTGAACGTGCCTCTCCGATTTGCCTATTTACAATCTCGCAACCATACCAAAGACCGTCGCGATGCGTGCACGAGCGGATGAGTACAGTAACGTTGCTGTCCTCTCTCAAAATGAAACAACACTTGACTTTCACCAGTGTCTCGCCTCGCCTTACCTTGCCTCGCCTTGGCTGCGCCCGCTTCAAACAGCTTGCACGTAGCTAGCAGGCACGCTCTTGGTAAGCCCGCCCTTCTCGACCTCGGCCCAGCCGTCGCCGGGGTCCTCCTTGATGAGGACGAACCTCTCCCCCTCCACCATGGTGTGTTCGGTGTCGGACTGCGCCGTGTAGTCGTAGAGCGCCTCGACGTACCGCAGCTTCTTGGCCCCGCGCCGGGGCGCCACCGCTGGGCCCTTTTTCTTGATCGTCGGGGCGCCGCCTATCGAGGAGCCCGAGTTGCTGTACGTCGAGGGCGGCCGCGCCGACGCCCCCGTGTGCTGAGGCGCGATCGCCGACGCCGGTAGCACCTCGATGTAGGAGGCCGGCACGATGCCTTCCTTATAGCCCGCGCGGACCTTGGTCCATCCGGATCCAGCTGAGGGGGTTGTCAGTACTCGCGATTGTACTTGCTTTTATACGGGACGGATGATGGACAAGGCAACTCACTATCGGGCTCTAGCACGACGACCTCCCTGCCCTCAGGTACAGAGATCTCTCCTTCGCCATTTGCTTCGAACGTGAACAGCATCTTCGCTTTCACCTCCTGGTGGCTAGCTCCCGACCCGTTTGGCGCACTTCCTGGCAGCTCGCTGATGTATGCCGCCGGCGGGGGCGCGATGACCCTGTTCTTCCTGACCGAGCCAGATGCGATCGTAGACGTAGGCCTCGTGCTCGTGGGGACCTCTGGCGGCGTCTCCTCTTCCGTTGGGCTCATTGCGGTCGTGATCGACCGGTGCGCGCTGGCGGCGTATCCTGAAGACATGCTGTTCATAGTGTTCGTCCTCGACAGAGCGGGCAGCTCCGCGACCTTGTCGCCGGAAGCAGGGCTGGGACTGAGAAGCGAGTTGGCGGCTTCCTGCCGTTGCTGCTTCAGTTTCTTGCGTTCCTCCTTGGACGACTCGCCAGGGCACTCGGCGGGAACCTTCATCTCGCACTTGCTGTGGCACGTGTACCCGCAATCGCGGCAGTCGAAGCCCTTTGCCGAGAGGCCCCATATTCTCTCGCCGCAGAGGTCGCAGTTTGTTGGGATCTTGAATGTCTGGGATTTGAAATTGTGATTCTTGGCGCCGAGCGTGACGTCTCCTACGACGGCAGTGATGGTGGATGTCTCGACCTCGGCGGTGACCTTTTTCCTGTCCACGGCATGAAGCTGCTCCTGGAGCGCGAACATGGCTGCGACGACAGTCACCTCATCGCTCTTGTCTTGCCCGTCGCGCACCCTCTGCTTTGCCCTTTGCGCCCCTTCCACCTCCCTCCTCTTCTTATCTACTTCTCGCTTTAGCTCTCCCAGCGAGCCCTTGGACTTGTTGAGGACATTTCGCAGATAGATCTTAGCCGTCTCGTCCACGACCATCGTCGGCTCGTCATGCCACACGGGGCTCGGCTCGAAGACCCTGTCTGGTGGCTCGTTGAATGCGCCCATGTTGTGTCGGATGTACATCATCGAGTCGAGATGTGGCTGGTTCCGCGAGATCTCCTCGGTCTGGTGCTGAATCAACCCTTGGCTCTGTTGCAGCATACCCATTTCCAGTTGCGACGCAAATGTCCAGAGCCCGTTCAATTTCAGTACCCGGAACTCGTTGAGATCTTGCAGGCTGTCCAGGAGCTCGGGCAGGTACTCGTGGTAGTACATCTCCTTCTGCTTATTGGTGACGTTGATCGATATCAGGTAGGTGTTCTTGATGTTGTTCATCTCGATGATTTGTTGCTGGTATGCGCTCTGTGCTTTTGCCTTGTCAAACGACGACTCGGACTTCTTGCGCTTGCTCTCGACCTCTTGACACACGGCGTCATATTTGCCTTTCGTCTTGCGCAGCTCGGCGTAGGAAGAGTCTCGTTCCTTCTCCAGCTTGTCGGCGTACTCGGCGTGTTTCTTCCGGACCTCCTCGAACCGCGTGCCGAGGACCTTCATGGGCTCGGCAACTTTGGTGATGAGGTCGTTCGCATAATTGTCGTGTTCCTTGGCTCGGCCCTCGAGGGTTGTCAATTGTGTGGTCCATGTCGTGACGGAAGCGCTGTGTCCAGCGTTGTCAGCTCGTGCTCGCGTGCTCATGATCTCCCAAGGCTGTCACACCCGGGCCACCGCTCACCTCTCTATGGAACCAGGTGTCATGGTCGGCGTGTCACCGACACCGAGCCCCGCGGACTTCTTTGCTTTCTTCTCGAAATACTTGTTCGCGAGGGCTGTCAGTTGTTTGGCGTAGTCCTTCTCGATCGCGGCACGTTCGCGGTAGAAGCCTTGGATATCGTCGAGCCATGCTATGCCGTTGGCGACCCAGGCGTTGGCGGGTTTGAAGCCATCCTGTGCGCCCATGTGGGATCAGCAGATGCCAACTAGCATTTCATCCCCTTGCCGTTCCCCCCCCCCCTTCTTCTCTCCGTCCTGCAGTTCCATACCTTCAATTCCGCGCCGAAGGTCGGTGCAACGTCCACCTCGGCCATTATCCCTGTCAAGTTGTCCGCAAGGAGCAGCTGTCATGCGAGGCAGGTCCGAAGCCCTTCTGTAGTCTATAACTTGAATATGTTGTAGTAAATGTCTCGAGAAACTGGCGAGCGTCGAAGCTTCAGAGGGGCGGGCTTTAATCGCGAGAGTGAAGTGCTGGGCGCAGGAGTTCGAACGACAATTCAAGGGCCCCTCCAATTGCCAAGCATGGATAAAATGCGGCCGAAGGATGGGGGCGCTGGGCCAAGGATGACACCCTGTTGGGTTGGTTCTTGGATGACGGTGTTTGTCTCTGGGGTCGAGGAACAGTCGGGGCCTGCAGGGAAAAGTGAAGCAACACAGTTGAGGAGTATATGTACAGGAGAGTATAGTTGAATGCAGTGCAGTGCAATACAATACAGGAAGACGTTGCCAGAAGATTCGTGCGACCTTAGGAGACGTGCCGGACCCGTCCGTCCAAGGCCGGCCAAGAGGTTAAACGGCCATCACAACCCTTTGGGCTTCGTCATCTGCCATGCGACGGCCGACCCGCGCTGTTTGGGCATTGGGCACCTACCCGAGAAGCCGTGCTAATCAACGCGTGCTCCACATGGGAATAAGGATCAACCCCTGACGATGCCCTGAGCTGGCCGCAAGGCGCTGTAAAGCATCAATGCGTCCGCCTTGCTGTGTTGCCGCACTACTGCCAACATGATTTGGACCAGAATGCCTAGACTACAATACCTGTCACGGCCTCACTGAGGGGCAATGTGTGTGACACGGGGTTGACAGCCTTTTCTGCGAATCGAGACCTGCTGGGCACCTAACGGTATGTTCTGTACCTACCTAGGTACCGAGGTAGGTCAAATACTGCAAAACGTCTAATATTGCACTATATATTTCTTCAGCTGTTGACGGGAAGACTTCTTCGCAGCACACCATTGACCTTCTAGAAGATCCTCAGGCGAGTGCCCAGCAGTGTGCGAATGGAAGGAGCTGGTGGGAGGCGGCTTACCTGCCTACCAAGTAGATACCGGGATACCCGGATAGACGTGTAAAACACTGAAATGAAGAAGTACCTGCGTATCGCCTCTGCTCCTGCCCACCCGAGACCGTCAGCTGCGGCTGCCCCACCACCCCGCCATCCATTGCTCAATTGGCCTGACTGCCTGGCAGCTGCTGCACTGGAGAGCTTTATCTTTAGCGTCTGTCCAAAAAGTTGACCTGAAAGGCACCTTGAGGTCCAGACTAGACTCGAGCCCCACCAGTTATAACAACACTGGTCCTGATATTGACCGACCTTCGTCAAAGCCATTCATACTTCACAAGTCGCACACTGGAAACCGTCCTTTCAGACAAGACACGGCAGAAGTCGCAAACGGACGCCCTTTCCTCTCCCAACCCCGTCTCTTGTTGCAGCACGAAGCACCTGCTCTTGGTGCTTGCTGTTCTCACCCCTCACGAACCTCATCCCGCCCTCACCTTCGCTCGTCGCATCGCATCTCATCGCGACGCGATCGTCGACTCACTCACCATGGCGACTTCTTGGGCAGACGACGTGGAACAAAGCAACCTCAACGAACCTAGTTACGATGTTGAGGTCACCGTGTCCAACCTGGACGTCGACACCGACAACCCTCTCTCGTCTGCAAAGACCTTTGAGGACCTGAACCTGTCCGTAACCTGTGCCCGCGCGACAGTGACACTAGGCTAACATTCCCCACAGCTCCGAGGGCATCTACAAAGGTCTTCTTGCCATGAACTTCAAGAAGCCCTCCAAGGTCCAGGAGAAGGCTCTTCCTCTGCTTCTCTCAAACCCTCCCCGCAACATGATTGCCCAGTCTCAGTCTGGTACTGGAAAGACCGCCGCGTTCGTTATTGCCGTTCTGTCGCGGATCGACTACAGCAAACCACACCAGCCCCAGGCACTCCTTCTGGCCCCCACCCGAGAGCTGGCCCGTCAGATCCAGAACGTTGTCAAGTCCGTGGGCCAGTTCATTCCCGATCTTATTGTCGAGGCCGCCGTTCCCGGCGCTGTCGACCGAGCGACCGGTGTTAGAGGCTCCGTTGTCGTCGGCACGCCTGGCACGGTCATGGATACCATCCGCCGCCGCCAGTTTGATCCGCGAGAGCTGAGGATCTTCGTTATTGACGAGGCCGACAACATGCTGGATCAGCAGGGCATGGGCGAGCAGTGCATGAAGGTCAAGAAGTACGTCTTGGTGGCCCCCTTTCACCATGTCAACGCGTGCAACACTAACAGTCCTCAAACAGCATGCTTCCTAAAAACATCCAGGTGCTGCTCTTCTCGGCCACCTTTCCAGACCGAGTCATTCAGTATGCTGAGCGCTTCGCGCCCAACGCGAACTCCATGCGACTCAAGCAGCAGCAACTTACTGTCAAGGGCATATCGCAGATGTACATGGACTGCCCATCCGAGGGTGACAAATACGATGTTCTCGTGAAACTTTACGGCCTCATGACAATCGGTTCCTCGGTCATTTTCGTCAAGGTAAGCACCCGATGTCCCCATGGCGGGCTACAAGGCCGTGTCCGCTGACCTTTTACAGACCCGAGAGTCGGCCAGTGTCATCGAGCAAAGGATGATTGCCGACGGCCACAAGGTGTCGGCCCTGCATGGCGCCTTTGATCCTGCAGATCGTGACCGCCTCCTCGAGGAGTTCCGCTTGGGCCGCACCAAAGTCCTGATTACTACCAACGTCCTTGCCCGTGGCATTGATGTTTCGAGCGTTTCTATGGTCATCAACTACGATATTCCCATGAAGGGCCACGGCGACTCTGAGCCCGACGCAGAGACTTACCTGCACCGTATCGGCCGCACAGGTCGTTTCGGTCGTGTGGGCGTCAGTATCAGCTTCGTGTCGGACCGCAAGAGCTTCAACGCCCTGGCCGAAATTTCCAAGCACTACCACATCGACCTGGTCCAGCTGAGCCCGGATGACTGGGACGACACAGAATCGAAGATCCACGAGGTGATCAAGTCGAGTCGAGCCCAGGATACTTACAAGCCCGAGGACCTCCCGAAGGCGGTGGAGGACCTCAAGGTTGCGGATCAAGCTCCCGCCGCGCCTGCTTCGGAGCCTACGCCTTCTCCGGCCCCGGCCCCGGCCCCGGCCCCGGCCCCGGCAACCCAGGGTTAGAACCCCCGGGTGCAGAATGGCTGGAATGCGCCGGGCGCAACCCAGGGCTTCAGTTCTCATGTACCCAATGGCTGGCAAACGCCGAGCTGGGGCCCAGGAAACCAGTGGTAGATCCGTGCTCTACTGATCAGAGGGAGGAGGTCAAGTAGCACGGAAGCCGACACAGGAGGTATTCAGACGTCAGTGGCTCGCCAGAACAGCGAAGCGGAAGAATCACCGCGGTCTATTGTCCCAGGGAAAGATAGGGCAGCAGGAGGGCGTGGACGGGTTTTGTTCTTGCAGCTTGAAGACAAGCGTGAGTCGCAGAGGACACTGCCTGAATTGCTGCTGCTGGTAACGCTACAGATGAAGCAGAAAAGTTGATTGATTGAGTACACAGGGAAAAGTCTAGAAGCTGTAATTAAGATTCCCCCAAGAGCAATGCGACAGACGATCTGCCCAAGGCCCAGCCAGATTGTCACTTTCTCACAAGATAGAATTTGTTGTGTGACATGTTCGCCGAAGCGCCGGGCCTGCATGGAGGATAAAACAAAGGCTAATCTGGCCGGTTCACTGGCGAGAAGCTTGTGGCGGCGCTTGGCACGAGTTTGTGTCCCCAAGATGCGCAGGAGTTCCCAAATCTCGGATCGGCGAGCATCATTCGGGAGGCGACTGTGTCAACGACGTCAGAGGTCAAGCAAGCGATTGCTTGGTCGAACCATTGAAAATACGGTATAGGACAAGTCTGCTTCCCTGCCCCCCTGCCCGCAGATATCGAAACGAGGGAGAAGCCCCTATCACGGTTTCGACGTGAGGACATCCGCCCAAGCTCTGGCCAACCTCGAGCCTGGGGTGGAAGTGCCTTCTCCACGCCTGTCCGCTGGTGGGCCGGAGTTGGGCTGCTAACGGACCCGACTGGCCTGCTGCGTGCTCGCTTAGGCCTCGTGCTGGCCATTTGATTGGGTCCCGGGGGCCTTGCAGGTGGTTGCTCAACCCGGACATGCAGAGCACCTGGTACCCTTGTTCCCCAAGGGTTTGTTGGCGCCCGCGACCCCAGGACCCAGATTTAGGCGCCCCGTAAGCGCGCACAGGATGACCTCGAACCGACCGGCTCCCGGCCCACAGCCACTCATCAGCCTGTTCAGCCAGCCAGCCCCGGATGCAGTCTCTCTTGCCGCAGCAGATGCACGTCCACAGTAGCAGCAGCAACGTACATGCATGATGACTGACTGACTGACTGACTGACTGCTTACTACGGCGGCATTTGTGCGGCGCAACCTCTTCCAAGATTGGGTTGCCATTGCCTGTCCTGGCCGACAGCATGCTCACCGGGTCCCCATCCATCCGCCCGGCCCACTCCTCCCCCATTCCTTCCCGCTCTTGCTCTGCTCTTCTCCGCTCTACACTGCAACCTAAGAATACAGTCAGTACTGTTCTGCTGGAATGAGCGCAGATTGACATCTGCACCTGCAGCAGTGTACCCACCCACCCACACCTACTCACACACACGCACACACACACAAGCTCGGCGGTGGGATGCGGTACTTAGCGCGCATGGGATTTCCACTCCCGCCCAGAAATAGCATCGCGGCCAACCATGAGGCTCAGACACGCCGGGTCTGACCTACCTCCTACATACAGGCACACAGAGAGAGCGACATTTGTCTCCGTACCCCTCGTGCTTCCCTGGTTCTGGACCTCCTTCTGGATGGATCCATCCCGCCTCATGACGTTCCTCAGCAAGGGCCCGCCACCGCCGCCTCCGCCGCCATCACTGCTACTGCTACTGCTTCTGCTACTGCTACTGATCCTGCTGTGCTCTTCTGCCGCACATGTCAAGACCCGTGGGAGGGGCGGCACGGCAGCGCAGCGGATTGGGCAGAACGGGGGGTGGGAGCATGGGTCGGTCCTGTATGCCGTGACACGCTCTCTTCCGCGTGTGAGAGTGTGGCCTTGCTCTGCTCTATTGCTGCCCGTCTTTATATCGAGAGCGGCTCAGAGTCTGCACGTCGATGTCGTCTGCTTAAGCGAGTGGGACGTCATTTACCCTGCCCTGCCCTGCCCTGCCGTTGCTGCAAGCAAGCAACCCTTGCGGCCTGCAGCTTTGCTTTCTCTCTCTCTTTAGTCTCCCTATCCCTCTCCCATTATTATACGGTCATCGAATAGGACGCCGGACGGTCTCGTGGCCCAGCCCGGTCGCCCTTCTGATCATATTCCGGGAGTCTATGTTGGTCCTGCTCAGCCTCCGCGGGCCTGTTTTCTGTCCCTTTACTTTGTGTGTGTGCTATTACTTCATATCTTCCGCCTTGCAGGCCTCCCCGATGGGTCCCCTTGAGACACTCGTCTAACTCTCTATTCCCATCTTCTTCTTTCTTTCCTATCTTGGGCTCCCTGTCGTCTGTTTCGTTTCCTTCCGGATGCCATAGGGCTGTTGCGAATTGTTTGATAGAAGGATTCCTTTCCTCGTCCTTGTCTCAACGTCTCCCCCCGTGTCGTACCCAACGGCCATCTGCAATATCTTTCTCCTTTGTCCTAGCCGCCGACTACTATCTGATTCATCAAATTTCCTTGTGTTGGCGTCTTCGAAAAAAAGCTTCTAGACAATGCTGAGATGCCGGCCATCTCCTTAATACCGGTCTCCTTCTCAATAGGTTAGTCAGGCAGCCACCGTCCCCTTTGTCTCGCGTTGCCAAATCTCCCATCGCGCCACCATCTCGCGTGGTGGGCGGGTACTGGAGATCACGGCCCCTACCCCTTTTGGACATCGAGCGGTTACCAAATTTGCCTCTGTTTCCCGGCTTGACCACTGCCTGATCGCCTGGGCGGTGGCGAGGTCGAGGTGAAGGAGGAACTTGTCTCTCAGCTGTGCCTTGTTTACTTTTCCTGGCCTCCTCGACTAACATGCGGACTCTGTCACCGACGAGCAGATAGATGTTGTTCCCTAGGATGGCAGCCAGAAGGACGAGGCTGCTGCTATGGGCCACTACGATACCACTCCTCGCGGTCAGAGCAACCGAGACAACAGCAGCGTCTTCCACAGATGGGTTCGAACTTGGATCCGACCTCACTGCCTTCATACCATCCTGCGCCGTGTCATGCTTCGAGTCCTTCCTCGAGGTCAACTTCAACAGAGACCTCTGCGGCTCGTCACCCTCATTACAATGTCTTTGTTCACACACCGGCTCGACGGGATACACGATAGGGGAGGGGGCGGTCCAATGCATAGTAGCTGAGAACTCTATTAGAGCCTGTGAGGGCATGAGTGCCGGATGTAAGTCTGGGGATATCCGGTGGTGACCCGGAGTCATATACATGATGAGGCTGACACCCTGTGTAGCTGACACAGTGGCGAACGCATACGCGATGTGTAATAATCAACCCAATGCAGCACCGGCGACACACGCCACAATAATAGCAACACTGATCGTGCCCCCTACTGGGCCGGTCGTGGTGCCAAATCCGTCGACGACGGCAACTGCGAGCTCAAACAAGAGCTCGACGACGAGCTATATGACGCCCTCCGTCACCATGGACCCCACACTGCCAACGAGCTTTCTTCCTAGCTCTAGCTCAACCTTCACCACAAGGACGAGCTCGTCCTCGTCTTCATCCTCATCCGCGCCAGCGAGTGCTACAGCTGCACCCGAGACGAGCGCCACCACCGCTGCTGCGGCCCCAACAAAGTTGTCAACGGCACAAATTGGGGGCATAGCAGGTGGAAGCGTTGCAGCAGTCATTCTTGCGGCAGTTGTGGCATTTTTGTGTTTCATGCGCAGACGTCGTGGAAAAGCAGTCACTGGCTTCTACCGGGTGAGAGACTCATGGAGCCCACGGCGAAAGGACAGCCCGGAGATCTCGGCGCCGCAGTATCGTGAGCCGAAGTCGATGTCTTTCACGAGGGCGCTGGCACAACGGGCTAACCGAGCCAGCGCTCGACCTGATACCATTGGCCTTGCGATTTCTCCCGAGGGCACAGGAATGCAGGGAGCGGTAAGGCAGCCTGGCGGAAGCATGGTTGCTGCGAATGTGCCACCTGCTGCGGCTCGCTTGGCCCAAAGGCGGTCACCTTCACCACCTCCTATCCCGGCTCTGTCACCTCTTCGAACGCAGGGCAACTTTAATTTCTTTTCCCCGCAGGGCCAGTCTGCATACCAACAGCAGCAGCAACAGACAAGCGCAGCCAAACCAGCTCTGACTGTCGCCATCCCGGCAGCAAAGCCCCAGCAGGCCAACCGCTCCAGTGTAATGTCCAATAACCGCATGCCGTTCAGCGGTGGCCGTGATAGCGTCGTCACCGAGTTTGCGGAAGACGGAGAGACCAGCGCTGGACTCGGCTCGGCGCAGATATGGCGCCCTCCAAACACCGACCCGCAGTCCGCGTCAACGTATTATGTCGCGGACAAATGGGGCAACTGGGTCCTTGGAGGGGGTTCAGGCCCCGATGAGCACGTCGTCGAGATGCCAACACCCATCTCCAAAACTGTCGCGGAGAGGGACGCCGAGCAAGACAGGGCCGTGCAGGAGAGCAACGCGGTCAAGGCGGCAGTCAAGGACCTGGCATCCCCAACGGTGGGCGCACCTGCGGCGATGCGAACCTCGAAACCAGCCGGTGCGCCAGGCAGGCCGACGATCAGGCATGTCGCCCCTGAGAGCGGACGACTGCCGATTAATACGAGAAGCTCGAGTGTGTACTCCAACTTCAGCATGAACTTCAGCCTACCGCAGACCGTGCAGCCGGGGCCGAACAATCCCCTGCCAAACTCTGCTGGATCACGCAAGGAGCCGTCACCAACACCGGAGTCCTACTACGCGGGAGGTGGCGCCGGAGGTAAGCAGCAGGGGAGGGATCTTACTTCGAGACCAAGGAGAAGATCTAGCAGCGCCGGCGGTGCGACGAGAGACCGGACAAATACGATGATGTCTCAGGACTCAGCGACGACAATCGCATCGTCGGTGGGCAGCGAGGTCGGGGTGGACTCCTTCCCGGCACCATCTCGCCAGTCGGCAGCGCCGGAGCAGCAGGGTAGCCTGTCGCCCGTGGTCGAGTCGCCTGGGCGGTCACCGGTATCCTACCCCAAGATCCCGAGACCGCGCAGCAACGCACCGTTGAACAAGCCCGCAGACGCCAGGCCCGTGGCAAAGCCCATACAACACCCTGGCCTCCGGGTCGTCAACTCAACTCCAAGCGACAGCCCGACCCTCGGCGTCGTCGACTCTCAGAAACCAGTGCAGGTCGGTGGCCCCCAGGCGCAGGCGGCGGCCCCCGCCCAGGCACGCGTCTCGTACTACAACCCGCCCAGGAGGAACCCGAATCCGAACAGGAACCCGGGCCAGGTCCGCTCCGGGTCGCCCGAGACGCCTTCAGACCACGCTCCGCAGCAGCAGCAGCAGCAGATGCCGCGGCCCCTGGCGGTCCCGAGCAACAAGCGCGACACTACGAAGTCGCCGCCCCTGCAGTCGTTCCAGCAGCACATCAACAACCGCTCGCAGCTCCCCTCGCAGTCTCACTCCCGTTACGGGCCCATGTCCGTGTACGACGCGTACTCGCGGCCTGAGTCGAACCTGCCAGTGCAACAGCAGCAGCAGCAGCAGCAACAGCAACAAGCGCTGCCTCGCCAGCAGCAGCTATCGAAGCAGCAGCAGCAGCAGCAGTATTACTACCAGCAACAACAACCACAACAATACCAATATCAAAACGAGCCCGGCGGGCCCTACTCCTTCTCCCCATCCCCATCCCCAGCATCCGCGTCCGAGTCCCCCTCGGTCTCGAACACAACGGTCAAAACGGACAGCCAGTCCAGCCTCCTGGCGGCGAAGCGGCTCGGGGCCGAGCGCGCGGCGGCGCTGCAGATTGGCGGCGACTCGGCCGAGGCCCGACAGGCGCGGTGGAAGAGGCGGTCGTCGAGCGTCGGCAAGGCCGGCGCGGACCCAACCGCAGCGCCCAAGGGCGTCGTCTACCGCCAGGCCGGCAAGGCCTCCACCACCAGGGAGAGCGACGTTCCGCTGCCCGCCACGCCCGGGTGGAAGCCGCAGCTCACGCCTAAGAGGCGGGGAGATGATCTGTTCCTCAGCGTGCAGTGATTGTGTGCTAGTGTCTTGTAAGAGATTGTAATATAATTTTCCCATTTTTTTAACTTGTCTTTTGTTGTCTTTTCTTTGCTATCGAGATCTGTCCTACGGCGTCGAGGGTAAATCCTGGGATATGATAGTTGGGAGTTCTGGGAGTTCTTACAGGGCAAAAAAAGAAGGGAGAACCTGACTGGGTGGTCTCATCTGGCCTACTACACTTGGTGGCCTGGCTGGCGTTTGGTCGGTGTGGTCCAACGTTCTTTTTTCTTGTTTTTCCTTGTTAGTTGACACACCTGAGATACCACACAAATTGCATTTTGATCTGCTCTGCGTCGACCAGGATCTATCTCATCGTGCCCTTCGCAAAGGTACACTTGCACCTTGTTTCTTGTGTGACTCGCATTCCTCGACTTCCCGTTTATTACCTACTTAGTACTTCCAGCTGGTATCTAGCAGCCCGAGGAAACGTGATCAAACAGCCAGCTTGGAAGAACATCCTTGGTAATGCTCAAAGAGAAGGAAGGAGCCAACAAGCTCAAAGGAAAAGGAGACATCCGGAGGCATGCGATAGTCTCTGATCATGCCCTTTGAGAAAGCTGCGTTACTTCTGGTCTATGCTCAGGAGATCTCCAGTGGGAGCATACACGCGACATGCGTCGGAGTGCGGTCTTGCCGCAGACCGATCAGAAACCCTCGTCATGGGAGGGAGTAATCAGAACGATGGGGAGCACTCAAGAGTTTTATTTACATCAGACACCCTGAGGAGGGCCGAGATGGTAAGGATATATCAATGCCAATTTTTATTAACTTCAGAAACCTAGGTACGCCCAAAACTCCGACGTGTTGACGCATGCTTTGGGGAAGAAAGCGTTCAAGTACAGAATCAGTCGTCTGAAAAGCAAACCATCCATGCCATTCCCTTGCCGCGGGGTGATGTCGGGTGCCTGTCGCATTGCCATCAACCAAAAAGAATATGAACGAAAACGTGGTATTGGCCGAGGCGCCGGTGAAGCCAAGTAGCCATGTGATTGCGTGGGAAAATAGGGACGAAGCCGTGTAAGGAAGCTTGTGCAAAATGGCATGATTACGGCGCGGATCTTACAGAGCTCGGGCCAGCTATGGAGTGAGACGGCGCCCCAAGAAATTCTCTGACGCTCACTTGTCTGCTGACAGCAGTCGAGGAGGAAGCAGTAGGGCTGACCGCCCGCTGCTTTCCTTCGGATGTTGATGGCGTGGTACCAGTGGCAGAAGAAGCCGCAAGGAGAGGCCGGCAGATATCAGGTGGTAGCTTGAGCCCGATCCCGCGGGCCTCCTAAGCCTCACCTGATCTACCGAGGTCGCGCCCGCTGGCCATGGCCGCCGATGAGCCTGCCGGATGTTTTGAGGATGGAACGTTGTTCCAGGAGAGGTAGGTGTGGTCGCCAAGTTTCCTGTAAGTGTCCGGTTAGCACAATATCCAACGCCACGTCCTGGGGCGAAATGTCGCATGCGCGCGAGAACTGACCTTGGCTTCAACAAGTGCGTCACTGTGAAGATGGCGCCGAGAAGGATGCAGATTCCACCCACAACCAAGTATGCAATGCCCAAGAATGGATTCCTGCCACCCATGACAGTCCTGGTGCTGAGGACGATCGACTTGGTGCCCTTGTAAATGTCCGCGGGGAACCCTGGGATTTCCAATCAGTACCCATACATTAAATGCTGCATCGGAGAAGGGGGCCCACTCACAATGGAGGATGTCCACCTGGTACATTCCCTTGGTCATCGCTTGCGTGTCGTTCCTCATGTACAGCTTGCTAAAAGTCGGCAGGCCGGCGGTCCGCATCCAGACCATGAAGTGCTCATCTGTCCCGAGGTTCGGCGGGGGGTTGCTTTCGGTATAGCCATTGGGATACCGCATCCGCCAGTTGAGTGGAACAGCGACGGAGTCCAGCTTAGTCGCGGAAGAGATGTTCTTGAACAGGTCCTTGTCGGAGTCCCACGCAATGCCCGTCTCGCTCATGTTATAAGGCGAGCCCTCGTCACCCACAGAATAAGGGCTGTAGAAGGTGTCGTTGAAGATGGAATTGGCAATCAGCCCACAGGGATAGAAGGGCTTGCCAGTGCCTTCCTCCGTCTTAAGAGGCTCACATGTGGAGCCGCTAACCTGCGAGGGTGTGACCTCCTTACCGGCGAGCTGCTTGTCGAAGAAGGAGTTAACATAGCGACGGTGGTTTTGGTAGAAGTTTGTGAGCTGGTAGTAGAAGAGGACGGGCGGGCCCATGTCCTCAGGTATCGTGAACTGTATCATGCATTTCTGCGTCTGGTTGGTCACGCCGTCGAATGTGACATTGACAGTCTCCCGCTTCCATTGTGCCTGTACGTCGGTGTTGTTCTTGAACTGGGTGAACACGTTGTCGGAGGGCACGGCGTTGAAGGTGTCGTTGCTGGCGTCCTTGTAGCATGTCGTGTAGTCGATGGAGATCTCTTGGACCTGCGAGCTCGCGTACAGGAGCAGGCCACCGATGGGCGCGAAGATGATGCCGATGGAGAAGAAGAGGGGGAGGACGGTCTTTGGTGTGAGGATTGGTCTGGACCGTGGTCAGCGCTGTGCGTGTGCGCCATGGGAGGTCCGCTCAGGCTCGACGACTTACTGCCATGCCTTCAACCGCTGCTGTCGAAACGCAGTGTCTATTGGTTGATACAGCCATCAGCTACATGTCCCGGAAGTTACGCATATCATCTCAATTTCCCCTCGTGCTCCAGCAAAATGTCCAGAGTGTGTTCCATCATTCCTCGAGGGCGCGTGTGGGTTGATTGGTATCGCTATTGCCGTGGCTATTGAAGCGGGCGCAGGCGCGGGTGCGCCGGGTGGGACTCACTGGCTGGCCTGCGGCTCTTTTTCTTATCGTTGGACTTGCTCCCGGAATCCTGGGAAGCGATCGAGTCGGTATGGCCGACTCTAGTCGGTGAATCGGCCATGGTGATGGTAGGCAGTGTCGACGATGTCGGTGTGGGATGCTGCTAGGGGAAAGAGAGTCGGTCAGGTCGGTCGGGTCGAATGCGATGACAGACGGAGACGGGACGTGCATCCACTCTTTGACGAGACGGCGCTGGAGAGGGTCCGAATTCCCAGGGTGTCTGGGTGTTCTTGGGCAGAGGCAGACGCCGAGACGAGCCTTCGCGTCTGCTGGATTGCCGCTGGAGCGCTGCAGGATCCAACCACTCTAGCGTAAGATTGTGGCTTGGCCCTCTGTCCCAGCTCCCAGCCCAGTCCAGTCGCAGCCGCTGCACAGAGAGAGAAAGAGGCGCAGCAGGCTTGGAAGAGACATGCGGGTTTCCGAATGCTCAGGGGCCGCTTACATAACCTTCCCGGTCGCACCTGAAGCGGGCAGTACGGACATGCTGCAGTACGCGCCTCGCTGCGTGCGGCTGAGTGTGTGCATGGGCATCCATCCTCGACACACCTGGACATTGGACTTTGCACCTGCAAGGCTGAGTCAAAGCCAACTTTTGGCTTGCAGAAAGCAACCTGGAGACTGATTTGAAGTTTCTTACGAAGCCGGACGATGGGAGCTGGGTCCCCGGGTACACCATGAACTTGTAGAAGCAAAACCACCGCACAGGCATAGACACACCACACCAACAAATCAGTCTTTGTAAACTCAAAACATCCTCGATCGATATTCAGAGTTTTGGTGGTCGACTTGATCGTGTCCACCCCGGGCCCGGAAGGGGTGGCCGGCGGCAACTTAGTAACCAGTCAGCCTGCCAGCTGCAATGTCAACTCGCGAAGCTTTTGCCACCCAACCTTTGGCCTATCTTGTCTTGCCCGTCAGCCAATCTTAGCCGCGCCTTCGAGTCAGCATCAGCAGTCGTCGTCACTCTGCCGCCCAGATGCTACTACGAACGGGACAGCTCATGGGAGGGTGCACAAGGTTACGAAGTGTCTTTGTGTGTGTCTTTGTCAGGACCAGGACAGCACACAATGTTGAAACAGTGAACTCAGCAACAACCAGTCAGTCAGTCAGTCAGTCAGCCAGCCAGCCAGCCAGCCAGCCCGAGCCCCGATCCCGGGCCATCCGACCACCCGGACTATAGTCTCTCTTGGAGGAACGGACGCGAGTGGAATAGTTGACAAGCCTCCCTCGCTCGGCCAGATCCCATTGAGGAAGAAAATCTCGTCGAGGCGCGCCGAAGAAGCGGTCATTGCGACGACAGGCATAAGGAGGCGGCGAAGAATGAGTGGACCTCCAACGTCAGATGCTGCATCAGCCGGGTCTGCAGTGCATGGTAGGTACATAGTGTGCGTACCGAGGTACCGCGTGAGGTATCTCATAACAACGCCTGGACCTGCTTGTAAAATGCAGGAGGCGCAGAGGGCAGCGCTGAGGTCTGGTGATTGCGACAATAATAACCATGAGAATACGGGAGACATGGGGAAGAGCGGACGAACCGCGGTCGGGGATTAAATGGTGACATGACATGGAAATGATCGGGGTCGTGATAAGATGGGACGGGATGTTTGAGGCTGCAAGATTGCTGGGAGGATGCAGGTCCACGGGTTCGGGGGCGAGCTGCAACAGAAGCCTGAGAGAAGCTCGAGAAGCTCGAGAAGCATTCCGGGACCCTTCGCTGGGCGGGAGCTTGGGGCCCTCCCCAGCCCAGGGCTGCCAGGGCCAGCAGGGCGTGCAAGGGCAGGTCTGGCTGGGCTGCCGGGCATTGGCAGGCAGGGCACGCAGGCCGAGGGCAGCCCCAGTCCACCACCGTCGCACAGGGCCACCCTCTGATCTGTGCCCCCCGTCTTCTAGAAGGCTTCCAGGGTTCGATTCGATGACGGGAAGGGCGAAAGAGGGGCAGCGCTAGGCCAGACAGCTGCGGAAGGTGCGTATGGTGGCCCCTGCTCGCCGCGGATGGCAGGAGCCCAAGCCCGGCAGCCGGCTTTCATGTGCCCTTTCTGGCCACTGCCCTCCTGCCCTTGGGGGGACCCTTGGCCCATGCTCCGCCGGGCGAGGTCGTGCTCTAACTTTGTGCGCCCTCGCGGACAGTTCGTTTCTGATGCAGAGCTACCTCGGCGGTACGAGGCAGCACGGCCATGCCAGGTGACATCTTGCTCTGCTCTCCCCCCCCCCCACTTGATTGCCTTGCCCTGCCAAACTCGGGCAGAGCGAGCCAAAGCTCCCTCGCCAGTTCCACGCTCAATCTCCTGGCAGTCATTTGAATCTAATTGCGACTGCTCTGCCCTGCGTTCCAGTGAGCAAGCAGCAATTGTACCTACCTGCCTCCTACCAAGCCCGCTCTACTTTCTCTACTTTGGCACCCTGCCTCCTCGTGTGCCCTGCCCCGGCCTGGCCTTGCCTCTCTCTTCACCGACCTCGTCTCGAGACTTCTCTCTCACTCTCTCCCCGTCCGGACCACCCCTAGCCCGCCTCCATTCTCCAGTCTCCAGTTTCCAGTCTCCGGTCTCTCCTCCTCGCTGGGTCACCACGCAGTACCCATTCTTCCTGCCTTTGACCTCCAGCCGACCTGGACTGCTAGACTACATACTAGCTCAACCGGCTGCCGACGTCAAAGCTGAGCTGCTCAGATCGGCCCTATTCTCCAGCTCAACAACCTCCAGCCCTATCCCACCCCCTTCGCTCCACTATCCTTTCCGCCACGGTAGTCTGTCTTCTTCCGAATAGCTTCTGGTCCTTCAATTCCGTCTCGATCAGCGCATTCAGGCCTTGCCAATCATCCCACTGCAATCATCACGGTGTCTCCGATATTGCCTATAACATCCCGTTATTGCTATTGACGACGCCTGTCCTCGTTCTCGCCTGGCCTGCCTTACCGGTCCCGACCCCGACTCAGTCCCCGACCCAACGTCGCCTCCTCCCTTTTAAGCTCGACCTCTGCTTCCTCGCCCACAGTCTGTTGTGCTGCCGGCGCTCCTCTTTTCGCTATCGATACTTACTCCGAGTTTGTTGTTGTTCTTGTTCCGCCTTCGCTTGTATCAATTGCAACCGCTCTTCTTTCGGTAAGTCTTTGCGACAGCTCAGCTCAGCTGCTCCAGTCCTCGGCCGCCCGCAACACCACAGATCCCCCAGCCAGCACGGGTCTCCCTTGACGCCACTCCTGCACACTGACTTGCGCGCCCTGCCATCACGTTGCGCTTTGACACATGCGGCTTGCATGCGAGGAACCTACCTGTCGGTTCTCGCAGCTGCAATGCCTTCAGCTTCTTTGACTGCTCAGGGTGACGGGCTCTTTGAGCTGGCCTTGACCCCTCCCCTGCTCCAGCCCAACATGTCTCATCACCCACCCTTGCACTCTTCCCGCTGCCTCTCAGATTCATACTACAAGTTTTGCTCTATGGCACTCGTGTCTCAACGTGCAGCTTGTCGATGCTAACGTATCAAAGCAGCCTTGTCGCAAAGTAGACGCCACAGACCCCCACCCAAACATTTGAAAGGTACGAACACACGAAACCTTGCTTGTGCAGTCGGCCCTGTTCCAGCCTTAGATATCGCTCCCCATCCCCCGGTCCGTGGCTCGACAAGGACAAACAGCATCACTCTTCGCAGATCCAAGCACACTCTTCTGTCTCGAAAGAAGTCCCCTCCCTCTGATTTATTTGTGTTTCACAGCCTGTCTTACGTCCTTCGCAACATGAGTCTCCCAGTGGCTTACACGAACGAGATTCAGAATTTGAACAGCCAAGTGCTTCGATCCAAGCCCCGGGATATTCTGCAGTTCTGCTGTGATCATTTTGCCAGTCGACTGGCCTCGGAACGGAAGAAGAACCTGTCCGAAGAAATCCCCAACAAACGTCTCAAGATAGACAAAAGTCGACCTACCGCCATGTCGAGCAGCTTCACCAGTCCCTTTGGGGCCCACACAAACCCCTTCGGTTCTAACGAGGGCAGCATGATGCAGAGAGTTATGGAGGAGGAGGAGGAGAACGACACCGTTACCTCCCCCACGACTGGCACCTTCAACTTCAACTCGGGCTCCGTGTTCAGCGGCCCCTTCGGCGGCGATGGCAGCTCCGATCCACCCTCCTCTCTGCGAAGCCCGCCCAACCCCGAGAACTTCCCGGCTCAGTACAACTTTGGCCGCCGAACCTCTGTCTCTGCCGAGTCGCTCAAGCCTGTCGCGGATAACAATGACAACTGGCAGCCCCCGGTGTATCCCAAGTCCGACGAACAGCAGACGAGGCTTACAAACTCGATTGCCAAGAACTTCCTATTCAGTCACATGGATGATGAGCAAAAGGCCCAGGTCCTGGGAGCGATGCAAGAGAAGCCAATCCCGGCAAAAGATATCAAAGTACGTTTCTGAGATTGCCTTGCTGGTTTGCGCAGCCCACGGCAATGATTGATTGACCATTACATTAGGTGATTACCCAAGGCGACGCTGGTGACTATTTCTATGTCGTCGAAAAGGGAACATTCAATGTCTTTGTCAACTCGTCCGGGATTCAACAACCCGGCCCCGATGGTCTTGGGACCCAGGTCGGCAGCATCGGAGAAGGAGGTTCCTTTGGCGAGCTTGCCCTCATGTACAATGCGCCCCGTGCTGCTACTATAATCTCAGCTGAGCCACACAGCATGCTTTGGGCCTTGGACCGACTGACCTTCCGCCGGATCCTGATGGAGTCGACGTTCCAACGACGGCGCATGTACGAGAGCTTTCTGGAGGAGGTGCCCCTGCTCAAGACGCTCACATCATACGAACGATCCAAGATCGCCGATGCCCTCGAGACGCAGAAGTATCCACCGGGGACCGCCGTCATCAAGGAGGGCGACCCAGGCTACGACTTTTACCTGCTCGAGAGCGGTGAATGCGACGCATTCAAGGAAGGTGTCCACAAGGAACGGATCAACCTCAGGCACTACGAAAAGGGCGACTTCTTTGGTGAGCTGGCGCTGCTCAACGACGCGCCCCGGGCGGCCACCGTGGTCAGCGTGACGGAAGTCAAGGTTGCCAAGCTTGGCAAGAATGCCTTCAACCGCCTGCTAGGCCCGGTTGAGAGTATCATGAGAAGAACAAAGTACGAAGATGTCAAGTCCGGTGTTGAAGATGTGGACCCGCTCCAGTCGGCGTAGCCAGCTACGGCCTCTTTCCTGGACCTGGAATCCGGACACGGACAAGATCACTAACATGGCCTGATTCACGACAGATCTGGAAGCATGTCCCGACCCAACTCCCGAAGAAACACGACGGAATGCGGCCTTTCGCGCGGAACCCCAAGGATGAGGGCCTGGACGACGGACGGACAACTGGTGGAGGCTTGAACGACGGTACGGTATGTATGGACGCAACGCAAGTGCAAGCGGAGGCTTGAACCGGGGGATGGGATGTGGGACGGACCACACTGGATGCTGGAGTTCGGCTACAACGGCGTTTTTGCGGGGTGACGGCATTATCGACTGGCAGACAAGAATACTTTACCTCTTCCTTCGCTAGCCTATTGTGTTAGGAGATTATTGTTTTGTTTTCGGAACATCAGATACCTACGGAACAGAAAAAGACGAGTGTTGCAGCAGGGCGCTGCTCCGGAATTATAACACCTTCCTTAATACCATTACACACGGCTGAAATCGTGGAAAACTTGGGACTAGAATTTGTATCTGGTGGTGACTATGTCGCCAGTGTGTGAATCCTGCTACGCAATGTTGGCTTGCAAGAGAATGCGTAGAACACGCTCTATCTTGCATGATCTGCCCCAAACCCTGATGGGCCGGCTATATCATCGTCTTCCTCCTGGTCCTCGTGCCATGGAGGAGCCAATGTTCCGATCAAGGGCATGCCACAGAGCTTAGCGTCATAGGCCGAGGGATGGTGCCGCTCGCTCATGTCTTCCCTCTGGCAAGATTCCGTGCAGTGAACGCAGAATGGGTAGAGGTGATGGATGTGCCGCATGTCGGAGACTCAGGGCAGCCATCCTCTTAATCGAGGCCAGACCCCATCTTAGATGACTGATATCAACCAAAAAGTCGTCCGCCGCCTCAAGCCTCCGCCTGCACCTGCACCTCCTCCCCCTCCCCACCCCGGGCCCTCTGCCTCATGATGGCGTCGACGTCCCTCCGCAGGCCCTCGGCGGCGACCTCGGCCTCGAGCACGCGGCCGACGCCCCTCCGCCACGCCTCGTCCAGCCCCGTGATCTCCCCTCCCGAGTCGCGCTGCAGCCTCTGGCGGCGGAGGGTGACGAGGTCGACGTCCCGGCGCGCGGCGGCGACCTCGCGCTCGAGCGCGCGCAGCTCCGCCTCCAGCTGCCAGTTGCCCACGAGCCACGCGTTCTTGCCGTGGCTGTCGAGCAGCGCGAGGTGCTGCCTGCGCGAGGAGAGGTACGTCGCCGCCGCGTAGGCCTGGCGCAGGGCGGACTCGAGATCCTCACGCGAGGCGTCGCCGTCCTCGGGTAGGTCGGGGAGTTCGTACCGCGACAGGTCTATCGCGTCCAGGGGCGCTGGCTTCGAGGGGTCCGGGCTGCTGGCTATGCGGTCCAGCTCGGCTTGGATCAGGGGGCTGAAGGTGGGCTCTGCCGGGGGCGGGAGGAGGGCGTGGTGAGGGTCGTCCGGGACCGTGGCGCGCTCGGCGGCTATGAGGGCTTCTGCTGCTTCGCGTTCGGGTTGTGTGGGCTCTGGGTCGACGTCTGGGGGGTGAAGTTGGTTAGAGTCTTGGTCTTTGCCAGTGGTTGTGCAGTGTGCTTTTTGCACGAGGAAGCTGCTAGCGCGCGTGGCGGGCTTGCTTACAGGGGAGTGACTCGTGGACTGTCGTTATTGAGGGCATGGTGGGCGGCTGGGTTTGGAGGAGTGCCCTTTAGTGGTTGCGACAATGTGCTGCTGTCATCAGGTGGCCGCCGCAGTGTCGGTTTGGCTGTCGCGAGGCAGTGACGGCTCTGGGATAGTTGTTTGCGACTTCCTGGACCGGCCTGTGTGGTTGATGGAGGATCATTACCCGTCGGCCTCCCCACCTAAAGGTCCCCCCTGTCCCTGCCTGCAGATGGGGAACCGAACTTACAACCAGACAACCCAAACTTCCCTTGCATTCACTACGCCTGCGTACCACCATTCTACAACAGCATGTCTCCATTGCAGGACAATGATCGTGTTGTCATCGTCGGCGGAGGAGTGATTGGTCTCTCCACTGCATACAACCTCGCCAAACGGTCCCTGAAATCCTCCCTCAGCATCAAGATCCTGGTCGTTGAGGCTTGCGACGCGTGTTTTACAGCATCATCATCGAATTGTACCGGCTGCTTTCACTATGCCTTCACACACCCAGCCCTGCAGCCACTTTTGCCTTTGGGCAAATACTCCTTTGATCTGTGGGAGGCCGAGTCTGCAGACCCAGATTTCAAAGCGGCCACAGGCTACAGTGCCCAGCCCTTCTTTGGCATAAGTACGGGCACAGGTAAAGGACTTGATGGGCTCCCAGATTGGGTCACAAAGGATTCTTCTTAGGACGTCGACACTAGCGTTCTTGGAGCTCGCACCGCCACACTGTTCGTCCTCTTCGAGCGCTCACGAGGTAAACTTTATTGACAAGACATCCACAGCGATCCAGCCGGCGTTGGCAGGTGGCTCAAACGCCAATGCCTCAACATGGGCGTAGAAATACAGACGAGTTTGACACCAGCAGCTGTCCATCTGTCAGCTGAAAAGGAAGTGCAAACTGTAACCTGCTGGGGGTACGACGGCCAAACCATGACACATATCGACTGCAAGCAGGTGCTCCTTGCCTGCGGGCCGTGGACCCCGTCCATTTACGAAACACTCTTCCCAACTTCGCGCCTTCGCCTGCAATGGATCACCGACGCTGGGGACTGGATTCTCTGTAAGAATCCATGCCCCAGCACGAAAAACACTACAGCCGTAGTGTCTTTTGCCCATCTGGTCGGTGAAAAGCTGGAGTTCGCCGCTCTCAACGATGGGACCATCTGGGGTTGCGGACGAAGAAATCACTACGCCCCGCTTCCTCCCCCTGGCCACGCGGAAGAGCCAGATGAGGCACTTGTTGCAGAACTCAGCGCTCATGCTCAAAGATGGCTGGACTGGAGCTGCCATTGCACCGAGGAGCATGCCGGGATGGTCCAGGTGGTGAAGAAGGTCGGGCATTCAGACCCACGACGGAATCGGCCCTTCCCCTCATGGCTGAGATGGAGCCTTGGATGCTGACCAGCGAGTCGAATACTGGCAGCGACACTGTGAAGCGCTCGAGCGGTTTCTTTGTTTGCTGGGGTCACGGCTTGTTCGGGTTGACACTCGGTATGGGTAACGGGCGGCTTACGAGCCAGCTAATGTCTGGCGAGGAGCCGGACATTGATCTCACCCCGTTTTCATTGTACGAGGACTAGCAGAGATGACTTATCCGAATAGAGCAGACGTCTAATTCGAATCCACATCTTGATATGAGCCACGGATGTCGTCCATTGGTTCTCCGAGGTTGTACACAATCTTATATGATACCAGGGCGACTAGTACTTTAGGCGAATGTGTATGACTTCTCTGCTATGTTTCCTGCTAGATGATGAGCTTCAGGTTAGATATTATGTCCACGGGGCTGCGTTCCGAAGACTTGGATGTTTTTACGGCAAAGATTTGCCCTTTTCGGGCAACAGACAAACGGGAGGTTAGCGCTCAATGCACCTGCAAATTTCTCCGCTTTCGTTCGTAAACATGGGGACATAAATGTAGAGATCATTTTGCCATCACTATCGTAGTCCCATCGAACAAGCCCCTTCGTTGGGCCTGCGAAGGGTCCAACCGCCCTAAATGCAATGACCTTCCCGTCTGTTGTGATGGACCAGCATGGTGAGGACTTCACCTCAGCTGCAGCAGGTCGGTCGGTCTCATTGTAATCTTTTCGGCATGTCACAACAGTACGCCTGCGTATTATCGGGCCACAGCCCAGTGTTCTGTTGGACCAAGGCGTCTGTAGTTCAACATGGCGTCGCTGTGGCACGCGAAACGAGATGAAGCTAGTCAGGGCTGCCAATCAGTCACTAAGGCAACAACAACACCAGTATGAGACACTGGGTAATAGATCGGCTGTCTTGAAATAGTGGCACGTTGTAACTCCTCTGCTTGGGACCCCCATTGTTTTTGAGTTTCCCTTTGTGGTATTCTGTTGGTCCATTGGCAAAATGTTATTTCAATGTGCTCAGTCAATGCCTACCTGTGGATGATCTCGGATGCAGGGGGCCTCTAGTTGTGTACATATTCATCGAACTAGTATTGAGACATTGCACACTCTGCTTTTCCCTACACAATTACTTCCTGACCGCCACCTCTGTGTGAGTCGGTCGAGGTTTCTTTTGCACAGACCTGAAAGTTATTAACTTGTCTTATGTTGGTCTCGGCTCCCTTGGTTATCAACCCGTCACTCCGGCTTCATTATGGATTCTAACTTCTCCAACTTGGTCAACAGCTCCCGTGGGGTCGTGTCAAGATGCGGTCCACATTCCTGCTCAGCCGGCTGGGGTCCTTGCTCCAAATTCTTTCGCTGACTTCTTGGTCTTCTGTTCATGCCGCAGCTATTCCAAACGGTGAGAAGCGCCAACACTCTGCATGCCGCCGCACAAAGGTTGCAATCTTGTGAGTGAGATATCTATTCAGGCTCCATGGAGACACCTAGCTAAACATGTGAATGAAGAGGAGCGGGCATCGCTGGAATCACCACAGCTGTAAGTCTTCAATCCATATCCTTCTCCACAACAGGTTCTGTGGGACCAAGCGTGTTGACGGCTTTTCCCCGTCCCTAGCAAGCCTTGTCCAATCAGTCCATCACGGACTTCTTGATTGTAGAATATCAAGGTGAAATCGGCGGACGAGTTCACCACGCCGACTTTGGCAAGGGACCAGATGGCAAACCACTTTTGGTCGAATACGGGGCCAACTGGATACAAGGCCTCGGTACTGATGGTGGCCCAGAAAACCCAATCTGGACGTTTGTATGAAACTCCCCGCCCCCTGAACATAATCTCACCGCACATGACTGATACATCTCTGTCTTTCAGGAGAAGAAATGGAATATTGAGAGTCAAGAGTCCAATTTCTCACGAATCCTCACGTACAATGAGTCTGGTTTGGCAGATTTCGAATCCGAGATAGAAGAGTACGAGGATGCCTTCTTCCGCATGACACAGGAAGCCGGTGAACTCCTCACAGACAACATCCAAGACAAGACGATTCGTGAGGGTCTCATGCATGTTGGGTGGAAGCCAGACCAGCGTGACTACCCAGCCGCAGCTGACGCTGTGGAGTGGTGGCTCTACGATGGCGAGCAGGCTTACACGCCCGAGGAGACAAGTCTTGTGTTCAACTCGGTTCGTGGAGTCCCAAAATGCACTTCCTCCTTTCCCCACTGCGCTTTTCTCTGACTTGCAGACTTCAGGCAGTGAACAACTTTACCTTTCTACAGTACAGCGGCAAGAACAACTTCGTCATCGATCAGCGCGGCCACAACACCTGGATCAAAGGCGAAGCATCGACGTTCCTAGACGAGGATGACCCACGTCTTCTGTTGAACACCATCGTCAGTAATATTGAGTACTCAGACGACGGTGTCGAAGTCACCATGGAAGACGGGTCTTGTATCTCTGCCGACTATGCCGTCTGCACATTCAGCTTGGGTGTTTTACAACACGAATCAGCTGTGGAGTTTGATCCTCCGCTCCCAAACTGGAAGAAGACCTCCATTGACATGTTCAGCCTGGGCACATACACGAAGATATTCATGCAGTTCTCCGAAAGGTTCTGGCCGGACGACACTGAGTTCTTTCTGTATGTTGTTCTGACTTCCTTGCCCGGTCCACTTCCCTCCACCCGTTGCTCTTTCGTATCGATGTTTTCTTGCCCCCTAAATCTCATTCATACTGACTCATCACGTCTGAAAAAGCTACGCTGATCCGGCCCAACGAGGTTGGTATCCCATCTGGCAATCCCTCGACCTCGACGGCTTCTTCCCAGGCTCACACGTGCTCTTCACCACCGTCACCGAGCGCGAGTCCAAGCGGGTCGAACGTATGACAAACGAGGAAACACTAGCCGAGACAATGGACGTCCTCCGTGCCATGTTCCCCAACGTCACCGTTCCACAGCCAACCGCCTTTACATATCCCCGATGGGGCACCATCCCATGGGCGTACGGGTCCTTCTCATGCTGGCCGGCGGGCACGACCCTCGAGATGCACGAGAACCTCCGCGCCAACGTCGACAGGCTGTGGTTCGCTGGCGAGCACACCAGCGCGACCTACTTTGGGTACATGCAGGGCGCGTGGTTCGAGGGCCGCGACGCTGGGACCAGGATCGCGCAGCTGATCAAGGGCGCCTGTATCGGTGATGCGCCGACGGGGGGTGCGACGAGGGGGAGTGGGGACTGTGGCGAGAGGGTGAGGTATGAGAAGTTGCATGGGACTACTGAGCTGGAGGAGTATAATGTCCAGAACGGCTGGGATGGGACGAGCTTCCAGACAAATGGGTTGGATGACGAGTGACTGAGGTTCAATACCATGCGAAAGTTTTTCGGTTCCAAGTTTTTGTAATATTCAAAATCAAATATTTTGCCATTTTCACTTCATTGAGAGCCGACTGTCTTGAACACGTTTGAATGAACATATGCGTCATCGAGTGTTTATTCCTCATTATCGAATGACTTGTATTATCAGAAGGGTCTACCAGGAGGATGCCCAAAGGAATCACAGAAGAACCCCAAAACCATAGCAAGCTTTACTGGAAGTCAATTTCAAATCTCGTCCACAAGGACTTGTTCTCTCTGGCAGATACTTAACTACCTCACCATGGTTAGAAACTCTTCGTGGTCTAGAAGCTTTGACCTGAGATGCTCGCTCTGACTGCGCTTGACATCAGCGTCACTCTCCGTTCAGCCACTAAAGCGGCACGCAACGACCCGAAGCCCCCATTGTCTGTTGAAAGATGGCAGCGAATGCTTGAAACAGGCTTGGACATGGCTGGTTCCAGTAGTGATCCGAGTTCATCACAAGCGGTTGGAGACATGGAGAATCCGCGTGTCTCAGACCCGGCTCAAGACGGACAGCATTCTGCCCAAGACTGCACTCTCGTGGGTCCTGCGCCGACGGCACACTCAATACAGCCGTCACGGGAGGGAAATCCCGACAGAAGCAATCAGTAAGACCCACCATTCGTAATTTGCAATCAAACATCCTGTCTAATACCATCAATCTGCTGGTAGAGATGACGACTCTGAGCTTGATGATGGCCAGACTCACATGAGTTACGAGGACGAAGATGGCAGCGAGGACCTTGATGGTCTCTCGGATTTCGACTCTGACGACGAGTTCCCCTGGTACGAGGAACTTGATGGCCTCGCCAAATTGAAGCCGTCTACGGACTCCCCGACAACTTCTCGCAGAGCGGAGAAACAAATCGGTGGCTGTAGTGCAAAGCTGATCAGACGCGACGAGATGCGCGAATCGTTCTGGTTCGAGATGGAACAACCTGCCCAAGAGATGTCTGATCTGGCATTTGATCTGTTCGATCGGTATGGACGTCTTAATCCCGAGTTCTATGAGCACGATGTCAACAAAGGAACTGGGGTCTGGGGCAATGAACTTGACCGCGGAGACCTGCTTCTCTTTGAGGAGTTGACAGTAGACGCAGCTCATCGACGACGTGGTATTGGAACGAAACTGGTCAACGCCATCCTGGAGAAAACGAGAAAGAAGGTCTCGGGGCCGGTGGGCTTTTTTGCTCTAACTCGTCCTGTATTCCTATGGAGGGAAGTATCACATCTGAGGGGCGACCCTGCCGCGATGGGACAAGCTCAGGAAGACGCCGAGAAAGGTAGTCTAGCATTCTGGCATGCTATGGGCTTTCGGAGAGTTGGCACGTCGTCATGGCTTGCCTGGACAGACTCTCCGGGCCATCCGTCACGACAGCTAGGCATTGCCCAGGACTGGTCTTGCCCACATGATCTAACTGCGGATGTCTCACTCTATGGAAAAATGGAGCAGATTTGCCAAAAGCTGGCAGATCCGGCGGTTGAAGCCGCAGAGTGCATCGAGGAACTCACAAAGGCCTTGCCAGAAGATTTTGAAGATGGCCAGTGGCAGACAATTGACCGAGACGGCGACACCCTGCTGCACATCGCCTCGAGGTTATCCAAACCAGAACTAGTCAGGTTCCTCCTCTCGAGGGTTCCCCGTTTAGCGGCTGTGCGAAACAAGAAAGGCCACACAGTTCTGGAAGCCCTACAGAACCACCTCGAGCGCTGGAGAACACGGCGATCCGTTGGATTCTTAACCGTGATCACATCCGACAGGTTCAAAGGCTTCGACGCCTCGGATATCGAGTGCCTTGCTGTCCTCGAACACACGGCTGCCTTCGATCTCTCGAGTCTGAGCCCCCGAGACGTCGAGGCTGTTTCGTCGGCCACAGACGAGCAGATTCGGAGGGCGCCGCCTCAGATCGACATAGTCAGCATCCAGAAGACTCTGCGGTATAAATACGGCTGCACGTGTGGGCAGTGCATCGGTGGATTCTTAAGCCCGCGAATGAAACTCGCGCTACTCTGCGTTGCTGAGATACAGCACGACATTCTGTGCAGCTTCATGGATGACACCGGGCCAGACTGGGTTTCCTTTAACGACGATCTCTTGACGCATCTCCCCGGCTTTGTCCGGAAGAACTTCAAGACGAATAAGTCAATGCGGCAGGGCTTTGCGAACATGTTCAGTCATTTCGCCAAGTGTCTAGAGAAGGGGAGGGTGCCTTCGGAAGGAGAGGTGCTCGACTTCTACCAGTCAGATGTGAGTGAGTGGCCACCGGTGACGAGGAACTACCTCGAGCGAGGAGGAAGTGTGGCCGCGGTGGCCAATACAATTTTCGAACGGGCAATGGAGCAAGATGACTGGGCTGGAGACGGATGTCACAGAGAGACTTTCGAAAAGCACATTGACAAGCTCGTGGCGTGCAGGAACGACCATGAGTTTGGCTTCGTGGCTGGTATGTGCGGGTACAAGAGAGTGGTTCCAGCCTCAAGCCGTCTCGTTGAGATATCTGGCAGAGAACTGGATCCCGACCCTCTGGGTTGGCATTAGAAGCGGGTCCGCTTGACTTGGTCTTCACAAATCTTTGGACTCTTGGCCGGGAGAAGTACTATCTTGCACACTATCAAACGGGCTACTCTGGCTGCATTCATGTTCAAACTTGATCGGCCTCAGACTGGCCAGCCTCGCGGAAGGGGCACGAAATTTTGTTCAAAACAGAAGCCATGGGGGCTGACGGCAGCAACAGAGGTGGAAGAATGTCTCTACTTGCACACATAGGTAGCTAATGTAAACGCGCATTGTGCTTTTCACATCCTCGGAAAATCAGCTCTGATTTAGATGGACGGCCGAAGTGTCGGGTGGTCTTGATTGCTTTGCGCCGGCTGGCGGTTTCTGCTCTGCCAACATCTGACAGAATACGAAGACAGTAAGGCAGTCAATCATTTCTATGCATAAATCATCCACTCTTTCTAAGTTCATCAAACGCTAGCGTTGCCCTGAACTGCAGAACACAGACCATGCTGTGATGTGGTATGGTGACAATATTGTGATGTAGAGCGTGTGCCGTTGTTGAGGCGTCTTCGTCCTTTTCCTGTCTGGAGCTGCACCCTAACGGGTAGCTTACACGGTACTCGCAGGGCGTGCAGTAGCTTCCCTGTGGCCCTGTAGCCCCGGAGCTTGTCGCCTGCCCGCATGAGCCAGCCGTCGAATCGGGGCGTTTCCAATTACCCGAAACGGGCATGGATGTGTGCTGCTTCTCCGCATCCTGTTCGAGTCCCCAGCCTACGGATCGCCCCGGACTTGCCGCAGGTGCTGCTGCGTCACGAGCGCACATGCCTACATCACCTACCGTGTTCTTGTGTTTCTGATCGTCGTCGACTTGCTCCACGCCTCTTGTTGTCACTTTCTTCTTTCTTGCCTGCACACAGACAGCTCTGTCTTTATCGAACTCACAACCTATGCTGTGGCTATGCTGGACGTGTAGAAAGACAACGAGCGAGAGAGAGCGCGACTATGGACAAGCTCAAGTCATCGCCGGCCCAGGGCCCACAGCCCGACGCCGTTACACATGACCACAACGAGGCCGGTCCTCTACCAACACCTGCGTCGAAACAACCTCGCAGGACAACCATAAACCCGTGGTTCCCTCTAATTCTTCTCGTCGCGTTCTCACTATATTTCATACACACGTCGGTATTAGGGTCCGGCAGACATCTCCTGGATTGGTTCACAAATGATGCGCCTCCCGCCACGACCACCGGTCCCTACCAGGGAGATCAATATCTCCTGGGGGTGGGGAAGGCCGACATCACAGGACCAGTCGTCGAGGTCAACCTGATGGGCTACGCAGACCCTAAACAGCTTGGGACTGGTCTGCGCCAACGGCTGTACTCCCGCGCCTTTATCGTTGGAGACATAGAAAACCCATCCAACCGCTTCGTCTACTTGGTGCTGGACATCCAGTCGGGAGACACTGCTGTGAGATATGGCATCTTGTCTGGGCTTAGGGATCTGGGCCCCGAGTACGCAGTCTATCAGAATCACAACGTCGCCGTCACGGGTACACATTCGCATTCCGGCCCTGCCGGATGGCTCAACTACCTACTACCCCAAATCACCAGCAAGGGCTTCGACCACCAGGGCTATCGGGCAATTGTGGATGGCGCCATACTCTCCATCGTCAGGGCCCACGAGGCTCTCCAACCCGGCTACCTCAGCATCGGCTCCACCAAAGTCGAGGGAGCCAACATTAACAGGAGCCTGTTCGCCTATCTAGCCAACCCGGAGGAGGAACGCGCCAAGTACAACATCAGCAGCGAGGACGACGGCTCCGTGGAGAAGAACCTCACCCTCCTCAAGTTCCAACGAGCATCCGATGGGAAGAACATCGGCGTCTTGACCTGGTTCCCTACACACGGCACGTCCATGTACGGCAATAACACGATAATCACCGGTGACAACAAGGGAGTCGCCGCCTACCTTTTCGAAAAGAGCGCCTCGAAAGACCCGTCCGCTGCCGAGGGCTTCGTCGCTGGCTTCTCACAAGCAGATGTCGGCGACACCAGCCCCAACGTGCTGGGTGCGTACTGCGAGGACGGCTCTGGGGAGATGTGCAGCTTCGAGAACAGCACCTGTCCCAGCGATGGGAGAAGTCAGAAATGCCACGCGCGTGGCCCGTTGTACACGGCCGATGATACTGGCACCTCGTCCTGTTTCGAGATCGGCCGGCGGCAGTTCGAGCCGGCCAAAACCCTCTACGACGAGCTCAATGTGAACCTCATTCCGGTCCAGGGGCCCTGGGTCAAGTCCTTCCACACCTTCCACAACATGTCAGACTTCACCTTCCACCTTCCCAACGGGACTCTGGTCTCAACCTGCCCAGCAGCCCTAGGCTGGTCCTTCGCAGCAGGCACATCCGACGGCCCAGGGGCCTTCGACTTCACACAGCACGACGGCGACCCGTCCAATACGTCCCCCGTATGGCGCGTGGTATCAGGGTTCCTCAAGGAGCCCTCGGACGAGCAGCGCGCCTGCCAGGGCGCCAAGCCGATCCTCCTCGACGTCGGCGAGGTGCACAAGCCCTATGCCTGGACCCCCAACGTCGTCGACGTCCAGGTCCTCCGCGTGGGCCAGCTGCTCGTCGTCGTCAGCCCGGGCGAGGCGACCGCCATGGCCGGGCGGCGGTGGAAGGAGGCCGTCAGGGCTGAGAGCACGGCACTGTTCAGCGACGAGGGCGACAACGACACACACCACCCTAGTGCCCCGAGCCCGGTCGTCGTCCTGGGCGGCCCGGCAAACAGCTACACGCACTACATCGCCACGGAGCAAGAGTACGCCATCCAGCGGTACGAGGGCGCCTCGACGTTGTACGGGCCCCACACCCTCGCGGCCTACATCAACGTGACGCTAGCACACCTGCCTCTGCTCGGGGCGCGGGCCCCCTCCGGCCCGCCTCAGCCGCCTGCTGCCTTCCCACCTGACAACACGAACCGCTCGCTCAGCTTCATCGCCGGCGTCGTGCGGGACGGCACCCCACTAGGCCGGGCCTTCGGCGACGTCAAGCAGGACGTGCGGCGCTTCTACCGCGCCGGGGCGCCCGTCTCGGCCGTGTTCGTCGGCGCAAACCCGCGCAACGACCTCCGGCTGGGGCGCACGTACGCCGCCGTCGAGAAGCTGGAGGTAGTGGGCGGCGGGCAGGCGGGCAAGGATGAGGGGGAGCTCTGGCGGACGGTCAGGGACGACAGCGACTGGGCGCTGGTCTTCCGGTGGAGGCGGACCAGCGAGGTGCTCGCCACGAGCGAGGTGGAGGTCACGTGGGAGACGGACAGGGAGCCCGAGGGGGAGCTTGAGGCCGGGGTGTACCGGATCCGGTACTATGGCGACTGGAAGAGTATCGGGGGCACCATCACCGAGTTCGAGGGCGTCACGGGGGCTTTTACGCTGGTGCGATGAACGATCACGGGTGGCGGTGGTCGATGATTATCATGATGATGTTGGCTGTGCTTTCCGATGAAGGGCGCATGCGATGGGTTTTTCTGGATTCAGGGGGGGGGGCAGACTGGGCGTTCTCTGCATGCAATGGGGAGGAGGAGCTGGAGCCTGGATAACGAAGACCAACGACGCTTGCAGGACGGGTCAAACGTGGTATACGGAGTCGAGAATGGTAGACACATGCTCCGCTAGGAATTCTCAATACTAGCCGCTTGCCTTCACACCTTTATTTGCCCTTCACCATGGCAATGTGAATTTTAAACAGCTGAGGTGGGCTAGTGCCCAGCACTTGACTTAGTCGTCGGCAAGTGGGAGGGAGTTAGCATGTCCCCTTGCCACATATCATATCACCCAACTCACAAACGAACGCACGCATTCAACAAATCAACTGAATGCATGACCAGGCAGTGTGAGCAGACGACAATTTCGATTTCAGGATGTCCGATGTGGCTATCTGTGCTTTTCGTGGTCCATGTGCTAGCCTCTCCAAGCTGCCAAAAATGCCGAGATCGTGGGAATGACGAGGGGTGGTGTACATACTCCATACAAGATGCCAGTGCTATGCAGCAAAAGAGGAAGGGGAAGAAAACCCACCAACGCATGCCCCCTGCGGGTCGACGGCGGTTGTGGATAAGGCAAATCAAACAAGTCCAAAATGAGGGGGCCAATACTGCGTGCAGTAGCAGTAGTAGTAGTTGCTCTTGACTACTCATCTCCCTCCCACCCCTGGGGCCCCAGGACAGCACCTTGAGTGCCAAAATGATTCATGCTTTGTATGTACCACTTGGTATCACCATATATCTGCGCCAGTCCCTCAATTGAAACCACTTGGTCCAACGCCTGCGCTTTGCCTTTCTTTTAATACAGGTGCCACAGCTGCTTTTCTTCTGGCCTGTGTTGCCCTTCAGATTAATGTCCCCCCACTCATCCTGCTCTACTTCTTGTTCGCCTTCTTGTTCTCTTCTAACGCATCGGCGAGCTTGAGTGCTAGATCGTTGGTCTTGACCTGAAGCATCCAAGTCTCCAAGCCCTTGCCGTCTTCCTTCGCGCATGGGACCTTAATCCACTTTGCGCCCTTGTCGACCTTGTAATCGAAATCAGGCAGAATGGTCTTGTTCATGGCGACGTTGCCACGAGGCTCGCCACGCAACAGGATGCGCACCGCGCCGGTGCTTTTGTGCTTGAGCAGCCTGAGTGGTCCCAGTCCCTCTGTCTTCCAAGGGTTCTTCTTGGCGCCCTTGTCTTTATCGTCGTCGTCATCGGACTTGGGCGCCAGCCGGAGAGCCTTGGCTCGCACCTCATGAACGACCTGCTCGTCCTCTTCCCCGGGCCCACCTTCGGTTAGGGAAATTTGCTCCTGTGGTTTTCCGTCCTCGTCAGCCGTCTGTTCGCTCGTTGCATTATCCTTCTTGGCCTGTGCGGCTTCTGGCTCGGGTGTGCCAGCCGCCGGCGTCGTAGCTATGCTAGACGCCCCGCCAAACAAAGGGGTATCTTTACATGACGTTAATGATGGACTGCCAAGAATAACGAAATGTGAAGTATGAGAAAATAAGAAACGAGACACTACTTACTCGTGCCAGTCGAAGATCCAGCTGGAGGCGCCAGACTACCAGCAAAGATGCCTTGCGCCGCGTTTGCCGGCTGACCAGAGAACATGTTGGCGGACGAGGTTGGCTGGGAGGGCGCTTGGGAAGCGCCACCGAAATTGAATATGGAAGATCCACCGTTTGGCTGCGAACCTCCAAACATGTTGGAGGACGGGGCAGGTGCCGCATTTGCAGGCTGCGAAGCGCCACCGAAAGTGAAGCTAGACGAGGAGGGGCCATTAGTTGCGGGCTGCGAGTCCCCACCAAATGTGAAGCTGGACGAAGCTGGAGCCGCCGGTGTGGTGCTGTTTCCAAATTGGAATGGCGCGCTGGCTTGTTGACTCTGGGCCGGAGTCGCTCCAAAGTCGAATGAAACCCCAGCGGAATCCCCACCCGAGAAGGGGTTCTTGAAGGAACCCTGGTCACCACCAGCATTGAAGGTGAAGGAGCTGGCCGCGGGCGCTGGCGCTGGCGCTGGCGCGGGAGTGCCGGTACTGCCGAACGAGAAACTCGGTTGTTGGTTTGTGGTGGTATTGGTGCCGTTCCCAGACGCGGCCCCGAACAGATTGTTTGAGGGTGTGCTCGAAGCTCCACCGAAAGTGAAGCCTGTGCTGGGAGCGGGAGCGTTTGCGAAAATGCTGGGCTGTGTCTTCGCTGGCTCGGCCTGGGGTGCTGGGTTCCCAAAGAGAGACGTGGGAGCAGGAGTATCTGCCGGCTTCGAGCTTGAAGGAGCAGGCGTGGACGAGGCTGTGCTTCCAAAGCTGTACGTCTTGCCACCGTCTTGAGAGCCAGTGCCGAAGACAGCGCCAGCTTCAGTCGAGCCCTTGGCTGCTTCTGCAGTTTTGGGTGGCAGACTTGCCGCAGGGGTCGGTGCACTGCCTCCAAACGAATACTTCTTGGATGCTGGCTCGCCAGATGTGCTGCCAAAGACCGCACCAGCCTCATCCGAGTCGGGCTTCTTCCTCTTCGTGGCCGATTCCTCCTTCTTTTCTTCAACCGAGCTAGCCTTTGTGCCGAACAGAGTGGACGTTGAAGATGGCTGAGCCCCAAACAACGATGGCGCGGATGACGGTTTCTCGTCATTCTTCGCGCCGAACAGCGATCCGCTGGGCTTGTCGTTAGCCGTTCCGAAGAGAGACGGCGCTGAGCCCTGGGCCGTAGCGGCGGGGGTGTTAAGGTTGGCGAAGATAGACGTCGGCTGGGCCTGAGTGGCGGGAGTATCTGCAGGCTTTCCAAAAGGCGTTGTGCTCGCAGCGCTACTCTGCCCGAAAAGGCTAGGTGCAGGTGTTGTGGCAGAAGCTTTCTTCTCGTCAGACTTCTGCTGACCAGGAGTAGATGCGCCGAAGGCAGGCATGCTTGAGGCATTGCCGAAGAGGCCGCCGCTTGATTCCGACGGCTTTGAAGGCTGGCCAAACAAGGATGGCGCGGCCTGCTTAGGCGTCTCCTTCCCAAAGTCTTGCACCTGAGTGCCAAAGGCTGGTGCAGCACTGGCTTTGGGGGTGGTCGAGCCAAAGGCTGGCCCAGTGCTTTCTTGAGGCTTGTTGGCAAATATGGAACTCGGCTGGCTGGTGGTCGCTCCAAAGAGTGAAACGCCAGGCTGGGAAGCTGCACCACCAAACTTGATAGGCGTGTTCGGGTTCCACGTCTTATCCTGGCTCTCCTTCGGTGGGCTTGCCGGTGGCTTCGTGCTGAAGAGTCCAGGGGCGCTATCACCTGAGGCTCGCACAGGCTCGCCGTCTCCGCCCTTTGTGATGCGACCAAAGAGACCAGGGCCCTTGGAGCCACCGTCGGTGGAGTCACCCGGCGTCTTAGTGCCGAAGAGGGACGGTACACTACTGGCAGCTGCTTTCGGTGCGGTGGCCTGGCTCTCCGGTTCTTCATCCTCGGCCTCCGCATCCTCGGATTGGCCATCGTTGTCCTCGTCATCTTCACTGCCCTCAGGCGAATTCTGCTCAGACAAGTGACCGAAAATGTTGCCCGACGAGACCTTAGCTCCGGCGCCGAAGTTTGGTTGACGGGATGATGCGGGCGGCTGGGCAAAAAGGTTCTTCGCGGCGGATTTCGTGGGGCTTGCAGCTTGTCGCGCTGGCGAGCTGTTGGCAACATCCTCGAAGATGGAGAGAGTACTGGACTTCTTCTTGCTGGGCTGATTCTCGTCTGCCTCATCCAAGTGTTCAGCACTGCGCTTGGTTTTCTTCACGAAAGGTGTTGCACCCGCATTCGAGGTCAGCGCTGTTGACTCGGTCAGGGGCTCTCGCTCTGTTGTCACACGGCGCTTATTCGTGGAGGCATTGTCAATATCCAGGTCGTCTCCAGCTCGTCTCTTCACCGAAGACCTGAAGTTCGAGGTGCCATTGGCCTTTGGAGCCTCAGCCTCTTCCATCTCCTCGTCCTCCTCTGGCACATTATTCTCCTGCTTCCACTTCTTCAATAGCTCCCTAGAAGCGGGAACGGTTTTGAACTCGTAGAGGCCGTATCGCAGCATGATCAGGCTCCGGCTCTTCTCGTACTCCTTGGCAAAGTTCGTGATATTGACTCTCCAGTCCTTCTTGGCAAAAATCTCGGACGCAGCATATTTCAGCCGTCGCAAATCGAGGACACAGAGAAACTGACGTCGCTGGAGGTCATCGAGCTCGGCCGGGACGAGGTGTGACAGGAACTCGTCCGCGTAGACAGAGCCCACCCTATCTGGACTGTCGGGTACCTGTTTGGCTAGCTCCTCGCCATCGAGCTCGGGTGGGGGAGAGGCGATCCTCATGGGGAAGAGGTTGGTCGAGGAGGTCTTAGACATGGCTCGCCCATTGAGATCGGCCGTGGAGCCTCGGAATGATCGCCCCGGCGTGACGGCGGTGAAGCTCTCACGCACGGCGTTTGGGGGTATGCGAGGGGAGAAAGTGAACTTTGGGGTATTGCCGTTGGCAAGGCCGGTCCTGTTGAAGATCTTGCCTGGAGTATTGGCGGGCGAGTTGGAGGCATGCCGAGCCGTGCTTGCGCCCAGTCGAGGCTGGTTCCGGTCGAAAAGGCGTCTGCCTGCCACGACAGACGAGCCTGCTGCTGGCTGGGTACCGGCACCAGGGCCTGTGGACCTCCAGCTTCCCAGAGCTCGTGACGAAGGGCGGCCTCGAACGTCGTCGCCAACCTCATGGCGCAGCTTAGAGGGGAAGCCGCTGAAGGAGGCAGGTTGGCTGGGGCGAGAGCCGTATTGAGCACCACGTTGTCGCGTGGAGGTGTCCATGGTGAGACAAGACGATCACGAGGATCTACTGTGAGGAGCAACGCATCCAAATCCGGTGGTGCGCGGATAGGACTGTTAGATCGCGTCGGTGGAGGGGTTCGGGTGGACGGCAGTCGCGAAGTGTCGCGTGGCGGTAAGGGTCAGCGGGGGCAAGGCCGTCGAGGTCTGAGTGAAACCGAGACAGGAGGCTCGCGCTGTGGAAGGGGCTTGGGTGGATGCACTGGATCGAGCTTCGACTGCGAAGGCGAAGGCGATGGAAGCAAGGTACGGCAGCAACCTCCAGCTTCCTCGAACCAGGATAAACAAAGGCGCAACGTGTCGCAGGTCTAGAATGACAGAAAGGAGAGAGTCATCAAAAAGAGACGCGTTCCGATGCGATTGACATCGAAAGGCAATCGATCAAGGCACGCGAAGGCCGGTGCAGATGGGGTTGATGGGTGGGAGGATGAGAGTGCAGGTGGGAAATTCTGGACGGGGTGGGAGGGATCTGCTGCCTTGGGTCGGTCGCGCGACGGACGGGTGCGGATGAGGGTTGAGAAAAAAAACCAAGGTTTGGAGGCGGGAGCTGGGCTGGCTGGGCTGGACTCCCAAAGAGCGCCCGCCGTCTCTGGCTTGCGGAAGGGGCACGTGGTCCGAGCGTCTTCTGGGGAAGCCGCCTCGAGCAGTGGTACCGCAGTACCTGGGGTACCAGGGTACATGCAGCTCCGAAAATTTAGAGCTGGGCGGCCGGATGCGGTCTGCCAGCCTGATGCAGCTGGCCACCAGCTGGGCGAAAGGACTTGCCACGCTCCTAGATCCCTTTCTCTGCTGCGATGGATAGCGCTTCGATGACTGATCCATCACATGCACCTGAGAGAGCAGAAAACGTTCCCGTTCCTGTGGGAACTTTTATGAGGAGCCTTACACGGGGTTCCAGCTTCGTGCATTGCATCGCAGGCAAGTGACGGCCGGCCAGCATAATTACAACATGTAAAGACGTGGGGGTAGTGACTTGGAGGCGCATAGTCGTTACATTCAGCCATGAGAACAGGCACAAATCGATACTGCTGAATTTTAGTCTAATGGCATGACATCCAAAGATCTCGTGCTGCAGCGTTTGTCCAGCCATCTGTAATGTACATTCTCCATACCAGTAATAAAGACACCGTCCGTCCGCTCCCAGCCGCGGCCAGCCATCAGGGGTCGGGGGATGTCCCGCGGGCGGCCGCCCCAATCCGTCCAGACTCCGTCGTAACGCATCCCGAACCTCAGTCTCTACAGCTTGGCCTTGGTTTGCGCCTTCTTCAGGATGGGGTCCAGCTTGGTCGCCTTCATGACGTTGCCCTTGATCTTGAGCTTCCCGGCCATGAATAACCTCTGGGCGTTGCCCTTGCCGGCGACGAGGTTGCCAAAGTCGGCGTCGGACAGGGAGAGTGTGACTTGTGAGCCGAGTCGCGTCAGTAGCTGTGCACCCCTTCTGCGATTATACGTAGCATGACTTACCATCGGCCTTCTCTCCAACGCCCTTGTTGACCTTGCCCTCGTTCTTCAGGTCGATGTGCCAGCTGTCTGTCTCGCCGGCAGCGTTCTTGAGCGTGAAGGCGTAGATGCCGTTGCCCTGCTTGATGGCGTCCTTCTTGTCGGCTTCGCTGGCGTTGAGTGCCTCGTTGATGGCCTCGAAGGCGGCTGAGGAGGGGAACTTGTCTGTCGCCAGAGTCAGCCAGTCAGCCAAACGAGTTCCTCCACCCGAACACCACACGGTGTGCTTGGGTCACACGTACCGTTCGTGAGCGACATTGTTGCGGTGGTGTCTGGTGTCTGCCTGGTGATTGCGAGCGATGAATCGGAGTATCAGCAGGTGTGTGTCGGAAAGCGGGAGAAATGGAAAGCGACAAAAGATTCTAGAAAAGGTGCGCGATCCTATGCGGAACTTATAACAACGAGGATTCGGCAGCTGGGACGGGCTATAATGGCTGATGACCGCATGCCTGGAGCCCGATTGTTCGTCGCAACGGGCATGTGAACGTCCACAGACAGGGCGCTAGGCCGAGGCTCCGACACACCATGTGCTACTCATCCTGGCCTAGCGCCGTCCGCCCCTGCCTAGCCCCTAAACCAGCTGCCGTGGACACTCTCTCGGGCCTCGAGTCCGGGGCAGCCCCACAACGAGCCAACAACACACCTCCAGCTGCCTGCCCTCAACCGCTCAGACAACCGACAATCCTCGACACTCCAAGTCCCTAACGGGTGTTTTCAGAAGTTCTGGAACACCCAAATGTTCCACGAGTTCCAAACTGCCGCCTCTCTTTGACCCCTAGTGTACTCATCTGTTTGCCAAGCTGCGCCGGGATGCGCGGTCAGCAATCGACTACGTTATTCATGCTAGAGGTTGTGGAGCACGAATCAAGCATGTCAACTGCTCCTCGAGATCCATCTTCACATGAGCCGACTGCTGTTCGCCAGCCCGGACAGGGGGGCCCCAATGTTACACAGGCCGCTGGTGCTTATCACACTCCGTCCTGTCGGGCCAGGCCGAGGCTGCTTTTACACACAAGTCCAGCACATCATGCCTCAACGACACGTTGATCAGGATGCTAGGTAGTGGGTTATGATTTCCACACCTCAAAAATCGCGTTTTCGACCACGGGCAGCGAGACATCAATCTCGAAAGCCCAGAGCATCTCATTCATTCGAAGAGTTCAGGGCGGCTGTCGCTGTCGTCGAACCCGTCACGCAGACCACTGTTCACCACCCACTGCCAAACTCTTTGTCGCCCGTCTCGGATTGATCGCAAGGCTATTTATTATGACCATGAAAACTGTAGACTTCAAAATCTCAGGTATTTGAATGACCTACAGCCGCTTAATATGGGGTCTCCCAGTCCAGAACATACTTTGCCTAGCTTCCTTCTGGCCTCTCCTCCTCTTCGTGTAAGGAGCAGCAAGTCCACTATCCGTTACCATTCTGCCGCCTGTTGCTCATGACGTTCTTAGCAACATGAAGTGTGGAGCCGTGGTGAGTCGAAGGCTGTACACATCTACCTATCTCCGTATTTTCGACCTCTGTCTGCCATGGCCTTGCTCCGACATCCTGTGGTCGGTTCCCTTGTCCTTCCTGGGCCATGAATGCAGTGATGGAGCTAAGGACGCCTCTGTCCTATTCGCTGAGAATAAGAGTTACAGCCTCGATTATCAGTTCCAGCCATACGTGATCATTGTTTGCGGACCCTCTTGAGTTGATTGTTGACCCATGACGAGAGCGGATGTCTCTGCTGGTAAACGCGTAGGGTTGGCCACCGATCTTTACAAACAACCCATCAAGCCTCTGGCTCCACAAGGAGATACATAAGCCTACGCATTCGTCCGAATCTCACCTCCCATGAAGCATCACTTTGGCGCAACGGCAAAGGCGGGTGACTTTCGAATCACCTTAGCGACGATTATGGTAGCTTGGTTGCTCAGTTCGACCCCACTGTCACACCCTTCGAGGGATAGTCAAGGAAAGCAAGCACTGTAAACTTCATCTCCTTTTTTCTCCATGTTCTCTTTTTGATGCCTTTGGATGCCCAATCTTTGGGGAGGGGAGGTACGGTGGTGGGCGTTGTTCACAAATGCCACAACGACAGCAACGCTCGATGTAACGGATTCTAAATTGCAACAGTGCATTTGACCCAGCTGGGACAGGCTGTGAGTACGACTCAATAAGCACACCACCTCTCAAAATTGGGAGAGCTTTTGGCTTGATTACCTTAAGCAGGCTGAGCGTCCAAGGACACGATATCTGCATGTCAGCTGTGCGGCTGCTCATCTGCATACGTGCAGTCCTATGATGGGCTGAACGCATCGCAAACATTCAAATACTGCGCATGAACTAATGCATGTTGACGAATTGGCACTTTTGTGACATGGGAACTACAAGGCATTTTTCGGTTCCTCCGTGCTGCGCCTGCAACGGTCAGCTCAAATACAAGGCCCACAGCCCTTAATAATCCCTATTTTGGCATCTGTCCCCGCTCTTCCTTACGGAATCCCAATACCTCGCTTCTTACTCTTTTGAAAATCTGGTGAGTCTGTACACGTGCGGGATTGTTGCTCCGTCAGCGACAGTGTCAGTCCAATCCAGCACACAGCCTGAGATCATCTTATCATTCAATCCACGGCGAACCGCAGCTACGATGGCATCTTCTGAAATGGCACCTTCTGAAGTGGCCTCTTCCGACAACTCTTCCGTGGCATGGAAGTCACTTGTACGCCGCAGCGTGGAGGCGTGGTATCCACCCAAAAAAGCCACGCATGCGATGGCAGAGGACTTCTTGGGCAGTTACACCGATCTGGACGATTTCCTGGTTAATTCAGGATCAATGGGTACACTCACTGGCATGTTCTGGTTTTTCCAACGCAGAGAGGCATTTCTGTCACAGAAAACCATGACCAAGTGGAGCAGGGATCGGTTGGATGATTACATCCTGCTTCCTGCTTCCCATGGCTTTGTCACAAGGACCGAGTGCTTCTTCGTCAGCCACTTCTGGCAGTCTAAGAACGACCCAGATCCCGGGGGAGAGTACCTACAGCTTGTAAAGATGGAACTTGGGCTACAGTCTTGGTCATTTGTCTGGGTCGACTGGACATGCCTTCCTCAGGATCCCCGGAGCAACACTGAAGAGGTCTACTTCCTGCGAGGTCTGGAGACCATGCCAGCGATCATTCGCAATTGCGGTTTCATGTGGAACTACCCGCCCTTCAAACCACGACTGTGGATTCTGTACGAGGTGGCCGAATATTCCCTCACGTGTGACGGCGGTATCGAGGTTACCCCAGACAACAAGGATTTTGTAGACCACGTCAAAGAGATGCGCGAGGCCGGTGTGCGCGCGACATTGAGTAGACATGGGTACGAATGCAAGGTCGAACGTGATAAGGAATTTCTCACCGCCTGGCTGGAACTCCTCGTTCTTCTAAAGAGACTGCTTATCGATGTGGGGAATATCAGGCATATTCTGGACAACCTCACATGGTTTCCCGTTACGGGAAACATGTACATAAACACCCCCAGAGGTCTCGTGATGCTTCACCCGTTTGAAGGTACTTTGACTCTGGGAGGAGAAGAGTACAAATTCACACCATTTCCTCTATGGGTAAGCTTTGTACGGTCGTGACTTGTGTTTATACTGCTGACCAAAGCTCAACAGAGAGACGGTAAATTACCCATACACACCAAGTCCGCACCCACAGAGACGCATCAAGCATCGGGCAGAGATGACAGTAAGAATGAGGTTAGCCAAGAAGAATCACAGGAAAGGATTGTCAAATACCGGTACCGAGATGGCGTGCTTCGCATGGAGTAATATATCTTACGCAAACGTCCATGACCGTGCAAGTGACTGGGGTTAACCGCTTGCGCACGAAACGACCACCAACTGAGGAGTTTCATAGTACTGGGCAGTCTTTTGTTTCTGACTTCCTGCTGGAACCTGGCTTCATGGACGTACGAGGCCCAAATCTGCCAGATTTGAATGGAGCTTTGCAGATTATTCTGCTCATTCAAAACATGATCTTCGAAGTTGAAAGCAACATAGACAAAAAACACAATTATATTTAAAGAACTGCGGTAATTACACAAATCTACGAGCAAAATAACGAGATGGAGATGCCATACTCCTATGGAAACTTTTTGGGGTGCGTGGTACAGATAGCCTTGAACCTCAATGAAAATAACACTCGAAGGGATGATAGATCCCGTTGTACGTATCATGTAATTACTCATCGATATTTCGAACCTATTACTACCCGCCCCGCTCTCCAAGGCCGCGTGAACTCGTCTTCAGTCTACCTTACGCACCGGCGCAAACTGAGTGTTATCCCCATGTTGCACATGAGGTGTTTCCGACGTGTTTGCGTCGCCTTTGTGTACTCGAGTGCGACAGAGATGTACATCACCAAGTTGCACACAGGTCGTATGAAACTTGCTTGTGTGAAGTTGTGGACTCTGGTGCAACAGATATCCACATTCAGGCCTGTACAAACGGACACTGATCTCTTATTCCGATACGATGGATGATATAGTCGTGATTCATTGGTGGTTGTGCCCCTTCTTCTGTGCTTTGGAGGTGGTCCTACGCTTAGTGTGGCAGAACAGATGTTTGCTGGGAGGCCACTTCTCGCTTCTTTCGGCACCCGATAGACAGATTCGCGTTTTCTTGATGGCACTCTGGTAAGACGGCCCATATTTCTTTAAAGAAAGTGCTCTTAAGAAGCCCAGTATTTTTGAGAACTCACAAGGTTACGGCCTCGACGTCTTATTCATCTACTCTTCTCGATACAATCGTTAGGCTACGTGTCCTATCCGACTCCTCAAACAAGGTGCGTGTCTAGACCCCACTTCAGCCATGTATAACTAACACAAGGTTTATTGTCTTGCAAGGAAAATGGGACGCGGTTGTCAGTGCTTCTGGGCCTGGTTCCTCTGCTGCCCGTGCATGATGGTCAAATATGCCTGTGGCGGCCTCTTCTGTTGTGGTGGCGGCAGCAAGAAGGAGAACAGGGGAAGCGATGGAGGTGTAGCCATGAACGACGCACCAAATCAACGGCGTGGTCGATGAACGAGAACGGACAGCCATTCACTCGCTCGAGGATAGAGAGCCTGCATTTCAAAGTCATCAGAGCATCATGCATCTTCAACAATGCTTGCATGCCTATTTGTTCCTGTAGTTCTGGTTCAACAGTGGAACAGTAATGAGTGCAGTAATGAATTGGCCGAAAGTTCCACTTCAGAACCTCGGAAGCTTTCAACAATTATCCAACGGTGAATGCTGAGTTCGGCAAGGATGCTGTGCCTCAATCCAACAGGGTCTCTGCTCTCGCATGTGACCAGCCGGGCCACTAAAAAGGAAAGATTAACGTTTGATAACTCATACTGACCTAGAAATGTAAGCGTAAGGATTGCGGCTAGGGACCAACGGCTTCTGCATGAATTTGCGGGACCAGTAAGACGGCTTCTGCACGCCAGATCTCGGGACAGTTTCTGTCCGTCACATTGCCTAAGTCAGGTCTATTTATTCTGTTCCTTTTTCTTTTTGTGTCCCGTCTTCCGCAATGTTAGATGGATATCGTCATCCTGACTGCTTATACTTCGATAGCAGCTTCAATCAGATCTAATAGTGGCCCCTCACGTCAATTTCAACTTTCACGGTCATCCACACAGCTTCCAGTCACGAATTTACTGCTGTCTTCCACCCAACATGGCCTCAGCGCCGGCGAAAGCAATGCGAGCATGGCTCTACTCCAGTGCATCAGGTGGCCTACACAAGAACTTGGCCCTTTCAGCCACAGCAGCTCACCCCCGCCCACAGTCGCCGCCCAGCCTGTCGAAAGATGAGCTGTTGGTCCGAGTGCGGGCGGCCGGCCTCAACCCCATCGACTACAAGATAGCCGAGCTTCCCTACGCCATGTCTCGCGCTATGATCTCCGTGCCGGCCAGCCCCGCGATGGACTTCGCGGGCACCGTCGTCGCCCACGGCCCTTCGGTCGAGTTCCCAACCCAAGGTCGGGGACTCGGTTTTCGGGCGCCTCGACCCGGGACGCTTCGGCGCGCTCGGCGAGTACATCGTCGCCAAGTCGTCCGGGTGCGCCAGCCTTCCCGCCGGCGTGAGCCTCGAGCACGCGAGCGGCGTGGGCTCGGTCGGCCTGGCGGCATTCACCAGCATCGTGCCCCACGTCCCGGGTGGCCTCTCTTCTTCCGGGCGGCGCCTCTCCGTTCCGCGTCTTCATCAACGGCGGCAGCGGTGGCACGGGCACGTTTGGGATCCAGATCGCCAAGCTCCTGGGCTGCCACGTCACTGCGTCGTGCTCCGCACAGAATGTCGAGCTGTGCAGGAGCCTCGGGGCGGACGAGGTGCTGGACTACACAGAGGGCGACCTGGTCGGCACGCTGAAAGCCAAGGGCCAGGTGTTCGACCTCGTCGTCGACAATGTGGGTTCCTCTCCCAGGGACCTGTACTCGGCCTGCGGCGAGTTCCTCAAACCGAGCGGCCAGTTCGTGCAGGTTGGCGCGGGCATGTCGATGGCTGACATGAAGCTCATGACGTCGCGCATGATGCTTCCATCATTTCTCGGTGGCGGATCCAGAAAGTTCTCGTTGGCGGTCGCAAAGAACAAGCACGAGGACCTCGCCCGTCTCGGCGAGTGGATCGCAGCCGGCAAGATTAAGGTCGTGGTGGATGAGGTTTTCGAGTTTGAGGATGCGCCGAAGGCGTATGAGAAACTCAGGACAGGAAGGGCAAGGGGCAAGATTATTGTGAAGGGTGCACCGTGAGCATCGATCAGTTTCGCCCAGGGCTAAGCTAGGTGCACTGAGGAGTTGCTGGATTTGATTCAACAATACCACGTAGAAAAATGGCGTGGATCATACCACACAACTCATCATCATTGGAATTCAGAAGATAGACTAACCGGTTCTATGACATTTATCTTAAATACAGGTCTCGAAATCTGGTCGCTTAAAATGCAACATGGTAATGTTGTTCCACGTATTTGCAAACTCTCCTTGCTGTGCTCACCGACCCCAAATATTGGGTGGACACGTTCGTTAGGCCAGGGAGGCCCTCGCGCTGGCTCTGGCGGGACTCGCGACACGATACCGACTCCTGACTGTATAGCGAAGATCTGTGGACAACGCCTGCTGGTAATTTCTTCCCCCGATCGGACTGGCCACAGAACTGCCCGGGGGCAAAATTCTCCAAAGTCGAAGCTGTGGCGGAGTCGGCATGCCTTCTGAAGAGCCATCGCCTAGGAACCAACAGGGATTCTTGGGAAGGGGAACTGGTACCGAACAAGTAGTTGAACGTGAGAATAATGACGATGTTAATAGACTCATGACACTTTGTAGATGAGAGTTGGGATCTGCCAGAAGTTGACTCATATTCTGACAGCTGCCCCAACCATGCTCACATCCTACCCTGAATAAGGTCTATTCCAAGTCCAAATATTCATCCCATTCTTTTCTCCCAGTCCTTGGGGTAGCTCTAACCCCTGATGAAGAGAACCCGGATGAACCGTTACATTTTGCCAAATTTCATTTCAAAGTGAATATTCCTGATCATAATGACTCGTGAAATAAAGAGATCAAATATGACATTGTTAGCACCTGCATACATTTTGAGCGCTCTGAAGTTAAGTCTCCTATTGACTATCCGAGCAAACCAGTAGGGGGCTGAAAAAAAGACGAGCCCTCCGAAGCTTCAAGCCGTCTCCACGTCATGTCCCGTCTCAGCCGGCACAGGCCAGCATTGTGAGACTTTCTGCACAAGGAATTCCACAACCGCAGCATTGACCTCGTGGGGTTTCTCACATTGCACATTGTGACCTGCTTCGATAGCCACCTCTGACAGGTTCCCACACGCCTCGCGCATCGGTTCAGCTAGCCGTGTCGTAAGGGTAGGGCAGATGTAATCGAATTTGGCGTGTATAAAAAGCACCGGCTTGTCTGCGCCAAGGTTGCCACCATTCGGCGCCTTGCTGTTATATGCTGCATTCGCCTTATGGTTGCAATAATAAGCTGTCCCAGCCCATATGCCAGTTTCCTCTGTTAATCTAACAAAATTGTTGAAGATCTCGTCGTTTAGCAGTGTGGCCGGAAGCGTCTCAGCCGGGGGCGCGGGATTTCCGCCAAACAACCCGCCATTCTTGCGTATGGTAGCAGTGAACGCCGGCTTGGAGGAATCAGCAGCATTGTACTGACCAACCGATGGACGCGCCCAGAGGAGTTTCAGGAGGCCATGGATATTGGCCTCGTACGAGGCGACAGGCTTTTCCAAGGACTCCTCATAAGCGGCCATGTAGTCCCACTGCCCGAAGGGGTATTCATCCTCTGGATAAACCTTGCGATCGACTAGGGAAACCAGTTGATCCAGGCCTAGCTCAGCTGACTGATACGGGATGCAGAGCAGCACGAGGGCCTGCACTACGTCGGGGTGCTGACGAGCCACTGAGGACGCCACAGCGGCGCCCCAATCGTGGCCCACCCAGACAGCAGCGGAGCGGCCTGTGTCAGAAAGCAAGGCGAGCATACCCTCAACAAGGGCTTCTTGGGAATAGTCAGAGGTGATGCGGCGAGCCGTTGATTTGCCCCATCCAGGCATATCTGGGGCAATGACGCGAAACCCCAGAGATGCGAATGACTGAAGCTGATGAATCCATGTCAGACCGATAGCAGGCCAGCCGTGGAGGAGAATGATGATGTTTCCGGTGGCCGGGCCGGCAGCATGATAGTGAATGGACTTTTCACCGCTTCCGTAGGAAACGTCATGCTCAGTGATAGTTGCCATCCTGTGTCTCTGTGCGGTGACTCCCTTTATGGAGTATGTGTCTTTAAGTTTGTCTCTGTAGACGATCAAACTATTTTCAGAAGGTGGCAGTGTAAAGTCGTGCGGAAGGTCCAAGTTGGAAAAGATGTGTTGGTAGACCTTCGCTGAAGAAGGCTTTTAACTTCACTCAGAGGATAGACCAGAGACCCTGAGACTCTCTGGTAAGTGGGGTCTGGTAACAACAAAGGGGAGAAAATCTGCAGGCTGTGTCCAACCTGCACAATCGCAGTCACCAACGAGGCATGTGCGTTCCCAGCCTGAGTAGAGGAACCAAAGCTAACGCAAAAGGGAGTTGCGGCAGTACTGTGTGACATGGTACAAAAGATTACGAGGAAGGAATGAGCCTCAGCCTGATCAGCCTGTAACACACATTACGCGTAGTACATTCAAATGAGATGTCATTTGCATGACCGAATCCTCAAGGTTCACAGCTTCGCTGCTTGTGAGACTCTTATTGGATTGCTTAATATTATACGAGTCTGGATGCTACCTGGGCAAATCCATTCCAAATGTGACCGGTCAGTGTCAGCTTATGATAAAGCATCTGTTGGTGACTTGGGCCGGGTTCCGCACAGGTACTTTTGTCGGGATGTGATTACTCACAAACGTGTGCAGATGGATGATCCACACTATTCCCACCCCTCTTCCCCCAACTGAAAAATCTGGCCGTCAGTGCCGTACTGAATCATGTCTCTGTATCCGGATATTGCATGCATCTTGCAACCTTTCAGCCCTCTGCCGAATCTCAGGTCAGTGTAAAAAGTTCGGTACTGACGGATCTGTACCCAGCTCTTCGGACGTTTGTCGGGATGGTATGTTATATCACTCAAATGTTCCGTGATGCAAAAGATGTACTTCGGCCTGGCCAGCATGGCAAGACTTATTACCAATCGTACATACCAAGAGAATCTCTGTTTCGAATTTGTTGGCCGAATTTAAAATGCCCTTGGGGAAATGGCATCCCGATCCGGCGTTATGATGGAACCTGGCCAATCCACCGAATACCGGAACAGCCATCACTGCAAGAATACGTGGGTGTAACTAGATTGAGTGGAACTTCGCTGCCAAAACTGTCACATACTCTCTGTCCAGTGGTAAGACAACGCAGGTCTGATTCCACAGCTAGTTGTCTTATACCCAAGCAGAAATTTCCATGTTCTTCAACTGTAATTCAAAGTGATAGCAAATAACGACGTAGGCAGATGGGCTACTCAACCCGAGTAGGGGCTCGGGACACGACATCGAACCTAGCCCATAGTGATATCAATTACATTTCTGCCCTTTATCCTGGCTCTTATCGCTATCACCCATTCGCACCTCCTGTTACATACCTAGCTTAGAATACCGATCATTCCACGAGTCACACATCCATCCACGGGTGCTGGCGTTGGCGATTGGGATCCGACGATCTGGAAATTGATTCCTGCTCTTGGTCCACTTCAATTGTTCTCATTATGGTGGCCGGGTTTGAGGAGTCGGTGGTAGTGGTGAACGTGCCTCCTTTCTTCGCAGCTTGCATGAGCTCGAGGTCGGCCAGACCCATGGGCCGAGTATCTTCGTCCCCGAGGCGGTGTCCGTTGTTGATGGGCAGGTTTCCAATGGTACGTGGCCACGTCTTGGATATTGCGCTGCGGCTCTTGGATGACCACACGCTACTCCAGGTTTTGATGGAGGCGAGGAGCCTGCCGAGGAATGTATGCTCGGCAAAGGCGCGAGGGACGGACGGTGCGCTCATGACGAGGTTGACGGAAGTGATCTCGGCGAGATACCACAGCCATAGATCTGAGATGGTGTACGAGGTGTCTCCGATGGTGGGCCAGGGATATATCGTTTTAGCAGTCGCGTAGAGACGGCCGGAAGCGCAGGCTAAAGACCTGCGCAAACGTTAGTATGTCTGTAAATAACCTCTTAAGGAAGGGAACGGGATACGAACAGCAACCCAAGGGAGAACATGAAGGATAAACCGATCTTGCGTGATTTTGCCATCTGCAGAGTCCAGATGACGCGCTGCGGCAGCATGAATATCGTGACGTCTACGGCGAGATTGATTCCTGTCGCCACGACGTCGAGGTCTTTGCGGCTAAAAGGGGTCGAGCCGGGCAACAAGACATTCCAGGACTTCTGCACAGGGTTGTTGGCGAAAATAATGAAGAATGTTCCAACAAAGTAGAACAGGCTGTTGAGAGATATGAGGAACCAAGTCGTCCAGTAGAAGGTGTTTCGAGTACCCCGTGGCACGAATATACGCTTCCATTCCCACAAGATGGCTGCTTTGGCCGGAATAACATATACAGGATCAATAATGGAGAAGAACATTAAGTACTGCATGGCAGTCGCATGGCAGGATTAGAATAAAGAATTTAAAAGAGATTCCCAGCTATTTGGGGTTGTTCAGGGTGTAGTCAGACATACCACAGCCAGATCAAGCATGTTCCCAGCTCTGATGTTCCACTGGTGGACGTATAGGCCACCTCCTCGAATGTACGAGATGAGGGCCCATAGGAAGCAAATGTAAGGCGCCTACATATTGATAAGCGGACCATTGTTGCGATACGAGTGGATGGTTCAAAACTCACGAGAGAAAACAGGGCTAGATCTGGAGTCCATGTTCCTTGGTCAGTGAAGCGGTGAGAGTAGGGGCCGGTGATTAGCACGTACAGTCTTCAAGATAAACTCTCTTAGTGACCCTGAGCCGCGAGTACGCGCGCAACGACGCCGCCACTGCGGTAAGGGCGGCGCAAATGGTGATCAGAACATAAGCTGCGACGTTGTGAGGCGGTCGGAAATCGAAGTTGTAATTTCCGTCTGGTGATGGACAAGCCGGCCCGTTGAGGATTTCCTCGGGCCATGACCAGTCGAATTGTGTCATCTTTGGGCAAGAACAGAGTCGGTTAGCAGTGGCGTGCAGAGCATAAGAACCTCGAGACGGAAGAAGCCCCTAGGATGAAACGTTTGCAAGCAAGTTTAGGGCTGCAGGGGACAGGGAGGAGAGAGTGGAAAGAGTGGTGTAGCCGAACCACTCATCTGCTCCTCCATGGCTTACTTATTGATTGGGAATCCATTTTGTTCCCTGGTTGCCACACCCTAGAACAGGGTGGGAAGAAGTTTGGCCCCCGACAATGTAAGAATAGCCCCCAAAATTGACACTCTTCATGTGACCAAAACTGCTATGAGGTTTCAACCTCCACCGAATGTTGACGGAGATCAGTCGTCAGGCTGCGGCACGGGCATATGAGCATGCAGGCGAGCTGACTGCAGTGGGAGGATCAGCAGAGCATACAGACTCTAACCCATTCTGAAGCAGCCCACACGGAATTGCATGTCAATCATCCCCCAACTTGAAGAGACATTGGTTGTAATTGTCATTCAGCCTATCATATTCTGGATTGGACCATCCAAAAGCCTCGTAATGACATGGAGTAAAACTCAAGGCACAGACAGTTGGTCATAAATGGAAGGTGTTTTCTTGTGCAGGCTCAATTTGGGGGTCACACATTACTTGGCTGGTGGGGGCTGTGTGCTATCTCCACACATGTCGTTTTCAAAGCTCTAGAGAAGATGATCTTCACCATTTTTGAAGTCAGCAACCCATCCCTCGGCGATCCTCCGGCGGGTCGTCTCCCACTTTCCCGTTGGATGCAGGCTGCTGTGCCTCTGACTTGCCTCGAAGGTGTTGCCTCTTTTGATGCCACATGTTCGTGAAGGTTCCTTCCGAGGACCAGCTGTCCGTTCTTCACTGGGCTTAGAGCGGGCCTAGAAATTACATCTGTTTTACTAGATACTTAAGTATGAATGATGAGTTCCTCCTACAACTTGCATCTTACCATTTAGGCATAACGCTATAAGCTTTCTCAAAGAAGTAGTATACATTTTGTCTCACTCCTGAGACGTAACATCCAAATTTGAATGGTCCAAATTCGGCCCCCACATATTTTGCATCAAAGGTGACATTGGGGGCTCGGTAGGACGGTGAATAAGGCATATCGTCAAGTAAGACACGGAATCATGCCAAGAACTCATCATCTTTACGATTTGATGCTCAAGTATGGACAAGGCTAAAGATCGGCTGATCCTCCTGGGAAACCCAACGTGGCGTTAGACACAGCAGGTGATACCGATCCGTGAGGATTGAGTGTCTCGGGCAGATCAACTCTTTTGACATGCCGTCTCTGGGCATTCGCTTGGTTTGCCAGCCAACAACAGCCTGCATGGAAAGGCGCAATGAACGAACCTCTCCTAGTGAGACTAAATAGCTTTTATTAGTTTGAGTGGTTGGTGGTCAGACGGGAATGACCCGCCCAGCCGTCTTGGGAAGCTTACGCGGAACAAGGATGCTCCATGCCGCCTGCAAACAACTCAGAATACTCCTCTCCAGTACTTTACGATTATTGGTTTCCAACATTTATCGAACCACCCCCCCCCCCCAACACCCTCCCACAGTACCGCTACAACCTCACAACGGACGTCGACGTTTGATTGATCCGCGTGTATCATGTTGTTGTGTAAGGCTCTTGAGACGTGATCCGAGGTCGAAATGCAGATGGGTGAATGACATTCGACAGGAACAATTTCAACCCAGAAGTACTTCGACGGCAGACTGTAAATCGTGATTGAGTCGAGAGACGCTGGTCTTATACATATCTAGAGCATGTGGCCTCTTAATTGATAAGGTCCAATTACATTTCTTTTTCCCAAGGGTAACAAAATTGTGTCTAGTGACCTTCTCGCCTTGAACTGAATCTTTGCCCAAACGGAAGTTCCCCCATCCTGAATTTTTAACATGCCTCACCGCAACCCCATGGCGATTTCTGAGCCATTTGCAGTAACTGGGATCTCGTTGAAGTTACCCCAAGAAGCCACCGATGAACCCTCGCTGTGGGAGGTTCTACAAGGTGGGAAGAATCTCATGACGCCATGGCCTGATTGACGAGTATCCTACTTCGTACATACACCTCGGGTGCTGCACTTCTCACCCAACACATTCACAACTGTATCCCTAGTCTTGAAGAGACCTTAAGGTGGCGTTATGTTGGGATACTAAGTTTTGTGCACTGATAATACATATGTTAGAGATCTGCCCAATGCAGGTAGGCTTTTTAAAGACCACGGAATCTGTTACCCCATGAACTTGAATAAAGAAGGTGCTATGCTCTCACATATTCCGACATAGAAAGCCCTCTAGGACTTGGGCTATATAAATCTTACCACCCACCCACGCGACTATAGGTTTGTATTCTAAACCAGGTATTACATTGGATCTCAATCATCATCAGAATCAAATTCTACTGTCAACTTTCTATACAACAACCATCAATGCGCTTCTCCCAGTTCATCCTCCTACCTCCCTTGGCCATGAGTACCGTCGAAGCTTCACTTCCGGGTATACATAGTCATGTCTCTCATGCCCTAGTGTTTAACGGATGAGACATGCTGACACTCGACTCCAAAATCCAGAAGCTTGTGAACGACGTCGCCGAGTCCGGACCTTCGGCCGGCGGTGCAGGCCACCGCCGCTTTGCCGAGCCCGAACCAGACCCCAGGTCCAGTCCGTCCCCCAAGGGGCCTGGGCATCAATGTGACATCAACGACATCGGCCAGGAAGACCAGTCGGGTCCCTTACCGAAAGGTCGAGGCCACTGAGCCGGGGTCGAAGCGAGCTTCGGGGCGTCGGTGAGTTAGGGGGTCCGGACCGGAAGGTCGTGAGAGGCCTGATGTGGCTGAGGCTCTAATGCACGGCCTTGTGTGGGGTCATCATCAGAGGCAAGTAAACGGGTTGGAAAAAAATATGGCGAGATTTGGTAGCCTCTGCTAATCCATTCCTTTGCTGCCAATGACGTTTGTTGATGTTTTATCGGACCACTAGTCCTCTTCGAAGGGCAATTCCAAGATGCTGATAATGTAAACAAGAAAGAGGGAAGATCCAAGCTTACGTAGAAAACTTAGTATGTGCAAGGCAAGATGCTGGTCCCCTGCTTGCTCCCACAACTCCTTTCTGCTCGGGATCGTGATCAAACATACATCACTCGCGATAAAATTTGCTTCTTGAATACGCGTAAGTGCGAGAGGTGACCCGGTGTCGATGCCTTATATTCATATTGGGTATCTGTATTCCTCCACCCGGGAACGTCCCGAAGAACATGTTTCGAGGTCAGACGCCTTAACCTCCCATGTTATGCTGATAATGTCAAAACCCAGTCGCACCGTCAAGGAAACCCATCGCGTTTCCTGCTTCCCCCTCAAGTAACCCTCGATTCCGACACCACTGCCGGCGCCGGCTGCTGAACCAACGTAGTCGACCCCAGATGCACAGCAAAGTCATACGCCGGCGGCTCAGGGTGACCCAGCAGCTGCCCCGGGCCGGCGCCCCCCACGAGCGACTCGCGGTCCTGCCGCGAGGCCACCCGAGACGGCCCCTCGCCTAGGCCGAGGGCATGCACCTCGGCCATGTCGACGCTGAGGCAGGGCTCGAGGTCGTCCTCGTTGTACGGCGGCGGCGCCTCGCCCAGCTCGTTGAGGCCCTCGGAGGACTGCGTCGAGGCCCGGTTGGTGTGGTGCGGGTACACCCAGCCCCAGCGCGACGCCCCCGGCTGCGAGCGGCTCCGGCGCCGGCGGCGGGCCCATAGCTGCCGGGAGCCTCTTGTCGAGCCGCCTCCTCCCCTTGAGACCGCGTCGCCTTCTGCGTCTCCTGCTAGTCTTGGGGCCCGGCGCCTTCTGATGAATTGGTACGCGCCGAAGAGTAGGACTCCGATCGTTAGGGCTGAGGCGAGGGCGACGAGTACCCAGACCCAGGACGGCGGTTTGCTGCTGCCGGAAGCGGTGTTGGTGGCCGTTCCATTGTTGGTTTGGTTGCTATTTGCGTCCATGTCTGCGTAGCGACCGTTGATGCCCCTGTGGGCCCCGTGGGTTCTGTGCCTCCTTGACTATGGGGAGCCAGGCAAACCGGGAAAGGGAACGCCTGCGAAGGGGAGGTAGGTGAGGGGCTGCGTTGTCCGTCGTGGCTCTATCGCGGCGGATTCGTTGTTTATGCTGCTGGCAACTGCTTTTAGGACACTGTACAGGGACCGGTGGAACATACGACGACTGTAGCACGACCGCAGAGAAATGGGTATGTGAAAGAATGAAAACCCCTGCGCATGATGATCTTTGCAAAGGTGAGTTGAGGTTTGAGCCCGCACAGCCGAGCAGACACATGCGGCTGAGTCCTTGGGAGAAACCTTGACAGAAACCTTGGGTGGGTGCAAGTTGACGTGGCCCTCCAGGACTAGGGCCCTGGGCGGCAGTCATCTTCGAGGTATGATGATGGAAGGCAAGGAGGGTGACGTCTTGGTCGTCAATGCCTTCCCAGCTCATGCCACTACAGTGGGCCAAGGGGAGGGCACGACGTGGGCCGCATTGTCAAGGGTCTCCCTCGTACCTAGCACTGCTCGTTGGAGCCCCCACTTTGGGAAGGGCCGATCGTGTTAATTGATTGGCCGCTTGCACCGCCCGTTGCAAGACTTTCTTTCTGCCATCTTCTTCTTGCTGGGACTCAAACCGAGGGAGATGCAGCATGCACACGGTAATCGAGACGCCGAAGCCAATACTTTTTCCGGCCGGCGGATTCCTGACTCTCCAACAGGGCGGACCTGCTTGGCCATCCCCTGAACCAGTTATCCAGATGATGCTCCCGGATATGTCCCTGGTACAGGCTTCGGTGCCTTTCTGCAGTTGACCTGCAAGCCAGCATCGTCTCTTGCCAGTCTGCGCGAGAGAATGGAAAAAGCAGAGGCCAGTGAGGTCAGGCACTTCGTCACCTTGGACCAAGAGCTTCTGCGCCTCTACGTCCTAGTTGTGCCAGCGTCTTGTTTGCATTCCAAGACAGGCTGTGGTCTGTACTTGCGCTTGGGTTGGCAGGCATAATCTGCGCCCTTATGCGCGAGGACGAAGTGAGCTTGGTTGCCGAGGTCCCCAGCGGCGGCTGAAATCTAAAAGTTTCATGCCCCTCCGAGGTCGATGTTAGTGACGCAGGGTCGTTTCTTTACCACGACAACTAGTCATTCTTCAGTTTGCTCCTTCCTAATCCGCGCCGTCTCGCAAGACCATCAGCGGTATTCCGCGGTCAGCCAGAACCGTCTCTGGACTCCTTTTGCTACACTTTCGAGGACTGATGTTGCTCCCAGGAATGCAAGGGACACTCGGGCATCGCATCGTGTTATAGAGCCCTGAGGCGAGTATTGGGCTGGTTGAAACACGAGGTTTGGTGGGGGTTCGCCAATCTGACGTGGGCTGTGCCGGACTCTCGGTGTGTTTGGGTCATGGCTAAGACGTCGTCGGATGTCCGGGGCAATGAGATGAACGCGAGAAATGTGGGTATGTTTCTGTTTCACGTCTTCCGGACAAACCGTGCCGAGACTGAGCCCCTCCAAGTGAGATCCCCTCCATTGGTGGGAAGCGTGGCTTCGTTGTCCTCGCCACGGCTTTCCGGCCACGCTCGATCGAACCTGAGAGTGCGAAGTTGCAGAGGTCAACGGTGTGAGAGCACACCACCTGCTACATGATGCACGCCGCATGCTTCCTGCAGGCAAGTGCAGTACCGAGCAAATCTTGAGCTGCAGACGACCAGGGTTGTGATTTTCGACCTCGATGGATTGTTTGACGTGCATGTGATCCCGGTGCCGAGACAGTCCATCAACGGTGCACAGCATTTTCGCGGGTGGCTTGCGTCTCCCCGGATGGCTGGGAGGGAAAAGGGCTGAGTTTTCCCGGCCGTGGCCGCGCTGATCTGCCGGCAGAGCGTTTTCGCGGGGTAGCTTTCCCCGGCTTCAACGCCCCGAGACCCGCCGGCAGGGACCGGAACCGTGGACCGAAGCCTATTTCACCGCCCACTAGACAAAGACTCGGCATTTCCTCCCCTCTTGAGCCTCATTCCCCCTCTCCGTGAAATGCAAACCCAGAGGACACTCATCCGCCACATCCTGCGCACCCTATCCCCTGTCCACCACCACAAACCCCCAAGGAAACCCGCCCTCGCCCCCCGGCAGCTCAGCCGCCCGATAAGCCACACCCCAACCCCCAAGATGCGCCTCCCCTACGTCCCGGACCCCCCGCCGACCTCCTCCCCGGAGGACCAGGCCATCGTGGACCGCATCGCGGCGCGGCGCGCGCCCCGGCCCCTGACATCCCTGGACCTGGCCCTGCTGCACTCGCCCCCCGTCGCCGACGGCTGGAACTCGTTCCTCGGCGCCGTGCGCACCCGCACGCTGCTCCCCGCCGACCTGCGCGAGCTCGCCATCTGCCGCGTCGCCTCCGTCAACCGCGCCTGGTACGAGTGGATGCACCACGCGCCGCTCGCCACCGCCGCGGGCGTCGGCGACGAGGCCATGGCGCTGGTCAAGACGCGCGTGGGGCCCCTGGGCGACGTGAACACGCCCGAGGGCGGGTTTAGTGCGCGGCAGTGGGCTGTGCTGTGCATTGCTGACGAGATGACGCGGAATGTGGAGGTTAGCGAGGGGACGTTTGCTGCGGTGAAGGGGTTGTTTGAGCAGAGGGAGGTGGTTGAGATCGTGTCCACCGTGGCGTGTTATAACTGTGTCAGCCGGTTCTTGGTGGCGCTGGACGGTGAGTTGCTTGCCTGGATCCCCCCTGCCAGATTTGATTATGATCGGATTACTGACGTGATGGCGCAGTTGGGGAGAAGAACGGGACTGGGCCAGATGCAGCTCACTAGTCGCCCTTGCGTGCCTGAGGGTGGTGTACAGCAGGCTAAGGGGTGAAGGCATTTTGAAACATCGGTTGAGTCTGTAGCCCACGGTAGCGAGCAAGCTTGGGAGGTCAGGACTCTGAAGTCCAGTACTTCGCAGCTTGGGATGCTCGCTCACATGGCAAGAGTGAGGCAGCACTAACCCCTTTACGATGGCTTTACACTACTTGGTCAGTCAATGATAAGGCACTGTCATCACATGGGACGGAGGGAGTTGGATCATGACAATGCATTCCCTCACGATCACCCTAACAACACAGCTGCTCTCGAGCCGTGGATGCGGAAAAATGGAGGCATTAAAAGTACATGATCAGACACCTGTCGCCATTCACATGCTGGTGGGGAAAAGGGGGTATCGAACTCCTGCGGTGAAACTGATTATCTGGAGATTAAACAGTATGTCGTGATATATGCAGTGGCCTGTTGGAACGCTCCAGTCCAGTGAGATGCTGATATGCCACGTCTAGAACACCTTGTGTGATGTTGTGTTGCGGTTCTGCCAGAGGTGGCAGTAATGGTGCTGTTTGGTGGGAGTGAGGTTTCCGTAAAGTATGCCTGTCTCTCGTATGCGGCGGATGCGGCGGTGTGCAGCTGCGGCCCACAGCTGTAGGTTGTAGAACGTAAAGTCATAATAGTCGTAAGAATAAACCCAAAATTCCTCGTTCGGCGCAATTTGTTTTATGTTTTTTCCCTTTCCCCTCCCCAGTTTCATGTTCCGTGTGCCCATTTCGTTGTCGCTTCTTGGTCTTCGTAAAAGTATCTGGGTGTCATGGAGAGCGCGGAGAGCCCGGCGAGCCCGGTGAGGACATGGCCTTCTCGACGCTGGCGTGACGCTTGTGCAGCAGCGGTGACAGCTGCAGCTCCCTCATGACGTTGCCCCAGCCCACCTTAGGGCCCGGGTTGACATTTTCGCTGTGGCCCATTGTCTGTTGACTGAGCCGGCGGAGGAGGGGTTTCTTCTTGATGCCCTCGGTGACGGCGCGGGGTAGCTGTGGCCGTGCTGCGAACTCGTCCTCGAACAGCCGGCTGCCGACCTTCTCGGAGCTGCTGACGGGCCTCTTCTTCTCGGGCGGCTTGCTCTGCGGGCCCGAGTTGGCGACGATGCCCATGTAGACGACAAGGAACCGCATGCGCAACATGTCTAGTCGCCGGACCTTGTCCTCCAGCCCCTTCCGCTTGGATGCCCACAGGAGCCTGGCGGTTGCCTTCAGCCTCAGGTCACCCAGGTCGCTCATGCCGTCGGCGCCGGCACCGACACCCCTGCACTCGGCCAGGAGCAACGAGTTGAGCTCCTCGCGCAGGTCATCGCCGCCTCGCTGGATCTCGCGGAGCAGGCGGCCCAGCCTGAGCTTGTCGTCCAGGCGCTGGACGCGGGAGACATCTCGGTCGTAGCTCTCGTTCTCCTGGACGGAGGAGTCGGCGGCGTCGACAAAATTGATGACCTCTGCGGGGGCGACGACATAGGCCTTGGCGTACTGCGAGAAGATCTGCAAGACAACGACGGCGCTGAGGAAAAGAGCGGTCAGGGCCAGGACGAAGGTCCACTGGGTGGTCACGGGGCTGGGGACCGTGGCCATGGTTGCTGCTACTGGGAGCGGTAGAGACGACGGCGTAAGCGCATGGCCTTGCCCCGGGTGCTTCAGGAGCGTTGTGCGGGATGCCTTGTGCGCCTCATGTACGAGATGAACACGTTGTATATATGTGTGGACGTGGCGTATGCAGGTATGAGAGGATTTGAGGTGGGAACAGAGTCGAGATAAGATCGGCCGAGAAGCGGGAGTGGAGAAGAGGGGACGAGTTCCCCACGCCAGCTAATTCGGACGGTTGGCAGGGAGAATCAAAAAGGCAGAGAAATGGCGGCGGCAGGGTGAAGGATGACGAAGAGTCAGTCTGTCATTTGCAGTGATGAATGGCATGTGCCAGGTACCGCTCGAGTTGCATTGGTCTGTTGGAACTATGCCTACACGGTCTAGGGAAGCCAGGTAGCACGATCCTGCTGCAAGGCACGGGGGCGTCGGTGTGAGTGGGAACGGAGAATTGGTCTCCTGCTCTTTCCCTCCCCGGCTCTCCCGGTGTCAATTCTGCCCTCCAGCCATCGAAGGATATGTAACAGACCGGACAGGATGGGAAAAAAAGAGAGAGGTCGATCTGGCCCCACTGTCGCGTGGCCTGTCGAACTGCTGCAGTGGCTGAGTGGGGGCCCGGAATCCGAACCTGCTGAAGAACCAAGATTCGCCCTCGACACGGCTCGCATCGCATCGAGGCGTCGGCCCACCAACAGGAGAGATTGGTTGGGTGGTGAGACAAGTAATCTCTGCTGCTGTACGACACGCCTGCTGTGCCTGCTGCATGAGTACATACGTGCCTACCTTGGTACCTTCCTAGGTGACCTTGAAAGGGGGAATTCCAAAAGAAGGTGATTTCTGTGCTTGGAAGGAGCTGTGAATGCCACTATCCACCGTATCACGGACTTACCTGCAGTACCTAGGTACCTTGGTATCCTGGCCCGTGCATGGCGATTAGTAAGCCCACCGGTAGAGCATCTCTGCAGGCTTGAGCTGAGCTACCGCTCCCACCACCTTCCAGCAGGTTCGCCCAAGAAGCCGTCTTCTTCATCGGCAATGCATAGGTCTCGCGCCCTTGGGTTTGATAGCCTTCTACAGTTGATCTTGGTAGATATTTCAATAACCGACACCTTATTATCCGTGTGAGCTAGGCTTATTGTCAGAGCTCTGCCGTGTTCTGCGTTCTCCTTGACACTGGAAGCCGATTTACTTCGCTGCTCCCTATCCTGATGCACAAACAGTCGGTCTACCTCGGGGGCGAAACCCATCCAAACGGCCGAGAAAATTGAAAACCACATCAAACATCACTCACTAGACTGACATGAACAAGTGGATCTCGACCGATCACAGGATTAGAATATAATCAATTAGGCTATACGCGCTCTACGAGGCGCTGGCATACTTGTTCTTCAGAGCCGTCGACGTCAACTCGGCCAGCTGGATCAAAGAACCCGTCCCCATAATCTCCAAGACACTGATCTGCAGCCCCAGCAACTGCCTGAACCACCTCCTCAGTTCAGTGGCCATCAGAGAGTCGAGGCCTATCTGCTTCAGGCTCAGGCTGGTGTCCACGTTCTCGCCGGGCTTCAGCATGAAGTCGTACACCTTGACGCCGATCTCGTGTGCCAGGAACTCGATGTTGGCCCTGTCGGCGAGGACCTCGGGCTCCTCGGCCGCCCTGGCCAGGAGCGCCTTGAGCGCTCCAGAGTCGTCGCCTGCGCCGGTGCCTGCCTGGCCACTGCGGATGTTGTGATAGCTTCCCATGCGGCGGTCGCGACGCCAGTTGCAGCGGTTGTTGGGGTCCTCCAGGTGCAGCTCAGAGCGCAGGCCCATGATTACCTGGCCGTCGTCCTTCCATGCCAGCGGCGGCTGGCTGGAGGGGGCGCCACTATCGACGGCCTTCCGGTCTGGCTTGTTGCTCAGGATGGTGTGCTCGACATAGTCGAGGTACTCCCTCTCGCCGAGGAAGTATATGCCCTGAGCCTTGGTGTTGCGCATGGCTTGTGCATTGTCCGCCACGAATCCCACCCCCTTGACCGGGCAGATGTTGAGCACCGAGGCAGGCAGCCCCAGTCCGCGGCGGTATTGTGCGAAGGCCTCGATGTAAGTGCTTGCGGCGCTGTAGTTCCCCTGCCCCGGCTGGTCGACGACAGTCACAACTGAACTGGCGAGCCAGAAGAAGTCGAGGGGCTGGTCCTTGAGCGTGTTGTGGAGGTTCCACGCACCATCGATCTTCACCCTCTTGACCTCATCCCACTGGGACCAGGTCATGTCGACCATGGGGCTGTCTCGGAGCACCATCGCGAGGTGGAAGACGCCCTTGATTGGCTTCTCTGACGCACGCACGGCAGCCTCGACATCCTCGAGATTCTCGACGCCACCCGCCACGGCATGGACCTCCGCGCCCAGCGACTCCAGCTCCTCGATAGCCTGCTTGCTGTCCTCGCTCACACCTGAACTGCGGGACAGGAATGTCAGCGAGCGGGCGCCGCGCTCGATCATCCATGTCGACATGGACTTTCCCAGGCCGCCGAGGCCACCTGTCAATAGGTAGGTAGCGTCCGGGTCAAACTCGAGCGCCTTGGCCGACGGCTCGGCCTTGAGCTGCGCCTCGGCGCCGGTCATGGAGACAACAACCTTGCCGATGTGACTGCCGTGTTGCAGGTGGCGGAACGCGCTCACGACGTCGGTCGACTGGTAGTGCTTGCGCGGCTCGATTGGGCCCAGCAGCCCCTTCTCGTAGAAATCGCTGAACTGGTGCAGCACGCGCCCGAACTCCTGCGGGCGCTTCCGCGCCATCTCGACGCCCTCGAAGCAGACAAACCGGCGGTTGCCGAGGAACGGGTTGAGGTCGAGCTTCCCGTGGCCGAGCATGTCGCGCTTGCCGATCTCGAGCATGGTGCCAAACTCGGCCACACACCTCCATGAGGCATGCAGCAGGCTGCCGGACAGCGAGTTGATGACGATGTCGACGCCGCGGCCGTCGGTCGCCGCCATGACGTCCGCGAAGAAGCTCTCGTCGCGGGAGTAGAATATGTGGTCTCGGGGGATCCCCTGCTCGCTCACGAGGAAGTCGACCTTGTCCTGACTGCCGCAGGTGGCATATATCTCAGCGCCTACCATCTTACACACCTGGATGGCGGAGAGGCCGAGGCCACCGCACGCAGCGTGGATCAGCACGCTCTGGCCCTTGCTGAGGTTGGCGATGTTGATCAGGCCATGGATGGTGGTGGCAAACACGACAGGCACCGACGCGGCGCCCTCGAAGTCGAGGCCTTTGGGGATCTTGGCCACGTGATAGCGGTTGAGCAGGGCGCGCGTGCCAAAGCAGCCCTCGGGGCAAAACGCGAAGACGCGGTCGCCGGGCATAAACTCGTCGACGTTGGCGCCGACGCGCGTGATGACTCCGGCCACGTCGAACCCGAGCTCGTTGTGCGGGATGACCCCCATGGCGATCAGGATGTCGCGGAGGTTGAGCCCGATGGACTTGGGCTCGATCTCGACCTCGTCAGCGGGGATCGCTGCGGGTGACGCGAGCTCTGTCCAGTACAAAGACTCGATATCCCCAGGCTTTCCCACTCGCAGTGACTTGATCGTCTCCTGCCCCTCGAGACTCTTGAGCGAGAGCTCATCTGTCAATGAGAAGGGGTGGTATCGACCGATGCAGATTAAACCATTGTCTACAACGAACTCCTTGTCCGACACAAGGTTGTCATCGTCCTCTTCGGTACGAATCTTATTAAAAACCTTCAGGACTAGGTCTGCAAATCCGGGCTCGCTCTTGCTGATCTCCAGGGTATGGAAAGGAGTCGCCAGCTCCGTCCGCACCGTCCTGGCCGCCCCGAGAGCTTGTGCCGAGCGTGGATCCTTGCATTTGATCTGCACCGGGCTGGTCAACCAGAGAAGGTTCTGGTTGGTGCCTTGCGTGCGGATCAACTCGCGGAAGTTCAAGAAATCGGGTTCGTTGATGTTGTCGAAGAAGTTCTTCTCGATGTCGACCGTGACAAGGACATCTTGGCCTCGCGGCAGGGTCTCACCCAGTTTGAAGACGCCCACGCTGTATTTGGCTTCTTCCAACGCGGACTTGAGGCCTGTTGCAACTTCACCCGCTGGCTCCAGCGTCAGAAGAGACACATTGGTCCCTCGCGGTTTCACGTCGACAGGGCGCCTGGAAAAGATGGTGGTACAGCACATGTAGGGTGCTTCCTCGTCGTATACCGCACTTTCGACACCTGTGAATCCTGACGCGAGAAGCTCGTCATGCCAGCGGGCAGGAGGCACGTAGGGGGCAAAGGGCCGCCCGTCAGCCTCACCCAACCACCAGCCAACAAAGTTTCCGAAGATATACGTGGGTGAGCGGAGCTCGGTGCAGATCTCGGTCAGAACGAGGGCACCGCCCGGTCGGAGAAGCTTGTTGAGGTTACCCAAGGTCTCCTTGAGAGACGCTGTGGCGTGCACAACGTTTGCCGCAAAGATCACGTCGTAGGTACCCTCGGTGAAATCCTGCCCGAGCGGGTCCTTGGAGATATCAAAGACCTTGTAGTCCATGTTGGGGGCATATGCGAATCGCTCCCTGGCCTGCGGGAAGAATCCCGCCGACACGTCGGTAAATGTGTAGGTCGAGTAGCGGGGGAGACCTCCCTCGTGCATCAGGTCGCGAAGGATGAGCTCAGTAGTACCGCCTGTGCCGGCACCAACCTCAAGGATCCTCAGTGTTGGTTTGGTGCTCGACAGCAGCCGCACAAAGTCACTATATCCGAAAGACATGGCGTTGTACAGCTCAGCCAGTACACCGCCCTCCATGAGGACATCGATCGTGTCGATTTTGCCCGTGAAGATGCTCGCGATGTTGTCGTTGATCCGCTTGAGACCTTCGGTGAGACCTGCCCTAGCCTTGCCAGAGAGCGACTGATATAGCTGGTCTATTCTCGACGCGCGGTCTGCCTGTGACAGGGAGAGAAAGCTGGCCGAGTCTTGAGCCAGACGGTTTTTGCCGTCCCTGGCATTCTGGATCTCCCGGCCCAGGAACGCCCGCAGCTTTTCAAAATGTGGCTCAGCAGGCTCCAGGCCCCGGAGCTTCTCTTCGCTGTCGATAATGCACAGGAGTGTCAGCTGCTCGATCAGCTGCAGGTTCTCTCTGTTTGTGGGCGGCGCCTTGAACAGCGGCGCGACGTCGACGAAGTCAAAGTCCGGGAGCCACTCCAGCCGCGCTGCGGCGTAAGGATCGTATTCCATCTCATCGCCCTCATCGAGTGGAGTCAGCTCGAAGCCAGACAGCGACAGTGTGCGTTTTCCGTCCGAGGCACATTCGATGCCCGGCTTCTCGTCGCCGAAGCCCCCGAAAGCGACGGCGGTCATCTTGTCACCGCCCCGGCGGATCTCCAGGCTCTCGATGAGCGTCGGCATGAGCAGCCGGTCGAAGTTACGCCCTAGGCCCCTGGCCTGCGACAAGAGGCAAAGCTGGAAGCACGCGTCGATTGCCACCGGGTGCATCACGTAGGGCTTCCTCTGCTCGCTTGGGGGCGCGGTCAGGTCTGCGGAGGCGCGAGGCTCTGTCGTGGAGCAGCTTACGTTCTGCAGCCGACGGAACTCGGGGCCAAACACAATACCTACGTCTGCCATGTAGTCGTAGAAGCGTGAGATGTTGACCTTCCTGGGGCGCTCCTCCCGGACCAAGCCACTCGGGCGCTCCTGGTCGACTGCCTTCACCTGGCCCTCGGCATGCTTGGTCCAGGTAGCGCCATTGTAGGACGAGAGACTGAACTCGTACCACTCCGAGACGTCGGAATCGGTAAGAGCATGGCGGCGCAGTGTCGTGATCAGCTCCACGCCCTTTTCGTGCGTGAGGACCATGGCGGCATGAGCCACGACATGTCTCATGCTGTAGCCGGCGTCGATGCCGGCCATCTGCCGGACAGCTTCACCAGCCATGGCGACGTAGCCTGCAAATGGAAAGACGACGTCGTCCTTGACTTTGTGGTCGGCGATCCATTGCTCGTCCTCCAGGTACAGCACATTACGCCACTGGGGCGCAGTATCTGGCGATTCGGGCACCCTGGCTCCGAGCAGCGCGTGGTGGGCGTACTTCCTCGTTCGCCAGGCGCGAGAGATCCTGCTTTCATACCAAAATGATGCGCTGTGATCCCAGGCGTACGTCGGTAATCCTGTCAGGACCTTGCCGCCGGGGTAGAAGCCTGCGAAGTTGACGTCAACGCCATGCTGGAAGAGTTTGCCGGATGCCGACAGGTAGGTCTTGGTAGCGTCGTCTCCGCGGGTGAGAAGCGACACGTACTCGCACGGCCGAGAGGCGTGGGTGCAGATCTGGCGCAAAGGACCGGCTAGGGCGGAGTGAGGCCCGATCTCTACAAAAACTCCGTCGGGATGGGTGTCGAGAAGCTTGGCCACAGCCGTGGAGAACCGCACTGGCGATACGAGGTTTGCCTGCCAGTATCCTGGCCCAAACACGAACGTCGGGTCTGTTGCCTCGCCAGTCACGCTGGAGACAAGAGTTGCAATTGCATTGCCCTTCCATGGGGAATCCAGCTTCCCGAACTCCTCTTCAAGTAGCTTGGCGTATACCTCGCCGATTGCTACCATGTAGTCTAGGAACAGAAAGTCAGCGCTGACCGCTCGATCGAGAATCCCAGTTGAGGGTTTGGAAACATACGAGAATGGTAGGCCATGTCGACCTTCAATAGCCGGGCCAGCGTATCCGGACATTCTGACTTCACCTTGGAAATGACTTCGACGACCTTGTCCTTGTCACCCGATATTGTTACGCTGGTCGGGCTGTTTTCGCAAGCAACCACCACGCCGTCGACGAGGTATGCGGAAGCTTCTCGTGGCCCCAGCCCAACAGCCGCCATAGCCCCCTCTAGCGTCTGCTGTTTGGTGACAAAGCCACGGTAGTATGCAGCGATGATCGCTGCCTCAAACGAGATGGCGCCGGTGGCATATGCGGCTGCGACCTCACCGCTCGAGTGGCCGACGACAGCTGCAGGTCTGACACCGGCTGACGAGAGCTTGTTGAAGAGGGCGACCTGGATAGCTGTGCAAAGTGGCTGGGAGAGCTCGGCTGTGTTGACTCTGCTTGTCTCGGCCGGCTTCAACAGCTCCTCTGAAAAAGGTGTAACAACATGTCAGCAATCGATAGAGACAATTTCATGAGTGGGAGTTGCTCTGAATCATGTCTTTCTTACCCATAATATTCCACTCAGGCGGGTTTTTGAGTCGACGAAGAACCTCGTCCATTTTTTCGATATCCCGTCTGAAAGACGGGTCCGATATGGCAAATTCCTTGCCCATACCTGCCGGGAAAGAGTGGTCGTCAGCTCATACTTATTCTCCGTTACACATTGATACTAATGGAAGACTGTCATCGCTCCAGCACGGTCTTTGTTGAGTACGTACCAGCCCATTGGGCCCCTTGCCCGCTGAAAATTAGGTACACGTCCTGCGTTCTGGCCGGTGCCTTGGCCAGACTTGATGTTTCGAGTATTTCGCCATCCTGAACCACCGTGAACGCACGGTGAGGCAACTTCTCGCGTCTCGCGTTGAGGGTGTAGGCGAGATCATATATCTCTGGCGCAGAACCGGATACCACAAGATCCTGGATTCGCCTCATCTGCTCCTTGAGGGACAGTGCCGTGTTGGCTGAGACAAGCAGCAGCTCGGGCTTTGAGACTTCAGCCTGGTCATTGCCGAGATGGCCGTTGGGCAGTGTCAAGGCTGGCCCGCAAGAGTGATAGGCTTCAAGGATGACCTATTTTCATGTCAGCCTGAGTGATCACATGATAAGGGAGCTTCCAGAGCTGGCATACGTGAGCGTTGGCACCGCCAATGCCGAAAGAGTTGATGCTGATCCTTTCCTTGCGATCCTCAGGAAAGGGAGTCGGCACCATTGGTACCTTGAGCTTCTTCTCGGCAAATGGAACTAAGTCGAAGTCAGCTTTCCCTTTATTTCTTGCTTTAATTCTTTCTTTGTTTTACGTGATTTCGTTATAGTCTTCAGCTCTTTGACACAGGACTCTATGACTTACTTTTTGGGTTTGGAGTATTAAACTTAATGTTTGGTGGGATTATTTTGTGCTCCAATGCCAGGACACACTTGATCAAGCTGTTGAGGCCGGAGGAGCCTTCGGAATGGCCCATGTTTGGTTTCACCGAGCCGACGTACACGCCCTTTTCAGCAAAGACATTGCCAACGGCACCTACCTCGATTGGATCTCCTGTAAACGTTCCCGTACCGTGGCACTGAGACAGGCAGGTATGTTAGTATATGATGAGACGGAATGCGCGTTGGAGGCGCAACATACCTCAACAAAAGCTGTCTCGGCAGGATCAAGACCGCAAGCCCCATAGACCTTGCGCATGAGTGCTTCTTGTGCCTCGCCATTGGGTGCCATCATCCCCTGACCTTTGCCGTCACTGTTTGAGCCTGTCGCTCTTATGACGGCGCGGATAGCGTTGCCGTCTCGGATGGCTGCTGATAGTGGCTTCAGATATACGGCAGTGATTGCTTCGGCTCGGGCAAAGCCGTCAGCACTTGCGTCAAATGACTTGCACGATCCTTCTGGTGAGAGAATGCCTTCAGCAAAGAAGGCTGCCGTGATTGTTGGGGTCATGATGAGACTTGTTCCCCCAACAATTGCTCCAGTTGCATCACCATCCGCAATTGCTCGGCATGCTTCGTGGAGTGCAATGAGTGAGGCAGAGCAACCCGTCTTGATGGTCAGACTGTCATAGGCCGTTAGCTTGAGAAGCTGAAAGAGGCCTTATTTGCGCTGGGATGAAAGGACTTGCCTTGGGCCTTTCAGGTCATATTCATAAGAAACACGATTGGACAGCATCAGATCACCATGCCCCGTCGTGACGTAGCCAAGTCCGCCCTGAGGGTGAAGTGTCTCTTTCCCGGCCATTTGAGCAAAATCGTCTCCGAAAGTTCCCACGAAGCTCGCGATCGTCTTCCCTCTGTAGTCGGTCTCACCTGCATCTTCGAATGCCTCTCGAGTGACCTCGAGCAGGAGTCTCTGTTGAGGATCACATCTTTCGACTTCCTTCCTGGACATGGAGAAAAAAGACGTATCGATTTGGGAAATATCATCCTCGAGGAAGTATCCAAATCTGGTTTTAATGGGCCCTCTTCCTCCCAGCGAGTCATCGAAGCCATCAATGTTGTATCGTGAAGGTGGGATCGGACCCCTGGCGTCCTTTCCATTGACGAGAAGGTCCCAGTAGTCGGCAGTGTTCCGAATCCCGCCAGGAGCTCGAAGGGCAACACCACACACAGCCACGAGAGTCTCGTCTGAAGACCCAGCATGGACCTCAGGTAATTTCTCCGAGCCAGGGCTAAGGTCGGGAGTGAGTTGGAAGTACGATGACATGGTGATAAATGGCGGTAAATAGAGTGCTTCGCAAAGATAGTTGAGGCAACGATGCTCGGTGGTTTACTGTGAGCAGGCAAAGGCGAGAATGGCAAGCTGTTGAGAGCAAGCGAAACGATGAATATCAGAAAGCACGATGATGCACTGCAGGCTCCTTCGAGAGGACAAGCAGCATCAGCGGGTGAGGCACGTTCTTGAAAGACCCTTTTATACACGGCGCAGGACTTTCTTCCACGAGCATCATACGCCAGGCCCGAGTGCTCCTTTTGGAGTACCCCAGCAGGGGCAGTCATCCCTGTGCAACGAATCCTGGCAAAGGCATTCTATGTTGTCTATTCAACTCCATCTTACCGTATCCAGCCACATATCTGTGTGTAGCTCTGAGACAAAGTCGGACCACACGGGATTTTCTATCGGGTAAGGCCAGTGGCCATGTGCCGATTCACTATAGTAGCCCACTTTACCACCGTAACATCTGAGTAGTGTGAACTCCATAGAGGCGCCACACAGCTCACTCCCCACCAACAAGGCAAAGAGTGACAATTACGGCAGTTCCCGGGGCTAGATCCAATAATTGCTCTCTTAGGTAATGTGGTGAAGGCCCAGTTGAGGTCACAACACCACAGCAACCCGCCGTTTGTATATGCGATATCTGAACCGCACTACAACTGATCCTGGGAATGATGAGGAAAGCCTGCCTTCACTCGCACCTTTGTTAGTAAGGCAACAATTCCCAAGATTACCTGGCTGAGGAAAGCAAAAATTTGAACGGCGCCTCTTCTGACAGGGACCTCCTACCGGAGAGCATTAGTGACCTACGATAATTCGTTTAAGCTGGAAAGCCTTGAAGCAGCCCCTGCTACATTCTTGCGACCTGACACTCGGCCTGTACATATGCGAGACTACCGAAACTACCGACACCACCGACACTACCGACACTACCGAGACCGTCGAGAAGGACTCACTACATAGGGGTGAAATATTAGTGTCGTCGGCGTGTCGCCGAATTGACGCCTACTTCACGAATCATGCACAGGTTCCTGCGGTGCGCGCCGTGGCTTAGCGAGTAACTACCTCTACTTGGCAAATACTATGGTCTGGTCTGAGGACTGCCAAGGCCCCACCATAGATCAGTTGATTTGGACGATTTCCTCTGTTACGTGGCTGTGAAGGGAGAAGGAACTTTATATCTTTCTTGGCTGTCCGGGATGGGAAGGCTTGAACCCCACAGGCGATTCATACTGCCGGTACTAGCCTTCCACACTTTTCCAAGATTGCAGCGGATATGATAAGTGGCTAATGTAGAAGGATTCATCCAACATAGTTTTGGTCGGAACGAACCTGCTGTATAAGGTTGGAATATGCATTACATGTTTCCATATGTTTTAAGATGTAAGGTGCACGTGTCCAGATGTCGTCTCAAGGATTATTATTTCCGGCAGCGGGTACCTAGTATGTACTTAGTAGTCTCACTACGGGGCGGGTACCCAGCGCATTTACAATGGAGCCACGAGCCTTGTTTCGCGCTTGTGATACGGTGTGTTGAAGATTGTGAGGGCCCATATCCAACGTCACTTTAGAACCTATAGCAGTATCGATGCCCCGCTGCACGATGTGGTCTTGGCCCGGCCTAGCTCCAGAGCACTTTGACTCATGTATCGCACCAGAGAGGGTCTTCCGAAGTCTTGGGCGTAGCCACTCAACATACGATTCTGCTTGCCTTGCACAGAAAGATGCCAAAATAGAGCTTCGGCGGTTTCACGAGGCTAAAGTTCTACCAGGGTGCCAAAGGGCAAGATCGATTCCAATACCGAACCTTGATGATCTGGCTGGTCATCGAGTCCACTGGGGATCTAGTCCATCTCGCTAATACTCGTCGTGGAAGTAGAATTATCTGATCAGCTGATGAATGGATACGGTGATGGCTTGGGTCACCATCAAACCTCGCACCTAATAGGCTCTACACAACTCGTCCGGGGTGACCACGGGAGCTGTAGGGCGCGTACGTGTCATCAAGTACGGTTAACGCCAAGTCTTCCATGGCTACGGGGTGCGCAAGCGGCCGACCGGAATGGCTCGTTAAGCCGGTGAGTCGCAGAGCGATCGGGCAACGCCTCAGTGGATCAGCTCCATCTTACGGTAGATGGCGATACGCGGGGATCAATTTACATCAGAGGCCCTGGAAGATCGAGTACGAAACTCAAATGTGAGCGGGAAACGAGAAAGACGAGAAGACATTACTTATGACCCATTGTTTGCAAACAACATCATGGGTCCAAGATGAATTGCGCACAGGTCGAGACAGACTTATCCATAGTTGCCATGTACTATTTTTTACGTGAAAGCAATGAATACCAGTGGCTTTAATTGTGAGAGTAACATGTGCGTGTACAGCTTGTACTGCTGTCCTATCTGGTTCTCCATGTAAATATCCACTCTCTTCAATAGCAGTCTAGCCTGGTTTTGTGTTTGTGGGATCGGCCCCACGGATAGATCTGGACGAACTGACACGCGCAGGTAGTGAGTGGTTCGACTGACAAGATCTGTACGATTTGTATCAGATCATCCAAGTGAGGTGTGATCCAGGGTGGTCTTTCAGGAGAGCGGCAGGCATTACAGATCGCACTTTACTACTTTGGTTGTTAACTGCAGCTAGTCATAAACCTGTAATATCCAGGCCACCCAGGCTTGGTAACAAATCCTCCCTTGACTTCGATCCGGGCTCTTTCCACTCAACGATTGCACACCATATTCGCAATGGAACCATCGTCTCCTCTCCCGTCCTCGTTCGCCTCGGATCCCTGGACTCGTGGCGTCCAGCCGCTCCCAGCCTTCCTGATCACCATTGTGCTAGTTGCTCTCACTGTTTTCTTGTCCTTTCAATCCCACTCAAACCTCAAGGATGTGCCGATTCTTAATTCTGGGAAAGGGTTTTCGCCCATGAAAGTAGCGTCCAAGGTGAGCCTGCCATCCAGGTAGAGTCTCCGTCGTATGCACGCCTTGTTGCTAATTCAGATGTCACCCCAAGCGCGAATTTGTGTTGAAGAGTAAGGAAATCCTAGCAAGAGGCAGAGCGCTATTCGCTGGGAAGCCTTACCGCCTGATTACGGACTTGGGCGAAATCGTATTCCTGCCAATTGAGCTTTGTGAGGAGGTAAAGAATGACCCAAGGCTTAGTTTCGGAACTGCCTTCAGCCGTGTAAGCATGTGTCCCTAGGTTCCTTGATTTGGTCCTTAATCAAGATGTTGACTGGGAGATGAAGGACTTTCACGGACACATCCCCGGATTCGAAGGATCATCTGAACAAGGCTACAAAGATGGGCTCATACAGACAATCACAAGAAAGCAACTCACTCGTTCTATCGGCAAGTGCAACTTTACGCATCTCTATTAAGCATGCTTCAACACCATGTATGGCTAATTAGTTGCACAGCACAGGTCACCGAGGCCATGTCTGAGGAGGCGGCGATATCGATGTCAATGAACATCGGTGAGCCAAATGGTACAGTTGCATCCCACTCCAGCAGTTCTATTTTTGAATAATACTTACCACCCGAGGGCAGAGTGGAGGGACATACACCTGAAACCAGTAATTCTTGAGACGGTTGCAAGAGTATCAAGTCGCATCTTTGTAGGAGAACTCTGCCGTGACAAAAAATGGTAAGTTTGTACTGTTCAGAAGTATGAAACGCCTTTTACTGATCAGTGGCAAAAACAAGGATACAAACTACCATCGACTACACGGTCAATTTCTTCATCGCCGCAACGTATCTGCGCATGATCCCCGGCCCCTTACGTCGCATATGCCACTGGTTCGTACCACAATGCAGAGAGGCCCGAAGGCAGTTTGACGAAGCACGCCGGGTCATCGCGCCCGTCATAGAGAAACGTCGAGCACTCCGCGCCGAGGCGCTGAGTGCCGGCAGACAGCCTCCAGATTTCCACGACGCCATCGACTGGGTCGACCAGGAGGCCGTCGACAGGGGCGTCAGCTTCGACCCGGCTACATTTCAGCTCATGTTGTCAGTTGCTGCCATACACACGACCGTGGATCTGTGCACCGAGTTCATATTGCAGCTGGCCGCCAACCCTCAGTACTTTGCCCCTATTCGCGAGGAGATTGTCCGCGTCCTCAAGGCCGACGGGTGGACAAAAGGCTCCTTGTACAACATGAAGCTCCTGGACAGTGCTCTCAAGGAGTCGCAGCGGCACAAGCCACCCGGAGTTGGTAAGCAAGTCCCCGTCCGCAGAAGCGAACTTCACTTCGTGATGGCGTCCACATATGAGCTAACCACTTATCATGTTTCCTGAAGCATCACTGCGAAGGCGCGTAGAAGAAAAAATGACACTATCTAACGGCCTGGCTCTCAAGGTTGGCGACAGAATCGCTTTTGACACGTATCGGTAAGTTATCACGAGATCCTTCCTCATAAGGCTAGAATAATCGCACTGACGGGGTTTTATTCAGGATGGGAGATCCGGACCTGCACGAAGACCCTCAAAAATGGGACCCTTACCGATTCCTCAGGATGCGGGAGCATGCTGAGACAGAGACTGAGGCTCTGCTAGTCACCACGAGCCCAAATCACCTGGCATTTGGGTAAGCAACTTTCGGATTGTCGAAACCATCTTAACCCCATCAAAAAGAAATTCCTCCCATTGAGCCTGCTTCTCCTGAAAGGCTTTGTCAGGCCGCAGATTTCGAGGCAGGCTACCATGTGCCCTTCCTCCCTGCATTTGAGTAGAACTACTTCCTCAATGCTCTAATGGCTAACTCTAAATTCTGTAGGCATGGCAAACATGCTTGCCCTGGCCGCTTCTTCGCGGCGACTGAGATCAAGATCATCCTGTGTCATTTAATGATCAAGTACGAGTGGGAATTGGCCCCGGGTACTGACATTAAACCAATGGCTCTTGGCTTCACGAACGGTGTCAGCCCCACTGCGCACATTCTGATTCGTAAGCGCAAGGCGGTGGAGATTGATATAGATTCGCTTTGGAGCACCAGAGATCAGTAATTGCCTGGTGTAGAACTAGCATGATATATGTGTGGTCAAGCTCCCGGTATTGAAACAAGTTCCTTCACGTAATATTTAGAGCATTGATAAGTTGTAAGCTGTCAGGAAACCCACAGTGTCGTAATGCAACAACGTCCTGCAAGGAAGATGTACAATCTGCTCGGCTACCTGTGCGCCATCTTGCCTTTTGGGCGCGTAGATATGGCTAGAGATGGTACAACTGCGGAGTGGTGTGCTTAAGAGCCTTACCCGGAGGTGCCGAATTTTCCGTATGACAGGTTCGACAGCGACGTGAAGAAGCTTGGTGAGTTTTCTCTGAGATAATTGAGGTGAGAAAGGGGAAACTGTCTGTCTCACTACAGATGACAGCCCAAAGGTATTTGAAAATGCACCGCTTGGTCTACAGTTGGTGGTTCCTCGTACCAGGAAGAGTTGTGTCTCAAGATATCAAGCACAATAGATGAAGTGTCAAAAAAGTACAAGGCAATATTATCAAAACTACGGGCAAAAGTAACCAACGCCAAGCACGCAGGCATGCAAAAACAACAAACAGGTTTGCAAAGACAACAAATCTGTTCAGTCAATCAGTCATTCTGCAGCCTTGTACCAAGCTCCACAGCCCTAAATCAAAGACTAGGATTACCAAAAGAGTGTTCAAGGTGAGCAACATAGTGTGCATAAGCTGTTTGCCAGCAAGGGCCTGTATCATCCAGTGATTCTAATCCAAATTGGAGTGCCTCGTGGATGTGCTCCGGTGTTAGAGCATCCAACCTCGCCCAGGGTACATACAGCCGGCTGTCGAATGCAAAATCGTGCAAGTCAGTAAAATTCAGACTGGACGATGCAGGAGAAGTATCAAAAAGGGGCAAAAAGATCTCCCCTCTCGGGATCGAACCGAGGACCTGTAGATAGCTACATGTACGTTTACAGTCTATCGCTCTTCCAGCTGAGCTAAGGAGAGCTGTGAATTTGGCGAGTTGTATTCATCCTGGCCCTGGATCTTGTGATCTCGTTCAACAGCACCCTGGGTGACAAGTATCAGTCGTCTCGGAACCAGTGACTAGCTAGACAAATGTATTATATGGCTCCATGTCTCACTATGGAAGTTATCAACTTGGGCATTTTTTTTGTGCTAGGCACCATAAAAAGTATCGTCTCTTAGTACCTAGGTAGACAATGCAAGTCACACACTTGGAATTGCACCAATGTTCAACAGACATGAAGTAGAGCAGCTCGTCGGACAAACAAATCAGCTAAATTTGAGCCTTCTTACAGTTTTTACTTCTTAAAGCCCTGGTAAGGAAGGTTTTTGTTGCGGTTTGTTTCTGGACCCACTTTTGGGCGGCAGATTGTTGAGTATCTCGCTGGAAAGTGTGCTTAAATCTGTGTCACCACCACCATTTTCAGTCTGGAAGCACGTTCTCTTGTCAGTACTTCTAATTTTCGAGGGCCAAATCAAGTTGGTACAGGACATTATAGTGGTCAAGCTCCACGTTAAACTGACAGACGAGAACAAGGCAGAACTTCACCTTGGACTCCGACGGTGGCTGTGCCTGGGGTGACTGGTTGTTCATCTGGCCATCTCCGGACTGACCGAGTACAAACGGACCACACAGGTCTAGACACGGGCCTCCTTCAGATGCACCGAAAGAAGTCATTCAGCCGGGAGGCGTCCCTTGGTCTCGACTCAGCCCGCTGACAGCCTCGGCTATGGCAATTATCGGTTGGGTTTTGCCTTGAGGTTCATCGACACTATGCAATACCCAAATATATAAGGGAGTACAGATTGGGATTTTAATATGAATTTGATTTTCTTGCGCAGGGGACAACGGTCTTTTTTGTTGCCGACAAATGTGTTTCCGGGGAGTACGTAGCAGCCTCAAATACCTTGAATATTCTGCTCTCAGCATCTCATAGTATTAACGGTTGTGTAGTCAAGGTACGAGGACGAGGATCAGGCATTCGTTAGGCCAGCTCCTTCGTCGGAGCAGAGGAACCATGCCACCCGTTACAGGTACGGCATGCAAGGTTCGAGGCGGACCAACGACACATCTGCCACCTTCACGGCCTCGCGATGCCGCTCAGGCTCAGGAAACCCTGTGGCTGGCTGTACAGCCTCCCGCGCCGTGATAGCCGTCTCCAAAGTGGTAGCCGCCATGGCTACCTCTTCCATAATGGCCGTGATGAGATGCGCCACCATGACCATGATGATGGTAATTGGTGGTACCTTGTTGGGAAGGCAGAGAGCATCCTCAGACTGAGCGGCATCGTGTGGAAGGGCCGAGATGGGAAGTGACGGCGAAAGAAATCCTCCCCATCTACCGCTGCCCTGGAATGTCTTCACTTGATGAGAATCTATGCTGCAGGGGCGCAACCCGTGAGTAAACAGCGTATTTTATCGTGATGATTGTGTTGCTGACATGTCCCTTAGGATCCAACCCACCCTTGCCCGAGATGCTTCTTTCCGAATTGGAATGCTTGTATGACTGGACTTCTCAGCGGATTGGCGGAAAACGACATAGAAGATCTCGAGTTCATGAACTACACAGCCTTGATCAAGCTTTCGCGTCCCCCCGAGAATCTTCTCAGAGATGCATTGGGACAAATCGAGCCCGAGGTCCTGGGGCTACAAGGAAAGATCATTACGGGTGTAAGCGACTGTAGAGTAAAAGCATCGGAACAGACTCTAATCTATCATAGCTTCTGCGGAGCGCAAGAGAAGCAGCTCTCGCGTGGAGCGCCTTGGCCTGAAAAGGGGGGCTACGCAGAGGGGGTGTTTGACGATCGACTGCCTGAATATGTCAGGTTTTATATTGGGCAATCCTCGCGACTGCTAGTACGTATCTCCGCTGATAATTCTGCGAGGACACTCGACGAAAACGTGAAAGCACTACACTATTTTGTACTTGCTCGCGGACGAGGCCATCGATCTGCGCGCTTTTATTGGCTATGGATTTGCCTCCTGGTTCCTCGTAAGCGAAACCAGAGAATAGGGAGACAGGGGGGTCCACGCTGTCTCGACTCGATCTCATACAGAACCTTCTTGAGATGACGTTCTGTCGCGCATTTGAGCCTATGCCTGGCAGCATCTTAACCCAATTCTTTGGTCCCGCAGGATATTCGAATGTCGGTCTGAACAATCTGCCCCCGTTGTTTCCCAGGGAGGCAAATTTCCATCTTTCAAACGAGCCAGGTATCTGGAATGCCACAGAGAACCTCCTGATCCCGACATATCAGTCTTCGTCGATATACGAAAGGAACAAAAGGCGCAAGAAAGGAACGCCAAAGTCCAGTCTATGGCCTACCTTAGAGGAGACTGCCGCCAGGCCATTTGGCATCTCGTAGAAGAAGCTGCTCTAAATGCAGCTTCTCTTTCGTATTTCACCAGCCCAGCTGATGGCGTACAGTGGACCCAGATTGAAAGCGAACTACGGGCGCTGGAGATAGAGATGAGGAATGTTCTATCCCAAGAAAGCAGATCATTTGCCGCCTCTTCTGGGACTCCCCGGGCCAAGCTAAGCGTTATACTGTGCTCAGAGTCCACTGGCATCAAATAAGATGGATACGAAATTCAACTCCTTCAAGGCTTGAGGCTAGATTAGAAGAACGCTCTTCTCTGGACCAGCTCTTTTGAGAGGACGGGCCTCTGGACTTTCAGAGACTGCAGCGAACCTCGACCTTAAACGTCGAAACGCTTCTCTTAACCATTCCATCATCATACGAACCGGTGTTAGAGTCGTCATACTCTGCGGGCTGAAGGCTGGACTCTTATTTGCATTTCTGGACCAGTTATTTGGCCCACATGAGCTCTTTCTTCGAAACTACTCTCACAGCATATGGCTCCAAACTTCCGGTAAGGACGTATTCAAGATCATTATCGCGAGCCCTGAGCCCTTGGCCTTTGTCCATCTTGCGAAATAGTACTCAAGCGAGACGCTTGAGAGATGTGTTTGGGCTTGTTAGTGCTCTTGCTAGCGATAATATCAAGCGCAATTTCTGGGAGAATGCCTGCTTTCACGTAGCTCTATCTATATAGGTCCGGCGTGAGAAAGAGCGTGTAAAGCCGCTAATGGCGGCATCCCTAGGCGGTGTCTTTCACGATTGGTCGCACTATTGAGGCTTCGTTGATGATGCCGGTGTCGAAGAACTTAGTTAGGAAATTTGACTGTGGCGCTTTTGCAGATCAGCTCTATCTGAGCGGGCAGGTTGAGGGAGTTCACGTTCATAGACCACCAGTTCATATAAAATACAAAGGAAAGTATGACCCTGCTGCTTTCGACAAGACTGCGTATTTCCTCGAAAGCGTCTATTCTAGACGCCAGGTCGTTGTATAAGAGTTTAAGAAGGTGCGAAGCGACGACTACCTTGAAGATAAGCAGTAGGATGAGGATGAAGACAAGGAGGATAACCAGATCCATAATGATGTGGTTGATATTGACAGGCCCATCGTTAAACTGATCCAGAAATAAGTATTGGATGGGCATGTTTCAGAGGAGGACGACGAAGAAGAACATGGCCCGGACGGATACGACGAGGCGGGCCCAACTCACCCGCCCAGAACCGGAACCGTTGGAGGCGGCAGGGCCTTGTTCCCCGAAAAAGAAGACTCGCGATCTAGGCTCGCCGCCGTGCTCACCGAGGGTGACCACATCAGAGCCACTCAAGGTTCTAGATCAGGCTCGTATTCCTAATCAACGACCCATGCGCTCGTCAAATTCACGCCGATCCCGGATGTCGGAGTCAAATTTTGTGACAGGCCGCTTTTTGCCGTGCGCGCGGATCTGGCAAAAGCTGGACTCAGGCATGAGCGTCGCGTCCTCGGGAACCTCCAGCAGTACAATTCCAGCGATCCTTGCCTCCGGCTGGCTGCACAATACCGACTTCTCGACAACGATGATCGCAGGGGTCCATGGTCGATCTGGAAATGGGCTGCGGCCCGCCGGCCGAAGAAGAAGAGTGCTGAGCTGGAGAGGATCTCCAAAGCCAATACCCTCGTTGACCTCCTCGAAGGCAAAACCTCCTCTGAACTTGAGGGAATCCACCGGAGATCTCTATCGCGGTGGGCACATGCGAGGGAAAAAAAAGAGAAAGGTGGATGCGCTGGATCTTGATGATGCGGCGGCGAGACTCGCTGGTAATTGCTCACAGACCACCTGCAGCCGGTTGTGCAGCCGGGAGACGTTACTTAGTCCATTGGCTAGGTAGCTTTCACTTCTAGAGGCATGCAAAATCAACCTTCTTTGCCTTCGTTTTAGTTGTACGACCACAAAAAAAAATGTCCAACCGAGACATTTCAAGAGTCACATATCACTTTTTCAGAGATCGACAAAAAAAGTCTCCCCTCTCGGGATCGAACCGAGGACCTGTAGATAGCTACACATACGATTACAGTCTATCGCTCTTCCAACTGAGCTAAGGAGAGGACGCCGGTGGCGAGCAAGACTTGTTCATATACCACAGCCTTGATGTCCTGTGAAATCGCTCCGGGCACCTGCCGGCTCGCCGGAACCCACACTAGATATTCTCAACGCCGCGTGTGTACCAAGTGGACGAGTCTGCCTCGCTCTTTTCCTATCCAGACAAGAGACTGTCATATGCAGTCGCGAAGTGCAGCTTGGACTAGGACTGTGCAACGATACATTTGACACGCACGTGAGGCCCGATGAGGCCCATAATAACACAGCTGCCTATGCTAGATACCCAAACGCTGGGAGATATCTTTGGTTTCCTGCCCCTCCTTGCTTGGGTGCGGGACACCAGCTCCAAAGCAGCGTAGCAGTCCACTCACATCGACAAGAAACGGTCAATACTTAACCATTGCAAAGCCCAAACACTCCCACATGACACCCTCGCCAAGTTCTCCCAATCCAGCTACTGAACCGCAACCCAAACGGCTGAAGGTCACACACCCCGAAAATCTCCCGCACGCATCCGACCCCGCGCCCACAAGCTCGACCAAGACCACAACCACAACGGCAGTCCCTCCCGCGCCCACGATGGCCGGGCAGACCCCGATCCCGCTCCCGCGCGTGCTCACGCACCGCGCCTCGCAGGCGCCCGAGCTGATCACGCAGGGCGCCGAGGGCCTGCTGTACAAGACCTTCTACCTGCAGCCGTCGCTGCCCTGCGCGCTCAAGCACCGCCCGCCCAAGCCCTACCGCCACCCCATCCTCGACGCCCGCCTCACGCGCCAGCGCATCCTCGCCGAGGCCCGCATCCTGGCCAAGGCCCGCCGCGAGGGCGTCCCCGTCCCCGCCGTCTACTGCGTCGACGAGGCCCAGGGCTGGATGATGATCGAGTGGGTCGCGGGCCAGCCCGTGCGCGCCCGCGTCAACGCGTGGCTGGGCGACAAGACGGAGGCGGAGGTGCTGCGCCAGGTCGGGGGCGACGGCGACGGCGGCAACGCGGAGCTCGTCGCCCTGGTGAGGAGGGTCGGCGCCTCGGTCGGCGCACTTCACGCCGCCGGGATCGTCCACGGCGACCTGACGACGAGCAACATGATGCTGCGGCCGGCGTCATCTGCCAGCCGCAATGGGGGCGAGGACAACGGCGAGGAAGGCTCCATACTGGCCGGCGAGATCGTCATCATCGACTTTGGCCTCGCGAGCCAGGGCCAGAGCGAGGAGGACCGCGCCGTCGACCTGTACGTGCTCGAGCGCGCGTTCCTGAGCACCCACCCGCGCACCGAGAAATTGTTCGGTGAGGTGCTGGCCGGCTACGCGCGGGCGTTCAAGGGGTCGAAGCCGGTGCTGAGGAAGCTGGAGGACGTGCGGATGCGCGGGCGGAAGCGGAGCATGCTGGGGTGATGAGGTGCGGGCTTGATTGTCGCGTGGTGACCCGGCTCACCTTGCGCACCCATTCACCGAACACCAAGGGCTTGAGCCCGAACTACGCGTCGAAATCTACAGCATTGCCGTCGGTCGAAGTGCTTAGATTCCACCTTCTTCGTCGGGCGGGACCAGAAAGCCACGACCTCGCCAAAGACCAGGTCCGCGAGGGGTGGACCAACTTCTTCGACTACCAGTTCATGCGCAAGCTGCCCTCAAGGGACGCGCTGGGTATCAAGCAAGATATGGACGATTCGAGTCCTTTCAGGGAGAGAGAAAGACACAGAGAGATGTAGCCCCTCGGGCTGGTGCTCTTATTGCTTGACATGATAACTCGCTTGAAGCATGTGATTTATGTGTCTCCCCTTGCGCCTTCTATCGCCGTGTTCAAATCGTGCGTCGTTGCATCGTGGAGCATGAGACGACCCAAATAAGCATCAAACAACCGCCAACTGCTGAAAATGGTATCCACGAAGGGGAAGGGGGCCCTGAGGCACAACAATTCTGTCGTGCGCCGAGTCTACCAAACGAGCCACCGCTCCCCCCTCCATCCAAAATCTGCACCCGCCTCCGGAGCCCTTCTTACTCCTCGACTAGCCCGGCGCCGGCGAAATAACCCTTATTCTCGATGACGCCCCGGTCCCTCACCACAGCGGTGTACTTGACGACCCACTGGGGCGTCAGGTCACCCTTCAGTCCGTCGTGGACACCCTCTGCCGGGTCGGCCAGCACGGCGGCGCCCCTGACGCCGTGGCCGAGCAGCTCGCGCAGGGTGCCCTTGGGCAGGATGTCGGTGCAGTCGCTGTGGACGAAGAGCTCGATGCCCTCGGCGCGGGCGAGGCTGACGAGGGGCGGGGGCACGTTGCAGCAGTTGCGGATGTTGATCTGGTCGACGGCGGGCTTGACGCGGGCGCCCGCGAGGAAGCGGCCCAGCTTCTCGCTGCCGAACTCGGCGATGCCCAGCTGGCGCGCCACGCCCTCGTCGTGCAGCGGCTCGAGGGCCCGCGCCCACGTCGCCAGCTCGGACCCGTCGTCGCCCTGCGACGCGTTGAGCTTGTCCGCCTCCCACTCGCAGTCGCCCTCGAACGACATGCCCGGGAACGAGGCGATCAGCAGCGACACGGACGACACGCCCAGCTCCCTGAGGACGAGCGACAGCGCCCGCCGCGTGTAGGCCGCCCGCGACGCCACGTCCGACGTCGGCAGGTAGAAGATCTTGACCGTGATGTCGTACTGCGACGGGTCCTCCTGCAAGCCCGTGTCGGGCGACCAGTCTATGCGGGGGATGTAGATCGTGCCGTCGGCGGGGTCCGGCGACGTCCACGACGGCAGCGGGGTGGGTGTTTTTGTGGTGGGGGTGATGGGCTCTGTGTCTGCTGCTGCTGCCGCGGCATCGTCGGCTATGCCGTTTGGCGTCGTCTTCGTGGCGGCGGCGCTGCCGTTGGCGTGGCCATTGGTGGTCGGTGTTGCTGATGCGTACTCCTGCTTCGCGGCGAGGAAGTTGCTGCGCAGCGAGTTTGTGAGCTCGAGGTTGGAGCGGTATGCGCCCGGCTTGCGGATGATGGAGGGGCCGCCGGATACGATGTTACTGCGATGCGACGGCGCGCGGAAAATTAGCATGTGTCGGGGCTTGCTGCGCTTTTTGGCCTGGGCGGCACAGCCAGCGGCAGGGTGAGAGGGTAACACAATCAATGACGTCTGGAGAAATGGATTGGGCTCTTACCCAGTGGAGAGCACCAGTTGTTTTGCCATGGTACTGTGGTTTCTCGAGGGTGATGGTTTATGCTTTTTCGGACGTATGCGGTCAATCAATGCTAGGACAAACTTCTTGAGCCTTTCAAAGAAACTTTGGGTCGAGGTTGGCAGTGGCATGGTGGGGGTCCGTCCTGGGGGGGACGAAACGGGGCGGCCCTGAGGAGGGGTCCGATGAAGGGACTTCTGGGCCCGTTTTGCTAAATTGGGTGTTGTATTAGTAATGTGGTCGTGACATGCGACTGTGCACAGCAGCAGACTATTTGTGTCCGTGGTTCGAGTCAAAGACCGTGACTGGGCCTCAAGCTTGCGATAATATGTAATCAATTGGCCCGAATTGTTGCAATCGTGCTGTTAAGAAACGGGCTCTCAACACCAAGTCGTCAAGAGCATGGGCAGGCGGGGGGAGGACGAGACTATAAACTCTATCTCTCCAGACTTAGTCCGTATGTTCAGTCATAATGGTCAGCAGCCCTACGATACCAAATCCACCTTGGTCCTTAGTCCTGGTAACATGGATGGCTCCTACATCCCGCGCTGCAATCGGCAACGGCGTCTGCATGGGCGGCTACTTACCCCACGGCCCACTGCCACGGCCACAGCACGGCGTGGGAGGTCGTGAGCGCTTGCCTCATCACTCTTCACCCCCATCTACTCATCACGCGGTGGCTGCAGCCCCGCGCCGGGAAAGTGGGCATGACTAGGCCTGCATGTCTAGCAACAATCCCGGGCGGTGTTTGCAGTTCCGCACGGTTCCGCACGGCACGCTGCATCGTAACCAAGGTTGAAACGCCGTGCAAGTTTATATTCCACAGGAGCACACAGAAGCCATCGTTGTGACATGTGTGAATAGAATGTTTGGGATACCCAAACATCATTGTCACTACAATCTCGGCCATCGCGAGGTCATGTAATCCTCTTGTCAGAATACAATTACTACATGCACCCTTGACAAAGCTTGGTAGGAGCTTGTAGACTTTATGCCAGCAGTGATGGTGTCAATGCGTCTTATTACTTTGTAATAGCAGGCGTATCAATGTTAAAAGTCGAGAGGACGGAGATTCGCAGAGCAAAAAACATAGGGTACAGAGGTACATAACTCCCGCCACAGCTACAGCCAACCAGAGCACATCTCGCACCGCATGCCTAATTCGCACACTGGGGCAAGCCAATTCACACACCTAATTTGCACACCCAAGTCACACACCCAGGGTTAATTTACATCTCTAATTTATATATTTAGCAACTCTTTAAGTATATATTAATCTCTATTGGCTGGGTCACGTATTGCAATACGACGTTTGGTTGGTGTAGTGGTTGATTATTATTAATTATGGAAGGAAGGAAGGCAGAAGGCCTAATTATGCTAGCTATTTTATATGCAACGTTAGGGCTGCTGCCTACTAAGCATTTTAACCAAAGCTACCTAGTCCCAAATAATCCCCTATATAAATAATACTTATTATTCCTATATTAATAATCTTTATTTTATAAATACATGTTACTTTTAAAAAGTATAAAAAAAGAAAGGTATTAAGTTAAATTAAACTTAAGGTTAAAAGGTAATTAATTAATTACATATGTAAGTTAAATTATAAGTACGTTATTATTTCGCTATGTTATATTATTATAAAAGGTAAGCATATAAAAAGGCTTAAGTTATTATTAAGGGGTTAAAGGTTAATTAATTTATTAAAGTATGCAATTAATAAGCAAAAGTTAATTAAGTATATATATATATTAAAACATCTTAATTGCGTAAAGTTAAAAAGCTTAAAGGGTTGCAATTATTATATAAACATTTTATTTATAATGCATTTTATAAACTTATGCTTTCATTACCTATAGCGCTTAGGTTAAATAAGGACTAAATTAAACCCCTGGATTGTTAATATAATCATTTAATCTTTAGATAACTAAAATTTCTTAATTTAGCTTAGCCTAAGCTTTATTATGCCTAATGCCGCTTATTAAATGAAGAAATTAAGGAGTGTAATTAAAGGATGGGTTGTTGGAATGGAGGTTAAGTGAATGGAGTTGATAAGTTGTAAGGATTAGCGAATAAGGTGTTTAGATAAAGGGAAAAGTAAGGTGCAGGATAAAGATTGTTAATTAAGTTAATAGACAGCAACACTCTTAATTTTAGTATGCAGGTGTCGGACCGTGAAATCCGACTGGGGACGCCCATTGAATACAAGCTGGCAACTCAAGTGCCCGTGGGATATCGAGCAGCTCAACAGCATTGCCATGTTTCTGCGTTGGTCCATCTTCAACCTCGATACTGGATTGGCTGTTATTCGCCCAATGAAGCCAACAGCGAAAACCGTTGGTGTCTTGCAGTTGGCTTGGAGGAGAAGGCTAAAATGTCCAGGTGCACTTTGACATTCACCTGTGTAGATTCGCAACGTCTAGTTGTGCCACTGGCTGCCAACCTTATCGTCATTGCAAGAAAACATCAAGATTCTTGAATTCCACAGACACCAGCGTTCTTGTAGATCGAAAATGTCGACAAAGCCTCAGCCGCCGAGGACCGTACAGCTTGCGTCGTCTATTCTGGAGATCGTAACCAGTCTCGAGAATCACCTCGCGGAAACGGGCGGCCTGCTTGCTCTTTTGAACCAGGCGCTGCTTCAGCTCAGTCACAGCTGCCGCCCTCGCTACAGTCTTCAGTCGATGCCGCACTAGGCTCTCTGGAAGAATTGACCACTCTTCTGTTGGGGCCCATGGGATGGATGACTTGCCAACTGGCTCGCTCGGCGAGAAACTCTACGAAGACCCTTCTCTTTCAATCCCCAAACCTCGTTCATTAGACTGACGCAGGAGGAAGTTCGATTTGGTGAGCCTGCACGCGATGTACCGCTACGAGATTCCTAGACGATTCCCCGTCGGCGAAACTATCTCTACAGCGGAACTGGCCCGGCGCTGTAACGCCAACGAGGGAGCCCTTACTCGCCTAGTCCAGCACGCCGTGAGCAAGCGATTTTTGGCCCAGCCTGGAGCAGGCGTTGTTTCTCACACGGCCTTCTCCGCAATGATGGCGGCACAGCCGGCCATATCAGACTTCGTTGGCTACGTCTGTGAGGATCTCCGGCCGGCCGCGGCGTCTATTCCAGACGCTCTGGCCAAATGGCCAGGTCCGCCCTGGCTACCAAACTAGACCGGCCACAACCTTGCCGCTGGGACCACCGGTACATTCTGGGACTCACTTGCGAGCGACTCAGCCCGGTCTCGTCGCTTCGCATCTTCCATGAGCCTCGTGCAACGTATGCCAGGTTGGCAGCCGGCAGCCGCCCTCGAGGTGTTTGATTGGGGAGCTCTGAGCCCTGATGACGTTGTCGTCGATGTCGGCGGTGGAGACGGTAGTTTTGCGGTAGCACTCGCAGAACGGTTCCCAGGACTGACACAAATCATCGTCCAAGACGTCCCCGACGTGATTGAGCAGTCACGGGCGGCGGTTCCCGAGCCGTTGCGTGCCATCGTCAAGCCGCTGGTTGCCGACTTCTTCGAGCCACAGACTGTGAAGGGCGCAGCGGTTTATTTCTTGCGCAAGGTGCTTCACAACTGGCCTGACGAGTTTGCCATCAGGATTCTGCAGCAATTAGCTCCGGCTCTGAAGCCCGGGGCACGTATACTTATCAATGGCCATTGCGTGCCTCCGCCAGGCATTCTATCGGCGAACGAGGAATGGCGTGTCAGGTAAGGAGTATTTCTGATGAAATGCCTTTGAACTAATCGCTAACAGCACTCAGGGGCCAGGACCTCGCTATGATGGCACTGTTCAACAGCAAAGAGCGCACTAGGGAGCAGTGGACAGACCTGATCAGGAGGGCTGACCAACGTTTCGTCATTGAATCTGTGACACCTATGCCTCCGGGGCCACTTGCGTTGATAGTAGTGGTCTGGGAATAGGTGCCATAAGATGGACGTTTCTCCAACTTCTCCTTGCCATACAGTAAAGTCAATACCATCAAGAACTTTTATGTGTGCAAGTGGTCCGCGAAAAATATATAAATGCTACATGTAACTAGTTCAATTCTGAGTAATCGCACAATTGAAAGTTCTCCAAATGTCCTAAGAAGAACCTTCGGCTCTATGACGGAATTGTATAATGCCAACGACTCGTTTCTGCTAATGTTGCCACCAATGATCCAAGCAAGAACCGAATTTATCAAAGAGTATGCGGAAGGTCACATACAGGGTTTCAAATAGTTTGAATCCATTAGCCTCATCTTCATAAGTGACCTCAACAATTAAGCTGGTGAGTCCTTCTGCTGCTGAGATACCTTACACATTGTGAGGCCATCCTCCACTAAAGGAAATGACAAGAAAGTTACAACTACATATGTAGTCAAACCTTGGTCTCTTGAATCTGAAATTGAATTCATGTACGTCTAAACTTCTATAGAATCATCATCTTCGTTGCGGGCGGCGGTTGCACTCAAACGCAACGCCGTGCAAAAACCCCAAAAGAAATCACAAGCCGTAACATTCGGGTCAAGGTCCCATCCTTGAGGCCTCATCCTTACTTGAATTGTTACCGACCATCCGGCTCAAATAGGCTGATATTAATACAACCCCGAATCAAAGACCGTGAACGACTGTGTTTGAGCGCGCTAGACGCTAGAACAACCGACAGACAAACACACACACAGCTTCTCTCACTCCAACGCGGCCTGGCCTATGATAAGCAGGGTCTCGTCGCCCCGCCGGCCTCGCCGACCTTCCTCTTCACCTCGACGCCCAGGCTCTGCAGCGCGCGCACCAGCGGCACGAAGTCCTTCTCGCCCCGCAGCGCGAGGACCATGACCCCGGCGACGCGGTCGAGCAGCGCGACGTCGCCGAGGCGGCCCCGCATGTCCGGGTCGCGCAGGACGCTGTTGAGAAGGCAGGCGAGGGCCACGTAGAGGCGGTACATGCCGAAGAGCAGGCACATGGCCTCGGGGGAGGGGTTCTGGACGAGGAGGCCGTGCACGATGGCCAGCAGGCTGCGCGAGGCGTCGACGGCGAGGGGGGAGTCGGGCACGTCGGCGTCGCACAGGACCGGGCGCGGCGAGTCGGAGCGCAGGACGGACAGCTTGCGCAGCATGAAGATGATGAAGGTGTACCCCGACATGGCCACGTCGCTTGCCATCCAGGCGTCGGCCTTGTTGTTGCTGGCCATTGTTCTGTGCACTAGTTCGTCCTGTGTCGGTCAGTTGGCGTGCCTGTGGTGTGGCGAGGGCATCCTGAAGGAACATCTGATTGTTACTGCTTACCAATTGCCACTCCGCGAAGGCCTGGTTGATTTCTTGGCAGAGCTCTTCCGTCTTTGGCAGCATTTCCTCCTCGTTGCAGTTCGGGTCCTCGAGCGCCTGGAAGAAGCGGGAGAGGATGAAGGTCATACGCGAGCTGACCAGGAACGTTATGGTCGGAACGGCGTTGATGTCGGGCTGTGCGTTTGTCGACAACCACGGCAGATTGACCTTCCACGAGTTGAGGCTGGAGGTGATTGATGGCGGCCTGTTGAACAGAAGTCTGAAGAAGAAGTCGATCTGGATCAATTCCCAGAATCCCTTTCGATCCAAGTCCAGTTTCGTCTCGTCGGGGGGCGGAAGGTTCATGTCGGTGTGGGCGTCCGCGTCAAGGTTGTGCAAGTTCAGCTTTTGGGCGTATTCGATGGCGTACGTGTACATGCGCCAACTTAGCTCCTCGTCGAAGCATTCGGCAGCGCAGCGGGACTAAGATCACGATAAGTGAGACTGGACGGCTTTCCCGACGGCTTTAGCTTGAGGGCATACCATGAAGGCGGCGGCAATAAAGTCCGTCGTCGTCCCCGTCGCCTCCCGTTGCCAGAGTGGGAGTGAGCGGAGGCAACACAGGTACAGTGTGCGCACATACTGCAAGTTATCGGGGCTTCCCTCGAACGTCGCACCAAGGGCACAGCCATGGTAGAGTATGCTGTAGTAGACGACGAGAATCGCAGGGTCTAGGTGAACGTGGGGAAGCTCAAGGAGGTCGGGGATCAGATCGAGCAGTTTCCGGTTCACAAGGCTATTGAACATTTCTGTGTGCATATGCGTGAAGTAGTCTTACGGTAATGTGAGTGGCACGCCCTTGGACTGATTCTGACAGAGACAACATCGAGAAAGGCATACATATCGTGCTAGTAACTTACTCTGTATCCATACTTTGCAAAGTTCCGAAGGAATTTTGACATCCTGAGTAATAGCGGCGGCGGCAATGCTTTGCAGCCTGAATCGTTGCACCTGGTCGACAGCATCCTTCAGGACGGCAGCTGTGTCGAGCTCAGTAGCGGCGCTGGGGGTAGTGAAGGCCGTCCAGGGGGACGCCGCACACCCGCCCGCGACGCTGGAAGGAGCAGGAGACGACACGCTGGACTGCGCTCCGTTATAGTTTGACGTGTCCTCAGCGGCTTCCAGAGCACCCGTGCTCTGTTTCGAACTGGTAAGAGTGGTGCAATGGTCCTCGACACGCTGCAGGCGTTCAAGGATGACCGAGAGTGCGTCATCCGTCGTCCTGGGAACGCAAAGGGCCGAGATTCAGCCAACAGTCTCTTGTATCTTACCAACCAACACAGTGGAGGGGCGGAGCTCCTTACGATAGATGGCTCGTCAGGGTCCGGGCCTTTTTCCTCTTGGCTCTTTGTGGATAGACGCATTCTTTGTCGTGGGCCTTGCATCTATCGCATGTTGGCTTCGCACGGCTACATCGAACCTGTTGGCGTTCAATACATGCTCAGTCGAGGCAAGAAGATGTCGGGGCAGTGAAGACAAGACATTGACTCACCTTTCTACTCTTACATCTTTGGCACTGCACAGCAAAACATTAGGGCAGTCAGCCTTGAGCTATTGGTGCCAGCCACAGCACCAACCAGTGTGAGAGACAGGGGGACGACGGACAAAGGGCTATTTCCGCTACGCACCGAGAGCGAATTCACGTTTGCTGACTGATCCACCATGGCTGGAACGAGGCTCGGAGGGCGGAGAATTGGACTGGTGAGAGCGAACGGTGACAGCTACAAAACATAAAAGGGGCGGGGCACTGCGAAGACAAATACACCGGCCCCAAGGCCAGGGGGGGACAACGCACCGGGACCGATATGGTTTTGGCTCACGTTGTGTGTGGAAAACGAAACGCAGCCCCCCCCCTTGTTGTTTTGACTCGCGCTCTCCCCTCCGCGCTGAAAATCTTAAATTTTAAATCCATCTACTTTCTATTATATCTTTATAATTAAATTAAATGTAATAATAAAAAACATATATTTATAATTCATATTTTTTAAAATATGGTGAAAAATATTATTTATAATTATTTATTTAATATTTTAATTTAAAAAAACTTTATTTTCTTTTTATTATTTCCTTTTATTATAATAATTACATATATAAGATAACTTGTTGGTTTGGCTTCCGTATGGTTGGTGATAGATAAATAAAGTGTGTAATTAATTCAACTATAGTGTGGAGGGTAGGTTGCAGCAAAGCTGCAGCCTTCCCCCGTCTAGCTATAGGCTAGCTATGGTGGTCCGTGCGCGGGGCACGTGACCGCCAGCTGGCAGCTGGCTGGCACCAGCTGGCAGCTGCTATTAATAAGACTAGTTTAAACCTTATACCTTTAAATCTATGCATTGCCTGCAGCGCACCCACTGCATAGGCACGCCATGCCTATACATACTATTCCCACATTAGCAATCTTTTATATATGCTTTAAATCATGCTTTCCTCCATAAATCATTTGCTTTAAGCTAATTAAATTAATTATTAAGCTAATAAAAATAGGTTATTAAGTTAATTAAGCAACGTTATAATACTTGCAAGTATTATAAATGCTTAAGCATTTAAGTGCTTAAATTGCTTAATTAAATTATTTATTTAACAATACTTTAAAGCTTTAAAATATTTAAAATGCCATGCTTTAATTAATTAATTATTACTTTAGCAGCTTTTTTTTTATAATTAATGCTAAATGCTATTTTTATATAATAAAAAGCATTATTCTTGCTTAATAGCAAGGCATTATTGCTATTATTAAGGCTATTATTGCCATTAAGGTAAATCTTATAATAGTTAATTATAAGGTAAAAGGGAAAGGGGAAAGAAAATATTTTTTTGCTATGCTTATAAGCTAATAATTAGCTCTTAAACCATTTACCTGCAAGTAGTGGCGCTTAAATGCTATTATTGCTTAATAAACTAACTTATATTAATTTTAAGGTAATTTATGCTTAAGATTTTATTAAAGAGCGTTAATAAAAAAGGTATTAAAAAGAAAAAGGTTATGTTTATTAATTAAATATTAATTATTATTAAAAAGTAAATGTTTTAAAGGTTTAATTAAGTTATTTATATAATTAAATTAATAATAAATATTAATTATTTCTTTTAATAATTTTAAGCTAATTAAATAAATAAAATAATTGCATTAATAATTTATTTATTAATTAATACTTTAAAGTATTTAATTAAAGGTGTTAATTAAGTGCGTAAATTGCTTAAAAGAAACGTTATTTATTAATATTTTAAAGTATTTAAATGCTTTATACTTTATTAAGTGCTTAAAGGGGTTTTTAAAAAGTTATAAGCCTTAAGGGTATTGCGTAAATACCTTAAGGGGCATTAATTATAAATAAGGGTTTTTTAAGGGTGTTAAGCAAGGGCTTTTTAAGGGTGTTAAGCAAGGGTTTCTTATGGGTATTATAAGCAAGGGCATTAATAATTAAGGGTGCTTTATAAAGGGCTTTTAAGAGTATTATAAGGAAGGCTTTTTAATGTAAGGATATTGCAAAAGAGCTTTTAATAAGCTGGGAAGGTTGCAATAGCTTAAGAATATTATAAGAAAGTATTTAATATAATGTTTTTAAGCATGTTTAATAAAGGAATTAAAAAAGGTTAGCAAAAGTAAATATTAATATATATATTTTATTTAAGGCTGATTATTAGCCTTAAAAGCCATTATTATTAGCTTTGCTTAAGGCATAATAAATATATATATATTAAAGGTAAGGGAATTTATTATAATTTCTTGCTATAATAATTACTTTTTTATATATTAAATATTTATTAATATTATAAATTACGCTATATAAATTTATAGCATATAATAATTATTAATTAGCATAATTACTCTTAATTAGCCATTTAAGGCTATTGTTAATTAAGAAAAGATATTTATGGTTTATTATTAGCAATAAAGTTAAATTATTATTAAAGTAAGGCTATCTTTTTAAACTTAATTATTTATAATTACCTTAGCAATTATTAATTAATATTAATTTAGCTTTTATATAATTAATAATAAATAAATAAAGTATATAATTAATTTGGCTATAATGTAAAGGGTAGGTTGCAGCGAAGCTGCAGCCTTCCCCCGTTTGGCTATAAGCTAGCTATAGTGGTCCGTATACGGGGCACGTAACCGCCAGCTAATAGCCGGCTGGCATCGGCTAGTAGCTGCTATTGATAAGACTAGTCTAAACCTTGCACCTCCAAATCTATGCATTGCCTGCAACGCACCCACTGCATGGGCACGCCACGCCCATACGTACTATTCCCACATAACTTTTAATATAATATTATAAATAATTAAACATTTTATTTATATTCTTTATTAAATAAGGATTATAAAGATATATATGTTGTTATTATTATTAAGTCTTTTAAAATAGTTATAAAGGAAATAGCTTATAATAAGGGGATTTGAGATTTGGGAGGGGAGGGGAGAGCGCGAGTCAAAACGACAGGGGGGCCTGCGTTTCGTTTTCCACACACAGCGGCTTGGCAAGGAGGGCTTGGCAAGAAGGGCTTGGCAAATGCGTGTCCGCGCCGCCGCGCTTAACGGAGGCCGCGGCCAACTCGACTGTGGCTCCCGAGGGTTACGACCGCCGACCGCCACAGCAAGAACAGGTCGGTGTGTTCCAAACGATGGCGACCCATGTCCCCGGTTTGGCAGGATCTTGGCAAAGTCCGAATAGTGTCGTAGGGCTGAATCAACCTGCGGACATTCGGACTCTCACCAACCGAATATCCGCCAATTTACCACCAAACCAGGGAGGATGATTCTACAACCCATAGGCTGGGCCCTCTGTGTGATATACAGTTATGTTTATTATTTACGACGATCGTCCAGAAGATGACATGAAGTTTTACACTTTCTCTCACCTTGCGTTTCTTCTCATCCAGATGAGTGGTTACAACTCATGATTGTGGCACACTGCTAGTATTACATTACATTGGACTTTTTGTTTACGACTTTAACTATTTCTTAATAATTCTCAACCCTTTCCCCAGCCGACTTTGACACATTCCAGCCAGTAGTGTCCGTTCTAAGCGACATCTTGAACGCAAAAAAAAAAAAAAATGCGGTCCGACAGTGACACGGAGACGGACAGCGCGGTCGTGCCTCCTCCCGCTACCAGCGACAGGTTCGAAACTTCGAACTCGAGATCCGACTCAGTCACGACGATTACGGAGAAGGGATGGTCGAAGCACAATGATTCACCCGACCAAGAAGAGCGGATAAACGACGACGTCCTGCAGCTCGCCCGTCGATACACCACACAGCAGTCCCACGGCCCTCCAGGTGCTCTGTTTCCTGTTCCTGCCGAAGGCCCCCTAGATCCGGCGAGTCCATCGTTCAACGCCAGAAAATGGGCAAAGGCTTTTTATGACATCCGCACCGATACCTCTGAGGGCATGCCTCCAAAGACGACTGGCATCGCCTTTAAGAACCTAAACGTCTTTGGCTTTGGCACGTCCACGGACTACCAAAAAAGTGTGGGCAACATCTTCCTCGAGGCGGTCACCATCGCAAAGAAGCTCATGGGCGGCAAGGAGCAACGGATCGATATCCTCCACGACCTCGAGGGTGTCGTCAACAGCGGCGAGATGCTCGCCGTCCTCGGCCCTCCGGGGTCCGGGTGCTCGACCCTCCTGCGAACCATCGCCGGAGACACACACGGCTTCCACGTCAGTGACGACGCATCGATCAACTACCAAGGGATTCATCCCAAGCAGATGCGCACCGCCTTCCGCGGTGAGGCTATTTACACGGCAGAAGTGGACGACCATTTCCCGCATCTGACCGTGGGCGACACCCTCTACTTTGCCGCTCGCGCTCGGTGCCCCAAGAAGATTCCTGCGGGCGTCTCCAGGCGGGAATACGCCGAGCACCTTCGCGACGTGACAATGGCCATGTTTGGCATCTCCCACACCAAGAACACACGCGTGGGTGACGATTTCGTTCGGGGTGTTAGTGGCGGCGAGAGGAAGAGAGTCACTATTGCCGAGGCCGCGTTGAGCTACTCGCCTCTGCAGTGTTGGGACAACAGCACCCGCGGCCTCGACAGCGCCAACGCCCTCGAGTTCTGCCGAGCCTTGCGGACGCAAGCTGATGTCATGGGCTGCACCTCGTGCGTCGCCATCTACCAGGCCTCGCAGGACGCCTATGATGTGAGTATCACCCGGAAGTGAAACTGGTTTGGAAGCAGGCTAACCCATGTGACCCAGGTCTTTGACAAGGTCATTGTCCTATACGAGGGCCACCAGATCTTCTTCGGCAAGACGACCGAGGCGCGAGCCTACTTCGAGGACCTCGGCTTCGTCTGCCCAAAGCAGCAGACCACGGCCGATTTCCTGACCTCGATGACGAGCCACCAAGAGCGCATCTCCCGGCCCGGGTGGGAGGGCAGGACACCACGCACCCCGGAAGAGTTTGCGCGGGCATGGAAGGCCAGCGAGCACCGCGCGCGCCTCATGGTCGACGTCGAGGACTACCTCCAGCGCCACCCTTTCGGCGGCGAGCACCACCAGCGCTTCCTCGAGTCGCGCAGGATCGACCAGTCAAGATCGCAGCGCGCCAGGTCGCCTTTTACCCTCTCCTTTACGGAGCAGATGAACCTGACGCTGTGGCGCAGCTTTGTTATGCTCAAGGGCGACCCCAGCATCCCGCTGACGATGCTCGTCAGCAATGTCTTCGAGGCCTTGATCGTCAGTAGTCTGTTCTACAACCTCCCGGCCGACACGTCCAGCTTCTTCCGGCGTGCCATACTGCTCTTTTTCTCCGTCATGATCAACGCCTTTGGAAGCATCCTCGAAATCATGACGCTATATGCGAAGCGTCGAGTCGTCGATAAGCACTCTCGTTACGCTCTGTACCATCCTGCGGCGGAAGCCCTGTCGGCGATGATCGTGGACATGCCCTATAAGATCGTCAACGCTATTCTCATGAACACCGCCATGTACTTTATGGGGAACCTCCGCAGAGAACCCGGGGCATTTTTCTTTTTCCTGCTCATCTCTTTTACGATGACGCAGTGTATGTCGATGATGTTCCGCCTAATCGGCTCCGTCACAAAATCCGTCGCCCAGGCGTTAGCCCCAGCCTCGATTATCCTTCTCCTCATTGCACTATACACCGGCTTCGCGATCCCGCCTCAGTACATGCAGGACTGGCTCGGCTGGATCCGGTGGCTCAACCCCATCTTCTACGGCCTCGAGAGCGTCATGCTGAACGAGTTCGTCGGCCGCGACTTCTCGTGCTCGACCTTTGTGCCCATGGGGCCCGGCTACGGCTCCGCGGCGCCCAGCGAGCGCGTCTGCTCCTCCGCCGGGTCCGTCCCGGGGCAGGACTTCGTCAGCGGCACGACGTACCTCGGGATCTCGTACGGCTTCGACAACGCGCACCGGTGGCGCAACTTTGGCGTCCTCATCGCCTACATGATCCTCTTCATGGGCCTGCACCTGGCCGCCGCCGAGTACATCGCGGGCGAGCGCTCCAAGGGTGAGGTTCTGGTCTTCAGCCGTAAGGCTATGAAACAGCACCTAAAGCAGGGCGCCGTTGATGTCGAGACCGGCGCGGCGGGCAGGGCGCAGCTGAGCAGCAGTGGCGAGGACTCTGACGGCGTGGCTGGCATGCACAAGCAGACTTCGGTCTTCCACTGGAAGGACGTCTGCTATGACATCAAGATCAAGGGCGAGCCTCGACGTATCCTCGACCACGTTGACGGCTGGGTGAAGCCGGGGACTTTGACTGCTTTGATGGTAAGTCTTTCTCGACCACTGTGGTGTTTCCCTGTTCAATGAACATCTGGCTAACGATTGCCGACAGGGCGTATCTGGTGCCGGGAAAACCACCCTTCTTGACGTCCTGGCCACCCGGGTCACGATGGGGGTAATCTCTGGTGACATGCTGGTCAACGGCCAACCGCGCGACTCGTCCTTCCAACGCAAAACTGGATACGTTACGCAGCAGGATCTCCACCTTCACACTTCGACTGTTCGTGAAGCTCTTAACTTCTCGGCTCTCCTTAGACAACCGGACACCTATTCAAGGAAAGAAAAGCTTGAATATGTGGATACTGTTATCAGCCTTTTGGGCATGGAGGCGTACTCCGACGCCGTCATCGGGGTGCCTGGGGAGGGCCTTAACGTTGAGCAGCGGAAGCGGCTGACTATTGGTGTCGAGCTCGCCGCTCGCCCTCAACTTCTTCTATTCCTCGATGAGCCTACCTCGGGCCTAGACAGCCAGACCTCGTGGTCTATTTGCAACCTGATGGAGAAGCTGACCAAGAGCGGCCAAGCGATCCTGTGCACCATCCACCAGCCCTCAGCCATGCTGTTCCAGCGCTTCGACCGCCTCCTTCTGCTCGCGAGAGGGGGACGCACTGTATACTTTGGCGAGATCGGCAAGAACTCCCAGACTCTGGTCGACTACTTCGTCCGCAACGGCGGCCCGGAGTGCCCCGCGGGCGCGAACCCGGCCGAGTACATGCTCGAGGTCATCGGGGCGGCCCCCGGCGCAAAGACGGACATTGACTGGCCCGCCGTCTGGCGCCAGACGCCCGAGTACCAGGCCGTCCAGGACGAGCTGGCACGTCTGGGCTCCGGCCGTGAGGGACAGCAGTCGCATGCCGCGCCGACGAGCGAGGATTCGTCCACCTATAACGAATTCGCCGCTGGCTTCGGTACGCAGGTCCTCGAGGTGACGAAGCGCGTCTTCCAGCAGTACTGGAGAAGCCCCTCGTATATCTACTCGAAGGGAGTATTGTCCTTTGGCGCCGTAAGTTCCCCCGGCTCTGTCTCTCGAACTACTTGTCGGATGTGTGAGGAAACGCGAAACTGATTGAAGCATAGGCCCTCTTTATCGGCCTCTCCTTCCTAAACGCTGAGAACACGCAGCGTGGCCTGCAAAACCAGATGTTCGGCGTTTTCATCTTCCTCACCGTCTTCAGCCAGGTCGTGGAGCAGATCATGCCCATCTTTGTCCTGCAGCGCACCATGTACGAGGCCCGCGAGCGGCCGTCCAAGGCGTATTCGTGGATGGCATTCCTCATTGCCAACATCCTCGTGGAGATGGCTTGGAACTCTGTAGGAGTCCCCATTGGTAAAACAAGAAACTTGTTTGTGCGACTTGTACTGACCCTAAGAGTAGCTCGCCGCCGTCCTCTGTTTCGTCTGCTGGTACTTCCCCATCGGCCTCTACCGCAACGCCTACCCTACCGACGCCGTAGATTCGCGCGGCATTACAATGTTCCTAATCGTCTGGGTCTTCTTTATCTTTGCCGGCTCATTCGCCCACATGATGATCGCCGGTCTTCGCGACGCCGAGGTCGCCGGCGGCATCGTCAACCTCTTTGTCATTATGATGTTCTGCTTCTGCGGGTAAGTCTGGCCAGTCATCCCAACACCGAGCTTATAGAGCTCCGGTTAACCCCTTGTCAACAGCATCCTCGCGGGTCCCAAGGACCTCCCCGGCTTCTGGATCTTTATGTATCGGGTCAACCCCTTCACCTACGTCGTTGAGGGCTTCCTCGGAACCTCACTGGCCAACGCGCCCGTGCACTGTGCCGCCAACGAGTTCGTGGCTTTCTCGGCGCCCGCGGGGCAAACCTGCGGCGAGTACATGGCCGGCTACATCGCGTCCGCCGGCGGGTACCTCCAGGACCCTGCCGCTGGCAACGTCACCGACTGCAGTTATTGCGCTATGGCCGACACAAACACATTCCTTAAGGGAATTAACGTCGATTTCGACAACCGCTGGCGCAACTTTGGTCTGCTGTGGGTGTACTGTATCTTCAACATCGCCGCCGCGGCGGGCATTTACTGGCTCGTACGCGTGCCCAAGAACAAGAACAAGGAGAAGAAGGAGTAGACGTGGGGTCAAGGTTTTCGTGCTGAGTGGTCTTGGTGCCTGGATAATGTGCCGCTTGTGTTTATAGAGATCGCAAGAAGATGCAGGCTCGAGTCGACATTGCAGATTGCAAAGATTGTCTGCTTTTTGGAAGGGATACACTAATACGTTTCGGAATCTGGTAAACTCTCTAGAAGGGATGGGTTAGAGCTGGCGTTCAACTCGGGTTCATGCACTACCCACGTACGACTTCGTTCTCAAAGGCTTCACAGATTGTCCAACACTCTGGATCTCATTTGATGAAGCTAATATCATTACTTCAAATATTCTTCATGTTGATGGCCAAGTATGGAAACACGCATGAAAGATATCCGGACTCTAGAGAAAAACCTTGCGAGTGTTCAATAAGCGAATCGTAGCAAAATGTCTTGGCAGGGGCAGACCAAAGAGTTTTCTGTCTTCCTTCGCCGGATCGAACTGCAGGGGGAGATCCCATCAACTGACGCCCATCGTCCTCGAGACCGTTCAAGGGGCGAAGCAGAGCCAACACCTAGAGCTAGGCTTCGAGCGCTCCCGCAACTTCGGCACGACGTACGTCAACAAGCGGCTTGTCCACGAGACGGTCAGCACCATCAACCCGGAGAACGTCAAGGAGGTTCTCGGTAGCAGCTTTGGGGGCTTTGAGGTGCCGGCCATCCGCGTCAGCCCGCGGGCACCGCTCATCGGCGACAGCCCCTTCGCGCTGGCCGGCCCCAAGGGGAGCACTCTAATGTAGGCATCATAGGAAAGCCTTGTTTTGGGTGGGGAAAGTAAACGCCCTGCTGAACGCATTTTTGAATCCCGCGGCCGAAATACATGCTTCTAGGCGCAATCTCTTACCAAAATAACTTCGTGTTCTCTCGGTGGGCGGAATATGCCAAGGCCCGCCTTGGGGCCCGCAAACTACGGGTGCTTTTCAGTCCGAACTGCGAAATAACCATAAGAATATCTTCAACTCTACATTTAGTCCATTTTTTAGGTTTCGATCTCATCTTTTTCAATCATTAGCTCTTGATTCATCTTCTAGCCAACGTCATGGGTCTCAAGATCATCATTGCCGGCGGCAGCGTCACCGGACTTTCTCTTGCCAACATGCTCGAGAGATTCGACATTGACTACGTGATCCTCGAAGCGTACCCCCAGATTGCCCCCCAAGTCGGAGCTAGTATTGGCCTGCTTGCCAATGGCCTGCGCATCCTGGACCAACTGGGATGCTACGAGCGTCTCCGCGAAGCCGCTGGCAACTACTATCACAGGGCTTTTTTCCGTGACAACAAGGGCAACGTTCTTGCCTCAACAAAAGATGCGACCGGCTCAGAGAGAATGGAAAAGCAGTATGCCAATTTCTTTCAAATTTGTTTGCCTGGGGACTATTTCCATCGCTGACTGGAAAAGCACCGGATATGCATCTTTGTGGCTGGACAGGCAGATGTTGCTTAAGATTCTGTACGACAACCTGAAGCATCAGGACAGGGTTCTTACCAACAAGCGTGTTGCTCACGTGGAAATGAGCCATACCGGAGTGCTTGTGACAACGAAAGACGGATCGAGTTACAGCGGTGACATTTTGGTCGGTGGCGATGGTGTTCATAGCACGGTGCGACAAGAGATGTGGCGCATCTCTAGCTCGGACGCTTCCTCTGTAGACACCTTTCCACCAGAAGAGAGATCAAGTAAGTGCCCACAAGAAAATGAAACAAAAACAAAAAGAGAAAAACCAGCAGCATTATACAACAAAACAGAGTGACTCTGGGGACCATAGCTAAAAAGTTCCCTCACAGTCGTGCAATCAAGCATGAAGTGCATCTTCGGGATCTCCAAATGCCCAGTGAACTTCCCAGCTGGTGCTACTCAACAGGTCTGCTTATTTCGCGGCCATCTATTCCTGGTACTCTCCGCGCCGGGCGGACGGGTATATTGGTTCTTATGCCACGAATTAGGAGAAACGAAGCACGGCGAGGACATCCCCAGGTTTTCGGAGGAAGATGAGTCACTTCTCGCGGCACAGTACCGTAATGACAACATCACCGAAACCGTGACATTCGGGGATCTTTACGATAATCGCATCAAATCCACCCTGGTGCCGCTCGAAGAACAGGTGTATAGGAGATGGCACTTCCAGCGGATTCTCATCATTGGCGATGCAGCCACCAAGGTACTGCAGATGTCTTCTCAACACAACCCATGCCCGTCGAAAAGTGTCTCCGAAGCATACTGACAATGAGATCCAGGTCCATCCAATTGCCGCCCAGGGTGGAAACGGCGCAATTGAGGCGGCAGCGAACCTGGTCAATGCCCTGACGCGTGGCACAATTCCAACCTCCCCAACCTCGCAACTCGACTACATCGAAAATGCGCTCAGCGAAGTCTGTGCTGTTAGGTACGACAGAGCCTTGAGCATGATGAAGAAAGGCCGCCGAGATGGCTCATTCCTCTGCCAGCAGCCACCCTTTTCTGGTATCCTCCTCCACTACGTGTTACCCTTGCTTGGGGATGACATGTTATTTAAGGAGCTCTTGAGGCAGTCCCTTGCTGGTCCACGGATTGAGAAGCTTCCTGTTCCAGACAGACCACACGCGACGCCTTACAATGATGAGCTGACTGAGCCGTCTTCAAAGTCGTCCTGGGTTGGTTGGACGACTGGGCTGCTGGGCGTTGCGTCAGTCGGCCTGCTGGCGCATTTTGCACTGCGTGCGAATCGGTTGGCGTGGATTTCCAGAGGCTCTAAATAGCATTAGAAGAGAAATGGTTTCTTCCTGAATTTCATCCCTTATCAAATAGAAAACGTTGTTTTCATCTGGGGGTTTTCAATATTTGCAGGCAGGATAGAGGAGGGCATCTTAAATAAATCAAAGTACGCTCATTAGTGTCATCACTTTAGGCTTTTCAATTTACTTGGCGTGTGTTTAGATCTATACATTTTAATCACTCATACATCTTTTCAATCAAGTTTGGAAAGAACTGGAGACAGAAGCTGTTGTATTCAGTGGCAGCGCCTGCCAAACACCGACGTCAGACGTCTTCAGTGAGCAGTGTCCCCAGTTGCGAATCATGCTTCTCTCCACACTCCACCGGGCTATTGTTGAAACAGACAGGTACTGTAGTAACGGCTGGGTGGTATTGAGCGGCAAATGCTCAGGTGGCAATCGTGATGATCTCCTGTTACAACAACCTCTAATGATGTAGATATCGACAGTAGTGGAAGGAAATTTTGTGTGTGCAGATGGCCCTCGAAAGATGTGTAAATGCTACGCGCGGTTCAATTCCGAGTAACCGCACAGTTCCAGGCTTCCCAAATGTCCTAGAAGTACCCTCAGCGCCACGGTGGAATTATGTGAATGACTTGGTTCTGCTAATGTTGGCACTAATGATCTACGAATCGAATTTATCAAAAAGTATGTATGTATGAGGCCATGGGGTCAAGTAGTTTGGATCAACCAGCCTCAAGATCTTCATCAGTGACTCGACAATTTATAAGTCCTTCTATGCTGCCGAGAAATCTCCCACAGCCTGAGGCCAGGACAGTCGTGCAGGGTACCAATCCAAGGAAACCGACGCAGCTGATCCTGCGCAGCTGGCCAACTGTGTAGTTGAAGTCGGCTACTAGCCTCCAGGATCAACGGTGACAGTTCTAGCAGCTCATTGCCCTTTATCACAGTGATACCGCCCATGAACAGTGCCCATAGAAGCAATAGCCAGGATTCTCTGTTCTCCTCCAAGGTAGATGTGAAGTGAAGATCCTGGATGGCGCTCTTCAGACGACGACAAAGGAGTGGGTAGTTGGAGCGGTCGGGCACTCGGCCGTACTCTGGGAGCAAGGTGGTCATGAATGCCAGCATGCCTAGATTGGCCACTGCCTCGTATTGTCCTTCCGACACGGACGAGCGTAGCTGCCCTAGCTGAGAGGCTTCAATCAGATGGTAGAGCAGCCATATCATTATCTCCATGAAGCCTAGTGGATCGAGTCTGGAACTCCCCTTTTGATCAATTGTATCGAGGACCTTAGAAAAGGCAACAACCTCAAGCATGAAATACGGGGATTCTGCGGGCGCGGCGTTGGGGAGATTTTCTCTGATAGCCTTGAAAGCTTCAGAATCGGGCAAGACGGCATTGCGTAAATCGTCACCTCCAAATATAGTGGCTGAGCCATTCTGCAGCGCCAACTCGGCATCGACCCTGATAATCATCAGCTGTAAGATCTCGCTCGTGATCTCGCTCGATCGCCATCAAAGAAAGCAAAGGGACAGCGTGCAGTTGAAGGGGGAGAGTGATCAGTATACCACAGCCGCAAGCTTAAGCACGCACCTCAACGCCTTCAGCGCCAACGCCCGGTTCTCCCTCAAAAGCCTGAAGATTCCGCCCCTGAGCTGAATCATCTGGAACAGCCCGTGAAGGTGAACCAGTCCGGCAGAATGCTGGTTATGTACCTGTTGGTACATGACGAGCGCGACCACAGCAGCTATAGCGCTGTCTGAGATGGAGTCGGGGCCAGACAGCTTGACGTTGACCAGCTCATAGGCTTTTGCGATATGGTGCAACGTCTTCGGGGATACACTGGGCTTGCGCTGACAAAACTCAACATAAGAAGCTGATATTGCCAGTGTGGAGTGAAAGTCTGCACTACATTAGCACTTCAGAAACTTCAACGACCTCTTTCTACTATTTTGAACTCACATGCCTCATCTTGGAGAATACAGTTCACCCAGATCGACTTGATAATGTCGAACTTGCAGCAGAACTGAGGCGGAAATAACTCATCGCTGATATCGAAGAACCCTGTAAGACGCGTATCAGACAAGATGGAACTTGAGACACCAGACTGCATACCCGCGGGCCACACATACATCTATGCATCAGCTTGGTAGACTCAGAATCGAGCTGCTGTGGGAACGACGTGAGGCTGAGGTCGCTCCACAGAAGCTGCCGTGGCCTCGCCGCCGGCGCCACCACCACGCTGGGGCCAGACCACGTCAGGACGCGCCTGATGGGATACAGCAAGGCCGCTTGTCTCTTTGTAGAGCGGCGTGGTCTGCCCGCGTTCTTGCCTTTCATCACGTGGGAGCGGATCAGGCGCCGCTCGGCCGAGCCTATGTCCGCCCCCGGCGCGCCCTTCTGGTCGATGAATTGCAGCGCCATCGAGGCATGTCCTCCTGTCTCTGAGATGTGCCGGCGGCTGTTGGGTGAGCCAGAGCATGATGCGGAGGTGGTGACGGATAGGCCGGGGCGGATCGAGCTCCTCAGGTGGGTGATCCCACGCCGGGCTGAGCCGAATCCTTTGAGCGAGATGGGACACCCTGCTGCACTTATTAGACTAAGCCTGAGCCTCCTTGTGCCATAGCGCTCACTGATTGGCTACTGGAGCAATAAAGCTCAAGCCTCAAGTTTAGTAGTTGATAGTGAGTTTCGTGTATCCTATTTGTGGCAGTAAAAGGATCGACTTCATGCTCCTGCAACTGTTACTGCTTCCCTGACACAGAATATCAAGACGAGGTTGTTCGCACTGAGAGGAGAGAGGTCGTCGCCGCGCTAGGCCAGAAAAGGGATCTAATATCTGATAGGTTGGGACCGTGTAAGCCGCTCTATCGTCACGACTCCACGGTGAGATTGCTGAGCCGCTAGACCATATTTGGGCAACAATATCTGATACGTCGAGTGCTATGGCGGAACCATACACATGCCCTTTTTGCCTGAGTGTTCGTAACCAGCAGTTTTCAAACAATGGCTCATAAGTACACCTAGGTACTTCTGGGTCGCTGACATGGGGCTCGGAGTCAATGCCGGCAAGCTTCTCGCAAGGAAACGAGGCTCAAAAGGGAAGGCATTATCTGATTGGATGGCAGTCTTGTGCAGCAAGTTGCGGCGCAATATGTTCCTCGGTGATTCCGACGGAGAGCCGTGGATCACACGGAATACAAATATGGATTGAACACACGAGTCTCTGGAAATGAAGTCTCTTCACCCTTGCCGTCACTACCCGTGCATTGTCCCAACTCATCATTGCTCGGGACACTACTTCAACAGCTGACTGGATCGGAAGCCCGTTGCACACATATCATACAAGCCACTGGAGCGGAATACGAAACAACATAGCCAAGATGGTGATGCTGCGGCTGACTGCCGAGCAGTACAAAAAGCTGCCCATGGTGGCAGATGAGTCGACCTGCTCCGGGAAGACTTACGTTGTCACAGGCGGAAACTCTGGACTGGGCTTGGAAACTGCGCGACATCTTGTCGAGTTCAACGCCTCGCGCGTCATCCTGGCTGTGCGGAACCTCACGGCGGGAGAAAGCGCCAAAGAGGATATCGAACATTCGACGGGCCGCAAGGGCGTGATAGAGGTATGGAAGCTATTAGAGACAGTAGAAGAAATTGATCCTGACATCCAACAGGTCTGGCACATTGACATGGCGTCGCAGCCTTCAATCCAGAGTTTTGCCGACAAGTTGTCAGACGTGGACAAAATCGATGGCCTTGTTGCCAACGCCGGTGTCCTGCTGGACTCATGGTCGACGGTGGAGGGCATGGAGGCCAGTGTGCAAGTCAATGTTGTCAACACCTTGTTCCTAGCGACCCTGATCCTGCCCAAACTGAGCGCGATCGCCCGGCAGCTCGGGATCCAACCCTCACTTGTCTTTATCGTCAGTGTCCTGGGATACACGGCCAAGAGTGAAATGGACAAGAGCCGTGATGGTAACATCTTCGAGGGGCTGAATGACGAGAAGAAAGCCAATATGAGCTCAAGGTGAGAGATCGACTTTCTGTACGTTTTGAAGGCTGACTACCGACCACTAACACGTCGGCTGCACCGCGCAGGTACGCGCTCTCAAAGCTCGTCGAGGAGCTGGCCGTGCGGCGGTTCTCAGCAGCGACCCCCGTCGAGCGTACAGGCGTGATCGTGAACATGGTCGCGCCCGGCTTGTGCCATTCTGGCCTGGGCAGGGACGCTGGATCCTTTACCAAATTGATGCTCTCGGCGATCAAGGCCATGATGGCGCGGACCGCAGAGGAGGGCAGCCGCACAATCTTGCATGGCCTGGTGGCTGGCGCGGAGAGCCACGGCAAGCTGCTCTCGGGCTGTAAGATCAAGGAGTTCTGGGTGCCTGTCTGGGTAAGCAATGAGGATGGGCAGCGACTGCAGAAGGGGATATGGGCTGAGCTTGTTGAAAAATTTGAACATGTCCAGCCTGGATGTGTTGGGCGGCTTTCAACTCTGGCGTAGAGATCTTGTCCGTTGGCGCAGTTCAAAGGGGAGAAAGACGTCTGTAGTAATTGAATAATCCCAACTTAAAACAAAACCCCAATTTGCTCTTGTGCTCTGGCATGCCAATTACTATCAGCATGGATAATCCTGCTGGGTATGCGAAAGAAATAAAAAGATGACATCGTTGGTAGCCTTTCGGTCAATGATAGAGCAGTGAACGCGTGATGGTAGTTTGAGTCTGTCTTGATTTGGGTTGCGTTGCTGGAAGCAGAGCGTGCTCACATGTCGGCCGCTCTGGACGCTTCTGGCGCAAGCTGGCTCGTGCGCAATGTGCTGTAAGATCCATTGCTGCGGCCACGGCCCAGGGGCGCTCCACCCTGGCGCAACTGCCTGAACGATTTCGACGTTGCACCCCTCGTGGCCGACCCGACTGCTTGACTGCCCAGCAAATCTTCCTTTTGAGGACAGTTATTAGTGGCGAAGGCAACGTCCGCTCTCTTCGCGAATTCCCACCAGCCGACTCCTCCCCGCCGTCACCGTCTGATGGGATTGCCATCATGGCAATCAACTACCTGATCTTGCTGTCCCGGCAGGGCAAAGTTGTATGTTGTCCCCCGTCATCATGGGCCCCCTTTCGCCTCGCAGCGCATACCTGACCCGAGATGCACCTGCAGCGTCTTGCGAAATGGTTCCAGACCATGTCCCCCAAGGAGAAGGCCAAGATCGTCAAAGACGTCTCCCAGCTAGTCCTGGCCAGGCGAACGCGCATGTGCAACTTCCTCGAGTACAAAGACACCAAGATCGTCTACCGCCGATACGCCTCGCTGTTCTTCATTGCCGGCGCATCCTCCGACGACAACGAGCTCATCACGCTTGAGGTCATCCACCGCTACGTCGAGCAGATGGACAAGTACTACGGCAACGTCTGCGAGCTCGACATCATCTTCTCATTCACGAAAGCCTATTGGATACTCGACGAGCTCCTGCTCGCCGGTGAGCTGCAGGAGAGCAGTAAGAAGACAGTGTTACGATGTATTGCACAGCAGGACTCGTTGGAGGACATGGAGGTCAGTCAAGTTCTTTTCTTCTCTTCTCTTCTCTTCTGTTGTCGCCCCGTCATGTAATCGTGCTGCCGCTGGTTCGGACATGCTATTTGTATTCGAGACCGCACACCCCTTGGTCGTTACCACCCTCCTGCTGCGATCCCCGCCATTCAACTCTGCAGTGCAGCTCGCTGACGCCCTTTCCACCGCCGCCAGGTCGAGGACGAAGTGACCAAGATCATGTAACGCAGCTGGATACATACTATTGCCTACATGCCTAAATGCCCCATCTACATGTCCATTATACACCGGGAAAGACACGCGGTCGTGTGGCGTCTTGCTCCGGCTAACAGACATACGACATTCGCAGGAAATGGAACGCGTCAAAGACGCACTCAAAGACGTCGGCATACTATGATGGGCTGGTTTATTGCCTTGGAACACACACCCTGGGCAGGACACGCAAGCTGAGGCGCCGACGGGAGCATGAACAAAGCAATTGGAAGATCGCGGTTGCACGTTGCACGGAGTCAGGCGCACATGGTTTGGGCTAGGGAGGCGAGCAGGTAAACAATGCTTCACCCGAGGCACATCGGGACGAAAAGCAACAATACTCGGATTCAAGAAGTCGGTCCGGGGAGAGCTTGGGAAGCAGTTGGCAGACGAGGCGCCGCACAGGCTAGGAGGTATGCACATCTGCGGATTGGGTACTAATAGAGACTTGCAAGGTCTGTCCTCAACGATGGGATCCGTTTGCGGCAGACCAGGTTCAATCCACCCACCCTCGATTCATCTACTATCCATCGATTCGTTGGCTCGTTCACTCATCGATCCGTCTGTCCATCCAGCCGTCCATCCAGCCGGGCGGGCTGGTGCACGTTCTAACATCTCAAAGAATGCAGCGGGCGAGTCCAATGGGACTGGCTACTCATGTGCTGACTTGACTCTGCTGGCTGGCTGCCCACGGGACGCTACTCGTGGTGTCCGTCCGGCTTATCATTCGTCATCCCTCGCAGGTCCCCGCATCAGTGCACCCGAGTCCCGAGCAGGCGACGCCCACCTCGACAAGCCGCAGCGAGTTCTCAGGGGCTGAGCTCGACTCCTTTGTTGTGCTGCTGCAGTCCCTCGCAGCTGGCCCCTCCCCCGTTCCCCCCACACCCCAAGAGCGACTTGGCACCTAGTCTCAGCCCATGTACCGGGTCACTCTTCCAGGCGTGCCAGGGTTGCTTACAGGACCCAGTGTCAGACAACCCAACTGGCGACTTCCCTGATCCCCCGAAACGCCCGCCCGCCCGTACTTCCGCCCACCTGTCTGTCTGTCTGTCCATTGCGTTGTCACCACCTCACCTCCTCTCCTGAACAAAGCCCCTGCATTCCTTACCAAGAACCACACACCAGCCTTGCCCAGAACAACATTCTCACTTCTCGATGGCATTTCCTATCCAGTAAATCACCTGAACGCGATCGCGTTCTGGACTGTGCCTGCGCCAGCGACTGCGCCAGCGACTGCGCCAGCCTGACCGACTGACAAGCAGGAATCCACCCGCGTGTCCGACCTCCACTTGATTCCGTTACAAGCAATTGCACCTCACCCAAGGCATCCGACCCAGCAACTGCGATTATCCGACCCTTTCGCGACTCCAGCCGACAAGTGGCCAGCTTTATTCCTTTATTCTTTCAACACATTTCAACGCAAGGTTGCACTCTGCGAAGTGACCCCTTTGTGACCGCGTTCCATTCGAATGACGCAGTGGTCCCACGATAACACTACTCCACCCGCTTGATAACACCCGAACCCACGACACCAACAACACACCACGTCCATCGGAACACCCACTACGTAGCCTCTCGAAGAGCACACAACTGCAAGATGAAGGTATGTAGATCCGAGACACTTGGATGCAAGTGCCGGTTATTACAAGCGCTATGCGAGACTGACCCATCTACCCCCGCCGTAGTTCCTACCCCTTCGCGACTTCGACGTCGTGGCCAGCGCGCTCAACTTCGACACTCCCGATTGTCACGTTACCGGCGGCTGCGACCTTTACACGACTAAGGCCGCAGGCTCCGACAAGAAGCTCTACAAGAACATTGACAAGTCGCTAGAAACACAACATGCTGCCCTGCTCAAGTTCGGGTCCAGCCTGTCACCTCCCCAGCGCACAACCCTCAACCTGTCCCGGTCAAGTCCATTCGGCCCCCTTTCCGACATCTCGAGTCGCAGGACATTCGCATACCTCATCGCCACACTGAACGCGTCGCATCCAGACTATGACTTCAGCCACGTATTGCGGCCTGCCGACTTCAAGCGCGAGCGCAACCTGAGGAAAGTGGTCGCCAACCTCGACACGACTCTGCACAGCGCGCGGCCCAACGCGCCATCCACCACCGAATTCCCCATGACCTCATTACTCCCTCCAAGTAAGAGGTCCAAGGCTGCTGTAGCCGACACGGGGTCGTCGCCCCCGGCCGTGTCCGGCACGGAGTCTCCACCATGGGGCCCCCACATGTGGGCCCTGATCGATAAGGAGATGACACTCAAGGAGTGCGCCGTCTTCTCCTACCAACCAACTTCGAACCCCTTTGACGAGGAGACCGCCGCCATATGGAGCCTGCACTATCTCTTCTTCAACAGGGAGCGCAAGCGCGTCGCGTACCTATACGTCCGGGGTGTGCCCGTGGTATCACATAGTTACAACCCACCCTCGCCACTCCGCCACCGCCAGCGAAGCGGCGCCATGTCGCTGACGCCCTCGTCGTCAACGGGCGACCTGCGCAAGCGCAGGCAGCTGCAGCTCGAAGACGCCGGCGCGAACAAGCGCGCGAGGTACTGGCTCGGCGACCGCGAGGCCGAGCGGATGCCGACCAGCGACGACGAGGACGACTATGCGGACGACGGGCTCGCATGGAATCGCGACAAGGACGGCGTGCTCGAGCTCGACGAGTTCGCGGGTAGCTACGAGGACTGATGACGGTGGGTTCAGTGATGACTTCAGCGACGAGGTCTCGGATGACAACGCCGACGAGCACGAAACGAGCCCTCGGCTGAGCGCCCTGCGCGGCATGAGCGAGGATATCGCCGGGAGGATGGAAATTGAGTGAGCCTGCCTTGGCGGCCCGGGCTCTGCTCATTCTATCCCTCTTGGCGCCTCTTGTTTTACTTGACTTGCTTATCGGATCACCTCGCTCTTGGACATGGCGTTTCTTGGATCTGCATATGGAGCGCGGGGCTTTTTTGGCTGGGTCACACTGCTTCAACGCAGTCGGAGTTGGGCCCGGCATATGGCCTCTTTTGTGTGTGACGAGGTGGGGGCTCCCAGCATCTTTCCAACCTGCGGTGACGCTTTTTTGATCTGCTCCTATATTCATGCTTTCGCTCTGGATGAAGGTGTGCGAGCCTCGTCTGTGGTCGACTTGATATATCCTGCGCGAACTCCTTGCTGGCTGCTGGCGCTTTCTACCTACCGCCAGGCGCCGTGTTATTTGCTTTAATACTGTACTTCTTACCCGCAAAGGCATCGATCAACTAGCCGCAACAAGGTAGCCGGTTTTCTTTTACGTCCTGTTCTTTCTTTCTCCTTTTACGCGTGCAGCTCGCAGGGTTCGGGACCGGCAGGATAGGAAGTATGTGTTGTTTACGGCGAGGCATTTTTCAGTATGCGATTTTTAAGGCGGGGGGGGGGGGGGGTTTCCAACTGGGTGTGCGTCAGGACAGTGGCTCTTGTCCTTAGTTTACATGCCTTCCTTTTCTGCTCTGTCTCTACTTAGTTGCTACCTGGCCACGAACAAACATACGTGCCAGGGGAAAGGGTGTGACGCCTATTACGAGTCTGGCCGACCGGACACAAAGTCATGGAAATACCAGAATGCACAAAGGAATTTGAAATGAACTGCGTGGAGCGGGCCAGAGTGATGTCTGTGATATGACATGATCTCATAGGGACTGGTCGAAATCCAAAATATGAGGGCCTACGTATGTAGATAGGTGCGATCGCCATCCAGAGTTGAGGGGGATTACCTAGGCACTCAGCGCAGGAACATCACCAGCGGATGACTGACTGCTCTGGCTCCTTCAGCACCCACCAAAGGTAGGAGTGATGTCCAAAATCTTGACATCAAATAAGTGAGCTTGGGCGCAAATCAGCTTAGCAAGGTCTCACTCTGGAACAACCAGGGGCTTCATGGAGCAATGCGTGCATGGTATTCGCCCTACGATGATCTAAAAGTACTTTTTTCGCGATTTCTGTCCATTCTTAGTGAGGAAAAACCGTCTCCGATAAGATTCGACCGAGTTTCGGGCGCAGCCTTTTGCGCTCTCCCGACGCCGCCGTCAAGAAAAACCGCCGATGTCCGCATCCGCATCGGAAACTAAAACACCCATATTAAGGAAGTCAAAGTGGACCAAGCATTCCGTTCAGTTAGTGCCGCGGGAAAGGGGAAGAGCAGAAACCTCGCAGTCCACGTCCGTGATCCGTGATCCGTGCGCTTTACACGTCTACTCCGCGGTGTCGAGGTCGTCATGAACGGGAGGTGGGCTGTCCAGGGCTGTTGCATGTGTCAGCGGGTGGCAGGAAAGGTGCAGGCGGGTTCGGTGCTTACGCTTCCGGTCATCGCCATTCGCGCCGTTCTCACGGCGATCGCGGTCGTCCCTATCATCCCGCTCCCGATCGTCGCGGTCACTATATCTACCATATCAGCATCTTCCTAGTAGATTTTCAATTTGAAGGTGTGAAGGGTCGACGGCTTACCGGCGGTCCGGAGATCGCGAGCGGTCGCGTGTGTCACGGCGATCGCGCTCGTCGTAACGGTCACGCTCACGACGGTCATCCTTGCGAGGAGAGTAGTCGCGAGTGCGCCGGGGGCTGGGTGTCCGGCGACGAGGAGAGCGCGGAGGGCGACGGTCGCGGTCACGGCCAGAATCGAAGCGCCAGGATGCAGAAGGAGGAGTACGGGCCCACTGTAGGAGCATCAGCACGTGGACTTGGGGGCGATGGCAGCTGCGATAGGTAGCTGGCTTACCTCGATCTTCAAGATGTCGTCACGTCCGATCCGCTTGTTATGCATGTCGTGGTAGGCATCATCGGCATCTCGACGGTCCTCGTACTCCACAAACGCGAACCTGATGGTGGAGTCAGCAAACAGCGGCCCGCCGGGATGTTTCGGGATGGAGTGTATGCTTACAGCCTGCTTGAGGCAGAACGAGGCGCAGGGATGTCGCAACGGACGAGCCTGCCATAGCTGTGTCGTATGATGTCAGTTTTGTCAAACCAAACGAAATGGACAAAGGTCTCTCTCGAATTTCTGCGATCGCGTCGCCGCGTCGAGGTGGCGTCGCGATCCCGGATGGATACCGTTGACAGGCGACTTGCCCGGTGCAAAGCCAAGCGCGTTTGTTTGGAAGCGTTCTGTCATCGCCGACCGCTCGATCGAATGGGGGGACGATGGGGGGCACAGGGCGGAAGCATGGCACGACGGTGGGTACGACACGACGGTGGATATACACAGCGAACACTTCGACGCGAGGGCGAGGGCGGCTAGGAGGATGGAGGAGGCCTCGAGAGACTGTATTGGACTGGACTGGACTGGACGGGAGGCTTTTGGGTGGTGGGTGGGCTGAGGAAGGAGGGATCGAAATTACCGTTCGAATTCGTAGGCGAGGTCGCGGGCACGAGTGCCGTGGCTGAAGCCAGTGACGTAGAGAGTGGTACCGCCACGAGACATCTTGTCAGGATGAGGTGGTGACGCGGTTCGTCGATGAACGATGGGGGTGGACGAGATGGTGTTGAGCAGAGCTGAAGGTCGAAAAAAGTGAGTGGCCTTTCAAAGGCGGCTTGGTTTGTTTGGGGAGGCTGCAGGTGAGGGCCCGTGCGCCCGCGGGTTCCACCGCGTGGTGACCTCACCGCTGGAGCTACCGGCACTCGGGTGCCTAATCAGTCTAATAAGGGAGGCACGCCGGGCTGCCCGAGGTGGGCAAGCACGGTCTGCTGTAGTAGGTTAGTGAATTTGAGGAGAATGCCTAGGCATTAGCCATTTTCAGCCTTACAAGTACGTTTTCATATCTTGGTGGATTGACAGTACTATTTACACGTTCCGCAGGCTGCCGACAAAACCCTCACAGTATTAGATAGAGTGAGCACAGGACCGAAGGGCCAGTAAATATGCCCAGCCAGAAGTTGATGTTCCCCAGCGTCTTCCTGCCCTTCATCCACTTCGTCCTGCTCAGCTGCACAAGGGGTAGCTGGAGCATTTGCATAAAGAGCAGGTAGCCCCGGAGTTTTTTGAAGATACACCACATGACCAGCTCGTGGACCAGTGCTGACAGGAAAAACGTGAAAAGCGTCGCCGTGTGCTTGTTGACCCGCACTGCAACAGTCATAGTCAGCTACCAAGGCACTAGGGGAAGATCGAGGCTTTGCACAAATATGTACGAATATGGGGAAGGAGTGGGCCACGATGTGGCCATAGCCTGTCTCAAACCTGCAGCCTGGTAAGGCCTTTTGAGGAACAGACAACGGGTGGCAGTGGTTCACCCTCGAGAAGTTCAAAACTGTATCCGGAGAGTACTTACTGGCGCTGATGGAGCTGTGATAGACGTGTCTCAATAAGAAGTTGTGGACCGGGCGGTTCCAGTCCCGCGCAAATTGATCCCAGCTGACAGAGTTCCACCAGTCGGAGTAGAACTCTCGGTCGGCAAAGTACGTCAGCTCGCCGAGGAGGTTGAGAATGGCCTCCCAGATGAGATACCATGTCAGGAGGTACTCCATCATAAACGGGAAGATCAGGTCCGACAACAGCCACGGGAACTCCCCAAAGCGCTCGGCCAGAGACAGTCCGGCCTCTTTCATGCGGACCGTCTTCATCACCACCGGGTAGATAAAGGCCTGCGAGACCATCATCATCACGAAGATGAGCCCGAAGGTCGCAACCGCCTTCTCTGCCACGTAAGCCCAGTCGATTCTCTCTGACCGGGGGTATTCGAGCTCGTAGACCAGTGTCGGGAAGACGATGTACTCGTAGTGATTCTGGTAGGTGACGTTGTTGGGGTACGCGCGCCTGGGGGAGGTCGACTTCCCCTGGAGTTCCTCCGTGAGACCGTCAATCTCCCACTTGATAATTTGTTCGAACACGTGGATCTGCTCCAGGTCGAGGGACTCGTTCGAGTTGATGGCTGCTTCGATGCCCTCTAGGTCTTGGCTGAACGCCTTGCAGCTTGAATGGGACGACTGGCGCCTTTGACGGACATCATGTCTCGACGGCCTCCGGGCAAGATGATCCGTCGATATGGACAAGGCCGTCGGCTTAGTCTGCGAGGGCGACTTGACAGCCTCGACGTGCTCCAGCTGCTTGAGCTTCTTCAGTAGCTCTGCCCTCTTCTTGTAGGCGCTTGACAAGTAGCCGTTGTAAAAGGCATAGCTGTGCTGTTTCATCAGCATTACCAGCGAGTGCAGGACAAAGAACACCGTGTGAGACCACGGCCACTGGCGAAGCTGTGTCCATCCAATGGTGCACCCGATGAATATGGTCTGCCATATGTTTTGGATGATCCAGCCCGACGAGTCCCAGTCCAAGTAGTCATTCTTGATCAAAACTTGTAGCATCCAGCTGACGCCGGTGAGCCCACACATGACCCCGTCGGAAATGAGCAGGACAATGACATCCCTCTTGAACATAGATTTCATAATGTCATTGGTTCCGAGTGGACTGCCCGTGTTCTTCCAATTCTCAGCTCCGATCTTGAGCAGCAAGAGAGCGATAGCGATCCAGAACAGGGTAAAGAAGCCGTGGAATGGGCTGTTGGCAGCCGCGGCGTTCTGCCTATCGAACGTGGAGAATTTCCTCGTGAAGACGTAGTCACTGAATCTTCCCTTCCGCTTGCCATTCGACTCTGGTTCTTTGGCCTGCACGGTATTAGCCACGGTCACAACGGCGTGTTCCAGTACTCACCCTCTGCACGCCCCGTCTCAGGATCTCTCGGAGCTCCTTGTCATCCGACGCAATCGTGTATACCTTGGCGCCCCTGAGGGATGAGATATCGTCAAGAGTCCCATTCTCAGAGGATACGTCGCTCGGCGTGGCAGCCTCGCTAGCACCCTCGCTGAGCTTGAGCTTGCTGCCAGACGTCGGGAGCGTGGGCCTATCCTTCTCTCGCTTCCCATTCAACCGAAGGACGGCAACTGGCTTTTGCGATTCCTCGTCGTAGTCCTCCTCACTGGCGCTTTCCGAAGGCGTCGATATCCTCCCGCTGCCGGCAAGCCGCAGGGCCTCCCTCAGAGCCCGTGGTGGGGGATTTCTCGTGAAGTAGGCCTCCTCATTTGGTGCATGGGTTTTGGTCTCATCCTTGGTCCTGGGTTCCGCCGACCCAGCGGTCCCGTTCGCAGCCATCTGCTAAGCTATTGGCGGCTGAGGGAGAGATATGTGAGTTTGAGTGTGAACCACAGGCAGTGACGGCGCGCAAGGCCTGTGCCGAGCTTCGTATGCTTTTCTGCAGACAATGTTTCTTCTTGTACAAGACGAACTAATGAACAGCTCGATGGGGCGCCTTAGATTTTCCTATGGCGTCATGAGCTGTATATACTGTGTAGCTCTCTCGGCCGGATCCAGCGGGAGGTTAAGCAACAAGAGAAGATGTCATCCGGAGGGCACGCGCTCCGACTTAACCGAAGGCCGAAGGTTCTCTGGGTCTTGCACGAGGCTGAGAAGGCAAGGCGTCGATCGATGGATCCTGAAAGATCCCGTCAACCCACTGATCTGCCGCTGCCGTTGTTGTTGTTCAGATGGAGGAGTTGAGAAAAGACACGGAAAGGAGTGCGAGGAAGCCACGCCAGCGAGGTTTCCCCGAATTGACGGATGGATTGGGGGATGGTAGAATTCAGATGGAAATCCCAACGGCAGGAACGACACGCTGTTTCGTTCGGTTCACGGCTCCTGCCTGTCGTCCTAGATCGCCTAGACTTACTTACACCAGCGGTTATGTGCTGGATGCGGGCAGTGCAGTGCGAAACAGCCGTACTCAGGAGCCCCGCAGGAGCAGCATGGGTTGGTGAGATATCATCTGAGCTTGACGTCAAAGTCCGGTACGGGTAAGCACGCGCGACCACACTCTGCTCATGGTGCACGACAACGAGAATAATACGATTCACACTAGATTCCAGCGCTCTGCTCTAGTCCGCCTTTCCAAGCCAGCCAGCTTCCTGGACGCATCACGAGGCCAAGGTCGAAACGTAAAGGTTCCGGCTTGCTGGGAACTCTCACATCTGAAAGCTCCCTACCCCTTCTTGCTGCGAGGGTTAGGGGGCCTGATGCTTGTCCAAGGCTCACACATCAGTTCTGCTTGTGATGCTGACGGACCTCGCGAGATCCTCACGTCTTTGGCGAGGCTGAAAATGGCAGAACAATGCGATGCAGGATTGGATGAGGCCTACCCTCTATACTGACACAGCGGTCATCAGATTACCCAGTACAGCAAGGACGCTTTGCTCCTTCAGCCCGAGCCCGAGCACGAGCCCGTACGATCCATCCTCCCCACAGGTACGCTTGTGCCTACAGTAGGTGCGGTGCTGTGTAAGGTGTAAGTGGGTAAGTTTTGGATGCTCAGAGCTCCAGAACTCTGACGGACGGTATTTCGCCGATGCCGCCCGCCCCAGCCAATCAGAGCCATCCAATGCAGAGAAATTCCATCATCGCGCAGCACATGAGCTCCATCACTTTTCCCAACATACGACTGCGACAGGCACTGCGTCCAGCAGAGAGAGCGAGAAGGCTTTATTGCTCTACTCGACGGAAGCCACGGACACTGCAGGATCCTGATTGCCTGAACAAACGAACAGACGACCCGCCCTTTCCCGAAAAGAAAACGGGACACTACGAGACTCGCCACCGGGTCTACCGGCGGAGGCCGTCAGCTTTCACAGGGTCTTTCTCTAGACCCCGACATATCCGTCCCCATACCTACCTGGGCGGCCACGATCAGATCCCACGAGAACGGGACGCGCGGGCAGCACTTACAGCTCCGCATCGCGGCGGCCTGCGAATCCGAACCGAGCGGCTATCTTGCTCTCCAACCCTACCCATAGACGATCACGATCACGATCACGACGACGACGAGCACGAACACGAGCATAAAAAGCGGGCAACAATGCTGCGAAGCTCCATGTACGGGGCGGTTCGCACCTCGGTGCTTGCCCGTCAGCCCACGACGACGGCCGCGGGCGCGCCGCTGCGAAGGCTAGCAGCCCAGGGCTGCAGGACACAACCCGCCAGACTCATGCTGGCTCCGCCGAGAGCGGCGGGCGGGCAGTCTGTCGCCACGGGCGCGAGGACGTTTGGCACCGGGCGGACGACACTCCTACGGGGCCCCTCGGCGGCGGCGTCGAGGACGGGGCAGGGGCTATCACAGAGGGCGCAGAAGCGCACCTTCAACTGGACATGGTCGCGCCGGTCCGGCGGCAGCAAGGGCGCCGGGGCAGGGGCCGAGGCGGAACCGCAGTCTCTGAGCGCGCGCCTGCGCAAGCTGTCGCGCGAGTACGGCTGGGTCGCCCTTGGCGTGTACCTGGGGCTCAGCGTGCTCGACTTCCCCTTCTGCTTCCTGCTGGTGCGCATGGTCGGCACCGACCGCATCGCCGAGGTCGAGCGCTGGGTCATGGCCGGCGTCAAGAAGGTTGTGCCCGAGTCCGTCAAGGAGCGCTGGCACGAGTACCGCGCCGCATTCAAGGACGCTGAGAGGGAGGAGCTGGGCGACAACCATGTGAGCGAGGACGTTGAGAAGGTCGGCTGGGGCGTAGAGAAGGCCCAGGAGAGGCACAAGGAGGAAGCGAGTAAGTCACACATCAATCCCCTACGTACTTCTTCTGCCTTGCTACATCACCCGCCTGGCGGGTCCCTTTCTGGTCTGTCCTACGGAGTTGATACAGATTTGCCCGCTGTGTGTCGAGCTTGTTTTGTCCAGCTCACGGCTGGGTAGGTTTCGTGGCCAAGTGGAGCCAAGTGGCCATCGCATGCAAGTGGTTTCGCCTTGCTCTCGCTAGGACTTTCCTGGACGGGAATGGGGCCAACAGATAGAGTTGGGGGCCACAGTGGTTCGGGTGTTTCGCCAAGTATGAAGTCCTCCAGCTGACGCGTGCATGACTCCCCAGGCCTCGCGACGCAGCTGGCCCTGGCGTACGCCATCCACAAGAGCTTCATCTTCATCCGGGTGCCCTTGACGGCGGCAGTGACGCCGAAGGTGGTCAAAGTCCTCAGGGGATGGGGCTACCAGATCGGCAAGAGGAAGCCGAAGACACGCAAGTAACGCAACGCAGTGACCTACTGTACCTGACATCAAGCACTGCTGTTTTGGGGCCTTTTGATGTGTGCAGTTGACGTCAATCTGAGTTTTGGGTGGGGCCCTGCACTTTCCGTGCACGTATAAATTTACTTAGAGTTGCATGGCATTGCATGGAGCATCAGTGGCGAGGCGCAAATGGGGCGGCAAAGCTAGAGGATCCGGACAACTCTGCATGTACCTTTTGTGTATCCGTAGCTGTAAAAGAGGCACAAAAGCACTTCTCGATAAACGGAATTTTGACAAGAACCCGCGTTCGCGACGTCACAAGGGACACCGCTACTCTTGGAAGTACGGTATATCGCCATCATGACTCTGATACCAAGGCTGGCAAGTCAAGATCTTGCGTGAATCTGGTGTCTGTTCCACGCCGACCCGGCCTGGCTGCACGCTTGCGTATGCGGAAGTGTCATGACACGGCAAGAGGCGCATGATAGTCGTGAGGATCACCTAGGAAATAGCACGCACTGGAACGAGTCGATGGCTTCTGGAAAGATGCACGGAAGACGGATAGAAGGCGTATCGAAAGTTCTTGGCCGCCGAAGCCGCCCGAGCGATGGCGGAACATCCCTGGTGAGCGAGGGCCGTCCTTGCCATCACGCCAGGCCTGGACCGGTCGACCTGTTTGCGCAAGGGAAAACAACGGCACCATCGTGCCAGGCTCTCCGACACCCAGCAACGGCGCCGGCCGGTGACAGGCAGCCCTGCATATTGGGTAGAAGCTGTTGTCCTCGCCCGCTCAAAATCGCCGCGCGCGCCCGCCTTGGAGTATCACCCCGTGTCTGGACAGCACGGGCTCAACTGGTTGTTACCTGTCGATCTGTTAGTGGTGAGTTTAAACAGGTGAATGAAACCATCGGCTCAGGTTTGACACGATAGAGGCGCGGGCAGACTGTGCACGCAGAGCTAGTAGCGCCGGCATTGAATGTCTTGGCTGAATCGGGCGCTGGTCGGGCATTCCACACAACGGTAAGAGAACCATTCTAGAAGGCTAGGCGGGAGACCCTGATGCAATGCAGTCGTTGTGGTGAGAGGGCGGGCAGGGAAGATTGGGATTCGAGGTCGTCGACATAAGATTCGAATGACTTGCCATCCAAGACCGCATTTTGTTTGACTTGCCTTCTGAAGCGGATGATAGATACTAGCTGGCGTCGAAGCGTTTCGAACTGGGGCTGAATCGCCGTAAAATGCCCGCCGACGGTAAATTGTTCTCGCGGAACGACAACGCTCGCGGAACGAGCGCCGCGCTGTTGCTGGGTTCATTTGCCGTTACTGTGGTATTAACCATGGTCTTCCGAATCAAGATAGGCGAATGCGAATCAGGGTGGTTTTATTACGTTGAATGGACATCTCCGCCGCGAGGTGTCGAAAGCCGTCGGAATTACCCAACTGGCCTGCCTCATGATGACACGGTGGGTATACTGGGGCGTCGGAAGCTTGGCAGTCGTCATGGCGGAAGTGATCTGTATATTGCCGTTGCCGGCCGTGAGGGTTCCGAGCCGAGATGCTGTGACCGGTCACGATCGCACCGTCCAAGGTAGGCCCATCTTGATTGTTTTGTCTGCTGATTGAGTCAGCCCTATGGCAGGTGGGCAGGCAGGCCGACGCGCACGTTTCCAAAGGAGAGGGCATCGTGACGACACGGCCATGCGACGGGAACAAGAGCTGGGCAAATGATGACTCAGTCGTGGTCAACAACTAGAGGTGAACTGACTCTGCGTCGTCCATTGAAGGTCCCGATTAAGACATTCCGCAGCTTGGGGAATGTTGCCGTGGGGCCACGAAAACCGGGGCAAGGGTCCAGTTTAAGATGGCCCCTTGCTTCGGAGCGTAGGCACTGGACGGTCCCCACGCTGGGCGGCGGGCTGGGGCGGGCATGCCTAGCAGGGTGGATCCGATGAGAAGGACCACAGTGCCGCATTGGCGGCCGCATTGGCGGGAGACGGGCTATCGGGAGGGCGGTTGCACACAGCGAAAGGTGGAATGCCTACGCTGCCACGGTGGCGGGCGGGCAGACGTGACGTCCCCGCGCCGGAAGTCTCGAGGGATGTGGGATGTGGCGTATGGTTCATTAGCTGTATCGAGAAGAGGCTCCATAGTGGCGTATGTCGTGGCCTACTGCGTAGCGCATGAACTAAGCATACCTCAGGCGGACTGGCGGTTGAACGTACAACAGAACTTGGGTGGATTTTTTTCGCATGCCTCACTCACCCAGTGGCAAGTGCCGCCGAGCCGTCCTTGATGCGAGAGCGTGTGAAACAAACTTTGGGCGACGGGCTGGTAGCGCGTCACAAAGGCCACGGAGGAGAAGCCGAAAGGGGAGATGGAAAACGAGGTCCGAAAGCTTAATCGTGGGAAGTGGGCAATGGGATCGTCTGTGGTCCTTTTTCTGTCTGGAATTGCTGAAGATGCGACGAAGAGGGACCCACAGCAGAGGCAAGATTTACTGTGGCACACGTATCCGTAATGTGAAGGATCCGTCCCCTGCCCCAGCCAATGTGAAGGGGACGGGCCAGGAGCTTGCATCCGATGTCCTGACATGCAGTGGTTGCCGTTGGTGCTGGCTGCGCGTCCGTGTGTGAGAGAAAGTGACATGTGTTCGCGTGGTTGTCCGGAGTATGCTTTGTGTGTGTGGAGAGCAGCCACGGAACTGATGAACCGACGAGAAGTGATTGATTGATGCAGCCCAACCATACGGCCTCTTGTTCTTGGCCCTCTGCCTGGGCCCTGCCTCCCAGTATCTCTTTCGTGTACTGCCTGGGTACCTACTTCCGGTACCGCTACTGCAGACACCACACAGTACCTCTGCGTGTACCTCCTGCAGCCCACTTTGGATCTCGCGCCTTCCCACCTGTCCACCCTGCCCGACAGCCGCACGGCAGAAATTAAGGTTCGCGCTAGGCAGGTGTCAGACCCCACTACTGCACCCTTTTCCCGCATATGTCGGCCTATCCTGGAGGGGATTGTGAGCTGGTCACGTACTGCTCGTATGTACTGTACCTTGCTCCACCCGGTTGGGGGCTGCACAATCTATGAAGACTATATCCGGATGTGTGTGTGTGCAATGTATGCAATGTATGTCTGTACCTACATCCAATATATCCAATCATGATCAGCAACACGAAAGTGGGCCGCTGAGGATTCAGGATCCTCAGGATCCTCAGGAGGGCACACGCGGCTGCTGTTGCTATTACCGTTCTTGACCCGGATCCTGTGTCATCTTGTCGTGCAGCGAGCGCCACGGGTCACCGGGCAAGTCTTCACGGGCGCAGCTGTGTTGCCCACGCAGAGCAAGCAGTTCACGTGTATGGAGCTATGGAGCGGGTTACGTGCCCAGGGCAGGGCTACTGTCTACTGGACGTAGGGACTGTCCCACACCCGTTCCATTCGTTTGCAATTACCTAGGTGGTACATCTGGCACATGTGGGCGTATCGGCCTCTCGTGATCCATGGGCCCATCAACACGACTGCGATGTCTGACCATGCCGCCCACACACGCACATGCTGCCAGGGCTGCTAGTCGGTGCCACATGTGAGCATTGGGTATAACACGGAATTGAACGGCGCTTCCCCAATTTTTCGACATCCCCCTAGCCGTGGTACAGTACTTGGCGGGTCCAGCTTGCAGGTTGCTAGCCGGACCCAGCAGATACCTACGCACCTGGACAGGTATGCAGACAATCTACTCGGGTACTCCTGGAAATGGTCTGCACCTACAGGCTCATGCTGGCTGAGTGTGTACCAGAATAGGCAGATACCTGACAGCACCATCCTGTGGGAGTACTGTGTTACGGTGAACCCTCTCGTGCTGGACCGCCTCCCAAGGTTCCCTACCCTCCATCAAGGGGCCTCCCCTCCCATCATCTAGTGTATTTCGTCACTGTCCGCCACCGAAACATGGCAAACTTCAAAACTCTATCGGCGAGAGATGGATGATTTGAGTTTCAACCCCAATTCTTGTCGCCCCGCCCGACCGTGGGATGGCAAACCCCCCATTAACCAGCGATGATGCCCGTCGAGGGCAGCAAGAACAGGCGCCCCAGCGATAGCGTCATTCCTCTTGCGTCCAAACTTTAGGGTTTCCGTCAACCACGTTTCAAGTACGGGGAGCTTTCCTGCTGGGCCATGAGTCTCGTTCCCCCTTCGGCCCCCCGCCCCCGTGGGTTTTGGGTGAGCCATTTGGCCTGATGTGCTGTTGTTCGCCACTTTATTTATATTCGGTGACAAAGAAGTCGTGCACGATGTGTCACGACAAGAGGCTGGGAGGAACCAGGCCGAGGCGCGGCGCGGGGCATGTTTGCAATGCCACAGAGGGTCCCGGCCATGGAACTTGTCGTATCCGAAAACTTTGTCCAACTGTGGCGTCCTCGTGGTTCGTTCTTTTTTTTCTTCAGTTTTGCATTTTTGGAATTCAAAAGTAATAATAACACATCGTCATGCTATGCCACCGACGAGCAGACAAGTTTAGCGGCAAAAGAAAGAGAAAGCAAAACAAACAACAAAAAGGAAAAAAAGAAAAAAAAAAATCATGACGGCCGCGTGCGGCACGAGGACCCGGTGCCGGTCAGGCGTGCTGACTCGGAGCAGAAGCCATTCGTGGATCTTGTCATGATGGCATAACCTGATTTGGGCCAAACCTTACCGTCGGCTGCAGTACTGATCGACCGCTGGTAAAGGCATCTCCGGCGACGCAATTCCCAACCCCTAGAGGGTTATTACGATGTCAGCCTGCGAGCAGACAACCATTCTGGGTAACTCAAGTCGAAGGCGGCGGAAAGTATCAGACATTGGAGCCTTGTGGCACCGCCCAGGAGCCAGGGGCAAAGGGCGCTGTCCGCCCTCGTCCTCGTCCTCCGTCTGGCCAGGGGGTCCGAAAGCCAGGCGTTGGCGGCGTTCCAGCTGATGTGAGTTTAGTTCGGCAGGAGAAAATAGGATTAGGACTTTTGTTTATTAAGGTGTTCGTAATG